TTTGGGCCTCCGAATGATGATTGACGTTCGTTCACTGTTGTACCCACCTCCAAGCGAGAGTACTACGAGAATCTTTTTCGATTGCCGTAAATACTCCGACGGTACGGAACCCCTAGCTATGTGCATGGCAGTTGATTCGCGTCACACCGCCGGCATGGCCCCAAAAGGCTTAATTTTGCCTGCTACCTCGGGGGTAGTATCCGCTGCGGCGCTGACGAACGACTACCAACTCATTCGCGTCTTTCGTTACCCACAAGTGTCAGCATCTCACTTTTTATTCTCCGACTTACAAAGTCCCCTTAACCCAATACGCTCATTATGAAGTTCACCTTCGCATTTCTCACGCTCCTTACTGGAAATACTTTTGTCAATGCTTTTCCTGCTTTCAATCCAAGAAATCTTGAGGGGCTTACACCCGACAGACTGACTGCAGTTCTCCAAAAAGTGGACGAGCTCAGGAACGCTAGGGATTCCCTCTTCGACGCGAAGAAGCCCCTTGATATCACCGGAAAGCATGCCTTCCAGCCTCCCCGTGATACTGATAAGCGCGGTCCTTGTCCTGGGCTGAACGTTTTGGCAAACCACGGATTTATTTCTCGCGATGGCATCACCAGCTTCGCAGAAGTTGTTACAGCTGTCAATCAAGGTTCGTGTGTTATGTTACATGGTAGAAATTGTTCACTTCTAATGAGTATGTCCTTAAGTGATGGGTATGGGCATAGAGCTCTCTCTCATACTCGGTATCATGGGTACTGTCTGGACAGGCAACCCGCTATCCCTGGACCCCAGTTTCTCCATTGGAGGTAAACCTGGGCCGGAAGCACAAAACCTCCTTGGAAACGTCCTTGGTCTTGTCGGTATGATGCTTTCCCTTCAGCTGCGCGTTTAACATCATGCTCATAAAACTTCAGGTCCTCCTCGGGGTCTGGATGGTTCCCATAATTGGCTCGAGGCGGACGCGTCCCTTACGCGCAATGACTTGTACCTCACGGGCAATGCCTGGACAATGAACATGACGCTCTTCCGTGATTTCCACGATCGCGCTGATGAGAATGGTGTTCTCTCCATGGATGCAATCAGCGACCAGGCCGCTCGCCGTTGGAACGACAGCGTCAATACCAACCCGCAATTTTGGTACGGGCCCATCACTGGCATGATTAGCCGTAACTCCGGAATTCTCTTCCTCGGCCGCCTGCTAGCAAACCACCCCCCGGAACATCCCACCGGCATCCTCACTCAAGAGATCTTCCGGAAGTTTTTCGCTGTCTACGAGAAGGAAGATGGAAGCTTCGAATACCGTGAGGGTCATGAAACCTTCCCCAGCAACTGGTATCGCACACCACTAGAGTATGGTCTGGTTCCGCTTAACTTGGACCTAGTTTCATGGTGGTTGAGGAATCCGGTCCTTGCCAGGTATGTCGGGCGTTTCCTTCATTTCAGATCTTAGCCATCAGTGCTGACTTATTGTAAAGCATCGGCGGCAATACCGGTACTGTTAATTCATTCACTGGTCTGGACCTCCACAACATCACTGGCGGCATATTGAACACAGCAACCCTCCTCGAGAAGAACAACCTCCTTTGCTTTCTTTTCGAGTTGCTCAAGTCGTTCATGCCCAATTCACTCTCTCCACTTATGAAGAGTCTTGAGCTTCCGATCAAACTGGTCACCGACATCCTTGAGACGCCCCTCCTGAGCCTCGCTTGCCCTGCATGGAAAGATCTTACCGAAGGCGGTGAGCCGCTGTGGGATGTTATCCAACATACGTACCCCGGCCCGAAGCAGTTCGGATCCAGCTTGTAAACCCATAGGCAAGGCCAGAATCCTGGAGAACAACCGGTGGAGGCACAGACAGGCGAGAAGGAATGTACCACAGTAGTACGTAATTTATCATTTACATTCTTGATATGTGAGTGGTGCCACATGCTGAAGTCTGAAGTGATGAAGCTGTTAGTTCCCGTATATGCTCCGATGTTGACGGCCGTGCGTTGGCTAGATCCTAAGGGAAGCACTGGTTTGCATACTCTGCATCCTCACAGTATATTGTATCCCAGGGGCGGCTGTATCGTCAAGCGCGGTGTTGAAAGTCTTGCCAAGATACACAGACATTTTGCGTTACTAGATACAACATGTGGTGGTAGTGTTTGCCTCATAGTTAATTGCAACTCGATCTATAGCCCGTAATACAATATCTGCAGGTAAGAGCGCAAGAAGATGATGTCGGGTTCCGCGGACTGAGAACAGGATCGCTAGGTAGTCGGCATGATGTGAGGTGAATACCGACTAGAAGAAAAACAGTTGTGCCGTACATAGAGACGGCCCACGGGCCATGGATTTGGCCGAGCCGCTGCACAAGATGAGTAAGTAAGACACTCGTATCCATTGCCGCATGGTTCGGTTCGGGCTGGGATCCGCATGATCTGAAACACAGTAAGTAGTTGCTCCTGGTACTCACGGCATGGAGTCATCTCGCCTGTCCCCTCACAATTTACCCGTCATAATCCCGGCAAATTCGTTACGAGGGTTGCGTCGGCTACGAACCCTCGCTTTGAGTCTAGACAGCGTTTCTTCGTCCAGAAAAGCATCTTGGCAGTACAAAAAAAATCCAAGCAGCTCTATCTGACGAATGCGGCCTAGAGAATGTGGTTGAAAACGCCACGGTGAATGCGAGGACGGAGGATGTCTTTGCTAGGTTAGTACCACCCCCAGGAAATTTGATTGCCATCCTTCAGCGACGAGGATTCATCCAAATACTTTCGCCAACGTCACAATGAGCCAGTAGCACTTCATAGACATTTCAGCAATTTGGAGAAATCGTAATAAGCATGTGGAGAAAGAGGGATAAATGATCTGTATGTCGCAAGAGGTGTTTATAGTCACGTCTACCTTTACGCTGTCTCGTTGTTTGAAAAACAGCCTTACTAAGGGATGTCGTGTTCGTCACGCGATCTACGCGACCACTCCAATACGATCGAAATCGGGCCCGTTAGCGCTTCCAGCACCAGAGATTGTAATAGTGTTCGTCCCCGTGGTGCTAAATCCTGACAGCTCGACAGCATAGCCCTTAGTGACGTCCTTGTCCCAATTATATCCCGTTAACGGGAAGCTCACCGTCTTGGCTGCTCCTCCGTTCACGCTGATAGATGCAACGCGCTCATTGCTGCCTCCCATATAATCGACCTGCCCGTTAATGTAGTCGATGAGGATGGATTGTGTGGCCTTGGAAGTGCGGATATTGGAGAGTGTCAGACGGCCGTTCGATGAGCCACCGATGTTGCCGACTCGGTTGTTGGAGGTGCAGCCGGAGCAAGACTGAATGTTTGCGCCAGAGGATAGGGACCCGGTCGATGCGGAAATATATGTGTAGGTAGGTTTGACAGCTGTTGAGCGCACGATGTTGGAAAGTCGAAGGACAACAGAGCCGTGCGCTTTGACCTGCTTTGAGAAAGAAGAACCTGTGGTAATTGTTCCTGCCCACAAATCCTTCATAGTCGCAGACGTGATGCCGAGGTCCGATAGCTGCACACTGAGCGTACGGGCGGAGTTGCTGAGATCGACAGCTAGCACAGCCATGTCGCCGTTCGCAAGGTCTCCAGCCCACAGGTCACGATCGCCGCTCCAGCGCTGGCGGAGTGTAACCGGCTTGACCGCCGAATCTTGGTTGATAGCAATGAGGTCCTTATTCTGCAAAACAGCAACAAGCTCATTAGACAGATTCGGTACATCGGTAGAGATCATGAGTGCCGATTTCAACATAGCCCATGCGGCAAAATGCGTAGCTTGCTCGTCGAATGTCATGCCGTTGTTTCCGACCATGAGCAGGTCAGCATCGGCAATGTGTCCTGGACCGGTCAATCCAGACTTTGCGATGTGAATAGCTTGGTTATAGATTCGGAACATGGACGCCCAACCCGAAGTAATGTCGTCGGAGAGGCGGAAGGAGGTAGAGATGCCCTTTGTCCACTGAACAGGACCTTGCAACCCGGAAGAGGTAGTAAAGGGAACACCCCACTGGCAGATCAAAAGCCCGGGGATGCCCACTCGCTGGAGTTCTTTCCACATGGTACCCATCCGGGTGACGAAATCGGTCCTGGCGTTTTTAGGCGCATTCTGGCTGGCTGCCGGGCCATCAGCGTAACAGTTGTCATCTAAGAGATTATAAGCTGGGGTATAAGAAGTTAATCTCGTTTTCAGGTCTTACATTTGACGTATTCAGTGTTCAGCGTCTTGAAGAAATCTGCATCTGCAGCTTCATGTCCAAGTGAGCCAAGGACGGGCGAAGGCGACTGCGGGTCGCACATCCTCACACCGGCATCCGAGTACATGGTCCACTTCATTCCCTTGGATCGCGCAAGGTCACTGAGTGGCTTCAGACCACCTGGAAAAGCATTCAGATCAACTTTCAATGCGCCGTTGGAGGAGTTTCGCTGGCCATCTCTCGAAGCCCATCCACAGTCAATCTGGAAAAACTTGTAGCCCACGTTGACGAAACCGCGACTAGAGAGAGAGTTGATAGCCGTGGTGATCTTCTGGGTGTTTGGGCTGCATGACATCTGGTTGTAGGAGTTCCATCCCATCACTGGTGTCTGTTGGAAGGATTGAGCTGCCACCTGGGATACCGATGCCCCGGCAATGGCGACGAGGGCTGAGTTAGTCCAAATCATGATGTCAGAATAGTTGGAAGTTGGCGTAGGTACTCAAGCAGACCTCTCGTTGCACAACCATTCCTTCTCTTTATATTACAGCATTTGGAGTACATGCAAGATCACGAAGACTAATTTGCTTTTACCGGTGGCAGGAGTAGGTTCCAGCGCATGTGGGCAGGTGTCTTCCGGCATGACTTCTCTATGCAGTAGTCCTTGCGCTCTAAATACGCTGTTTTCAACAAGGAAGCCAGTGGCGCAACATCTTTCTTCCGCGAAATATATTGAAATCAAGATAGTTGTACGAGAAAACCATAAAACGCCCCACTATAGTCAAACAAGTAATAATAGCTCATCGTGTAAGACAGCAACGTAGCCAGTGAACGCGCTAAGGAAACAGCACTCTCACCAATGCAACTTATCAATCGTTTAACCTGCGACAGTGTGCTGAAGTAAGCACAAGGGCTGATGTTGTGCAAGCGGGCGCCGGGCGGGAGCTTTGTACCTGGTTCCCCACACTCGGCCTACTTGCCTCATTACCCCGCATTCGCCACACCTTCCGTCTTCCTTAGCCGACACTCTGCCCGCCTTCCCCAAATCAGTATTTCGCGATGCATTATTTCCGTGCTTGAACCTCAACATCGTCGCCGCCGTCATTGTGCCTCTTGCCCTAGTGGTTTCTTATCCCTTCTATCGGCTAAAACGCCGTGATCACCAGTCAAGTGGCTCACATGTGCACTGAGTGGGTCTGCGATATCTGGGGTATGGGGTATGTGACTCGAAATTGGAGAAGAGTGGAGTGACTTTTGAGAACTAGAAGCTTCAGGATAGACAATCTTTGCTTTTTGTGATGAAGATAAGCGGAGAATATCCCGAGGTTGAAGTTTTGAATTAGAATATAAAGTTGTGATTGTTGCTGCGGCTTGGTTACATATAACGATGCCTGGTACAAACCCGGCAGACTGGAGCACTTACTGACTTCAACTTCATTCGGAGGGGTTCTTCCTAGCCTCCTCTCAAAACGCGTCAAAGTCTGTGTCCACGAAAAGCTAGTGGTACGGTGGCCTGGACTATCTACTATCTCAGGCCATGCCGCGCAAATACCTTGGGGGCTCCGGGGAGCCGTTGACAGTCTGGATATCGATCGCAGCGAGTACAGTGCTCATGTAAGTTGAGATCAACCAATGGGCGAAACGTTTTACACTGTTGACATTTGGTAGCTTCTACGGTTACGATCAAGGCGTTTTCGGAAATGTTATCATATCGGAGAACTTTCTGCATACCTTCGGGTATCCGTCCGCCAACATGCAGGGCATCATGACATCCATATACAACATCGGATGCTTTATCGGGGCTATGAGCACCATATGGACGGGTGATATCCTCGGACGACCAAGACAAATTCTTTTCGGCTCTACAGTAATTGGCATTGGCGCTATTATTCAGTCGTGTAGCTCGACCGTCGCGACCATGATGGCTGGACGCGTTGTGGCTGGACTTGGGACTGGTATGAACACGGCAACAGCTGGTGTCTGGCAAGCCGAGACTAGCAAAATGAGCAGTCGAGGCAAGCTTGTCATTATTCAGATGGGTATGTAAAATCACCCTGGGACTCCCCTTACAACTCGGCTGATCAATCTTTAGCCAACTGCATCACTGGTTTCAGTATATCGAACTGGCTCACGCTTGGTTTATCTTTTGCACCGCGCGACATCGCATGGCGTTTCCCCCTAGCTTTTCAACTCTTTTTTACCCTGTGCATCTATGCCACCTGCCCTTTTCTCCCAGATTCGCCTCGTCTTCTCATACGAAAGGGCAAGCATGAAGAAGCACTAGAGGTTCTCTCGGCGCTCGAAGGCCACGGAGCAACACCTGAGTCAGCTTCGGTCGTCACGCAGTACAACATCATCAAGGACATTCTGGACCGCGAACACATGAACACATACACTTGGATGCAGCTGCTTACCGGAAAAGGACCGAGCGGCGTATTGCGACGCATGCTCTTGGGTGCATGGATGCAGGCAATGAACCAGATCTCGGGGATCAATGTGACATCCTACTACATGTCGTACATCTTCATAAACTCACTCGGAATTAGCGAGCTCCTTTCACGCATCCTGGCTGCCGCGGGCTCGGTCGACTATCTCATCTTCGCCTGTTTGGCATACTTCGTCGTTGAGCGATATGGCCGCCGAAAGGTCATGATGGTTTCCGCTGCGGCATGCTCAATTTGCTGGATTGTTATTGCTACTTCACAGGGCGAAACGGAGAAGGGCGGAGACTCCAAAAAGCTCGGCATTGTCGCCGTGTCGTTCTTCTTCGTGTTTTTCGCCAGTTTCGGCATGGGCGTGCTGGGAGTACCGTGGCTGTACCCGACTGAGTAAGTCATCATCTCCGACCACGTTCTATGGCCGCTGATACTCGTAGGATCAACGCTCTTGAGATGCGAACAAAAGGCGCTTCGCTTGCGATGGGTACTGGCTTTCATCAATCGTATTGCAGCACCATCACTAACTTGGCATAGCAACAAACTGGATTTGCAATTATGGTGTCGTACAGGCCACTTTGCCAGGCATTCAAAACCTCGGATACAAGTTCTGGATCATATGGGCAGTCATCTGCTTCAGCTTCATCCCCATCACGTACTTTCTCTACCCGGAGACAGCGAATCGTACATTGGAAGACATTGATCGATTTTTCGAAACCAAGCCCGGTCTACTTATCCATCACAATAAGCTAGCCGTTCAGCTACATCGTCCTGTGGAGTTCATCGAAGCCGATGCACGGATTGCTGCACATGAGGAAACTAAGTCTAGGAAGATTAGTAAGAAACCTAGCACAGAACATGCCGAGATGAAAGAAACAGTCTGAGTGGAATTTGTCGCCTGAAACGGGTGTTTTCACACTCTTGAACCCCATTAGAGTAGAAGTAGGGGATACAGATGCTACTATTGAACATTTCGAATGCAACGCTCATTTCATGGCCTGAGTTGTATGTATGAACCGATCTCTGTCTTGAACTTTCGGTAACTATGGCTCATTGCAGTATCCGTCAATAAAGTTAACTGTCAAGGTGTTTCTGTTCTCCTTAAGCAATGTCTCTCGTCCGATACTGAGGAGCTTTGACATATCCTGCCGACAGTCTGTATCATGTTAGCAATGTAGAATTGGCTGACAACAGCTGGAGAGCTTACCCAAAAACAGACCCCTAAGTTCCTTCCCTTGCCCGCTCGCTAGCCATGCGCAGGTTTGTCCACAAAGGGGCGGCTCATCCTTGAACAAGTGCTCGTAATACTTCTCATCTGTGATGTCCCCGTATTTCTGCTTTACATCTGCTGCAGCACCGACTTTAGGGGATTAGCATGTGTTCAGGCGTAGCAAATTAGCCCGACTCCCTTACCTCCGCCCATGTTCGATCGCACACCTCCCGGATGTAGCGCATACATGTGTATCGCCGGATCCAGACCGTCAAGCTCCATCTCCTTTTGCAGAGTATGCGTGGCGCGAATTAATGCTGCCTTTGAAGACACATAGCCTAGAGTCATGGGCACATCCACAGTACCGGACCTAGAGGCGATGTTGATGATGCAGCCATTGCCTCGATCGCGCATCTTCGGGAGGACAGCATGTATAAGCATCAAAGGCTGGAAATAAGATCAATCACGGATCCTTTCTGTAGTAGCAATTACTCACTGCTTTGAAGTTCACCTCAATCTGCTTCCAAAAACTGTTGAAAGTGCTCATAAGAAACGGCCTTTGGTCGAATATTCCCGCATTATTCACCAATACATCGATTGGCCCCAGCTGCTTTTGCACTTGCTCAAGGACTTCCTCAACTCGAGCTTGATTTGTAACATCGCATCCAAAAGCTTCCACCTTTCCGCCAAGGGCCAGGCATGTCTTCTTGGTTTGATCCAGCTTGTCGACGTTGAGGTCCAAGATAGCAATCCTGGCTCCAGACTTTGCGAGCGCTTCTGCAATGGCGGCGCCGATACCTCGACCCGCGCCGGTAATGACAGCTACCTTCCCTGAATTCGAGTTCTTGAGCGCTTCGGGTAGAATGGGGCCGTACGGGACGCGTTGCATGGGGAGGGTGCTGATGCCAAATTGAGCTGGATCCATAGTTGCAATTTTATTTTCTTCTTTTCGTAGAGTTGAACTTTACTCAGTTTGAGTGCCTAATTGCAGTCTTTTAGGTATAAGACGACCTGGTGCGGCATCCCACGTATGGATGCGGGGTGACTTTGGGGGATGCCGATGCCCCACACAAGCATGTGGGGTTATGAAAGAATCGGAAAACCATCACGGGTTTATGAGACGTGCGGATACCTCAGTCATGAGAAAGGGGGTTGCCGATACGACTGGGCCTGGATTGGACTTAGTAGGAGCTATCATGCTGTGGCTTACTCAAATGCGGTGGACGGAAGTGGCATAGCGCATTTGCATACAGAGCGGAACTGTTCCGAACTCTTCACACGAAAATGAGTCTCAACTAATAGTCTAGATCGCGAAGGCAATCAATTCCTGTGTGTGACTGTATGTCTAAGTAATGATTTGCAATTAAGATCGATCACACTTATCGAAGGTCGTTGTTTGCCAGCATCGAGGACATATCACACCACTAGGTACTTGGGGAATAAGATAGCATAACCATGAAAGAAGGAATGGATATAAAAGATATAGAACTGTTCATACATGCTAGTAAGATTTACCTATGTTAAAGAGAATCAGGTTGCTAGGGGTAGAAGTGGGTCGATGTGTGTAAAAGATGTGTGATAGCATTCACTCTGACGCTAGGACTAGCGTCGAGCTAGCAGCAACATGCTAAGGAAAGTCAAGGTCACTGCCTTCTCATTTCTATACGACCACAACGAACTCACCGTAATCTCCAAACCACTCAACAATGCAGGTGTCATACACGATCACCAACACCAACATGTCGAAACCCTCATCTGTACCGCAAGATGTGCAAGAGATGTATGTTTACCCACCGTTCCCTTATAGAAACTCTACTGACAAAGAAAGTGCACGAGTCAATCAACTCACCTTACCTTTTCTTTGCCTTCCTGGGGAGCTGCGTAGCACAATTTACGAGTACTATCTCTCAGGCTCGATTGCGATCATTAAGACCACAGCTCACGGTGGTGATAATGGAAAGAGTTACAAGAATCGGTGTGACAACACCTACCCATTGAACCTGCTAAGAGTTTGCAGTCAGATTCGCCATGAAGCTTCGCCGCTGTTCCGGAGCCTAGCCACGGTTGGTGTGCAACATGATGCAACCACTGGGGAGATAAAATCCCTTCTCGGGCGACGAAATGCGCACTCATTACAAACTTGTGCTGCGAAGAGACATTCATGGGTTGGTTAGATCATCGAAAGGCTATGGAAAACCCACCTCCACCAGTCAAGGAAGTCGGAGAATTCAGAGCATTGAGGAGGATGTCACGGCACCAACTCGGCGCTCTGTAGGTCACGTGCCCCCATCCCTATCTTGGCCTAGCGCCTGCTACCCTACGGTACATATCCTCCCCGCGCTCTTGTACATAGACCTTTACACTACAACTACGTTCTTACCTTGCAACTACTGTTTGGTCCCGTGATAGAGGATGTGCATAGTGATGCGTCTTTACCCGTCGCATATACTACGGTATCTCTTGATAGAGATTACACGATATGTGTTTGGCAACGTCGAGGTCAGCTTTCTTGAGGATAAAGAATTAAAGCTATAGATGGGAGCTTAGACGCAGCAGGCTCGGAATGCGCTCTTTATACCTATCTAGGTAGAACAGTTTGTGTTTCTAAAGTTCAGCTCGCTGATGTGGCAGCTGTAGATATCATCAGATATACGGATTTTTATGAATACAAAGATATTCAGAGAATTCAAGCTCCACATTATGTGGGCATTTGTTTTTGTAGCCCCAAAATGTAAACGTGAAGTTCTCAATACTGTCCCCACGATAGATTCACCTCGCATGTCATTGTTCACTAGACGCAGTGCACATACAAAGAGTGTGGAGGAGTGCGATCTTAGAAATATAGTTGTAGCTGTGATTCATTATAGCGTTTGTGAGAACCTTTAGGTAAATCGTATCATAATACTTGAGTGTACAATAAGACTACACAACGCATATCAATCGATCTTCCTACATAAAACCCTGATCTACCACTCAATATCCTCTAATTCCTTTGCATGACTTTCTTCTAACGGATATGTTTGCTGCGCCGCTCGGATAAGCTCCTCATGCGCTGCAGAGCGGGGCTTGATGGAGCATCGGTACGGCACCGGGTGACTCACAGTGCCAGCCTCGAACCTTAATTCCGGCTCCACAACATGCCCGTTACCGTCCACAAATTTTTTAATATTGAAAACGGCGAGGGTCTGAGCAATGGTAACAAACAAAGCGTTATCAGCCACATAGCGACCTGGACAGATGCGTCGACCGTAGCCAAAGATGTGATTTCGCGGGTCAGGCTCAGCCTTGTGTGTTGGGGTATCAAAGTAACGCTCCGGCTTGAACTTCATAGGCTCGGAATAAACTGCAGGATCGTGTGTAAAGTGCCAGTTGTTAGGCAGGAGTATAGCGCCTTTCGGAATTCTGTAGCCGCGGCAAGTGTCCTCTTCGGTACTGGAATGCGGGATACCCATGGGTACAACAAGGTGCCAGCGATGGGTCTCTTTCATGACAGCATCGATGTATGGAAGGCTTTCACGATCTTTGCTTACAGGTAGACGTTCTCCGCTAATGACGCGATCGAGCTCTTCTTGAGCTTTCTTTTGTACTTCTGGAAACACCGTCATGGCCAGGAAGAAGGTCATGATCGAAGAGACGGTCTGTGATTATGATGAGCAATATATCGAACATCGTGACCCATAATTCGAGCTTACCGTGTCAGCGCCACCAAGATAGAGTGCTAAAGCAGCCCACTTATGAACAAATTCCATTTCTGGATCTGCACCGATATCATCGATGCATTGTGATAAGAAAGAAGGCGTGTGCCTCTTTTCACCCATCTGCCTTTTCACAAATGCATACGGTTGATTCGTGCACTTATTTAGCTGTGCCGCCATCGCTCTAGCCGTACGCTTAAAACCTGTTCCTGGCAGCCACTCTGGCAAATATCTCACTCGTTCAGGTTAGAGACGGTATGTAATCCTTGATAGGATTCACTTACAAAATGGCAAGACGTCAACCATCCAACGGCCTGGTACAGTTGCGGTAGCAAACTGGGCCATAGTGTCCGCAGCAAGGTCCACGAAGGGATCATGCCCGTGAGGTGCAGTGTTGTAGCCATACGTGATCTTGAGAATCACACTCCCAGCCTCGTGCCTGATGTGATCAAACAACTTGTCCGGTGTGTCTAAGAGGTTCAACAAGAAATGGGCTGACTCCGCTTCTTGGGCGCGATCGAAAATGGCTATTGACGCATTTGTGCTTGCTATCTTTGTGATATTCTTCCTGTGAATCTTCCATGCTTCTGTGTATGGGATGATAGCAGTAGCATATTGCCAGCCAACCCTGATAGTTCATTTAGCCAGTGTTGAGCCTTACACTTTGCTTGATGTTCCAAGTCTGTGCATAGTACATATACATACATCTGACCACTGAATATTTGGCTTGGACGTGAAGAGTGGATTGCCGATCGGTCGCGCAGGAGCTCAAAAGCGATAGTAGGGTCGTTGATGATGACAAATGTCTGGCCCAGCACCTTTACCGAACTTATCGGGCCATATAGATCCTTATGTTGCAGCCAATGATGACACTCTAGCATTCCTGGCTTGGGCATATCGTTGACGTTTCCAAGTATCGGAATACCCTTGGGCCCTGGTGGGAGGGGCAGGGCATGTCTAGCCATGAATCGGCGATAGACAACATATAGTATGCTGGCAACTGAGAGAAGCAGGACATTTGTTGGATTGACGATAATCATGGCGGTGAGGATAGGAGTTGAACGGCATCCAACGACGATGAACGACTGATCGAGAGTCGTTCGTCAATGCTTAAATGCTCGTTAGTCGCCTTGGTCAGCCACCTCGCTTGACAATAACCACATGGCATGCATGAACGATGAAAACCTGGTTTCAACAGGGATACCCCGTCGCATTAACGTCCTAGACGGGCAGCTCCTATACAAAGTCAACAGAACAGCCGAGTACCGAAAATCCACTTATCCAGATGTAGCCGGGCCATCCGTCGCGCCATCGAGATTTCGATTGAGCTAGCCGCCTTATGGCTACTCTGGTATCTAGCAGTTCAGCCGCACCCAAGGAGATAATGTTGTTTGCGTACTCAATCTTGATTACGGCATAGTGCAATGCTACCTAGGTAGATCTTGGCCCCCTTTCTCACAGATTTTCCCTGCATATCATTTACTTTCTTTTTCCTTTGTCCACTATCCTGAATCATAAATTTTGCCCTCAGTCGCAGAGCTGATTCATAAGCGTCAGCCGCGCACATACCGCTTTGGATGGTGGTGATATGTCTGTGAAAACACCATGGCAGATGGTCTCCTACTCTATTTGAGCTAATCATAAAGATTTGTAGTAGGCCAGACCGGAGGTCGTCTGATACTTGCTTCAATGACTTCACCGTTGAGGCTGGATGCGCCGGAAATCTCAACGTCGGTGTGGGTGTCCTGGGTAGTATATGTGGGACCATTACGTCACTGTGAAAACTAGCCCAACATTGTGGAGTAACCGGATTAGGAAGCGGGAACTACAACCAAAACCTTCAACCCAGAACCCAAGACTTTCAGCAAGAAATCGTTGATACTTGTCACAAGGCTTTACTTTACACAAGGTTATAGTGAAAATGCAATGCTACGGGCTTTGTATAGTAACAAATTGAGTTAAGCCGCTACGAACAATCACGAGTTCGAAAGGACTACTGCACATCATCACTATACGAGCGATGAGACATACTTACAAAGAAACAAGCTCTTAGAGTATGCTTTTGTAAGAGAGCCATGTACGACTTCGACTTCGATAATGGAAAGACTCGGTGCAGAGCTTCGTTACCTAGGTAGGCAGGCTTCCTTGATATGCGAGTGCACTTCACCTTTAGGATTACACAGTGAAACAGAAGTGTGTGAATCGGTATTTTTCATGGTATAAGTAACAGCTGCCACGTGGCCAAGGTTCCCGCGAGCCTAGATCCGACTTGCGAGCATATAAACAATCAGCTTTTCTTCCCAGTATGAACTCAACCTTTACAACTTAACTCGAAGTCTGCAACCCATCTCGAAATCTACCAGACTCCGCAACAATCAATCGGATCGGCATGATTGATTCCTATCTAGGTTAAAGGCTGCCTAATGAAGTAATTCTTTAACCTATATAGGAATCAATCATGTCAATCGATTGATTGTTGCGGAGTCTGAAATCTACAACATGGCAGACGCTCTCGCAAGCTTGGCCCAAGAGTGCGATATGATTACCCAAGAGAACCAGCTACAATCCCCTTTTCTCCGTCTCCCAGCAGAACTTCGGAAGCGTATCTACGACCTTGCATGCGCCAACGAGGTGGTTCATGTCTACAATCCGATCAGCCTTCCGCGCGTTCCCTACAACTTGATCTATCTGCTCCAAATCTGTCGTCAGATTCGCTATGAGGCGAAGACTATCTTCTACTCGACATGTACTTTCACTATTTATTGCAAGATCGTCGAGAGCAACCAAGGTTTTGGACATGCGGGTGGCAAGAACGTGGGCGATATTGTCAAGATTGGGTGTGGGATCTGGTCCTGGCACAAGGCGCTCATCACGTCCATTGAGCTTGATAATGCAGCGGTGAAGCATATATGCTGTACGGTAACTGCCTGGAAGATAACACTGGCTTGCAAACAAGCTGCGGAAGCTCGGGCTAATGCGCAGTCTGGGGAGATGTTTCATGGGCAGCCGTTCAACAGAGGGGCTCAGGATAATCTGTTGTATGCAGAGGGCTTTGTGACGTTGCAAAAGATCCATGTTTACCATCACTGGCATATCAGCAGCCTCGCCGACAAGAAGGCCGCAACTACAGAGGTGTTGCGCGTGGGTTTTTGGCAAGCCTGACCTGGTGATCACTTTCTATGAAAGAGCCCAGGTGCCGCTCAGTCTCCTGGTACAAGGAGTGAGCAGAGGGGGTCGAGCGATGGTGAAGGGACTCGGCCGTCACGTGGCGTACTTGGACTGAGCTAGGCGCTATCAAGGTTAGACCTTAGCTTCACTTATATATCAATGCACCTTTTGCATTATTGTTTCCACTGTTTCCTTGTCGCACCACACCTTTCTCCACTGCAGCTGTTTCAACCACTTCACTACCTCAACCATCACGCTATCTGCATCATGGCTCTGTCTTTATTGGAGGAAGAACCACGCCAGCTTACCTCCGCAGAGAGCATAGCAATGTAAGAGTAATTTAGCAGAAAATCAGGATGGCCGCTAACATTTTCTAGCACGGAATCTAACCAACTCACCTCCCCTCTCCTCCGCCTTCCTGCCGAGCTGCGCAACAAGATTTACGAGTACGCCTGCATCGACACAATCATCCGCTCTACCAACATCATGAGCTTTCAACCATATCGACATAAAACGCCAGTCTCTGAACGCAAGCCACTGGCCATCATCTCTACATGCAAGCAGATGCGCCACGAAGCGTCAGGGACCCTCTACAGCCACGCGGCCTTCGACTTGGTAGGCCTAGGACTGTCAGCAGAGACACTTCCATGTGTGCATCATCGTATCACATCCATTGTGATTACCGAATCTCAATTGCTAAAAGACTCTTCTGCTTTCCTGTGCGAACTCAAGTGCATCCGCCTCATATCATGGCGTGGGGGGGACGACAAACCAGGACTTTTAGTTACACGAAAGTTGCGAAAACTGCATGGGAAAGACTTGCGTATTGAGCGTGAGAAGTTCGAATTCAAAGACTATATGTTTCTATTCTGTGGTAAAGAAGCAGACAACGTTCAGTAGGAAGAGGCGCATACCTACGTCTGCTATCAAAAACAGTAACCATCAGTCCTGAAGAGCATTAGTCACAGGAAAGCTAGCAGTAGTAATAAATACCAATGAAATTATCCCAAGAGTTTGTCAAGCAATGCATATCAAACTCGTCAAGCCAAAATGAAGTCATATACACCTACCTACCCTCACACATTGCGCACGGACGCCTCAATACTCGTCGCATCGCGCCTGTCACTTCTAGGGCAAATGTCCCAATTACGTCACATTCATATAGGCTGTACCCCACCATATATCCAAGCAAACCGATGCTCTTTCTTTCCTCACTCCACACCCACACTCGCGACACATGGCGGATTCTGAGCTTCAGTCAAAGAACAAGATGGCGAGCAGCGATACTGACGAGATGTAAGTCGCCCAGAAATATCTCTTCATTCAGCTATAGCCGTAGTTCTATGTTCTCACTTTGTGCTCTAGCTAACAAGCTCACAGCACCGCCGCAAATCAGCGCAACTCGCCCTTTCTTCGCCTTCCCGCCGAGATCCGCAGGACGATCTACACTTACATCTGCAGCTCTATGATCATCAATCGCATGGTTTAACACGTGTGTCCGCCATTCTTGACTTTATGGCTACGCCACGGTGGCCCAATCAGGTTCGGTATGACCTGAGTGAGATGCTTGATGCGTCTCATGTCTTGCACAGATAGTATCTTGGTCCATATTCCTGCGACGGGATATACCCATCTTTCACGAAATCTGAGCATGTTACTCGGGCGACCAGTCGATGGACCATGTCCCTCTATGTATCTCATTGGATTCTTTCCAACGATGAAGTACATTCTCGAATGGAAGAGAGATCAGTTCGAAAGCAATGTTTTGGAAGTCTGATAGATTTCAAATAGTGTAGGATCACACTACATATACTGGCAATTGCAATCAAGTATGCAGATGTATGGGCGTGCACAATCTCAAGGAAGCACGGATTTAGGCCAAACCCCTCTGCAAGTAATAGGTCTAACCAAAGTCTTTTGATCAAACCGCAAGGTGTAGGTACGAAATACCACGCAACCCCTACAAGCCAAACTGACTCTCAACCTCCTTCCTCTTCTGTTCCCTCTCCATCTCCTGCCTAATCTTCTCCACCTCCTCCGTCATGCCCTTCTCGCCCTTCTTGCGCTGCCTCTCTTCGTACAGGGCCCTACCCTTCATAATGCGGGCAACAATCTCAGCGGCATTGACGTTTTGGAACTCGTGGTTTGCAATCTCGCGGTAAATGTTTAGGGCCTTGGGCACGGCGTAGGGGTCGAAGGCGAGGGGCATGAAGGTGGTTTTTCCGTGGTAGATAGTGAGGGGTTCGGAGTAGGGGAGCGTGTGGAGGAAGGCTTTGCTGAGGGAGAAGGGGGCGCCGAAGATGACGGCGTGGACGTACTGGGTGGGGTGTTAGTTGTGAGAGAAGGGGGGCATGGGGGTGTTTGTATTACCTTGCATTGTAGGACGCAGAGGCCGCGCTCGAAAATGTTCATGATGGGGTAGTTTATACCTTTCCAGTGGTTGATGACTTCATCGTCGTGGATACCGGCGATGAGGAAGACGGGGCCGTAGTCCTCGCCTGCTTTCTCTATGCGCTCTTTTTGCGCTTCCTCGGTGTACCATCCATTATCCTTTGCATTCTCTTCTTCGACCTGGGTGACGTGGCGCAGGAATTCGATGTGGCCAGAGGAGAATAGGTCCCAGCCTCCGTCTACGTATGCGACTCGCTGGCCTGGCTTGACGCCCTTGCCCTTGACCAGTTCGTGGAACTTGCCCTTTTCTTCTTTTACAGGTCCGAGCTGTGAGGCCGTCGAGTCGATGCGCGTGGTGCCAGGGCGGGGCGTAGTCGGGGATGTCACCGTGTTGCTGGTAGTCGTCCTCCGCAGCTTGACGGGCTTGGAGGCGTGCCAATACCACACATGGCAACCAGGGGCCTTGCCCGAGGCGTCGGTGGCGTAGTCCTTGATGCGCTGGAGCATTTCCTCGCCAGACTTTGTGCGCTCGGCTTCGTCGCCCGGGCCATCGTCGCCCGACAGCCTCTTCTCCAGCGAGGGGATAAAGTGCGACTTTGTGCATAGTAGCATGCGACCGACGAGATCGGTTGTGGAGATACCGGGCGTGCGCTTCACCACCTTGAACCTGCCGGCGGCCTTGACATAGCGGTAGCAGTCCTTGCCGTCGCTGTCGGAGGTGATGTCATCGCCGTGGACGACGTACTGGCAGCCGTAGTGGGTGATCCAGGGCAACGAGGTTACATAGGGAGCTCGCGGAACGGCTTTGGTGGCCCATCGGCAGGCTTCGACGGCGGCAACACTACAATTGTCAGCCACTGGGCGTTGTGAATCCGTTCCGAGGTGGTGCACACCGCTCGTCCAGGCGCATCACCGTGGGCCCCTTGTTCTCCATGATGGACTCATCCGAGTGGACGCCGACGTAGAGCTCGTCGCCCAACTGGCGGGCTTGCAGCATGGCTCCGGCATGGCCTGTAGTAGAGAGTGAGTGACATGTGGTTGGTCATTCGGGGTCGTGTCGGCATACCGTGATGCGCAAAGTCGAAACAGCCATCGACCCAAATGCGCTGCGGCGAAACTTCAACATCCTGCTGCGGGTCGACGGGCCAGGAGCCTTCCGAAGGAATCCACTCTCCCTGTTTCGTCAGTTGTTTGCCTGTGCGCGTGGTAGGAGAAGTGTCATACTCGGGCGCTCTGTCTGCGCTGCATTATGACGTGGGTATCGTGCGGCACGACAACAACCAGAGTGATTCAGGACGGTGATGGTGTACGAGAAGTTGTTTCCAGGCTTCTTCCAATTTGACTAGAGCTCAGCGCTCAAGTCGCACCTGCCACATGTGCTTCGTGCCTAACGCAACGTGTCGGCACGTGTGCACGTGGCTAGCGAATGGGATGCGCGTGGGGCACTGAAAGCCGCACCTCCAAGTTGGTCGTGGTCGCGCAGTGAAGCTATGGCTGCAACTGGGGCGGCGAGCCCGGCGGTTCCTGCGTCGGGATAGGGTGTGCGTGTATCAGGCCTGGCCGCGAATCAGAAACACGTCTGTGGTGTGGGCGCCAGCTTTTGGCACTGGCCGGGTGCTACTACGCGCGCTGCGAATGTCTTATATACCGGCCATGTCCCCAGCTGTGCGCGCAAACAAAACCGCCTGCCGCCTCGATATCTCGTGCAGACCCAATTGAGCATCTACATATCCAAACTTCTGGCGGCGATGCGCACAAAGGCCCGTGAGCCGAGACAGCCGCTGATCGCTCGGTAGCCCCCCACTTTTTGCCAGCCCGGCCAGCACATGGGCTACGGAAGCCGTCAGGCATGGCCGACCACACCCAGGTCTCGACGCAGTCGCAAGGCCTCTTTTCACGACGCCCCTCGTTCTTCGGCGGCGGTAAGAGCAAGACACACCGCCAGACGCCCTCGATTGTCCTCCAGCGCACCGCCACAAACCGTCCCCCCACCCTGACCCTGCCGCCTACACCCCAATTCAACCCCATCCAATACGACGCGCCTGCGCCTGCCGAATTGCCCGCCGCCGACGTGCCCGCCAAAACACCCGCTACGCCACACACACACCAACACCACCATCACCGTGACCGCATACACGCGAGTCGCCATAGCATTGCCTCATCCGTCACCGATCTCGGCTCGCAGCTGCGGAGGTCGCGTTCCGCCTCGCTTCGCACAAACACATCGGATAGCACCGCCAAGACATCGTCCTCTCACAAGAGGACCCCCTCGGCCACACTGGCGCTGACATACTCGCCCGAAAAGGCGCCCGTGCCTCATGGCGCCTCGTCGCATCCCTCACGCCCAGCCCTCTCCATCTCCACCTTTGCCCGCAACAAGCAAAAGAGCAGCGAGAACGTCAAGTCCGACACCGCCCACGTCTACGAGAAGAGTCCCCTCAGCGCCGTCGACAAGCCCAAGACTCCCTTTGGAATGGCCGTCCCAATGCCGCTCCGGCACCCTCCCTCGCAAAAGGAAATCCTCCAAGCAAACCAGCAGTCCAACCGCACCCTCGCCCCCGCCGCTCCCATACCTGTCCCCAATGGCTCCAGCCCAAACATCATCTTCCAGCACATCCACGAGCTCGCGTCCAAGCGGATATCGACACTGGATTACCTGAGAAAAGCGTACGTCTCCCTACTCCTACCCACCCCCTCCTCACACCACTTACACTCTCTTTCCAGTCACGAAGGCCGCATATACTGGTTTAACACGCTCCTCTTCTCCAAACAAGACCTCACGCGCCTCCCCTCCTTCACCACGCGCAACCAAGCCCGCCGCGCAACCCACTACCTCCTCCTCGGCTTCTCCCTCCCCACCATCCTCGACCTAAACGCAAACTCGCCCTCGGACTATCTCAAAGCCCTAAACGCCCTCTTGCTAGAATTCGAACAATACCAGTCCATCCACCCGGCCGATGGCTCAACCCCGTCTTCACTATCTCGCGCCCGCCTCCCCCAAATGTTCAAGCGCGCAAACATGGGCATGGGTATGGGCATGGGCAGTAAAGGCCGCAGGTCCAGTTCCGCAACCGGCGACTTTCCTCCTCTGACTCAAACGAATAGTTTCACGGGCAGTGAGACTGGCGGTGTGGATTCTCCCCCTACAGACGACTTATTGCCCAATGAGAGTTATACACATCTTCAAACCCCGTCGTTACCTTTCGACCCCGATTTCTTCAGCACGTTTGCGACTCTCTGCGACGTGTTGATTGATTGCTACACTAGGATCCTTTCTATGCTGAGTTCGCCCGAGAGTGTGGCGAGTGCCGGTGGTGGTGTACCCAGTGTCGTCGGCGATTTGTTTAACAAGGCGGATGCGAGGGTGAGGAAGATTATCCTCGCTGGTGTCGTCAGGGAGTTCGAGGATAGTTGTCGGGCGGGGCTTAAGAGTGAGGTTGGTGGTGTGGGGAAAGTGGTGTTGGGCGGCTTGATGTGATGATATACTTTGGATGGGCGTTGAAATGTATCGGGATGATGGATGATTGTTATGATCTGCATCCAATGGTTTTGGTGTTGTTATTATTGTATTTTTCTAATGATATCCAGCGAATATGTAGATATACATGTATGTACATAGGCGGTAATTCTGCTTTGGGAACAACATAGCATTGGCGTTTTGGGAACAGGGAAAGCATGACTTGGCTGGACAAGAAGAACATGTCTGTCCGGCTAGCGAAGTGTTGATCGTTGATCATTAGATAGAAAAAAGAGAGAAGCAGCACTCTTTATCTATCAACCAGCCATCCCATTCTATCTAGATAAACCTTTTTCTTTTCCTAGGAAACACTGGTCGTCATCTCATGATACCAACCGCCCAGCTCCTTCCCACGCCACACCCACTCTTACACGACACACACTCACGCAGTAGCAGCCGCCTCATTCTTCTCCACCAAATCAACCACGCCCTTCCCCCTCCCCACCTTGACCTTCTGCTTCTTCGCGCCCTCACTACCCACCGCCTCGCCCTCATCCACGCCCTCGGAAGCCCCGAAAATCTCCTCCTCTTCCTCCTTCAACTGATCCTTCAAGTCGGCTAGCTCGATGCGCATAGAGTATGCGTCTTCGCCGTCGGCATAGTACTTTGCTTCTACCTTGTCGACGGTGAAGCCGAGCGTGTTGCGGTAGAGGTGGAGGGCTGCTTGGTTGGAGACACGGACGTGGAGGGAGACGTAGTGTGCGTTGAATGTTTCTGCCATTGCGCGTTCTGTTAATTTGTTAATGAGATTTGAGTATGTATTGTCGAGAGGAGCGTGGCTTACGTGACTGTCTCATGAGCTTCTCGGCTAGTCCGAGACGGCGGTGCGTGCGCATTACCGAGAGCGAGGTGATGTGGCCGTGTTGAACGCCGTCGGTGGGCTCTTCTTCCATTTTGGCGAGTACGTAGCCTACGATTTTGGGCGGGTCGTAGGGTGTTTTCGGGGGGCGAGAGACCTGTGGGGTGTTTTTAGCAAGGTTCTTGAAGAAAGATATCTTTGATAGAGGCATTGTTACAGAGATTGTGTGTGTATATCCCTTCTCTTTCTCTTCATCTCATTCTTCATACAGCACAACAATTGCATCTCTTCAATTCCCACCATTTGTATCCCAATCCCACTCTTTTTTCCTGCCCCGCAAAAAGAAAGAACTTACATCAATAGCCACATAGCTCAACTGCGGCCAACTCATCGCATGATACAGATAGTACTTGCAAAAGTAGTTCTCAGGCAAATTCGTAATATTCGCAAGCTGCACATGCGGAATATCTTCCGGGCGAAGAACACGGATATCCATCTTTGCCTTCTTCTCTTTCTTTACCTTTATTTTTTACTTCTTTCACTGATCCCTAGCTCCTTCAATTGCTCAATCGCCGCTAATGCTTCCGTTTAGACACACACTCAGGCGGGGGAAGTTGATGATGAACACCCGGGCAAAGTGAACTGACAGCTGGACTGGATCGGATACAGCTGTTAACTGTAAAGGAAGCGCTAGTGCGAATGCGGATGTGGTCGTTGTTTGTTGGCGCTGGCTGCTCGAAAGTTTACTTGTTGGGTGAGGATGAGGAATTGGGGCAAGTGCGTTATGTAAGCAGTGTGGAAGCGGGGGTAGTCAATCGCTAGCGTGCTTTTGGTTATCTCCGATGTCCGTGCCATAAACTACTACTACCACTTCATCCAGGGACGAAGTCATCTAACATACATGTGATACCGATCAAAGTTATGGGTAGAATATATGAGCAGGGCGTTATTCCTATTTGCATTGAGCACCATGATATCCCCCTCTGGCCATCATAAACCCCCTCTGCGAGGGGCCTTGTCGCATTCGCAATACTGCTACTTTTTGCAATCATCTGCCATATCTGCTTTCAGCGAAGCTACTGGTCTTGATGTCGTAGTTGTAGCCTACACATAAAGACGGAAACTTTGAAGAAGCGCCTGATCCCCTATAGATTCTCCTCTTAATCCTCATCCACCCACAGGATCTCAAGGTTCTCCCTGCCAAAGTACCAGCGAAACTTCACCTCTGCCTCCTCAATCGTCCACTTTGTGCCCCTCTCAAGAAATAGACGCTTCAGCGACATCCAGCCCATGTTGTTTGATACTCTGCCAGCTTCCACCTTCATGCGTCTCATATACTCTAGCCTGATCAGGTGTCCACGCGGAATTCTGAAGTTCTCAATACGTCCACGTATAAACATGTTCTCATGCCTTGCAGTTAGGTCGAAGACGTTCATACGATACCTCTGGATGACACAGCAGGGAAAGACCAAGGGGGCAGCATCTTGGAGAATTTGACGGCACGTGTATAGGAGAGCGCGTACGCCATGGGGACTGTGACTTTTGGGAACAGGCATGGATTGAGTTCCGATGACAAGTTTTCCGTCGGTCAGAGCGTACTTGAATATTTCCTCTCGCAGCTCCGCTGGAAGTCGTAGGAGCGGCGAATTGACTTGGTTCTCTCGCATTCTGGAGGTCGTTAGTATTGCTATCAGTCTTGTAAGGTATTTGCTGAGCTACTCACATGCGGTCTGTTTCGCGCATCTTGTTGCTAACGGCGGTTGCAGCCTGGGTGCACTCCATCGCTTTGTCGAAGAGTGCAGCGAGAGAGAGAATGTGTGTGTGTGACGGTGATGAAAGAGAGAGCGAACGTGGTGGGTAAGAGTTTGGCTAGCAAGTAAACACCACTAGCGTGCATTCGAGGCCAGTACAAACAGACGAGGGCTTAGCGCCACTTGCAAGCGCGATATTTTAATGGTATGACGTAGAAATTATGGGACCATGTTTGTGTTTGATTTCAGCTCCTCATGGTCTAACGCGAAGGCCAGAGTGAACTATCTACTCCTCACAAACCCATCAAGTAATGAAAACCCCTTTTTATAGACCAGGCTGCATTTCTTTCCACCGGAGGATTGGATCTGTATGAAATCCATCACATCATTAACCGTGCAAGTTGCAGTATTTTTCCCTATCCCGCTCAGATATTTTCGAAAGTAATGACAGAGTCCTTGCAACCACAGTTCCGCTACAACATCTCAACCACATCCCTAGGGAGATGTTCAGTTATTGATTTCCGAACATGCAATTCCCTAAGATTCGGAAGGTTGATCATGTACGAGCGATCGTGGTGCTCCTTTTTTAGTCAGTATTTGTCGTACTCGTGCGATCCATGTGGTCGGCGAGAGCCTGAGACCAGATAATGCATGATACTAAAGGTGACAGAGATTGACGTAATCATGTTGCGCGTATCCTGGCCGGGCGCCACGCGAGGGTCGAGTAGACTGATTATGTCGAAGTAGAAGAAAGTTACACGAGAGAACTCGAGTGGTGGTGCCTCGTGTTGGATTTGGCGGCAACTGAGAATGAGCGGTGCATGGTGTTTATATCTCACATCGATGATAGTGCCCTCCAGTGCATATTCGTATATCATAGTGGGCAGCTCCGCTGGGAGACAGAGAAGCGGCGAGTTTTTCATGTTGACTTCAGTGCTAGATAGTTGTCAACATTAATCTAATCACGATCTGACATGCTACGAACATGAGATGATAGCGACTGTTACCCGTGGGCAAGACCCGCTGCAAGTCGGTCTTCTCGGCCATGATGCAAGTATCTTAGGGCTGCAGAGGCTCGGCTGGTTGTCCGGAAGGTTATGTGTTCTAATAGCGAGTTGAGAGTAGGTAGTGACAGCGGAAAAGTCGAGTTACGAAGTGGTGGGGTGAAGTGATTCATATAAGAGTAAGTGAGAGCTCCGGTAATACAAAGCCTTGGGACCCTGGTTTCTTGGCATCACGTCGCTCCAAAGGGCTCAGATCGGGATTCGACGCTTCAACTGCTTGGAAATGCTCACCGCTACAGTGGAAATTGTTTTTGAACACTGTCAACTAGTTCGCATACTATAAGTTAGACTCCAACGATGCGGGCCATCACTCGTAAATCCGCCACCTAGACTGCAGATACCACTGCTGATATATAACAAGTGTTGCTAGATTGTTAAAAAAAATATGACCTCCCCTTGAGATGCAAGAACAAAAGTACGCCTTTCTTATGCTCCTTTGCGCCGTGCAATGTTGAACACACTCTTTTCATCATCAGCGACCTAGGATATGATCAACAGCTGGCTTAACAGTAGACATGTAACCCTCTGTAAGCGGTACATAGAGGGCCTTCTTAACACCGAGATCAGATGCAATGTAGTAAAGCAAACGATTGATCCACTCCCGTATGCCCATGACGTCGAGCTGTCTTGGTTCGGCGATTCCCATTTCAAATAAAGGAAGATTGAATGGATGATCCCAAGGATGTGCAGGGTTGGAGTCAAAGATGTGGCCTTTCTTTGCAGTATGGTCGTATACGGGTGTGCTGTTCGATGGACTGCTACCCGCGCTGGAGGTTTGATCACCTTCAGACTTCGGAATGATGCTGGCGAGCTCCGTGAACTGTGGTGCTGTAGCATATGAGTCGTGGTTTGCTGCTTGTGTACCCGAACTACGCCCGTCGGAACTCCCTGGGGACATTTGATGTAGTGTCTGGGGGGAGTGGGAGTAAGCTGGCGAGGATGTTGAAGTATAGCTGCTCGCTGGCGGACTGCTGGCTGCGTTACTATCAGGTACCAGACCAGAGCTGAGCACAGAATCCATGACACCTAGCGGCCACAGGGATATATAGCCTCGCATACCGCAGAGATCGTCAAAGGACTTGAGGTGAATTGGAACGGTGAAGCTGCCAATCATGGCAGAACAATTCTTCTCGATGACATCAACCAAATGGGTTGTAGTAACAGAGTGAAGTAAACATAGATTTCTGTCACTCAGCCCCGCCGATATGGACTGCCCTTGAGCTGTAGGTGGAGGGCCCATTGGAACAAACGGTACACTTGGCTCTGGGAATCTCAACATCCAATTGAGTATCTCAAGCGTATCGCGGAGAAGAAAAATCCGGCTTGTGCGATAGAAACCCCAGATCCAACATCTCTTCATGGTGGGATATGAGTGAACTTCCGGTGGCGCGCCTCGGCAACCTAGAAATAGCTCCTGCCATTTCTTGCTGTAGGTACGCCGAACCTCGGGTGTGTTGGGCAACATTTCGTATCTCCACGCTGGTGTGATGGAAGATTCCCATCCCTGGAATGCAATATCTAGCTGAAGGGCATTCTGCATGAGTTCATACAATGCTAGACGGCTAGTAGGCGGATTGGGGCTTTGTTTGACTTCGTGCCATTTAGCATGTACCATTGCCTCTTTCCAAATAAGGCTCATGACGAAGACATTGGAGTTGTTGTAGAGACTTGGGAGGTATGAGTCCACTTTTGCAACGTCTCTTTTAGGTATTGGTGGCCGCTTTGCAGATTGCAGGTTTCCTAGCAACTATTGGGAAAAGGTCAATCCAGAGTGTACAAGATGCGTAAATGGAATGTAATTACCATCTGTCCATATGCTACTTCGTAAATTTTGGCTGATATGGGGTGGGACTGATACTGCTCGACCGATCGAAGCTGGAGTAGGGCATTTGCACCATTCTGATGAGCGATGAAAGTGCCTTTCCGTTGCACGTTAGTGAAGTTCTAGTGGTCAAGTCAGGAGGATGCAACTTTGAGTATGGGTTTGATATACCTCGTAGACTCCCATTAGATATACAGAGCACAGTGTCTCGTCTGAGGCTGCCTGCTTTTTGTCCGCAATCAACTTTGTCAACATGGGAATAGCCTTGCCAAGACACTCTTCAGCCAATATGGCTGCATGGGAGTCATGACACCTGTTTGCATAATTGACATATGAAACAGCATCGACTGTTGTGGCTATCAAAGAGTCCTGGGGCGCGTTCTCATAAAGCAATGGCATAAACATCCACAAGGCATCGGTGGGCTGATTCGGGTCCCTGTCCGGGGAATCCGGTAGGACAAAATCGTACACAAATCTTTCAAAAGCTTTGCGGCGGAAGTCTGGATTCAATGCGGGAGTGATGGTCATCTTGCTCAAATCAATGATTGATGTGATTGAGGTTGCTGCCTCTTGAGCCTGGTCGTCAGTGGATCCACTGGGCGAGTGTGCACTGCCACTGGACGAGCGTTGGTCATCTGTCAGAGCAGGAGGAGTAGATCCGTTGCTTGGTGGTGTCTTGGCAACGATGGTGGTTTTCTCGCTGGCGGGTGCACGCTGGTGCGACTTTGATCTCTTCCGCCATGATTCCTCTGCTCTTTGAGCAGCAGAAGCTGTCTGGTTCCGGAATAGAATGTCGGCTTGATCGCGATATTTGCATTCGTGGCCTGCCTTGCTGCATCGCGTACATGATGGTTTAGCCTCGTCGCACTACAATGACATCAGCATGGCCGCCATAGCTGTGACTGAGAACCATGAGGATTGGTGTTGTTGAAATCCAAGTCATGATAGGGTCAATGGATTGAATTACTGACCTTGACTTTACGGGCTCGACAAGCCTCACAACCCTTACTGGGCCTTCCGCGATAGGACATTGGTGGACAAAGGGTCGAAGATACAGCGCTTGTTCATGCGCTGCAGAAGCTCAGGGTCGCTGCGAGGCATCGACTAGCGCAGGCAGGCGCGCTGATTAAATCGTAGCGGACCAAGAAAATACAAACTTCCAAGCTAAACCTCCGCTTTTGGTTGCTGTCGTGCGCGCCCGCGGCGTAGCGCAATCTCACGTGGGCAATCAGGCTGAAACGTGGGTCCGCTTTGACAATCTTGGATTGAAGCGTCCGATTACTGGCGGATGGTAGTCCATATACGCTCTTTGGCGGAGATCGAGGTAGCATGGGGAGGCCCGGTGCTCGGGATTCAACGGTCCTGCATAGAGATGGGTTGCCTCGAAGCGCTAGCCCTGATGGTTGGCCTTGGCACACAACGGCATCTGTTTTCCGATGATACCAAACTGCAACACCACACAAATGTTTCAAGCTACAAATAAGTTTCGAAGCGCCCGGCGTCCGTGAGCGCCGATCTACTCTGTGCTTCCTCGTCAGCCCGTTTCCAGGGCCTTCTAGTAACCTACTGTACCTCGGCACTCCCTTGCCGCCTGACTGCTCCTCGCCGAACCTTCTCCGCAATTACGGGCACAACCGATCGTAAAAGCTGCAAAAGCTTCTGGTGGATGAGATAACGTGCGTTAGTCACACTCGCCCTGACATAAATGGCGTCTTGAAACCGTGACCGTCATCATTCAGGTATCCGCACAATCAGTCAATCGGCCCTTCTGCGCTCAACGGGTAGCTAGCTTCATTGATACGATGAGGGTCGAGGCCTGAGGTTGACGCAAACTCTGAACTGTGGGGTACATGGCCCTCTAAATAGATAAGTAGCACGATGACGTTTCTAGGCAATCCGCCACATCGGCTTCCGCGATTCTACCGGATCAAAGGGAAGTATGAGGGGCATCAACCATAATTAGTCAATTCGGTTTCACGCTACCCCAAGTTTCGGCTTTCGTCAGTGTTGACACTTGACAGGTTTCCGCTCGCTAGGCCCTGTAGCAGATGACATCCGTTAGGCCTCACCATTAGCGTTTCGCTAGCTCTTGGCTTCCTCCATCTCCGCTACCCAAACAATCGCATCACCCTTCCAATCAGGTTTGAACGTTACATCGTTGAACGGTTTTCGCCGATGAGCTACATCGAAAGCAACCTTTTATAAACTTTACCATCTAGCTTGCCGAGCGCACTGTTCAGTAGCTAGTCCGGCATTGACCATGCATCCCAAGCTATACGGTACACGGTATTGGCCTTAGTTCCGCCATCAGGTCTAGTATGATATCTTGTAGACATATTGCGTCTCGGGCAATACGACGGCCATTATGGGGAGCCAGCATGCGTGTTGGTCCAGCACATATACCGCGTAAGGCTGGAAGAATGCTATACACAACAGGAAGAGTTGGAGGTGAAGCTGATTGATCGTTGAGGTTTGCGGTGAATTGCTGTGTAATCATCTAATTGTCCCTCTCGGCCGATTGGAGAGGTAGTCGATGTTCAACTCGACGAGCCTAATCTCATCACCAAACCTATCCACGTATGGCACGCCTACAGGTTTCGATGCTGTCAGCAATAAGCATTGTACACACAATCTAGTCCACGGACAAGGCCACCTTCGTTGATAAACTCTTGTCATCTGTGATAAAACAGACAAATGTAGTCGCATGTGCAGTGCAACGCGAAGGTAGTAGCAAACGGTGTAATACCTAGGCGAGAAGTTTCATCTCGCCTGCTGAAATATTGGTGGCGTTACAAATTGCCGCCGTATTGCGCAATATTACACTGCGCAATGACTACTCGCCCAGGCACTAATCTCACCTGCATCATGATTTCCCCGCAAACAAACGTCAAACTTCCGTATACGACGGTTGATACCCAGTCTTCCGAAGAGTGCCGGTCTCGTCAGACACCTCGGCGTATATGATACGTGCCGTTTGAACATAGCCGATCGGACCGCGCTAGAGTGGTCGCAAAGCATGTAGGTGTCGTTTTGTTTCGAGCAAGACTTCAGTGATTGGGACATTGAGTTGCACACTGATGGGATGAACCTAGAGCATGTAGGTGAATTGCATACCCCGCCGGGCCGATGTTATCCAGTGCAATGCCGGGCAGTGGTTCATGCATCTTCTCATCCCGGATCTGCAGCATGAATGTTTGCGGGCCGTAGGTGGTATACGTAGACAATCACATGGAATATGCGGGCCGAAACTTCTCCATGATCGACCTGTGTGGTCGGCTTCGCTAAAAGTAACTGTATCACTAAAATATGCAGAGAGACGGTTTCAGATTTCAGGGCCGGTATGAGGACGCGTGTGGTATGAGATGCCGTCGTCGGGCTACGGATTCCAAACTCCTTCTGAGTCGAATCCCGATTCGCAGTGAGTACAGAACCCTACGTTAGTTCCATAGCCCAATTCGGTTCTGTGCATATGTTCCAATACTTTTTGCTGTTTTTCAAACCCTATGTGGCGCTTGTCGGCTCTCTGCGTACCTAAGTACCCTGGTAGCACAGATATGCACGACATGCCCTTCTGTGACCACTTGAGGACGGGCTCACCTTTCCCTATGCAGACAAGATTGGCCCATCCTATCGTCCAGGAGCTCGGCAGTGATCTCAGCTCTCGTCTAACTAGCCTTTGAATAGCTTTTGCTTTCGCTAAGCCCAGATAATACCGCTGTGGATGCGATGGGTTCAGCTGCTGATCTTTTTCAAACTTTTTTTCTTGACCGGGACTCGGAACACCTTCTCCTGGCCCTCGTGAAAGCCGTCTCGGGCTGAGCTCTCATCGGTGAAGTCTACCATGCTGTAATTGGGCGCTTCTCCGCCGTACTAAATGCCCAATGCGCCTGCAGGCTACAGCAAGGTGGTGGATATGTATCTCTTGGGGGAAAGGTGCTCGTCTTCTGTACCTAGGTAGACAGACTCGGACACGTGTATCGTGACCGACACAGCTGAAGATCACCGCCGATAGTGCGGAGATGCAAATCATTTTCTTACCTAGGTACTCACGCAGTACACGATGAATGCAGGTCCAGCGGGGGTGTTGATGCGCGTAATGGTGCGGGGCGTTGCCGGCAAGGCAAGTGGAGCCGCGCTGCGGGGGCATCTCGGTGGATATTATCATGACCTGATTATCATGACTAGTGACCGATCGTTGCGAGCTTCATGATTCAGTGTGTGAGGTTGGGCGCTAATGATCAGTGGACGTGTAAAGCAAAGGACGTCGACCATGGAAGATGAAGGATCTACCAGGTGCCGCAACATGGCAAAGCAAGAACGATCAAATAAGATAACTATGAGAATGCGTCTGCCCAAGACACATGCGCTTTTAAATGCCAGATACCGCCCAATGCAATGTAATGCACACAAGGAGACCCCAGCCGGAAAAGGAATGCAAGCTATTCGTACAGGATATCAAATGTCCAACCCAAGTCATAAACCGTGAAAAACACCAACGCTCATGCCCAATGCTCAATGCCAAATACTACTTGGAGACAACATACCAGAATTCGTCATCAGTAGCGTGGTGTACCGGCGCACCAAGTCTTGACCCAAGACCAGATATCAACATGCCGGTAGATGACAGTCATTTCTGTTCACTCGATTACCGCCTCGGCCCAACTGCTCAACCCGCCCTCTTCGTCCAACACACGCGTCATGTCTTCCTCGGCGAGCCGTACCAGAATTTCAAAGGGCGCTTCCGTTCCGTTCGTAGGTTGTCTGCGTCGCGGGAGGAAGATCATGCCGCCGTCACCCGGACCATACGATCGTCTAATAAACTCCGCTCGTCCAGCGAGGGAGTGCTTGCCCAAGTCGGTCCCCGGTATACCCCAGCTGAGGTCCGCACCAAAGTTGATCCAGGAAGAAATGTACATGTCGGATCCAAACGTTATGCCTAGTGCAATTTCTGTGTCGGTAATATAATCGATCGACTTGAAGTAGCTAAGGTGACGTGACACCCAGTCGTCGTCAACGCCGGAAATAGTGCTTTTGATCTCGTTGATGACACGGACAATCGTGGATGTCGTTACGCTAGGGGCATGTCAGCTGACTTGCTCAACTTCAATGACACCGCTCAATATCTGGTGTACAAGATCGAAATCATCCTGCAGTGCGACATTGAATGAAAGGTGGCAAGGAGCAACGTACCGGTCCTCTGCTATGAGATCTGAGATGTTCAATGTGCCGCGCGAGAATAACGCCATGTTACCCATGTAATCCGCGGGAACGGGAGGGTTTTGCCGCCTTCGCAGATCGGTTGCAATACCCAGGTTAGTCTCCGTCAGCCCGTACTTGAGCAATCGCGCTGCTCTGGCACGAGTAACGTGCGTCCAGACAAGGGCAGCAAGCACGTTGCAAATGGTCGGCGCGTTGTCTTTGGGGAAATATGACCGCAGAAGTTCTCTGTACTCGCGCACCTGAGCCGCCGGAACAACGATGAGTCTCTGCGTACATTTCGTACTTGAGGGCAATGTTTTGAGGTAATCTGGTGGCCCGTCGCAATAACAGTCGGCGCTGACAACACTGCGAAGCTGAGGAATTTCGTCGTCAACGGCTTGTCGCAACAAAGACTGCCTATCGGCTGTACTTGACGTATCTGCTACGATTAGTCCTGTTTGGCAATGTAAGGGAGGAAAATTACCGGTGGCTCTTTGCGGTTCGGAGCGCTGTCCGGAGATACTGGACACGTTTGCAGAGAATGCTTGCCAGAAAAGCGTGACGCCGGAGAAGTCGAAGACAGAATGATGCATGTACATTGAGAGCACAAGTCCGCCAGGTATGAAGAAAGCTTGACTTCGCATTGCTGGTGCATCGCTTTTGTTGAAGTCTATTTTGCCCTCACCATCCGCCGGGACGCCCGGATAGTTGGCAAGATCTTCAGGAACAAACATAGCACTCTTGAACGCGCTCGGCGGCATGCCATCTCTTCTGAGCTGTTCATACGTGTGCGGAAAATCGGTATCGTGGTAGTGAATTTGTTTGGAACGGAAGATGGAGTTCAGGTCCTTGTCTGACACCTCGCTTGGATATTCCAGAGCAAGCTTCCCAGCTTCACGATCCGCCAAAGTTAGAGTACCAGCGAGAAATGGGAATTTCTTTAGAGTCAGGCGAAGTCCAGCGCCCAGAGCCTGTATAGCAGCCTCGGCATTGTTTTGATCGGGAAACTGTCACCACAGTCAGCCTACTGTGCTGGCTGCACCTACTCCAAGGTGACTTACAGGGAAAATGCATAGAGTTTGTATGTACACGCGCACTACATTTTGATCCAGGCAAGATAAGTGGAATGATTTGGTCTGTACGGGCGGGGAGTGTTGTCTGGTGAGCATGTCGACAATGCGGGAAGTGGTGCTAGCGACGGTGTCGAGAAGCCGGGGCTCCATGAATCCTAGTGGGAGGTCTAGAGACATGGTCGCGGCCTCTCTCAAAGTTAATTAAATAAGAGAGTGATGCGAGGAGTCACACATGTACAGAGTTGGGTGAGCAAACAACCAGCATGTGAAGCACAAGAGGCCATTTTACCCCTTCACCGCAAGGTCCCAGCGAGCAGCGTCTGTGTGACGGGCGGGCGGCATTGGCCCACTCTCCACGGCCCGAGAGGACTAAGAGGACGATGACCGCATGCGGAAACATCTGTGCGCTTACGCCATGCCTCATTCCCGGTTACCCGTCTGTCTGCTTATTCAAGATTCGCATCCACCCCTTGATGTACGCCAAACGTGTCTCGTTCCGCCTTCCCCGTCCGCTTCGCTGGGCCTCGTGTGGTCGCGGATGTGGACAAGGTACAGCCGGTGTGCGAACGTTCAGAAAAGGGTTTCCGCCGACGTGGAACGGTAATTTGCTTTCCTTTTTGCAAACTTGCACTATTCGACATGGAGGTCAGGCGACAATATACAGCTGAAAAAAAAAGATGATTCCCGCTCTCCTTTGACACCCACACCCCCCGGGAGACAGGGGCAGTGCACATGGAAGTTTTTCTGGTTTGGCTCGTCTGTCGCTTGTCATAGCCAGGCTGACACACGTCCTTCATCCTGCAGTCGCGGCAGAACCTTTGCGGCACAGCGTAACATTGGACCGATTCGTATCTAAAATTGCAGCCTTGGCCACTCTGCATCATGAATGGCCATGGGCAACTGGGTTGCCACGAGGCAAAGTTTGATCAGCGATGCAATGACAGATCAAGATTTGGTGACAGGTCGCCTTCTTTCGGTCGGTGAACAGCAAGCAAGGGAGTTTTGCAGCCCTAAGGACCAGGCGCCTGGTAGCTTCTACGCGCGCACCAGTCGCGACAGCTCGTACGACGTAATCCCGCTTTGCAGCATGTTGTAGGTGTCCTCGTGATGCTCCAAATAGCATCGTCGTATGGCGGTGTGAGCTATCACATTGCGAAGTACTCGGAGTGTAAGCATCGATGCGTCATATCATCGGTAAGGCCTCTACGGAGACACGTTGCGGGCGGTCCGTCGTTTAGTGGGTCGCGACCAGCGTTAATGCCAGCAAACGCTGTGAGCAGCGGTATAGTAGGATCACACAAAATCCTTGTCGGCAGCATCATGGAAGTTGGAAGCTGATGCAGCTGCAGGTGCAGCAATTGTGGCTGACTGAATTGGAATATGCGCGGTCCCACTCTTTGGGGCGGTATCAAAGTCCAATTAGCGAAGCGCCGCAATATTAAAGATATATAGAAAAGCAAAATAGTGAACCTATTGAGCAATCGGGCGGATTCCAGTCATCGGCAGTGGCGGCCGTATGTGTAACACCTTAAGCCCCTGCATGCGCAGGTGTTTCTTTGTAGCGACGGACAGGTTTGGTGACAGAAGCTCCAAACTTCCGAGTGCCCAAGGACACAGCGAACGACGTTATGCAAAAACCGGATGGACGGCCTGGTGGAGCATTCGATGCAATGATGCAACGTCCAATGGATCAGCTGACTGGGCAACTGGCTGAGACGGCGATAACTCAGAGTCACAACCAGACTTGCTCCCCCACAAAAACTTTGTGCGAGTTTTTTTTTCCTGACCGGAAAGTGCTCGCAGGGATGCCAGGGATGAATACGGGGTGATTGCTGAGTGACACGCAAGCGTCGATGATCCCCATGTCCGATTCAGAGTGACAGGAAATTGGTTTATCGTTAAATTTGGAATCGCTGGTCTGGAGCCTGGACGCGGCCGTAACGTCATCCTCCGGTGGTCGCATACTGGAGGCTCGGAGCGCAACCGCTATAATGAATTTTATATATACAAAACTGGTCATAGACCCAGTCGTTTTGGAAGTAGTTTCGCTGGGGCCTGGCGTTGGGCTCTCGGTCTCTTCGGTGCTTGATGTTGGCATGCAAAATGTGAACGCTGGCACATGCACCAACACTAGTCGAACAGCCAGTAATCGTGTGCGGTGCATGGAGATGGGTCGAACAACGTCATTGTGCTTAGAGAGCCAGGCCGCCGTTATCAAGGCCGTTATTGACGTCTGGGAGTGACCTTGTGGTCTTGCACTGGGTGGCTGTTAGCGCCGGAAGCGACTGACTGCGGGGGTTTTTGGCTCGGGCGGCTTCCCCGCGATCTTGCGGCGGCTGTCCACGGGTACGCACAATTACCATGACACCCCACTCGATTCGTTATTGCCGGACGCCTTGATCTGCTCCTGCGTACCCGCGGCACATGTGAGAGACGCGCGTAGCGGCACAGCCGCTTGCGTTGGACGTCGCCCCGTGATCATGTATGTAGTAGCAACATGGATGACAGATGCTGTACGGTCCCGAAGCATGCTGGCTACAGTGTGCTCCCGAACACTGTAGGGCCCGGTTTCCCTACATCTTACACAGGGGCCCGTGGCTGTACGTATGCTAATGTCGACCGCCTAGCCTCTCTTCGGTCGCCTTCTCCGATATGCCAGTCGAATTCCTGCGCGCATAGCCGTCGATGATGTCTGCGCCAACTTGCAAAGGACCCATCTAGACCTCCTTTCCGACGTGCTAGCTCTGCGACACACCGTCCTTGATACCCTCGATCGAGCGATATGCCATGCCCTGGAGAGGAAAGACGAGGTGTACATTGCGATCGTAGCAGCGGGTGGATACGAATACACCGTGGCCATTTTGGCGATACTGGCGCTTGGAGCCGCAGCCGTGCCTGTTGAAGGAGCGTCATACTTCATCGAAAAGTCTCAAGCAGCTCTCGTCCTCAGCAGCTCTGTAGATATGAGTAAATGTCTGGACTTGGAACGGCGCGTTGTGGCTACGAGCGGCAGGAGTTTTCGTGCTGTGCCAATCAGACACTCGATTCCAGCTTCAGCTCTCGTCATCTTCACTAGTGGGACCACCGGCCCACCAAAGGGTGCAGTGATGCAGAGGTCGTACACTTTCAACTGCGCGCTGGAAATAGCGGACTACTACCAACTGACGGGCGATGATGTCCTGCTCCATGTCCTTCCGGTACACCATGTAACGGGTGTCGGCATAAACTTCTTTCCGTTCCTCATATCTGGCAGCCGTATTGAGTTTCGCAGTGGAGGCTTTGACGAGATCTGGACGTGGGAGCAATGGAAGCAGGGTGGCCTGGATCCACGGCGGCGGCTAACCTTTTTCTTGGGCGTTCCAACCATCTATATGCGACTAAGACGCTATTATCAGCGTACTCTCAGTAAACTACCTGCTGGTGACTTGGCAGAGTACATTGCTAGCGCGAAACAATTCCGGGCATGCTTGTGCGGGACGTCAGCGCTACCTCGACCACTCGATGACTTTTGGTCGGATCTCATGGATAAAAGAATTTTCCAAAGGTATGGTGCAACGGAATTTGGTGCAATCTTCAGAGTACGTCTTGACGACCGCGACGCCCCCGAAGGCATGATGAGGATGGATACTTCAAAACCGATGACATTGCGCGAAAAGATAGGATTTACTACTTCATCGTTGGCCGAGCATCTCTGGATATCATCAAATCGGGAGGCTACAAAATTTCTGCTCTGGATATTGAGCGAGAACTGCTAGGGTTGTCGTACATCGCCGAGGCCATGGTTGTCGGCGTCGCGGACGAGGAGTATGGGCAACGGGTGGCGGCCCTGGTTTCGTTGCATGAAGAAGTTTCAGCCCCCGGATCTCGAGACAGAGGTGTGCGCTTGGTACATACCTTGTCCATTGAGAAGTTGCGGTCGGATTTACGTGAGAAATTGGCGGGATACAAGCTACCAACGCTTCTGCGCATTGCGCGTGGTGAACTTCCGAAAACTGCCACAGGAAAGGTGCAGAAGAGGATTCTTGGGCCTCGTTTCTTTCCGGTAAGTTATCGTACATGTTCAGAAGTACAAACATCGGAAGCAGCATCAAAGGAACGATTAGCAAAGCTGTAGTTACCTTCGATACAGCTGTTCCATAGTCAGGAGGCACGGCTGCGCTAGTACCCCGGCACACACGTAAGCGTCGACGCACTAAATATTGTGTCTGAGACGCCACAAATTGCGTCAATTGCGTTAACGAAAGTGTTGAACAAACAGTGCTGGAGCTCGAATGCTGGACGAGCGTGCTGATGGAGGTCATTGCCAAACTAGGCTAGTGCATGGTGACGTGTGGCTGGCTCCTTCCCATCATCATGATAATTGATGGCACACGTCTTGATCTCTTCACATGATCAACAAAACAATAGACGTTGCCTAGGAAACTTTCTATGGTAGCCGTTGTTCATCTAAGGCTAAGCTAACTAATTCTGAAACCGCGTCACTAATTCGGTTGCAGTGTCGTGTCGTGCTGGCCGCCTCTTGTCGATTTCTCGGATGTTTGTCGTTTCTACGTCCACTGCGTTTTTATATTCTCGGACCAAAATAGTTGTTAGCTACGTTTCTGGAACATAACAACAAGCTCTTATTCTATCGCTAGCGTAAATCTCTCTTCAACTCTGCCTTCCACGTCGTTATCTTCTATCGGTCATTGCGATGTCGCGTCCAACGGAATTACAATACACCTCAGTGCAATGAGGATACGATATGCTGGCGTATATAGGAAAGCTAATTCGATACCGCAGTGTGCCAACACATCAGCCACACGATACGCCTCTATTGTGACTGTTCTGTACGCAGCAAAACAGCGTCGATCACGTCGGTCACTTCAGCGGCCTACTACGTCAATACATACGCGTATTTTTTCTAAACTCTAAGCAAAGGCCGCTTTACACGCCCTACGGTCTGACGGCTATTTAACAAATAACCTTTTTCTCTTCATCGATATCTACCTAGGCATAGCTGAAGATCTCGAAGCCTTGAAATCTCGCAAGCAGATGCCACAGATTCCGAATCCTAGCGATATACTGTTATACCATGTCTGCCAACGATTTTCTTCGTGGCGTCCAGAGAGAGTTTGATAAGCATCTGAAAAGGTATAGAGAAAGCGGAAACTTTGCTTTTCCTTCCCTCGCGAACAAGATTCACCCCATGTTCGGAATCGATCGCTAGGCTACTGGTTCAGGACAGAATATAAACGATTTGTATGAGAATATGCGGCCTGCATTGCAGCTAACCTCACTATGGCTTACGGAAGACGCCCCGCTATTCTAGTTCGCTCATCTGACTTTCGGAAACGTTTATGTAAACACGATCGGCCAAAGCTATATCGCCAGGAACTTTTACTTAGAAAATAATACTCACGGGGCACTTGACGTTGTCAAAGCGAACATGCATGAATTTGGTAAAGTAAACTGTTTCATGTTCGCCCCTCACAACTACAGTGGAAGCCAGTGGGGCACCACATATAACTGTAAAGAAAGATTACCTTATTTTCACGAGTTCAGTCGCGCAGACTTTCCAGCTGTTCTATCCAATTAAGGCCTGAGCAAAACCTGTATCTCTTTTGCACGAGGCTTCTCCAGATTCTTCCGCACATCAAACGTGGTGAGTGCAGCAGAGCGTTATAGGAGAATGTTCATGTTCGCCACAGTTGTGGTCCACGAAGTCGCACACGGCTACTATATGTTCGTTAGGGGACCTTGCGAAGAGCCGCTCTGGGATATAAACGAGCCACATGCCGAACTAGGATTCTCGTGGGAAACTAATATACTGGGGCATATACCAATGCCTGATGGCAAAGACACGTCTATAGACGGCCAATTCCATGAGATCTATGCCATACAGTTACGAGATTACCCAACGGACGCCGAGTATGGAAGAATCATACATCACCTCAAAAGCGGCTCAAAAGCTGAGTTTACAACCCGAGATGCCAAAGGCAACTACCGCGTCTGGCCTTTACTGAGTGGTGGGGAGTTTCGCGGCGCGAGATGGGCACTCAGCAATGATGCGCAGCTCTTTGTGGCCTCAATTCATGTCATTCCAACGCATTGGATTGTAGCTTGGTTTCGACAAGGGACCTGAGACCACCTGAAATCTTGGTGGGCCAAAACCAAAATGTACCAGTACCCATTTTAGGCAATTCTTTCATGATTATTTATGAAAGGTCCCGTTATGGAGTGCGCGTCCATCGGCCCCTTTGCGGGGACGAGCCAGTTGATGCAGAGATTCTCAAAAAGCGTCGTGAGTCTGTCCAGCGGTATTCTTATGCATACGGAGTATGAGTAGGCCGACCGGTCCTTTGGCCATGTAGCGCAGCATATGCTAATTCACGATCTGTTCACGTCAACTTCTTGTGATCCATACCACAGTCTCGGTTCTTCGTCTACAACTTCCCCAGCCATGAACTGGCTGATACAGCACCTGGCAGTTTCATTCTGCGCTTTCAGCAATAACTGTTTTCAAACATTGTCAGGTTGACTAATGATACGGTTTCCGCGGTAATTCAATCAAGGCAGAAGGCATCTAACCTCTAGGCTTCGGAGAAAGTCGGCGATTGAGGTCGGGTTTAACCTCGCAAATGTTTAAAATCCGGCACGCGCTATCTTCGGCAATCTTCCACCACCACAACATCGGGGTACGTACGTAAATCATAATACGTATGTAGGAAGTACAAGGGGTCACAACGTAGTACCCTAGCATCATGATTGGTGGCATCGTTTTATCGGCCATATCCCCGGACCAGATTCCTTTACAGGCCGGCGATGACGGCAGAGGAGTTTGCGACAACCCCACTTGAAGCTTCAGGACTTAAGAGCTGCCGGCCCCGCCATGGCCTCCAGATCCCGACGCGATAGGAAATTCCCAATCTCAAACAAACTTATCCTTGAAGATGTCCTGCGAAAACTGCAAGAAGGGTTTCCAATGGGACGGCAAGTCCGTTGGTAAGGAAACCAAGCTCGACAACATCGACACCTACGTGACGGGCGATAACAAGGATGCCGCGATCCTCATCATAACCGACATCTTCGGCTGGACTCTCCCCAACATCCGTCTACTGGCAGACCATTATGCGAAGGAGGCTAATGCGACTGTCTACGTACCTGACGTGTAAGTAGCACACCTCGCAATTCCATCGGCCCCGACTAACAGCCATTGTGTAGCTTTGGTGGCGAAGTCGTAGACCCCGATGCCATGTCCAACCCCGAGAAGCAAAAGAACTTCGACGTCATGGCTTTCATCGGTCGCAACAACAAGGACATTCGCTGGCCCGAGATCAAGCAGCACGCTCAGACCCTCAAGTCACAGTACAAGAAGGTCGCTGCCGTGGGCTTCTGCTACGGTGGCTGGGCTTGCTTCAAGCTCGCCGCCGACCCCTCGCTCATCGACGCCGTCTCCACCGCACACCCCTCGATGCTAGAAAAGTCCGAGATTGAGGCCGTCAAGGTTCCCGTTCAGGTTCTGAGCCCAGAGCATGACGCCATGTACACGGAGGAATTGAAGAAGGCTACTTTGGAGATACTGCCCAAGACTGGTGTGCAGTGGGAGTACGTTTACTTCCCGGGCCTGAACCACGGCTTTGCTGCGCGTGGTGACCCCAGCGATGAGCAACAAAAGAACGGACTGGAAAGGGCTAAGAGGAGTGCTGTGAACTTCTTCACTGAGTTCCTGCACTAAATGCTATCACGCGATAGTGATGTAGACTGTTATGAGCTATAATGAAATAATCACTATATATCTGCCTTGTTCGCAATCAGCAGTTGCCATGAACGGGGAAGACGAAACAATGGCACAACACCAACATTACGCCGGCTTGCAAATTGTCGATCACATATACACGTTCAAAGCTTCGCAATCTCAGGTTCTAATGATGAGAATAAATAATACGTTTATAGGCTGCATCTAACCGCAGCACGAACATTGTCTTTACCCAGATCGGGGCTTCTGTGGTAATATATACATATATACAAGAAGATCATCGCAACTCCACAGCCCCTGACAACTTACGAGTCTTGAACCAGACGCGCCAGCCTTGACCTAGTCTCCCAGCCCAGAGCTTCAACGCTCCGCTTCGACATAACAGCTACGCTCTTAGCATAATCGCTAGTACCGTGGCTGGGATCCGCATCCGTAGCCTTGCAGTTGGAAGCCTTCTTGGAACCAGTGACGGCAGCAAAATGCTGCTTCTCGCTGGTAGTACCAACCATGTTCTTGGCAGACTCTTCAGTCCATCCGTTGATAAAGTCGCCGTGTGAGCACCACGCGGCACCACAAGCCAGCTTCACAGGCGCGGTGCCAGACCAGCCTTTCGGTAGGACTTTGCGGAGATCGTAGCGGATGGAGAAGCGGAGTTGGGGCATCGATTTCATGCCAGCAGGGCACCAGTTGGGTGTGCCGTTCGCCCTGTCTTTGTAGGCCGTCTTGAGTGTCGTAGTGTCGACACACTGGGGGAAGTAGAGGAGTTGCTGGAGATGTGTGGAGCAGGCTTTGCTGGGGAAGCCGTTGGCGTCAGCGGGGATGGCGTCGTCACCCTCGCAGAACCAGGTTGCCTTTGCATTAGGGTCCATGGCACCTTGGGTAGTGGCACCAGACTTTCCAGCAACCATCTGCACGTCCTGTGGGATGGGGACCTCGGCGGGTGTCTCGCCTAGGTTGTAGTATGCACTGAATCGGCCGACGGGGACGGGGTTATATGTCTTTCCATCGGCGGTGTAGAGGAATGTGGGTACCCAGTAGACAGAAAGGTCATTAGGGTTATCGGCGTTTGTGCAGCCCTTTTGGAGCTCAGCACTGGTCTTTGTGCCAGCAACTACGGCGTCGGAGCCGTAAAATGAGTGGAGATGCGATTTGTCGAACTGTCCGGGGAAGACAATAGGATCGACGTTCTTTTGCATAAAAGGAGACGGTACGTTGACTTGTGTGTATGCGCTTGCGACGTGAGCGAGCAGGCCCGCAGAGAAAATAGTGTAAAGAGACATCCTGTGTCTTTTGAAACGAATGCAAATCAACGATCGACGAAGATATGAGTTTGAGAAAAAAACGAAGGTGAGAGAGCTTGAAAGTGAATTGGAAGCGCAGTGGAGAAGAAGAGGAGAAAATAACAGCAGCCTTATGCTACTTTAACCTGTTTACGCCTGAGGCACGGTTTTCCAAACAAGGCAACGCAATGTCCCACTCGCAAGGCAACCCTTTCCGTACGCGCAGAGCGGAGACGTATCGGGACAGAGTTTCACAGACCCATGGTGTTTTTCGACTCAAGTGAACCTGTTCGCCGCGCGGGCTGTCACTTCCGTCAGCAGTTTGTGGGCGTCAAACGTCCGAGGCATGAACGACAATAACGTGTTTGCCAAGAGATAATTTCGGTCACGAGAGCGCCATTGGTGGAGATACAGTATCCAAAACGCTAGTCGCCGGGATGCCCGTGCTGTTGACGGTGTTTTGAAACTTGCGAAACAAAACAAAAATTTTAGCCCGCTTTGCCATCCTAGTCCGAACGGCTCGCTCGGCTGCGGGTTACGGGCGCGGATATGTGAAGGTGGCGTGTTGAGGGGGGTGCGTGGTGGAGAAGAAGTAACTTGGTGCTTCAGCCGACAGCCCAGCTGGTCTCGTTGCGGTAACTATGTGAGAGCGGTCTTGGATTACTGGCGGAGGTTGGGCGGAGGATGTTTCATCTATACACTCAACCTGCATGGCGATCCATAGGTGTCATCCACAAGAGTCTTTGTTGGAAGGCTTAAGCTGACATATGCTCCAGGTATACCACGTCACTGCCATCCCACATGAAATTATGATCCCTCACAAACACCGAAAAACTTTACAGACCAGCTTTCACAATATAGGTCTGGAATTGTGCTATGCAGGTCGTTTTATTCTTTTGTGTATCGTACAATGCAGTCCCCATTCTTATGCCATTTCCCCGAAGTATGCTTTACTTATCCGCAGGGTCTAAGGGCTTGTTCTGTCCATATACAGTCTTCTCCCTATTTTTTTCAGCAGGCTGGTTCGGGTCATGTTTCATGTTGTCCTCGCTCTCTGTTGTCGTCTCTGATTGTCCTCCTTGGTCTTGGTCTGTGTTGCTGACTGGGTTCTGGACAGACGCTGTGTCGGCATTCTTCGTTCCATCTAGTGACGCGCTTTTGTTGATGTCCTGACTGTCAGCATTGCTTGCTTGCGGATTCGAGACGTTGGACGATTGACCAGGCACAGCGCTGTCGGCGTATGTGCGGAATACAGCTCGAGCGGGAACTAAAGTTTGATGTTAGATACTTTTTCGTACTAGGGCTGATTCTACTGACCCTGGTTTCGTGGTAGGAACGACCAGCTTGTGATTGGCGCTGAGCGCGAAAAGCTTCGTGGAATGCGTACAGACATTTTGGTTTTGCGTCTATGCGCTGAGAAGATCTGAAAGATTGGGTATCGAACAAGTTGAGCTTCTGATGGTATCTCCAGGCTTGTTTCATTGGATCAAGGTTAACTTGCCTCTGATGCGAGCAGAACGTCATCGTTAAACCATGTGAGCCGAGCTCAGGAACTTTTGCAGTTCCAAGCCATTGAATACGGTCCTTTACAACGGGGCCTGTTTCTGAATTCAAATACAAATGGCGGAAAAGACATCATGTTTCGCTGGAGTGTCTATGATGGCAAATGGGTGACAGCAGCTAGAGAGCTACCACACCCTATTGGATCGCTTACCCTACTTAAATGAAGCTATCGCTACCACATGATTGTGCCTGTGACTACTCTCATGAAAGGGAGAACATCCTTTTCTGTGGAGATCATCAAATGGTTGTACCATACCGGCCACAATCACCAATGATTGCCGGGAGTTTTCCACTTCTTTTCCCGACTCTGCCATACACTTTATGTTACTAGTATAGTAGCGAAATCACAAGTTTCCTGCCTTTCCGCCATGAATCGCACCCGCATTCGCCCACAATCACCTTAATTCACTTCACTCACTTTCACTCGTTCCACTACAACTACAATAGAAGAGACAATACAAATCATATACTAAAGAAAAGTCCCTTGACGCACAGACTAATATTTCGTTCAGTTCAATAGCCTCTTTCGAATACAATAGCTGCACTAATCAGATTTCCGGCTAACGATCTGAGTACTACTCTGCTTGTTTCAATTCACCTCCCTTCCATTTCTCATCCAGCCATTTTTCATAAAGCACAAGAAGCCACCAGATTACTCTCATTATCACTCTGCAACTCCACAAGATGAACTCCCTTCATCCCTACTTCAACATAGGCTCAAAGTCATGGAAGTCCATATCCCTAGACACGACGATCAAGACACAAACCGTCATGGATGCACTGAAGAAGACTCGCACATCAAAAGCCCGCGTTACCGGCGTTACAAAACCCAGCAACCGCAAAGCGAGCGGGGGCTTCCTCTTCCGCTTCCCCCCCGAAGTTCGAAATGAAATCTATGCGCTGGCGCTAGATATTGCCTCGGAACCCGCCGTAACCACCCTCATCACTTCCCCGAGCGGTACTCCGGACTCGAACCTCAATGACATGGGCGTTCTGCGTCTGTGCAAGGAGATCACTGTCGAGGCGCGATCCCTGCTGGAAGGTCACGGCATGCCGTACGTCCCTATCATGGGTAATACGGGTCTCAACTCTGCCATCAATCTCATCTTGGAGCATGGAGAGGCTGCCCTCAATCCAGTGCAAAGCACCATCTTCGCGGGTCTCACCTCCTTCATGAACGCACACCTCCATCTACACATCTCACACACACTCTCTGAAGACCCTGATGACCCGGAGCCGTACCTAGACCTCCGTTTACGACACATCTACGGCATTCTCCGACAAGCCATTGTTGTCTGGCGATGCACTTCTGAAGAAAACTTCCCCCACCTCAAGGCGACAGGCACGAAGCGAAAAGCTACCGTGCACCTCGACCATCTGTTCTCAGACTAGTCTCACATGGTGTTTTTGGGTGGAAACTTCAATCTGTTCCACTTGCTTACTAGTATGGGTGAAGACAAAGCCACAGAGTGGGAGCTGAGGTACTATGTGTTCGCTGGCGGAGAAGTCAAAGCTCATGTCTGGACGACTTGGGATGAGCGCTTGCGCAAGAATTTTGAGCAAATAAAGATCATGTGCAAAGGTTTCCCCAACATAAGGTTGGTGGCGGAAGTGTATGGGCAGCTGGGGTGGAGTGTGGAGGGCAATGAGGGTGTGACCAGGTCGATTACGCCGAGCAGACTTTGACCATCGTGGCCTGAGGACGTGCCGTGGAGGCTGTTCCCACGGGTCAGGTCGGGTCAGCTTGTGCCTGTCGTTGAGAATGCTGTGTAGGCATTGGGGTTGACTTGCACAGGTCGGCGGTTTACCTAGGTACATCTGGGATTTGGGGGAGAAAGATGTATAGATAGTTACCACTACACTATATGACAATCACGATATGACACCATCTACCTTAAACTTACATTGACAAGTTACCGTATGCTCCATTCTCAATCTTGACCTCGTACTCAACGCCCTATCGTAACCCATGTCGTCCTCAAACACACCCTAGTACAGCGCTAAAACACATTCTTGACCCCACGTCCATATCCGGCACCCAACGGACCATTACAGCACATCACAAATTTCCGATATATATAGACCCTCATCAAATGGCGCAGTTAAGACCACAAAGCTAGTGTAGCTTTTCAAAATAACGACAAGCCCCCAAAAGAGGTTGCTTCCACACACACCACACACCAAACGCCATCGCACAACCCCACAAAAACGCCTGTTTGCGCCACCACCGCAGTCACCCCGAGCACCCTAGCGCGTGTTTCCGAATCGATAAATCCGACTCCAGACGCCTGCACCCACATGATATACCGAGCGCTTTCCATCTCTGCCCGCACCTCAATACATTACCCGCCTGCTTCACATACGATATCGTCGCTCGGCTAATCCGGCTTCATCCGCACACAACTGCACAATCTATAAGACCAACATCATTCTTCGAAAGCACAACAAATCGAGCAGCTGCCAACATGCGGACCAGCGACTCGCGCCACCTCCTTCCCATAAACACCATGCTCTTCTCTGGCGAACTAACACCCTCACCAAAACGCAAATCTGTGTATCTGGCGAATCAGACACTTGCCAACTTGCAAGACGCCCAAGATGAGACAATCACAGCGCTGCCTCAGCATCCTGGCTCACATCCTGGTTTTGATGAGATAGAGGAAGAGCAAGTGCTAGTCAAGGAGTCATTTTGGGGAAAGCTGGCGGCGAAGAGTAGACGGTGGATGTGCTTTGGGACTCAGCAGAAGAAGAAAGAGATGATGAAAAGCCCCGGGGAGATGGAAAAAGTCAAGCTTGTCATTGGAGAGCCGACGGAGTTCAGGCATGTGGGGACTGCGGCACCGGTGGCACGTAGGCGTAGCCAAGGAGTGCAGTTGGTGGATGGAGATAGTGATTGGGAGGACCTTGAGTAGGCGAAGAGGGTACTGGTGCTGAACTGAGGAACTGAAATCATGGTTTTTACTTGAAAGCAGATGTATGAGAAGAAACTAATTGTGGGATATCAAGAAAGTGGTTTTATGAACAAACATTTTTGGAAAAAGAAGATGAAGAGATCTGCGCATTCATCAAACAGAATCAACAGCCCAACTGCTTGGCGCTCGCCACCATCGGCCCATGGCCATGCGACTCTCTCCACTTCTCTCTGTGCGCTCACTCTTTTCACTTTTTCCGCTGTATCCAGTGGGTAGCCTTGCCGCGGTTGGCCGCACCGCGGACAGTTTGACATTGTCCTTGTGCATCTCACTGTTGCTGGCAGACTCCGGATCTATGGTATCAGAAGGACCGCTCTTATATCCTTTATATCCCTTGTATCCTCTGTATCCGTGTTTCTGATCATTGTCGCTGAGCATCTTCTCGAACTTACTTGACAGACTGGGGCAAGCGTGCACCGTGACGGCCTTGATGCTGGGTGCGCACGCGACGATAACAGCCAAGTGGTTTTCAACAACAGCGCAGGTCGTAGCTGCAGCGAACTTGAAGGGAAAATCGGGGTTGACGGCTTGTCTGTGGGTGAAGTAGACACGTGCAGCACTCGCAGCTAGAACCAGGCCTCCAAGCGCGAAGAGAAAGTTGACAGCAAAGCGGTTGGGCCGACGTAGCTGAACTTTCCACGTGAAAACAATCGGCATGGCGTATAAGAAGACATCATTGCCCAACATGAAGCAGGCGTTGAAGTAGCTGAAAGCGTCCATATCGATACATGTCCCGGGCGTGGACGGGTCCCAGAACTTGCGCACTGGCGTACATTGGAAGACGCTTGTGAAGACGCAAGTAGCTCCGAAAGCGAAGGCGATGAAATGCATAAAGTAGATGCATACCCTTGGCCAGAAATCGAAGGTGAGCTCCGAGTAGAAAAGCAGCAGTGAGTGCTTGACACACCAATTACATGTAAAGTAAAAAACGAATGCTACCATGACAAGCTGTTGTAGTTTGTCAGATGAAGTCAGATAAAACAGGGTCGAAGCAACGTACCTGGAGGAAAGCTGTCAAGTCTTCTTGAGATAGTAATTCTTGATGTAGACCAGCACCGTGGGTGGTACAAGCCATCAATATGATTGAAAACATGATAGCGCACAGGGCCGCAAACGTGATGAGGGCTATTTCACAGTCAGTATGATATGTCAAGTAAAGCAGGTCATGGTCAACTCACCATCATGCCAGCTGAAGCTGTTCAATACCTTAATCTTCCTCCCGAGACGACAGCCCACAGCCAAGATACTCAACAAGATCAACGTGGTGTTGACTCCGATGACAAGGGGCCGTAGGTCTTCATTCTGGTTGGACATGGCTGACGACTGAACAGTATATCAAGAACCGTATGGCGAAGAATGGGAAGCAGCGGCAATCTGCATGACTGTGTAGGCACTGTGCTGTCTTTATAAAAAAATATAAAATACACGCTTCATGCTGTGTTGCCCGCGCATGCCGCACGGTCTACGCGTCGCTGCCCCGCGTTGGCGCCACCATCAGAAATGCCACCAGAATGAGCAACGAGACCACCACACAAGATGTGAACACTCCCCACAAACTTACGCGGGACCAAGGGTGGCTTCCGGTCCGTAGCAGGGTCTGACGGGATGAAAGCCACGGCCATGATGGTGAAGTTTGGTTGGACCAAAGCCCCCCCCCCCCTGAAATTCAGCAAACATTAGTCGGAGAGAAGAGGAATGGGAGATCTTGTTGCTTTTGGGAGACTGAGTTCGTACTGATTCTGGCAGGATGTGAGACATCAAAAGAAAAGCGCATATCCATATCCATATACCTATCAACGCTACGCGAGCTGAACGCCGACCTTCGTGTCGCTAAATGACGTGCTATCGCAAGACAGCCAGTCTAATTGGTCAGAAAAGACCCTTGTTTACCCCTCATCCAACCGCGTTGACGAGAAAGCTGATCAAAAAGAAAAGAAAAGAAAAATGCCAAAGTCGGTCCTCATCATGGTATTTATTTTTGCGCCGATGCGAGGGATAATCCCTTGTGGGGCAGCACTTGTAATCGGTATCTCATTCCTCATCGTCGGTTCCGCGGGCGCCACGTACGCGCAATAATGCCCTATTCATCGAGCGGCAGCAAGAGACAGGCTTGATTAGTAGTTCCAACGGGTGGCAGTAGTCCCGTATGGCTGGAAGAGGAAAAGTAGTCGAAACGGGTCGGTGGCATGCGCCTGGTAGGAAGCAGTGGAAGGTGTATGAGCCATCGCATTTGGCCGTTGATAGGTTTTCAGGGTCTGATGTAGTAGTTGTGAGAGCAGCTGCCCTGGTGCTCAAAGCCCAATGGATCGAGAGCCATATTAAATTGCCATGGCAGTGTGTTGAGGTTGGGGTGATGCGGCTTGACGCATCCTCGTCCGCATCAGTATCCAAGCTGACTAACGCTGCTGAGACGCTAACCACATCTGCTTTCCGGTAATGTCCGGCCTGTCATTGGACCCGGCGATGGACATTCGCGAATAGTTTCGCCACATGCTCAAGAGCTGAGCCCAGAGAATTTGAACTGCTTCTTCCTCGTCTTCTTTCCAAACTCGGTCTCTAGAAGTCGTTGATTCTGACAATCCCGTCGATCCAATTGCTCGTTCGCCCGCCGTCGTCCGACTGAAACTTAACCTTGACACCCTCGGCTACGCCACCTTTTAGTTCGAGGGTCCGGCAACGTCAGCGGCATTTCCCTTCCTCTTCCAAAACGGTATCTTTTGTTTCTTTTCCCTCTCACCAATTCTCAAAATCGATACACCCTTTCGGCAGCCATGTCCTTCTCTTCGCTAGTCTCGGATATCGCGTACCGGAACTCTGAACGTCCTGAGCGTCCTGACCTGCGTTCCCAAGTTTCCGAAGCGCGCTCTACGCGGTCCTATGCTAGCACGGCTGCCACCAGCGTGAGCATTTCTGGCGACATCAAGAGCCAGTTACATGGCGGTTACAGCCACCCGCTTTCGCGAGCATGGCAGGCCGAAAGGCAACTTACCAAGGTGCGCTTGCAATGACGTTGCGCCTCGACGACTCTCGCAGCAACTGACAACCGGCCCAGTCCATGCTCATCTTCCCCCTCTTCATATCCGACCAGCCTGATGAAGAGACGCTTATTCCCTCCCTTCCCAACATTCACCGCCGGGGCCTAAACAAGATCGTGCCCTACCTTACGCCGCTTGTCGCAAAGGGCCTGAAGTCGGTCATATTATTTGGCGTACCACTTGCGCCCACTGCAAAGGATGCGCTCGGCACCAACGCCGACGACCCAAAGGGGCCTGTAATCAAGGGTATTCGACTGCTCCGACGAGCCTTCCCTGACCTCTTCATCGTCGCCGATGTCTGTCTCTGCGAATACACTTCACACGGCCACTGTGGTATCCTGCGCGACGACGGCAGTTTGAATAATGCCTTGTCGGTAGAGCGCATTGCGGATGTGGCTATATCATATGCACAGGCCGGTGCGCATTGCGTTGCGCCCTCGGACATGAATGACGGTCGCATACGCGCCATCAAGCTGAGGCTGATTGAAGCCGGAATCGCACACCAAGTAGTACTCATGTCCTACGCCGCAAAGTTCTCGGGCTGCTTGTACGGTCCCTTCCGTGATGCTGCAGGCTCAGTACCCTCGTTCGGCGACCGACGATGCTATCAGCTACCACCTGGCGGCCGCGGACTGGCGCGACGAGCCATTGTAAGAGACATTGATGAGGGCGCCGACATAATCATGGTCAAGCCAGCCAACCAATACCTTGACATCATCAGTGATGCAAAGGAGATTGGCAAGGACATGCCAATCGCGGCATACCAAGTATCTGGCGAATATGCCATGATTCACGCCGCGGCAGCAGCAGGCGTATTTGATTTGAGGCAGATGGCAGAAGAGTCTACTCAGGGTATCCTACGCGCAGGCGCTTCCATAGTAGTCAGCTACTTCACACCCGAGTTCCTGGACTGGCTAAGCCACTGAACGGATGGGGTGTTGTTATGATTGTATTATGATAGAGGCGGCGTTAGGGCGTTCAATATCCAAGCTAGTCATATCCATGAATCAAAAGTGTTGAGTATATTCAATTACATAGATCAATTCAAGACATGTTTGTAGATTCCTCGTGAATTATCCTTTCATATCAACTCAACTCAACTCACCCAGGGTATATGACTAGCAATCCATTCATGGCCACCTAACATCCAAAACCTATCCACCATCTACACTCCAGTGAAACCCTCTAAAACGCCACCCATGCACCCCAAAATTTTCCCAAGCCAACATGAACAACGCCCAAAAAACACAATACGCTTTACTTGATCTCAACAACCTTCTTCCCCTTCTTCTTCGCCTCCATCAACGCCTCCTTCCACTCCTGCACCCCACTCAACGCCCCCTCAGGATCCGTCTTGCGCATAAGCAAATACCCCTGAATCTCCGCGGGCGAAAACGTATCCTCTGGCAAACTCTCCGCAAACTGCTTCGCCATGGCGTTCAACCTCTTCGGATCTAATGTCACGAAACTAGGTCGCAATGGCACTGTAATACCGCCCGCAACACCGGCTTTACTCGCATGCTGTTGTTTCTTCTTCTTTACTCCAGCAGCAGTAGGTGTCTTGTTCGTATTCTTAGGTTTCATAACAACATCCGCGTCATTACTGTACATGCGGCGGAATATCTCCTGCATCTGCTCGCGGGTCGCTAGTGTGAATTTGATTTGCAAGTCTACGCGGCCGGGCCGGATGAGGGCAGAGTCTAATTTCTCGGGGTAGTTTGTCGTCATGATTAGGACGCGGCCTTCGTTTGAGGCGGCGCCGTCGATGATGTTGAGGAGGCCGGCGAGGGAAATTTTGGATTTTGTATCTTCGCTTGGGGGCTCGGGGGGAGGGCTGGGGGTGGAGGTTTTGGTTTGGATGCTTGGGGTCTGTTGGGGCTGTTGTTGCTGTGTGGTTGGGGAAGCGGGGATTTCGTCTTTTGTCGAGACCAGGGTTGTTGTTTCGCTGTCTGTCTTTGGGGTTTTGCGGGTGCGGAGGGATTGGGTGAGTTTGCGGCGGAAGGACTTGTTCTTTTCGATTTTGATCATGTCGTCGGCTTTCTTGTCCGACTTGTCTTCCTGCTGAGGGTGTTGCTCTGATAGTGGCGGTTCAGTCTCTGCTACAGCATCAGATACAGATTCTGTCTCAGATTCAGGCTCTGCGGCTGTAACGCCCTTGTCTCGCTGGATACCGGCCGAGTCGATATCTTCCAAGAGGACGATACACCGACTCGGAAGCATGCTGAACAGAGACGCAAGGTCAGATTCTCCCATGTTACGCTCACTCAATGAGGCACAGTAGACTCTCAATCCAAACACACCGGCTAGCGCGAAGCTCAACGACGTCTTGCCAGTGCCCGGAGGCCCGTGGAAAAGGTACCCTCGTCTGTGTGGAATGCCTCGTGCTGCATACCACCGCGCAGTAGCTGGGTGGAGATATTCGTTGATGTCTGCGATGATCCGCTCCTTTTGCGAGATATCCAGAGTGACCGTACTGATGGGTCGCGAGGGACGTTGGGCTTGACACTCCCAGTAACCTCCATGCCGTGCATCAGCCCGATGGATGTTGGTGACGGTTTTGGTTCTGTTTGCCGACCACTCCTTTACATGAGCGATCAGGTTCTTGATGGGCTGTGTGCTACGCCCCATGCAGCGTATAACAATGAAGTAGTCGATCCGCTCCGCATATTTGTTCTCCTGGGAATCTTTTTTGAACTGAAAATAGTGGCCGTCATGGGTGAAGCTGTCGTCACCGAGATTGGGCTCGTAGTACACCGGGTTCGTGCCAGTCCATTTGTCGTAATTGAAGATACCAGACTCACCGAGAGCCTCATCGTCATCTTCCTCATCTGAGTCCCCGTCATCACTGTCGTCAGAACGGGCTTTCGGCTTTCTCGAAGAAGCTACTAGATCCCGGCTGATTGCCGTCATACGCTGTGCCGATATCCAGGAGATGAAGTGAGCATACAAATCATCATCGTCATTGATGCGAATGGCCGCAGTACCGTGATCCAACAGATAACTGTGTCCCAGACCATACATGTACTGCGCTCCTTGCCAAAGTCCGAACAATAGGAGGTACAATGACATCGTACTCCCGACGTCGAATCCGAGCTTGTTGAGGAAGAGCTGAAGGACGGCACCAAGACCAGGTATGTTCAGGGCCGCATCTGCGAGGCCTGGGGGTAACATGCCTTCGAGATCCTCCTTGATGGCCATCGTAACCGAGGGTTCGCTTGCAGTACAAGACGTTCTAAGAAGGGGCGCTGAAGAGATGTAGTCCAGTGTGTAGCGAAATTGTTGTTGGGAACCAAGGCTGATATCCAATTGAGCCAAGGCTTCATTCGACACGTGATGCAGCGAGAGACAGGTGGCAAAGCAGTGAAAAGCAGTTTGCAGAGCCAAGCGACAAGAGACAAGATTGTGAGTCAAAACCCAAAGTGAAGCGGATTTTACCCTGATATATATCTAGTCATTATCTCTCACCTGAGGCCCTCTTACCAAGACCCTGCACGTAGAGAAAAAGGGCGGTGGGAGCCTGAGCTAACAAAAGTGGCTGTGCTATATCGTCTAAATGCCCACTCAGGTACTGTGTTGCACAGCATGATGCTCTGCTTTGCCAGATGATCTGGAGGCGCATATGCGGCTCGCGCATGGAAAAGGTGGAGTACCGGTAGGCAGCAAGGGCAGTAGCCTCATGCAGTATCGAAATGAAAACACCATCTTACATCTTGCCGCTTAGAGGCAGCACACGCGCGGGGTCTAAAGGGCGGCAATCCTTGGCATATTTCGTTTTGTTTATTTTACGCCGCGCGAAGGGCGCCTAATTGATACAGACAGACCGGTGTTGGTGCTGCTGTGATTGTTGAGCAACGGCTTGTGAGTAATAGGAAGGCAGTACATGCAGTATTCGGAGCCGGCGAAAAACAGACACTAAGAGATGAGTCAAGATTCGGATACAGTAATGATGTCTTTGGATCTGGTTCTTGGGCCGTTGCTACGCTGTGGTTGTGGAACTAATCGGCAAGGCAGCCATGAAGGAGATTTTCAATGACGTGGCGAAGACACCAGATGTGGCGCAGCAATGAACGGCTCCTCTGGCGCTAACGACTTTGCAACACAACAACTGCGCAATCAAACATTCAACTGCCTGTCCAGCTTCTATCGCTATATTCTCCCCGAGTCTCAGGCTCCTACGTTGCAAACTCGAGCAAATGAAAAAACACAATCACGGCACACAACATGACATCCCGTGAGGACAGCAGTAGAGGAAGAACAAATCTCAATATTTATACAAGATACTTCATTCCCGTTTCCCGTCTCATAAACATACATACAATTTTCCATCAGAAAGAGCACACAACCCGCGAATGCCACAGCATCCCAATAACGGCAAAGAAAAAAAAGGGGTGGGGTGAATCAGGTTCCTCTCGAAGAATCTATTACAAAACGTATATCTATGTTGTCGGTTGTGTTTGCGCCAAAATGCGCCTCTTCGTAAAAGGTGGGTAAGTGGTATCGTAGTAATAAAACAGAGGAAAAGAAACCGTTGTTTGCGCCAGGTGTATATCATTCATCCGAGAGTATAGTTCCCTAAGAGCGCCGTATGAAAAATCCGAGAAAAGGCATAAAATTCCAATTACGATCATTGGAGGGAGTGGTGTCGCACATGCGGCTCTTGACCAGGTTCTAGTGGTTCACCGGTGCGCATGCTTGCCGGGACGGAAGCTTCCTGCTCGGTGTTGCCGGCTGGCTGTCGTGGCAGGGGGATTGAGGCTGAGTCCCCCCGCGCGTTTTGCGATTCGTCATCCTGAATGTATGCGATTGGACCCCACACGCGCCAGTGAAGAAGGGTGATGTGCGTGATGCGGTTGGCCAGGTCGGCCAACTTGGCGGTCTCGGGATGTAAGTGAGCGAACGCAAACGTATCGGTGATGCCGGGTCGCGAAAGGGTAGGTAGGGGTGGCATTGAAGGAGATAGGGAGACGAGATTGGTAAAGAGATCAACAGGCGATGAAGAACCGTGCCGGTCGACATTAGCGAGAATTTGTGGTAGTAGAGTAGCCTCGAGGCGTCCTGCATGGTAAGCTGACCTGTGCATGAAGAGGACGCGAAGGTTTTGGTTGGCGTCAGCCATGCGGTCGAAGCTGTAGTCGGATGATATCCCGGCGAGACGCGAAGCCTGTCGCATAATCTCCAAGGAAAGTGCTTCAGAGTTCACCACCCATTGTTGTGGACCACGACCAGCAGCCTCACCCATGATAGCGGAGAGGGCAACACGAAGTTGTTGTCCGATTGCAAGGGATACATGGCCTGAGTACCCAAATTGTCTTGCCAGTGCGATGTACATCTCCATGCAAACTTCAAACATGACGAGATCACCGACTTCAGCCTTGAGAGCCCGTAGTCGGTCCTGATCAAGGAAGAAGGTGTCGGGAAACTCGCTCCGTCCATCTCTACCGAAGGTAATAGCTACGACAGCGCGGGTGAAGACTTCAAGCTGAAAGCACGGTCCGCCCCGTGGTCGTGGGGAGCACTCTGGGCCGAACGCCTCGACTGCATCTGTGAACCACTGTTGTGCGGTGTTAACGTTGACTCTCGCCCTGCCGTTAACCAGTCGGTCCAAATGATAGTGCTTCTCGAAGTTGACCGTATCTTCAATCAAGAGCGTCTTCAGGTTCCGTATTTGATGATTTGCGACATCCTACGTACTGTTAGCGTATGTGATGTTTACACTTGCAGCAAACTTACAAGTTTCATAGCCTCCAAGACGCCGAAGAGCTCCTTCAGACCGAAGACAATCTTCCAAGATCTATGTTGAGCCGCACCTTGCTTCATAAGGACGACCATGTTATCAACCATGGCATCCCGCATCGGAGCGCAATGCTCCTTTAGTAGTTGTGCCATCCACTCCGCCAGTCGAACAAAGTCACAGACTCCTCGCTCGATGGCTTGCATCAGCATCGGGATATCGAGATGCTCATCTACCCTTGCATGGTCGCGTTCAGGAACCAGGCTCTTTAAAACATCTCGGACCGTTTGAAACAAAAGTGGTATGCGCCGTTGCGCGTGGGGAGTGAGAACCTCAACCCGGGCTTGCGGGATTGCTGGTGTCCCTTGGAACAGTCGGTTGTACAATTCAAGCTCGGCGATCAACGCTGTCCAGTACTTCTCAGCCGCCCGTTCCTTTTCTTGCCCTTTGATGCCATCCACGTTTGGTCTAAAGCTGAGATCCCGGTCAAAGTTGACGTCATGCCGTAATTTCATGTTGGTGATGATGCTCTGGATATCGAGCTCGCTCAATGACTGTTTGGTGACTGGTGGCGTGTCGACTGCTTCTAGAAACTGCTCCGCGAGCTCTTCGGTTGATGGCACATTGTCTTCCATCATCTCAGCCGAGCGTTCCCTAATCATGACTCTGAGCAGTCCCACGAGCTCCTCTGGAATAGTCGAGTGGTACATTGGTATCGCCGAAGGTGAGGTTGCATGCCGTGATGCGACGTCAGTCCAGGCATGCCTGGTTCCCTGTGCGGTACAATCCCTTTCCTTGTTTGCATGTCCTTCTGCGGCTGTGAGTGAATTGTGCCATGATGAAGCAGAAGAATGACTGTCATCTACTTCCATGGGGCCCGACCGTGAAGCATAACAGTGATCAGGCGCGTACGACGTAGTGGTGGCAGCGGTCTTTGGCGTTTGGGCACCCATCTTTGCCTGCCGGCGAATGCTACCGCAGTTCTTCTGCATGGAGGGCCGAGTTCTCATGAGCTGACGTAGTGCAGATGCACGGTGACGGATGAAGCGGGATCGTGGTGAGCGCGTGAGTAGTATGCGCAGTACTGATGATAAAGCCGGGGGGGAAGCGAGTGCTCAAGAAAGGCGCATAGAGTTGCTACAAGCGCTGACTACCAATCGTTAGCCTTCAAACAGTGCCGTTTGTAAGACGCAAGCTGGTAACGTGTTCATGGGTTGTTTGACGAAGCCACGGGTGGCTGCTGGAACGAACGAAATAGCTTCCGAGTCAGGCAAGCACGAAGCCGCAGCATTAACGGGATCGTGCTTGAACAAGTCGTACCTTTTTGGCATGTGCCCACTTGGATGGTAGTAGATGGGTATATGCAGGATCAGGGCGTAAAAGGGTTTAACATAGCAAGAGAGGACAAGGTGGCATTCGTGATGAATGCAGAACAAGGACGTTTGCGGAAGCCTGAAGAGACGGCTTCGGACGAAAGCCACTTTGCCAGAAAAGCAAAGTGGAACAGCGCGGAAAAGAGCAGAAAGCAGAGAGACAGACAGGAAGGGTAGTACTACTTGTTTGAGTAGTGGTCAGGCAGCGGCAAGGCGTGCAAGAGCAGCAAGGTGATGCTGCGCAATTCAAACAGCGTTTGTATCGTTAGGGGTAGGTTTTGCGATCTGGAGGCTGAGTGCAGGGCGGGAGCCCTTGCATTCTTGTTTAAAAGAGAGGGCACAGACTACGTCTGTGATTATGCTCTGACCATATCTTAAATGTGCAAACCAAGAGTCTGGGACGTCGAGGCGATCGCCATAGAACGGCCGACGGCGTTAGGGCGTTCCGTAACGGTGACTTGGGACATGTGTGCTGAGTGTGAAGCGTGAAGCTGCAATGCACCTGATCCCAGCACCCTCACCGCTAGTCAGCGGCAACCTTGCTCGCCGTGGGTGTCAGGACGCCAGCCGTGGAGCCGCGGTAGCGCGTGTCTCGACGGCCGTCAAACACTGTAGGCGACGGAAGTGGTGAGGGAGAGAAACGATGCAGCAGTGCAGCAGATGTGCAGGCCTGCAAGCCGAGACCGGATGGGGCGGATGCTGATTGGTTGGCGCGTGGGCGAGCGCATCACGACCGCCTCACTTTTGCGATTCCAGGGCGAGCGTCTGCGTTCCAACCACGATACGACCAAAAGGAAATCCGGTGCTGCGTCAACAATGTCCTTGGTCTTGTCCTCGGTCTTGGATCTTGGACCTTGGACCCGCGCAACTGACCGGTCGAGCCTCGTCAGACGCAGCCTTGTTATGGTCGTCGGGGACCGGCGGATGGCCACAGTAACTAGCAGATGGCGAGAAGACGCGTTGCACTTGGTGTCCGTGGGTGGTGCGTCATACTATCGCACATACTATCGCGGTACAGTTCCCTTACTTGGCTCAGGAGCCGTCATGAATCGAACAGCGCGCGAACCAGTGTGAGTGCGAGTATTGTTGCGCGTGCTGCCACTGAAACGCGCCCGCCTCACCTCTGAGCCTGGCGGCGCCGACGAATAGCCGAGGACTCGAGCATCAAATCTCATCGAGAACCACTTGTTGTATTGTAAGACACAGGTCTGGTTGCATCGCCTATGTAGATCGAGCGCAGGCTGGAATGGCAGAGCAGCCTCTCATGGCCTGACAGATAAGCTTGGATGAGTAGGCTACGGGGCGACCGGGTTACTAGTAGGGACAGCCCCGGCCAGTATACGCTACGAAACCAGAGTCAGGGAGTAGAAAAGAAGCGGAGAGTGCCCCATATTACCTACTCATATCCACGCCTAGTCGCTGGCTGTAATGTTTGCAAAGCAGTAGGACCAGCACATCAACCACATATCATATCAGTAGACGACTCCATGACTTGCAGAATGAACGCGTACCCACTGGCAAGTGAGGCAGGGACGACGATCCTCTACCGGGGAAGGTGCCGTGTCACATGACCCAAGTTCCCTAAATTTGCACCGGTTCCCTTCGCGTGGCAGGAACGCCTGCAAGCTGCAAGTTATCTGCAAGTCATCCCTTACAAATACTAGAGCTGATCGGTAGTTCAAAGTTCCTCGCAAGGTTCCAGTCGTAACATCAAAGCAGCGACGATCCACCTTGATTGATGTTAGTAAGTGGCAATATCACATGACCCCATCAAACTCAAACTCTCCTTCCTCACACGGCAGCCACGTCCGGCAAGGCAAGGCAGCCGCTTCATTCATCCCATTCAATCTGCAACAGAGTACAACAGCAACGCTTTGAATTCCAAAGGGTCGAGACTTGTCATCCATCTTGGCCTTGTTTCCGTCTTGCCCAAGCATTACTCTATAAAATCAATGCGACGGAAACACTTTGACGCCAAGCTGTAAGAGGTATGACAACCCAAGGCCGCGATCAAACGTGCATGCAAAGGGCATTTTGCAACACGGGCCGCTCTTCTCCACGCCCGTTGCTTTGCATAAAGAGGATGGGTTGGTCTTCCTAATTGGACGATAATTACATTCAATATGGTATCCAATGACGCAGTGCGCTTTCCGACGACTTGAGCACCCTGGCTTCTCTTTTTCCGAAAATGATAATGGTCAGCTGGTTCCTTCCAGCCTCACTGTCCTATCCCTCTCGTACCGCCCGCTACCATCTCACAAACCTCCCCCTTCCCCATTTCCCACCCAACCCCCCACTCCTCTCCTCCACCCCTCTAGCAACCATAACACCTCTCCCCCTCTCCCTCCTCTCCTCCCTTGCCCTCTCCCTCTTACACTGTCTACACCACGCACACTCGCCCCTCAACGCAACCACATGACTCAATCTGCGGCCTGGAGGACAGGCCTGAGGGTGTTGCTCTTGTGATTGTTGTTGTTTTGCGACGGCGCAGAGACGTAGGTAGGGATATGTTGGTGTAGGGGGACAGGCGCAGCGGGAGGTTGTGAAGAGGACTATACACATGTTGTGTTGTGATGTGAGTTTCGTTGGTGGTAGTGTTGGAAATAAAGAATCAAGTATTTTCGTATTTCCAGATTAGATTTCCTGAGTGTCGTAGTAGATCTTAAGCTCCGCAAAACTAACCCAATGCCTCTTACATATCCCTCCCCAAGCCAACAAGCCAACAAGCCAACAAGCCAACAATCCACCACCTCACCCATCCCTCACCCATTCACTCCCAGCAATGCCTCTCCGCTCCGTCAACCCGTTCAATCACACCCAGTTTGGCCGTCTGTCCGTCCAACAAGCACGCACACGCACACGCAGCCATCCAGTTCACTCTACTCCACTCCACTCCAACAACAACCATTCGTTTGCCCTCCTTCGCAAACCCAAATGCAAATACCCCAGATTCCAAATAATGGAGTCCTCTTCACTCCTACACAGCCCCGAGCAGACGGAGCGGCGGGGAAATCCAAAGTATATAATTGGCAACGGCATTTGTAGAGTATCAGCAAGGCTGTTCGTGACAGCGGAAGGTGCTCAGACCAGGAAAAGCGACAAGTGGAGAGAGACCGACTACACATGAACCGTGTAACCATCAAACGAACCCACATCAACCCAGCCACGTGTCAAGTATCAAAGTCACACAAACGTGTTGTTGCTGCTGCTGCTGCCCTCAGGCGTCACAAAGCGCAAAAAAAAAGGACGAACACGGTTGCCGCGCTTCCGGTCCCGTTGTACCACATACACACGCAACGAAAATGCTTTTCATCGACTGAAGAAGAAGAATATCAAATAGCCACGCGCGCAAAGGTTTCGATTATCAAATTAGGTTAAAAAGTTGTCGTCGTGCTGACGTTAGAAAACATAACGAAAAAAAGAAGAAGGGTTCAACTTCTTGTTCTTTTCTTTCTTTTTAATACAAACATCCCGCCATCAACGCAGCCTCCTAAGCTACCGTGTCCTTAGCAGCGGCAGCAGAGTCGCTCTTTGTTTGTTGGCCTGTGCGGCCACGCGGCGCTTCCCGTGGACTGCGGGCACCTTCTTGTTCGTCGGAGCTGTCGTCAATGGGACTTTGGGGTCTGCTGTCGTTTAGGTTGCGGCGACTGCGTGCCATCTACAGTGAGTGTTAGTACACAGCTTGAGGTCAAACGGTTCTTGTGAGTTACGTACCCATGATCGTACACCGCCGATCAAACCCAAATTGTAACCAGCAGCGAACTCTGATGATTCTCGCGTGTTGTTTTGTGCGCGCGGGATATCAAGGTGGCTGAGTCGCGATATAGCCGACGGGGATCGAGCGGTTGTGGATACGTCCATGGCTTCGGCTTGCGTGTGCTCCCGTGTTGGTGTCCGGGCCGGGCTTGCTGGACGACTTGATTGCCAGAATTGGCGGAAGTCTTTGCTGAGCTCTTGGCCGGTTGTTGTCCAGTTGGCTTTGATGCTGTCGCGAAGCTCGGCCATTGTACGCCTGACGTCGAGCTCGTTCTTCTTCAGCCACGACACGTTGAGTTCCTTGCGCGAAGTTCCGCGCTTAAGTTGACGGTCAATGTATTGGTCGTAGTCGCGTACGATCCTGTGATTTGTTAGTAGTGCGCCTGCAGCTATTAGAGGTATACTTGCTTGGTAATGATACCAGTTGTGCTCAACCCCTCAGTTCTTTGGGTGACGAGGAACATGCCTCGCTCCTTGATGGGACCGTAGATGTCGTCGCCCTCGTCGGCGCCATAGGGAAGGTCGTCGTGAGCAACGTAGTCGATGTTGTGTTTCAAAAGAAACTCGGCAGTGACGATCCACGGGCAGTCCTCGATAACTTCGTCGACCCATTTGCAATGGCGTACACTCTCGGCGCGCTCCCTTGCCGACAAGACAGTAAGACCCTTCCTCTTGTGTGTCTCCTTGTTTCCCGTCACGCCGACAACGAGATGGACGTCTGGGAATGCCGTCTTCGCCTGCTGGAGCGCACGCATATGTCCAATGTGGAAGAGGTCAAAAACACCATCTGCGTATATTCTGACCGGCCGTCCCTGTGGCGGAGGATTCGTCTTGTATCCTACAGGGTCGACTAGGCCAGCCTTGGGAGGGGGCTCCATGCGCATGGATCCCGCCTCGCCGCCCTCGCCATGCTCGTCGCCGGCAATAGATGATGTGCGTCGGCTCTTCTTACTTGCCCGCTCATCCTCTTCGCTCTCATGGCTGTGCGGGTCTGCAACGCGCACCCGCTTAGTGGTACCATTGGCATTGGCATTGGCATCGGCCTGTCGCTCCTTCTTGGACGCGACTTTCTGGAGAACAGGGTCCTCGGCGCCCTCGTCAGATGCATCGCGCGAGGAGGGTTGTACGGTGTCCATGGCGTCGTTCTTGACCGAGGATAGGGTGTTGCTTCGCTTTCGTTTTGGCGGCATAGGCGTCGGGGGTCTGGTGTGCTTGGTTCAGGCAGTAAACACAGCAGGATAGACAAGCAATTACGCGCGCGACGAGATGCTCTCTACACTGGCCGTGGGAGGGAATTGATGTTTGGTGGTGAGATGGATCTTGTGCTGGTAGGGGAAAGAGGTGCACACGCCCGATGTGGAGAAAACGCGGGTGATAACGGTGGCTACTGTGCTTAGGGACTGGGACCAGGACCGTGGTTTCCGTAGGTGGTTGAAGGATGCCGCGCCAATTATATGGTTTGAGAAGCTTCAAGAAAGCTCGCGGCAGAAGACGCCAAGCACAACCAAAGCTGCAAAAGAGGAAAACAAAGTTGGCTCTGATGGGCACAATATCAAATATATGAGTACACCTCGCCTCAGTTGATAAATTCCACGGCGTTTCCTTGATCGTAATGCTGATCAGTCGCCCTTGGCATGACGAAAGACCGCCCACCGCTCCCTGCGCCACAGAGCGAGCATACGTAGGAACTGGCCAAGATCGCCCACGTGTGGCATTTCCCATCCTGATTCCCCGTATCTTCCACTCCGGCATGTGACAAGACCTATCGCCAGTGTCTGGACTCGTGTTATGACGACTACTTGTATTCAAATACATGGTACATGACTCCTTCATGCTGGGCCTGGTACAACTAACTATACCGCTCATGCTATGCTGCCTTCGTCCAGTGTCCATACTCTAACCTCACCATCGTCGCCAGTACTCAGCACAACCTCTTCCTCGTCTGACCTCTTTCCCTTGTCTGCTCTCCGCGCCCATGACACATGGTTGATCTCGAACACGTCGTGCGCTGAGAATAGTTCCGCGACCACGACCCACTCGGTTGGCGTTTGTGCCTGTGTACCCTCAACGTCCATGCTGTCGCCGTTGGATGCATTCTGTCGCCACCTCTCCTTGTAGACGATGACTTTGCCGTCGCTTCCAGCACTGACAATCATGCCCGTGATACGGCTCCAAGATATCGAGTAGATGGCGCGTTCGTGAACTTGGGGGAGTATTGCCTCCTGGTACCAGTCCTCGTCGATTGCTGCCGAGCGGATGATGCTCGGTACGCCCGTATTACTGCTTGCGTTCTCATCTCTCTCTTTCGCCTTCCGCCGCCAAATCCTCACCGTGCAGTCGTCTGAACACGTCGCCAGGCGTGGCCCAGATCTTTCCAATTCTTCTACATGTTGCGCCTGCTCTTGCGACAGCCCCTCCCTCTGCGCTCTCCAATCTTTCTTGCTCATCCCACTCCCCTCAAATTCTGCCCACCAGACAGTCTTCTCATGCCCATCAATCATGGAAACCTGTACCCAATCGTCCGCATCTTCCTTGTACAACCTCACGGTATCGTCGTAACTTGCACTGACCAGGAGGTCCTCCTCTGGGTGCCAGGCCACACACTTGACATCGCCATCGTGCTCCTGTAATACCGCTACCGTCTCAAAATTGTCGTCTTCGAGCTCTTCCCATACCCACACGCTCTTGTCGCGCGAACACGTGGCTAGGTATTGTCCTGAGGGGCTCCAGGAGAGGCATTTGATTTCTGACTCGTGACCATCGAGGATGCAGCTAAACTGGTAGTCCTCTGCATCGTCGTCGTCATCCGTATCACCTGCGTGATGATTTGTAAAGTCATTTTCTAGCGCACCGCCGTGCTCCTCGCGTCGCCATATGCCTGCACTCGAATCGAAGCTACCCGTTGCCAGCACGCTTTGTCCTCTTGTGCCAGGCTTCCACGACACGGTCCGTACACTGCGCTTGTGTCCTCCAGTGATTGAATGGAGAAGCGTGAAGGATGTGAGGCTGTAGACGCGTACACTGCGGTCGGAGCATGCTGTTGCGACCACGGGGAGAGACGGATGTGGCGTCGATTGCCATGTTCGCGAGTTTGAGGGTGGTGTGAGGGTTGCGAGGGGGGAGAGCGTGTGCGTTGGTGCGCTCGTCGGCGAAGACATGTTGGCGGGGGGGCTAATGTGATTGAGCGTTGGGTAATTCGCAGCTTCCAATGGGCTATGAGACCAGAATCACGTCTGTTTCCGCTTCTTTGTGCCCTGAATTCACTCTTGTCGTTGATTGTAGGTTTGTGTCGAAATAATTTGGACTGCGTGGGGCATGGAAAGTTCAAATGGGCGTCATACGCCAAGCTCCCCACTACAGCTGACTGGGTGCGTTATCGGACTTTCATTTCTCTGACTTCTACATCCATACAACTAGAGAAATTCGTATTACATTGTACAGTCATTCTAGGTTTGACTTGATCATCTCAAATCACTGCCATTCTGGCATCATTCATCTTACAACCGAGGGTATTTCGCATCATGAAAAAGCAGACGCCGCGCAATGCTGTTACAAAGGAAAGGATATATCGGCTTCTGTCTGTCTCCATCCATATTTACCTCCGGATGACGCCATAAGGTTTGTTGGAAGATGGCCTTGTCGCATGTGGGCCGCGAAACGCTGTTGTGATGGACATCAATCGGTCTGCCAGTGTCTGCTGCTCCGTCTCAGCTACACTGTCAATCTTGGCTTTCACCCCCAGATCATGCAGTTCCATGTCCGCTCCATCTCTGCTTTCATCTACGTGGATATCTTGCGTAGAAGTAACCATAATACCTCCCCAAGCATGTGTCGACGCTTCTGCCGACGAAGCCACCATGTTGCAGTTGACGAGTCCTTTCTCAGAGCATGTATCCGCCTGCCAGCTCATCTCGCTCGAGGCAGACGTCTTGGGTCGTAAACTACGCGGCCATTTGGGACCGGACCTGCTAGCCGGCATTCGGAGTACTGATTGGGCCCGTTGCAGGCTGCTGAACTCTTTGTGGTTTTTCTGGGCGAGTATCGCGTGATCCGCACATCCAGGCAAGGACCGGAGATATGTCTGGAAGAATGATAGAGGGATGGTCTTGAGTGTAAGGCTTTGAAGCGACTGGACATAGATCTCCTTGATACCGCAGAATGCATACACAGTGGCCTGGCTGGATTCCGTGTGACCATGCATCATGTCCAGCTGTTGCGCTGAGAATATTGCGCTATGAAGCGTCTCTTCAGCGCAATCCCGCAAAAGATCCGTAATTGCATTGCGAAACTTCGTCAGGAATACGTCGTCTTCCGATCGTGTTGTTGATCGCTGGTTTAGTCGTGCCAAGCACGCGTCCAGAGTGAGCCCGTTGAAACTGGATAGAATGCCCAGTTGTCGACCCCCAAGTTCATTGTCGCTCATCTTGACCATCGGCAATTGGCCTGGTGTCGTCCGTGGCACGATAATGTCCAACCCTCTCATGCCAGGCTTTGGTTGTACGAGAAAAGATGCGAGGTAAGTCCCTTTTCTGGGTACTGAGGGTTGCCGTTCACTGAAGGCTTGTAGGCGGCCTACCAGATTTTCGAGATCATCGCGAGGTATCTGCAAACTGCGTGCTAGATGATCGCTGACCTGGTCAATACTTGCGAAGCCGTACCCGAGGTTCTGTAGCCTATGCGCTTCTGTCGTATCGACCTTTCTTGTTAGCACAAGCATTTGACCCCTGCCAAATAATATGGGGTTAACGACCCCTGCTTCCAGATCCTTCGGCGCAATATCTGCAGCCATGATGGTCTTGCTGCCGTGGTTGCCTGTCCAGATGACACGGTTCATCACTGTACCAGTAGTCAAGACGTCTTCGTATAGGCAACCCAGATGTTGGAGGCTCATGTCGAGCGTTTTCGCAATTTCTTGGGCTGTGACGCAGAATAGCTCTCGGAAGGTTGCCGAGTAGCTCAAATCGTCGTCGCTGCCCGTTGATTCCCGGCTGCTGCTTCCTTGTGTGGCCGTTTGGAGATAGCCGGTGGACTTGAGGTGCTCTCGCATGGACGGAATCAAGTCCGAGACGCCGGTCCAGTTGCGAGATACCCTAAAGATCCACTGGAAGACGGGATGTGCGGTATTGAACTCTTCGTCGAAAGTCCTTTGATGGAATCGCTGTGTGATGGTCTGACAAGGCATCAAACCGCCTTGGCTGACTAGTAGCCGTCCCTCGGGGTCGAAAGTGGCGATAGCAAGAACTACTTGTTGTGCTCGGTTCCTTTCCATTCTGCGCTGGCGCTGCTTAATGAAGCCCAACATGAAACACAAGACACATGCGCTTAGACACTGATTCGCTGTCAGTGTTGCATTCTGTTTATCTAGTACGTGACTTACAAGACACAAGGAGATGATCAGGTTGATGTTCCTTTCCTGGCCAGGTCCGCTGTGATAGCCTCGAATCTCATACCAGGTGCCCGCTGCTGCAGTCCAGTGCATCCTAAGTGATGTTAGTCATGGCTTCCATTGGTGTATCGCGGTACTTACCCGCAAACGGCAGCTGCCAGGAATAGCGCTACAATGATGCGCCTCCAGATATTGTTCATCCAGTGCTGGCTCCAGTGGAAGAAAAGACCAAATGATATGAGACACGCTCCTACAGCGATGGCGGCGGCACCGAAAATATGAGCCAAGCTCAATATAATGCGATAGTTGGTAGTGCCGTTATTTCCGAGGTAGTGCATCTCGGTGACTGCCGCTCCCCCGCATATACCACAGATTCCCAGCGACCCGAATCGAGCTATAGCTCTCTTGTTTCCTTTGTAGAACCTGTCCGCAGCCAATAGACCCAGGAAGATTACTAACACCGGCAGGACGGCGGATATCGCCGTGTACATCGGACTGTAATAGAGTTGGATCTCTTTCTCTCCGTCACCGAGAACGATGGCGCGATTGCCTACAAAGTGCATGCACCAGATTGCAACCAAGCCGAAGGACACCGCGCAGCCCCCTATCTGAACCCTATGAGGTTGTTAGGGATTCACATTGGACACTGTTCGTTCAATACGTACAACGAGCGCCATCCTGCTCCAGACACTCTTCGGTGAAGCAGTTCTACAGTCGTAAAAGAACCAATGAGACTAACAACATAGGAGCAAAATATCAAGTATGGCACAAACGATATGGTTGGCCTGCTTCCTATTGGGTACTTTTGTGTGATGTCCTGGTGTGACATTGTAACCAGATACTGGATGATGTCGTCGAGAGGTGCCGTAGCCTAAGCGTTGTGTCGCATGGACTGTCTTACGGGGGAACTGGAGATTTTAGTAGAGCTCACGGACAATAATAGTCCGAAGACGAAGAGCCTGGTGAGTACTTACCCGTAAATGAAGGGTCGTATCAAGTCAAGGACTAGCTTGACGGCTTAGGTCCAGGCGACAATAGTTCCAGTCGTGCTCTGAAAAATAGAGATCCTCTTACTGTACGGTATTTTGCATCTCGTATCGTGATCCGGGTTGTTGGGTTGGTTCCAGCGTCTTGCTATAATGTTCTGAAGTTGGTGCTCCAGTCATGCGTGACGACAAGAAGATGTTTTTGTAGAGTACAAATACACGTGCGCGGGGATGTTTGCAGGCTTCCGTCCAGCAGAGAGGATCCAGGTAATGGTGATGAGAGGTGGTCGATGAAAGCTAGGCTTTGCTGATGTGTGTCTGTACGCGTAGTCCCTTTATTAGACCCATACTGTGCGAGCCACCCTTACGGCCTTAGCAGCCTGGGATCGCAGACATGACAGCGAAAATACCGTCGCACCAAGCTCCACTCTTGTCTGCTGAACTGGACACAAGACTCGACAGGGGCCACACCTAACTGCCTATGGCACCAACCGTCCCTCTACGCCACGGTTCATGCACTGTTTGCCGGTTGTGCCTAGTCAAGTGCCGCGGATTCAAAAACCGACAAAGCTCATGTTCGGTTTCTCTCCACGTTAAAGCCGCTCGGCATGGCTGGGGTACTTTGCTAACGATGCAAATAACACTGCCGTGTGATGGCGTGGCTGCTTCATATCCGAGGGATCATGCTTCATAAGTGCACCAATGACATGAAGAGTCTAATGCGATTTCTACGCGACAGACCTGCTGTGGAGATTGCACGACAGGAGGTACATGTATCCCGTTTCAGCCTAGGTTAGTGTCCTCGTACAGTCAGCGTGGAAACCAGAGTCTGGATGCACCAGCCCGTAAATCCAAAGGTCAGTAGTGGTAGAGTAGAAGATTTGAGTTGCTCCATGACATTGGCACAAAAGCGACAATGCTTTCACGGAAAATACCGTCTTTTAAAGAAGGCCAAAGGTTGGATAAGCATTGTCTTGCTCTCAGAGCATGGGGCGCCGATCGCTCACGGTTTGGATCATCTTGCGGCTGCCGCCACCATGTGGGTTGTAGATCTTTCTCCGAACATGCTCAATGCTTTCGCCTGTGTGCCTCTCTCGCGTCTTCTTGCCTTAGCAGTATGCAGCGGCTACCCTGTTTCTCGATGATGAGAATGCAAGGGCGTCACATGTGCACAGCATGGGGCGAGTTGGTAACTGCAATTAGTAACTGCAAGCGTCACCACAGTTTAGCTCTATGATTGGCAGTTGTGTAACTGCACTGCCCAACAAATCTATTCTGACGAAAGCTCCGAGGATGCCACTCCTCTCGACGGTAGGATCGCGATTGGTGGCTGGAAATGTGTTTGTATTTATCCGTTATTGCGAACAAGATGACGAGCTATGAATCTATGGGCATGTTGATGGCGTTGAAGGGATACACTCGATCGATGCTAGATAGCCGAAATTGATCCACGCGCACTCTTGTTCAGCGATCTTCCGACCCGTTCGGGTGCACGCATTTGATTTGCTGAGCCGCTGCGAACTGCTTCAGGGATGACCTCGGTTGAACCCCTTCGCTGACTCCATACTGCTGGTGATATCTCACATGCACCCGGGTGTCATAAAATACTGAACAGTGTGGGTAAGCACCCAATAGACGTGTCTGGCGACTACAGTGGCTTTCTTACACTAGTATGTCAAGTATTTCATGACACCTGGGTGCATGAATAAATTTCTGTCGGTGTTTTTCCGATTCTTCTTCGCTAGTGCAGCCTCGGTACTTGTCCAGCTAGTGTACGTCGGCGACGTTGACTGACACAATAGCCTAGACGGGTTATTCGAGCCACACGAGCTCCTTACAACGTCAACACTAACGAGGTAGGGTTAGGGATGGCGGCTGAAATCCTGGCATATATCTCGCTTTGCAGCTGACGGTGGAGGACACGGCTCGGCGTACGCGTGATTCAGGGACCAACTTCAGGCGAGTAGGTCTCCTTTCCCGTCGACCTCAGGATCTATGAATCGACTGGCCGAATTGACCGTGGCTAAGCAGCTGCACGGCAAAGCGTGATCGACTAAAGACGAGTCATGTACCGTAGTTTGTGCGGGTGGCGCAGGTATCAAGCTCGTACGCATGGGCTTCTGGGCTAGAAGTTGGAATCCATATTCCGGATCACAATAGAAGGCTCTGCTGATATTCTTTTGTACGGATCCGGCTCGTATTTGGTACGCTTGAGGCTGACATAGGGAATGATATATTTAACTACGGTTCCAATCCTACGAACTGAGGTGTTTCGCATTCGTGGAGCAAGAATGTTTGAATTTTCGAACCCGCGGCGATGGTCATGCGCTACGATACAACGTGTATGAAACGGGGTTTAACCTTCTTCGAAAAATCTCCGCAAGCCTGGGAACCTAACCTGTTCAGACTAGATGGTCAGAAGTCTAAGCCAGAATACGACCTTTTAGTGTGCGGTCAAAAGACTAGGAGTATTTCATCGCCACAATCGATATTGTGATCCCCGGATTCTCCGATGACTGGTGCCTTGTCCGGCAAAACTCTTACGTTGCCCATCTCCGAGGACCTGCCGGGACTTGATGAGAAACCTGCTGCCCCAATTCTACCGAGGCTGCATTGCGCTTGCCGTATGGCAGGTTGCTGCGCTAGGGCAGTGACTTGTGGCTTAGGGCCATCAGGTAGTGAAAACGTGGAAGTGATCTTCCCGTCGCTGGGGTAGTCCATGAGTGACATGGCGTTATGCGGCTGTGAATCGAGTAGTAAGTCATCCTCAGCTTCCCCTGGATCATCGTACATATCCGCATGACTAAAGGGTTGTTCGTGCTGTTGAATCTTTTGCGCAGCCGCGGAGGATGGCGATTGTCTCGGACGAAAAAATGGACCATCGACCTGAACTTGGTTTGAGTCAAGCAGGCCAGTGTCGTCACTAGGTGTACCGGGTACATGGAGGCTCCATGTCTGCTCCTCATCTGCCAGCATATCATCCGATCCTGGCATTGCTGGTGGCGTATGGAACGCTACACATGCCTGTAATGAAGTAGATGGCTTACGGAGAAGGCTTGTTTGTGAATGTATCCATAGTTGGCTCGCGATAGATTCTCTGGTTTGAGTACCATGCCAGTCTGTGATAGATTTTATCCCATCCTCGTCACCATACTTAGCCTTTCCTGAAGTGGCACTCATGTTCATCAATTTGTCTCTCAGGGAGAGTGAAGCAGTTCTTTCGTACCCCACCTGGTGGAGCGAGCGAGCGATCGTTGGCAGGAGGTGAGCTCTCTGAGACAAAGCCTATCTATAAATTAGGGACGTGTCAAACATTTTGCAAGAGCACCTTACGGTCAGATACCCAATCCTCCAGACTGAAGGGGCAACATCCGCCAGACCAAGTCGGAATGTGCTTGCTTTTATCTTCGATACATTCCCTGTTTTGTTGAGAGTACCACAGATTGTCAGGCGCAATGATGCATTTACCATGTCGTAAAGGTTTATTCGAGTGGAAGAAGAATCTATTGCTGACCAGGGCGTGTTGTCTATGTATCTCCTCGAGTTGTTGACTGGTACTTGCTGCATCGTGGATCCTGTCTCTGTAATAGGCCGCTTCCTCTTCCTGATCGTGGTTGGATGTGGCGTAGCTCCTTTCTGCAAACTATCCTGAGCTTGTGTGCTTGATATTCTGCGGTCGCCCGGATGTGTGTCGGATCGTTTGGCTGTCACCTTTCGACGCGGGCTCATCTCCAGAATGTCTATGGAAAGGGATACCGACTGGAGACAAACAGTTGTAACACCTATAGGTGGCCTTGTATCTGCCGCTGGTACATCTGGAAAGAGTCTGTGGCGTTTTTGTTCCTCTTGCAATCCAGTTGTAGCATGTATGATATCCAGATGTACTGTCCCAGGTTCGAAAGCATTATTGAGTAGAAGGGTCGGCTTCAACATTAGCTGGTTCCATATCTACATTAGATCAGTAAGATGATAGTGCGCGAGCAGCAACACCTACTGGTGCTTGGCAAATAGCCTCTGCAAGCTCTGCCAGCTTGTGGGGAGGCAATGCTTCCTCGCGCACAGTGATTTTCAAGTCAATATGCATGCCATGGCCACGCCCGACCCAAAGGCGTCCAGAGGCCAGCATTTCGAGACATTGGCCTGCTTTGAGCTGCTGAAGGTAAGTTGCATTCTGTTCTGGTGAGATTGTGATTAATGTTGTGAGCCAAAGCTCGTGATCTGAGGTAGGTGATCCCAGCACAGCACGCCCAAGCTCGAATGATCGTGACATGCCCTCCAACCAGTCCCCGATACGTAAAGGAAGACGAGAGCGACATTGGACGAACGGATGAGTGGAAGAAGATTCCGTGAAGCAGTTGCCCATCCTGGTCGGCGCCAAGACATGGAAGAGGCAAGAACCCCACTCCCACCCCCACACGTCGTTGCTCTCGCGCTTACGCGCTCCCCACTCCGAAACCTCGACCTCACCCAGGAAATGAGGTACGTCGCTAGAAACGCGCTTCAGCGCGTCGGTAACGTTACACGATGCCAAAACACCGAGTTTTATTCTTCGGTAGGCCTTGCGGTATCGCGCATGTCCAGAGGTTTCCATACCAGTCCGACGCGGTGTACCGATGGCGTCTTCCGCGAGCTCACTTCAATGAGAGTGCGCACGCCATGGATAGAGGCCCTGCGGCAACAACAGGCAGAAGGGAAGCAGCCTAATGAGCGCACCGGGAAGCCTGCAGTTCCTAAAGATCGCAAGCTGACCCCAAAGCACATGGACGAGAGCTACCACTCTGCTGTACTTCCGCTAGCTCAAGACCCGTGGTTGCTCGACACATATCTCAACTCGTCAGGACACATACGTCTTGGTACGATCTTCATGGATCTTGACGCTCTCTCTGGCATCATCGCGTAAGCGTTCAACAGCTACGCGGAACGACTGGAATCGTCTAAACGCCCCCACAGATACAAGCATACTGGCGACGATGTCACTACTGTCACGGCGAGCTGCGATCGCATCACTATCCACTCACCGCTGACTGAGATATGCGATCTTGAGCTATCTGGTCGCGTCACATATGCAACCGGCAGAAGCAGTTTAGAAATCACCATGCAGGTCGCCAAAGCACCAAAGAAAGGCGAGAAAGCCAAGGATGAAGATGTTCTGATCAATTGCACCTTCACCATGGTGTCTTTGGACCCAGGTACCAAGAAGTAGGCAATTAGGCTCCTATGAATGCATCGGAATTAACTCTGTGACCAGGCCCGTAAATGTCAACCCACTGATCGTAGAGACATCGGAAGAGAAGCGTCTGTATGCTTTGGGTGAACGCAATTCCAAAGTACGCAAGGAGCGCCGTGATACTTCGCTTCTGAAGCATACTCCTAATGACCTCGAAAGCGACCTCATCCACGCTTTTTGGCAGAAACAACTGCAGTACCATGGTACGTCTTTCAATACCATACCCCACAGTCGTTGGTCATCTAACATGACCAGATCCTTATGATGAGCTTCGCAAACCCGACAATGTGGTCTTCATGGACGCGACGCGCCTCCAGACCGCCACCATTATGCAACCTCAATACCGTAACCGACATCACTTCATGATTTTCGGTGGCTTTCTCCTTAAGCAAACGTTCGAACTCGCCTTTACTGCCGCCGCAGCTTTCGCGCACGCCCGTCCGACATTCGTTTCGCTCGACCCATCCACCTTCCAGAACCCCGTGCCTGTAGGCAGCATACTGTACCTCACAGCGACGGTCGTATATACAGACCCGCCCTTAATTGGCGCACCGAACGAGAAGGTCGATGATCAAAGTGAATATACACGCGTGCAGATTAGGGTTGACTCCAAGGTGCGGGATGTGGAGCATGGCCATTCTAAACCGACCGGGCAATTCAATTACACCTTCACGGTGCCCAAGAACATTAGGGTGATGCCAAGGACATATCAGGAGTTCATGATGTACATTGACGCAAGAAGGAGAGCGGAGCAGGTCAAGCGAACACTGGAAGAAGGATACGGCGTCAGCCCAAAGACGGCAGAGAATAGTCTGACGGAATAGTGATAATACGCCGAATGCATGAACACATGCCTATCCGGCCAGCTTATGCTACCATACCAACGATTGACCTTTTTTCCATTCTTGTTGAATCACATGCGCTAAGGATAGAGAGGAGGCTGAGCAGTCTGTTGAGTAAATCATACCCAACTGGGAAACTATACAACCCACCATTATGTGGGTTTGCCAAGGAATGGAAGGAACATGTGGGGATCCAGCGTGGGTGTTTCGTGGGGAGCTATCCTTATATGGGCAAGATTATGATGCCACGTTGGACTTCCTGCACTGCTGTCTCGCAGCTTTACGGCTTGAACATCACACAGCAAGTGAGTTCGATCGTGAATACGGTATGAAGGATACAGGATGCTATGCTACTGAAGACGCCAACGCTAAGCTATGCCATTCCACCAACCTCACCCAAGATACCCAGGAATACGAAATTCTCTCTTCCCATGCCAGGACGAAGGAAATACCATTCGCACGCTTTACTTGCCCCATGTGAGAAACTAACCCATCAACCTCCGCCGCCTCCCACTATCTACACTGACGGTATTGTCGGGTCCGATACTGATGCTCAAACTGCTGTTGTCATCCTCGCTCCCTGCCCTCCTTCTGTCTCTGTCTCTTCGATCAACAGTCTGACTTTTACTTCTTTCGGGCTGGATAACCAGCCAGGTAGAGCCGCCACCGTCATGTTCTTGTTCCATGAGCTGAAGCTGTGGGCCACCGCTCCTCTCATCCCCGCGCCGCATCTCCCTATCACCTCGTCTGACATCAGTCTCACTGATGCCTCGGTCGTTGCGGCCGCGTTCTCGGCTGGGCTTGGCAACCTTGGGTGGTGGTGGCGGAGGGAAGAGCGAGTGGAATTTGGCGAGCTTGATGGGAAGAGTCGTGATGTTTGCCGGGAAGGGGAGAGATTCGATAAGGGTTAGCTTTTCGAGGGGTATGGAAGTAAGGAGCGAGGCGGGGAGGTCGACGGGTGAGCAGGCTACTATTGCGTGTCGGAGATGGGTGTTGGTAGCAAAGAAAGCTAGGTTTTCTGCATCACCATGTTAGCATAAGGTTTCATCTCTTGCCCTCACATGCAAAGATGACGTACCTCGGACCTTCCGTCCAGCTCCGCCTTCCTTGCCAACACCAGTGTCGATCCAGTCAAAGCTTGTTATCCTTCCACAGAAACCGGTAGAGAAGGCTCGTAGCTGTCCTAGGTTCCGCACCTTGTCTAGTCGTACGAGGTAGTTTGCCATGCCCTCCAAGTTGGCATATACACGAACGATGATGTCCAGAGAGTCGGCATCTTCAAAGAGCTCTCGTAGGTACTCTCGTATCCGGATGTTAAGCTCGTCTGCTAGTGCCTCACCACCTTGAGCTTTACGGGTTACATATTTGTCTTGGAACTGAGGTACATTAGACTTGGCGTGCAGTGATGTGTAAGGTGGGGAGGAGACGTACCAAGAATCCATCGGCATCAGCATCTATGAGCACCATGACGAACGGCCTCTTGGCCTGGTTCTGCACCAAAGCCTCCTCTTTCGCCTTGGACTCTTCTAACTGGCCCTGCATTGTCCGTGTGACCTCTGCGATCTCTGCCTGCAACGTCCGCCTGACATTTTGTTCAGAGCCCAGGTCGAGTTCAGTTTGTGCGAGGCGGGCTTCTGTCTTCTCGAGCTTGTCTAGCAGCTCCTACAGTACGTGGTAAGTAAGAAGCTTGGAATCGATATCGAGCTTGAACATCATCGTGGGCATACCTCGATAAGTTCACATCTCTTCTCTTCGAGGATCCTAAATTGGGCCAGCCGCTCGCGAAACGTCATCGGCGGGGGAGCCGTAGGTGGGGCAGCAACAACTAATTCCGACGACATCTTCGCGGTCCAACTTTTCACGATTTTCAAACTTCACGTTCAGGGCCAAAGAAAGGGAACAGCTACAAGGTAATCCAGCGGAAAAAGCTGGGGATCCCAAACATATAAACGACGCGTTTGTTTTGGGCTCCCGCGCAGCGCTAGCGGGGTGTTGCATGAATGTCCTTTGAAGGGCGGTGACTCCGTCCGGTGCGAAAAGATGGAGACGGCCGACGTAGCCAGCGCTGATTGGCCGCCCAAGTGGGGAGAGTTGGGCTGAGACGCTTTCTTAGGGTTAGACGACACCGGATTCATAGAGTGCGCACGAGGACTCGTGAGCTGGCCGAAAGCGATGCGAATGACATATGACGCGGAGCGAGCCGCAATGCGTCGTGTGTGAAGAGGCGTATAATGGGGGCTCTGGAGGGGTATGTTGCGTGCACTGTTAGCCCCACCCTTCTGTCCAGACACATCACGTTTAGATACGCTGGCTGATGAAGCAAAAGGTTTCTTGTGCAGACTCTTTTGTCTGACATGTGTATGGTACCGCATGCCATGTGACGTGCTTACACCATTACCACTTCATTGTCTGGCACTACCATATCCATCAAAGCGTGACGGTCGATTTTCCCAACCAATGTGCGGGGCATCGTTTCTAACATCACTGCACACGCGGGTCTCATGTATGTTGGAAGAGCAAGAGACCGAAGCATGGACTGGAGATACTGTTGTGATTCGCCATCCGGTGTGTCCGACATGATGATAAAAGCCTGAAGTTGCGGCTCTTTTTGCTCGGTGCCCTTGCTCAGAACGACGGCCGCCTCCGCTACTCTGCCCATTGACTTGTCGACAATGGCTCGTGAGATGTCCCCTAGCTGAACGTAGTGGCCTTTTACGTACGTTGCTGACTCAAATGACTGCCGAAAGATGACAAAAAGCACACCTTCTTCGTAATCGTTCAAAAAGCCTCGATCGCCGGTCCAGAAACATCTCATTTCAGTATCCGGATGAAGCTGGATTCTATGGTTGTCGGCCTCGGAAGCAGGGTAGTCACCGATGACGCCCGAACCTGTGACCCAGATATCTCCAGTCCATCCTGGAGGGAGTGCTCGGCCAAGAGAATCGGCTACCCAAATTTGATAGTTCGGGAGGGCCCGTCCAACCGGGATCAACTTGCCGTCTGTATCATCCACGTATTCATTATAGTCGACGGAACCCATGCAGCAAGCAACAGAAGTTTCCGTTGCACCATACATGTTGATAAGCTCCAGATTGTTGTTCCCCAGAGCGGCGAAGTGGCGAACCACGCTCGAGGACACGTTCTCTCCGCTGATGATTGCGAACTTCCAGGAATTGCATTCTCTGAGCATGTTGAGCGGCTGTCGGAACCATGCAGAGTATTCCGAAGGTGTGGCCACAGTGACAGTAACCTTTTCTTGGGCCATGACTTTCGGGACGTCCGCCTCTTCTAGCCTTGTAGCTAGAACAAGTGTGCTTCCAGATGTAAGAGCAAAAAGAATCTGGAAGAGTGCCAATTCAGATGTCCAGTTGCTATGCTGGAGTACCACCTGGTTCTCTTCATCGAAGTTATATGCAATGGAAGTAATCAGTGTCTCTATATTCCCATGCGACAATAAGACAGATCTTGATGTAGTGCCTGACATTGGGACATGTAGTGCGGCCGCAAGGTCGCTAGGCAACGATTTATCAATCTTCTCGAAGTCGTTATTGAATTCCATATCGCCACAGTAGAAAGCATCGTTCAAACCAAGCAGACAGGCGTACGGTATCAATTCCGGTCTGCTGACCACACAAAATTCTGTTTCGAAATGTTTGGCGATAGCATAGCTGTCTTCCAAAGAAGCTAAATTATCAATGGGGACGTAGATGCAGCCGGCACACCATATCGCAATGATGCTACACAGTAGGTCGAGAGTAGGCGGGCCTAGTACGCACACTGCAGTACCCCTGACAATTCCGTAGCTCAACAGATCCGACGAAATAGCTACGGCACGTCGTACAAGTTGTTCATAGGTAAGGAGTTCCTGTCCATGCTGATCCTTCGCAGCGATATGATCAGGAATCCTCGCAGCGACTTCTTGCAATTTCTGAACAACGCCATTAGATGATGACTCAACAACGGGCCCTGCCCCAGGCATCATACTCGACTGACGCTCTTCCGGGTCAAGAAGGTCCATTTCAGAGATACTGGTATCGCTATCGGCAACCACCTCCTCCATAGCGCTTACATAGAGCTCCGCAACGACTTTCGCAAACTCCTCGTCGTACGTGGTTTGATCCAAGCCCACAGAAACGACTAGATTGCGATCATCATCTTCCTTCACAAGCAAGACAAGATCTTGCGCATGTTGAAAGTACATGTCCGTACTACCCTCCGCCGGTTGACCACTTAAAAGCCAGTTGAAAGTAACTTGGTGCAACGGCGTTTCTGTAGAGGCCCCTAACTCAGCTAGAAGCACCTTTAAAGGCTCATAAAGATATATTTTCGTGTCCTGCATTGTCTCCACCGTCTGTTCGAGAAGTTGTTGTGACGTATGCGCGGGATCGCATTTGAACCGGACGGGCATTATATCCCGCCTCGCACCCAATATACGTCCAAGTCCGATTACAAAGTCGTCGGTTTCAGTGAGCTGCACAAGAAGCACTTGGAGCGCAGCAAGACCGAAATCAACTTCGGAATACTCGTTATTCTGGCACAGGAAGCGGATGTTGAAGGATAGGGCCGGGGAGACAGCGAGGTCGTGGAAGTGAAAGGATGGGGGTGCTTTGTGGAACCGGAATCCGCGTTTTGTAAAAGGAAAGACTGGTATTGACGGAGAGCGATCGATAAGTTGTGCTTTCCAATGTTCCATGGCCGGTGTCGGTACCCAAGATGTGCCTGTCTGTGGAAGAGAGGATGCGCCCGGTACTCCAAAAAGGCGTCTGTTAGCCGGTGCGAGAAAAGATTTCGTCTCTCGTAAGCGAACTCGAGAGGGCTGAATTCGCTCAGGTGATTCCATTAGCGTGTTGGCTATGTGATAGCGCATGCGGCCTGACGGTGAAGGAGAGGATCCGCCGGGTGGAGATTGGAAGGGCGATGACTCTGATGAGCGCTCATCTCCAGAGTCCTCGTGGATTATAGGCATATTAGACATTGTTATGGAAGAGTACCAGCTAATTGAACGTAATTGAATGGTGAAATAAGGTATGGGGACATGATGCGCAGAGCTTCTAAGGTTTCAAAGCGGTAGCTAACAAACTATAGAATTGTGCCCACAAGTTTCCCTAGTGACTGCCGTAAGCATGCAACGAGCCTGCAGTTTTGCGTCAGCAAACAGCCAAGGCTCGCTCACTTGCCCTTGTGCCTCTAATCTGGATGCCTTGCGCCAAATGCGGATTAGCTCAGCTCACACCTGCATGGTACCTACCTAGGTATACAGCGCCCCACTTTCTCTACATCCCTTGTTGTTCATCGACCCCACCTGAATCGACTTGTGCAACTCGATTGAATCGATTGACTACATTAGAGTCGCCTGAGCCTGCTTGTTCATCAACACCACCTGCATGGATTTTTTCAACTCCATCAAATCGACCGACCACGTTGGAGTCGCCTGAACCAGCCTTTCCTGACAAGCTCCTCCATTCTCGCGCGTCGACCCGATCTTAACTCGCCAGTTTCCACGTCTCAACGCCAAACATGGGAAACATACCATCAAAAAACCTCGTTGGGCTTGGGAGCCTATCTAAGCTTCCCCTCGAAGTTCGCGAACTAGTGTACGCCGCAATGCTCAAAAACACCCCCTTGAGCATCTAAGGTCTGCTAGTCAAGCCTTACCTTCGTGCCGGCCAGGAACTCCCACCGCGCCTCTTGGACATATCGCAGACGATCACCGAGGAGATTATACTAGTCGCTCTCCGGACGTCTAAACTGGATCTTTACAAAAGCGGTGACAAAAATGATTTTGTCCATTTTCTAGAGCGTTACCCACAAGACAAGGGCTTCGCGAATTTGAAGTACCTAAATTTCGCACGCGACTGGTTCAAATCTGACGACGCGATCATACTACCGGAGTCGCTCGCCTTTGCAAAGCGCTGCCCTGCACTAAAAACTCTTGAGATCGATCTGGAGATCTTGACTGACGAACAGGATCTCAGCATGTTACCTTCAAATGATGGCTCAATCTTCGCGATCATCAAGTCGAGTGGCATCTCAGACTGCAAGATGCTCAAGCTTGTCATCATTGACGGTATATATTTTCATATGAAAAATGAAGGCTCCATAGAGCCTGTTTTCTTCGAAAAGCTCGAGCGGTGGCTGATAAAGGGATTCATGGAGCTTGGTATGTATGTGAGAGTAGGGGTCAGCTACTAAGGAGACTATTGAGGGACATAGTCAATCTTAGGTCGGACACTCACCCGGGTGTCACAAAATACAGGACATACCAGTATAAAAACGTCACTGTAGTCGCCAGACACGTCTACTAGGTGCTTACCCACACCGTCTAGCATTTTATGACACCTAGCTGCATGAACAAATGGAGCGGGTTTTCGTCTGATACGTATGTAAGAGGATGTGTAAAATACGAGTATGAAGCAAGCATGGAGTTCCCATCAATAGTGGCTGAGTAGAATGGGATGGAAAAAATGCACATCAGGGTCGCCTTCGCTCTGGGGTTTCACACAAAGCGATAGACTGGGCCCTCTTTACATACAAACAATATCTTGATCAACGTGAATGTGATGTCGCTTTTAATTTGTCTGTTGGTCTGATTGTAGCATTAGTGGTGCGCTGGGTGGACTATAAGATAATGGACAAATTCTCTCTAGTCACATAGAAAATTTCGGTTCGGGTGCCATGATACTGTAGATGTTTGCTTAATCTTCCTATCAAAAGGCATATATATATATATATGCCATAACAGGACTATCTAGAAGTTGAATTATCCACATAGGTTCATAGAACATTCCATACTTGACGGTCGTATGCCACTAATACCATCCATTAACCCATGACTGTGTGTACCTGTCACCAAGGGACAGGTCTACATGTCAACGGAATATAAGAGGCTTCATGGCGCAGTCTAAAAGTCTGAGTCAGAATCGAGATAAAGAACTGGCGGAAGATTGTTGAATGTGTGAACAATCATGATATTCAATTCGAATGAATCATCAAATTTGACATCCAATTCATGACCAAATAGTTCTCCTAATCTATCCCTCACTCTAGCTTTAAACCCGCGCGACCATTCGCCACGCATGTAGATGTGCTTCAAACCAGACAGCTTCTTTGCGCACTGCATGTACATCGCATGCTCAAGGCCGTTTTCCTTTAGCACTTTCAAGTCGTGGGGATGGGTCATGGTATACAACTGAGAGATTTCGACAGACGTTATCCGGGAGGAAAGATTAGGGTCCTTATTCTTAAGAACTTGGCCGATGTCTCCAAAGGCCTCAATCCGCAAAGGAACATTGGAGTAGAGCAATTGTAAAGCTTCGTGGTTGATCTGTGTACAGGTGACAAGGAGCGACAGTACGGTTTTGTTGGCTCCGGTGATTGTCAAATCGTAGATCTGATGCCGTATCTCGGCCGGTAAACGCAGGAATGGCGAGTTCTTGCGATTCCCCATATAGCTATTTGGTCGGTTAGTTACTGAATTTCAATAAGCTAAACGGATACATACGTCTCTATTGAGTCCATCTCGGGGTGGTTGTAATGATGAATTCTTTAAGACCAGGTTTGTGTTTGCGCATCTAAGTAACAGAAAGTCGATTGTAGGTAGGTGCCAGTAGTGGGTTCAGTCTTATGTATTCGATTAGGCAAGGAGGAGTATCTGCTTGATGCAGTAGCGGTCGTGGTGGTAGGCGATTGAATGCCGGGGAGATCGTGTGCGATATAATTTTGCATGAGTTTATGCTAGCATGAGAGGCAGGGGATGACTAATTAAACACTATTACGCTCTGAGGTAGAGACAGTCATCGTGATGAAATAGGAGTAAAGCAGTTATGGTGTCATGCGAGTTTCCCTTCATTGCTATCACTAGCACCTTCGCTAATCGATCACCAACCTTGGAACCGAGCTTCCTTGAGTGAGGCGCTAACCGCAATCGCATTCATCTGTCTCGCACCAACAGGAATGCCTGATGATGACTTCTAAGTCAGGGTTCCCCACCACAGCGCGTATAGCCGGTGTAACTAAGCGCTTCGCAGTATCCGCATCAGTGAAAATCTTCGGAGAGTTGATGATGATGGACACTCGCTTCAACGACTCAAATTTGCAGAGCCATGGGCAACCTATCCTCGGTGTCATATTATGGTTTGCAATTGATGTAGTCTTTGTGATGAGATTTGCCAGGTAGTCGGGTATTTCGATATGCGAAATCTTAGTGCAAAGCGGCATTCAAACGAGCGCTAACGCACCTGTCAGCGATGTGAAGCAGAAGATCGGAAATGATATCGCTTCATAACGGATTTGCTTGCAGGTTTGTAGGATAGCCCAGCCGGCAGTGATTGTTTGACCACTAGTTGTCCGCACACAAAAGAACTGCACAAAGATCTTCCCATTGGAGATGTTCGAATATATTCTGCTCCGGAGCTCGGCCGGTAGTCTCAAAAGCGGCGAGCCGCATGCATTCGCTAAGGTGCTCGTGTCATGTCAGTGGCAAGCGTGATTGCGAATGAGTCAGGATATAAATGCATGTAACCAGGCTCAGGCATAGCACCATTATTGGTATGTTGGATGCCCATGCTGAGTGCGCTGATAGTCGAATGTGAAGGGAGCAGGATTTCAAGATTTCTCTTCCCTAGGTGTCATCCCAGGAGGATCATCAAGTCTCCACACCGTACCATGGTTCATACCGACTCTCCAATATTGGCGAGCTGCTTAACAAAGCTACCCCATATTTCATGTACGGAGAAGGTACGCATTTCTTTTGAATTCCTTCCTCTTGAGTGATAAATTAGGTAGGCTCAAGTTATCCCAAGCTAGGCCCTCACTACCGACGCCACAAGACGTTCAGTCCCGACGGAGCTTAGGAGAAACCAAAAAGGTGGCTGCTGATTGTGGAAAGACACTGCACTGCACAGCAGAAGAACTTGCATCTGAACTTATGTCGTGATTCGTTATACACAATATCATGAGACCCTCCACCTCCATTACCAATAGCAATGATACCGTTATCAACACTGCACCATGTGAAAGAAACCCTTAGTACACTTTGGCCCCTTAACCTCTAGCCGAGCTTCCTGTGCGTCGACCCAATAGCATGCATGAGCCTTTGGATGCATTACTGTTAGGAATGACCTAGCAGTTTGGACGCTCCATTATCGCATGTTCCTTTCGCCAACCCTTTACTGCACGCGCTCTTGTCGAAGGAAATCGATCAGACTATATGCTCCACTCGCTACGCCGGCCCCCAAAAGTGGGCCTAGCCAGTAAATCCAATGGTAGCTGGTGAATCCCACAACAACCGAAGGACCGAAGCTTCGTGCAGGGTTCAAACTCCCGCCCGTGAAGTAGACACTGCAGATCTCTGCTATGAACAGTGATAACCCAATGTAGAAGGGCTTCGAAGGTCCACCCTCAAGCATGAGAATGGTCAGAATTAGCTGGGAAGTGACGAAAGCTTCCAGAAATAATCCGCGGGTGACAGACATCGATGGGTCGAGCTTGGTAGCGATGATAAGTGGGCCCGGGAAAAGAGCAGAGATGAAGCCGGCAGCTGTCATGCCAGCGATAAGCTGCGCAGCGATTGTATGTAGCGCGCGAAACCATTGGATCTTTCGTGTAAGAAATAAAGCGGCTGTGACCTATCAGCGAAAAGGTTAGCATAGGTTACACTGCAGGTTCGTTGTGCTTGCACGTGTTCAACTGCCGGTAACGGTGTTACACCAGGCTTTGGGTCATGCGGAGTTCTGGCTAAACCTACTGCTGGGTTCTATACATGTTAGTTAAGCTTGCTTGTGTTGTGTTCGTTGGGTACTTACGAATTTCCCGCCACTGATGTCGGCGAAGATGGCAACATTGATCGCCAGAGAAACACCAAAGGCGAAAGCAATGTAAAGCAACTTTCCAACGTCGGGAAGCGCGTTGCCACTTGAATTCAGAGTAGTAGAACCAGCTGCGTTGAGTGCAATCTGAGTACCAGCGAAAGCCAAGGAAAGGAACATGAACGTCCCGATGAACTCTCCTAGGAAGGCGTTGATTTCGTTGCGTATAACACGGTGCCGGCGAGACCAATGGTCTTCTGGGAGAGCGGCAGATGGCTCATGGAAAGGTAAACCAGAATCATAGCCCTTTTCGTTCATTGCTTTCTCAGACATGTCGGACCAATAGCGATCGGAACCAAGAGTGCTAGTCGAAAACGGTCTCAGGATGACGGGGGACGAAAGCGCAAACGACACAGAAGACGCCCGCTTGGAGAATGGAATTTGCTTATGGGAAGCCATTATATCTCATGCCCCAAAATGGGGCGGGCAATCGCGATTCTCATACTCATCTGTGTCACTAGGCCAGGGGACTGCCGTGCAAGCCTGACAAGACCATGGTTCCGCCTTCCTGGGCTCAACGATGTCCATCCAAAACCGCTTGAACCTATTGTTGGTGCTGGAATCCATGCATTGCGAGTGACAGGGAAGCGCTGATGCATTAGTGCAATGTGTGTACCAACGCGTGTGTGGTATGATCGTTCGATTCGAGTCCTCAATAACGATAGAGCTACGACGGCGTAACGTGCTGCTGGTCTTATGATTCAAACACCAACATAACCACAGCGGCTAATGGCTGTCGTCTCCATCTAGGCTCAGCAAATATCGTCGATCTCGGCTTCTATCACTTCGCGGTAGTGATCGCTAATACTTAGTCTATCGCCCATCGAAGATGATGAGACCACCTAGCAAATAGACGGGGTACGCGGCGCTGATCTGGCTGCTGGTAGAATATGGATCTCAGTGATGAGGATACGTCTTTGTGTTCGAAGAGTGCCAAGCTTGGAGTTGTTAGCCAGGCACGGTTATTGTTTTGACAAGTCGTTCGAAACGTCAGATGCTCCAAGGTTCTTGGACACGCGTGCATCGACTTCATGTGTCAGCTTCAGAAAGGACGTCAATCAATGCTGCAGATAAGGTTGCGAATGAATGAATGCCGATGACAAACGCCAGTATATGTCGCACTCCCTAGTACTGGATAACGAGTGTGCAGGTGTGACCAAGGATGCGCATAGACCGACGAGTCGCCTCTCTGGATACCCTTTTCCGACGCGTGGCCAATGAGGACCGGACACTTGGGAACCACTGTCTTCATATTTGCGGATCCAACGGTATGAAGGTGTGCTGTCTAATGCACGTTTAGTTGAGATGGCTGGTTTACGTGCATTCACCAGTAGAGCTTGGAAAACCGTGTACTCTCCCACTTGTACACTGACCGTAAATTGGTATTGCCGCCGTACAACATGTCCAAACTAGTCTCGTCGCAGGTGAAGTCTGCGATGGAATGCACAGAACTGTGGTTGTGCGCCACTGTGGATCATCCGTCTCTTGTCCCGCACCAAGCATACCATCGCTGAAGCCGTGGCTTCCCAGCCGTTGATCCCCTCTGTTACACTGAAAACAACATTTTCTAGCGAGTATAGCCGACTAATATTGATGCGTGTGATTGAATTGCGCGCCGACAGCCGATTTCGTTAGTGTACTATGACTGCATATTGTTTCTATTGGTCTTTCTGCGGAAATCTTCTAGAAGCAAATATCCACGTGCTACTTCTGGTGTCGTCGCTCTACGGCTGTGACCGGCAGATCGTGGGACCCTGCACGCTTTTTGCTGCCTCTAAGCCTGTGCGCATTGCGCGGGAATTTCTGCCCAGTAGCGCCTGATGTCCGACAAGAGGGGCTGAAGGTCTCCGTAACGTATTACGACAGCAACGGAGCGTTTCATCCGAACTTGCGCGTCGTTTCACTAGAAGGCTCAAAACCTGATGCATCTGACGGATGGCTCTGCAAGGCGCATCATAGCTCCGCGGAGTTCAACGAACACCTTGATGGGCGTTCTTGTCTTGGAAGTTCGTCGTCATAACGGGTACGCCTACTCCACTATACTCGTACGCCGCGAGGGCGAGCGCGAGCAAGGCGAGCTCGAAGAAATAAAGCATGTGCACCTATTGTAGTTTGTATGCAAACTGCTTGTTCGGCCTACTCAATCGTCTATGAGAGCCTCATATTGTTCCGCGGAGGCTTTTAGGGGCTGAGATGGACTGGCGTCGGCTTGACGCAGCAAAGGAATCGACATCAATCTAGCGATGCGATTGAGCGGGCCGAGATCTGTGAGAACGATACAAGACATGGTATGAGTTGGGATAATGGTCGGTTGATTGTGGGGAGGCACGGAGGCTGAGAAAGCGTGTGGGGGTTGAGGTGTCAACATCACCCCCTTCGGCGGTCCCGCCACTAGTGCAGTTGCGGTTTAGCGCAATAGTATCCAGAAAGCTTACTGTGCAGCGTGGTCTTTCCCACTCTTTCTCAACATGTGTACTGACTAGCTCATCAATGCTTTCAGCTCTCATCATTCCACAGGGCTCAGAGGTGCTTGCTGGGCTGTGGACATCTAATAAGCCATCATGCTAGGCCTTTCCTACGCCACACGAGCAGCGTCTGAAAAGTGTTAAACCCCAATAACCACGAGCGGTGTATTAGGTTATACACACCATTTGCGGAATCAGATGCGAACACAACACGGAAAGCCTTCGCTTGTAGTCTGGTCATGAGTCCCCGCCCTACTGCATACAAAGGGCGCCCTACGTCCGCAACCACACCCTCAGCGCACGTTGATCGCATAACAATATTAGAGTATTACTCATTTCCCAGCTCGGCCGTGGAAAGTATCGAGGTCTTAGCCTAGAAATTGGGTCTCGACCGAGATTTTTACCAGGGGCCATGGGTGGTTGCGCCGTCAACGGGGGCCACATTAAGCGTCTTCTGCTACTAGCGTCCATCTACAGTCCTTCATTTAGACAGCGGCTGAAAATGGCGTCGATCAAAATCTTGGAATGCCGCTCTCCCGCTTCAAGAATAGTTTAGTGGCAGATCATTTGTAGGCTTTCACATAATCCCAGATGCAGATCAACAGCCACATACGAAAACATGCATCGGGGGTTCTCGAATTGTATACATCTCCTGGATAGGTACTGTAAGGGGGTGCTGCAGATCGGCAACCTTTCCCCGAAGGAGAATCCGATAGTCCAAAAGATCGAGATCGAGACTTATGTCGAATTGTGGGTGGACTGCTGTAAGGATTAATCTCTAGACCAGAGACCTTGGAAGACTAGCTAGGTACGTTTCAGACCAATAGGGACTATCCAATTCAGTGTTAATCATCTCTATCATATCTACTAATTCAGACTATCTTCGTCATATTTGTTAGGCTGTATCAGCTCCGTGGTCTAGCTCTGGAAAAACTACAAGGGCAAAGCTGTGCGATGACGATGCGGACTCGGCGATGGAGATCGCCTTAAAGATTGACCAGATGCAGTGGTATATATGGGCAGCTTCTTTTGTAAGAATCCCCTCAATCGATTCCCTATCTCGATAAGTTCCCATCTCACGGTACCACGGTACTCATTCTTGGCGTACCAGCGAAACTAAAGAACCATCGCTCTCCTGATCTACTGGGAGCTCTATCGAGAACCTCCCCCTTTCTTGGACATGCGTTCTTCATTCGTACTAGTTGCTTTTGCAGCTCCTACAGCACTGGCTTTTCCATGGCTGCGACCAGAGGGCGTTGAAGCTCTGTTAAACCACCCAGAAGCCAAGGCAGAAATCAACCGCCGGCTGCAAGTCCGGAATGCCGCTCAAGAACAGCCTCGGCAGCTGATGACTGGGTTGATACCTGGGCTGTTGGACCTACTCGGAGGCACTCTGCAGGCTACTCTTGATCCAATTTTCGGTCTCATTCCAACAGAAGACTCAGTCAACGGACTCAGAAGATTTCCTGAAGGTCAGTAACGTACTGGGACTCTTAATTCATATATTGACAGTGTTAGCAAACCATCCTTTCCAAGCCCCTGGTCCAACCGACCAACGTGGCCCATGCCCCGGTCTGAACACTCTAGCAAACCATGGCTGTATGTATCTTGCTTCACTTAATATGACATCAAACTGAACAATGCAGACATTCCTCGAAACGGTATCGCGACCATTGGACAAATCCAAGCTGGGACACAAGCCCTGTTCAATATGGGTGCGGACCTCAGTGCTCTCCTCGCAACCGGCGGGGCCCTTGATGGCGGCGACATCCTCTCTACAAAAATGAGCATCGGCGGTCCGGACTCGAGGGTTGGAATACTCAACGGTGCACTGAACTCTCTTTTGGGCACACCATCAGGCATCGCAGGGCATGGGAAGTTCAACGAAGGTGATGCCTCAGCTACACGTCTTGATTTCTACCTCGAGGGCGACAACATCTCCTTCCAGCCCGAGCTCTTCAAGCAGATGCATCAGCAAGCTCTTGCAAAGGGAGATGGGACATACAGCGTGGAGACCATCAAGGCACACTTCAAGAACCGGTACGCCGCTTCAAAAGCAGTGAATCGCCAATTCTATTTCAACCTCCCTTCAGCAGCCGTCGTTATGGGCGCTTATTATTTCATTCCCGGCTTCTTCTCGAATGGAACGATTGGCGCAGGTGGTGTAGCGAACGAAGCCTCCATCACCAGTTTCTACGGTGCAAAGCCCAAGAAAGCTGGTGCATGGGCCGACCCGAACCTCGAATATACACACGTTCCCGAGCGCATCCCAGAGCAAGGCTGGTACCGTCGCGCGACGCCGATGACCATCCTAGAAGCTGTCGCTGGTATCCTCGATGTCTATCTTTCCGCTGCACCAGCATTGGGTGGCGCGGGTGCAGACCAGTCATTTGTCCTAGGCCCTCTCGATGTCCCAAATAACCCACAAGCTTTGGGCTGCTTCCTTTATAACGCAGTATATGCTAATTTCCCTTCTGAGCTGTTCAATACGGTGGGTTTGGTGGCGACTGTGGTAAACTTCTTGAGTAGCTCGTTAGTGCCGGGGTACAGGGCATTGGGCTGCACAACAAATTTCCCGGATGCAAGTGGATTGAGCTCTGAGAGTTACGACTCGTGGGCCAAGACGTTTGTTGGAGACGCAAAGACAAATGCTATTGGAAGTGGGTGGTATAAGAAGGCTTGAACAAAGTCATTATAGATTCCACAAAGTACCCTGTAAATATAGTATATTATCTTGAAGTCATGTTGCCTTGCAACCATCTCCACTGGATCTCAGCTCTTGTAATGTATTATCCGATTGCCTCGACCATCTCCAGCCGGCCGGGCTCTAGAGCGGCTTAAGGAGAGGTACTTCGTGCATTCGCTGTCCCTATGAAAACTGTTGACAATCGCGTGGCACTTGCTTGCAGTGAGAATAAGAGGTGAAGCGCAACATACCCTCACAGTGAGTGGATTCAGTGGCGAGAGAAAGGCGCTACGACGAAAGAGGACAAGGTGGCTCTACAGCCTAGTCATCACAATCCCCATTCGCCTGCACGAGTTCCCTGTACCTACAAGTCCCCAGTTACCCACTACACCCCCAATCTACCTACTTTCAACTGGATACAGAGAACAGCATACAATGGCTTTCGCTGAACACTGGATCTATCCTAACGCCGACACAGTGATCATCCTTAAACACAGTCCGCAACAATCAATTAAGTGGGTCCTAGAAGGTTCAGATTGGATTGATTGATTACCGCTTTAAGCCTAGTAGTTACCTATAGGAGTTTAAGCCCTACCTAGATAGGTAAGTGGGTCTAGGAGAGTGACCGGATTGAATTGATTGTTGCGGAGTCTATCCTTAAATCACCCCAACCCGACGACGAATTCGCACCCTGGAGTTACGGGGATGGAATAGCGGCAAATTCTACCGCTATGGTTAATGTCGAGCTACCTTTTGATATTCAAGACGAAGAAGATGAAGAAGAGCAAGATACCAAGGAAGATGCAGTCGCCACTACACTAGAAGACATCCCGATCGATGCAGTTCCCGATATCCCAGAGGGATCAGTATTGTACTACGTCTCATCGCGCCAGCTTATACTAGCCTCACCGTTATTCGAAAGTATGCTTCAGCAAGATGCCTACAGAGAAGGCCACAAGAAGACTGATGGATACTACTACGTCATCACTGAAGAGTGGAATGCAGAGGCTTTCCTGCTCTTAATGAACATGCTTCATCTACAGTGCGGATACATCCTGCTGTCCCCTTCGTTCGAGACGATGGATAAGCTTGCTGTCATAGTCGACTACTATGATTGTGCAAAGGCCATTGAGATCTTCACATCGTTGCATATGAAGAGAATGGTTCAGAAGAAAAAGTTCAAGGAGTATAATCGGAAACTGATACTCGAGATACTGGTTTCCTTCGTTTTCAAGTGGAGAAAATGCTTTGAAGCAGCCACACGAAGCGCGATCCTCGAGTGTGATGAGAACACAGTACGCATGTTGGGCCTACCTATACCTCTGTCAGTAACAAGTAAGCTGTCAGCGCTCTTAAGGGCAAGCCGGGTAATCTTTACACTAACGACGTACAGAGCAAATTGAAGCACAGCGGATCGAGCGGATCAGAAGAGAATCCTCAAACATCCAATCTATATTGAATCACCTTCGGGAACCGCAAGAAACATGCTCTTCGCACGAATTCACATTAACCGACCAACTGGACATTCCAAGTCTTGTTCGTAGACCTATACCTCCATTTCACGAATGGAATGCGAAGAGAGCCAAAAAACAGGTTCAGAAAATGTTACGTTTGGCTAGTAGAATTCAACAGGGCCGTATATCGGCGCGGGGGAAAGTCTACGCAGAATGTCACTGTAACCTAAGGTGGTGGTTGGAGGATGCGTGTTATGAGGATCGCGGCCTGCAATTGCCGAATTGCACTGGTACTTTGGGCCGTAGCTAAACAGCGGGCACATTTGGGCTATGTTCCCAAGTTGGAGATTTGGGTCCTTCTATAACAATGAACAATGTCTTTTGACAGTTGCGCCATAGAGCATAGGGTAATCTATGTTTGAAACCTAGTATCCGAGTGGCTGGGGTAGCCAGCCACCTACGGTTTGGTCCATAGGGGCGCGTTTGCGCTCATCTGTCAGTCTTCAATCAATCTTCATCTTCTCCCAATTCAACAATCTAATCAACGTGATCATACTCTTCTAGGCCCTATCAAAGTTCATCGGACCTTTATAAGGGTATTGAGTAAGCTACAAGTACATATATATACGTAGTGCTAGGATTATTCTCGGCGCACCGCATTACGGAGGCTGCAACGCGATCGTCAGGGCGACGGGGTGTCCCACTAGCAGGCCAACAGACGGGCCCTTTTCCGGAAATCAGTTTACTTTTCATCGATCTCGCAATGTTTACGTTTTTTCCTGCAAGCTTATGCTGGGTTGTACCAAGAAACGGTGCGTGATGCACATAAAGAAGTAAAGATAAGGTGCTGTGTAAGCGCGGGCGGAAGCGCGGGCGACACCGGCACACCTGCCTCCAACGTGTTGTTCTCGCTCAAGACTACGATGCTGCGCAAGCACAAAACAACGACTCGTATGCCAACTTACATGGCACCAGAGTTTGACTGAGGCAGCAATCCGGCTATAAAACCTACTTAACATGTTATCAGCGCTTTGCCACGAATTCTCGTCGCCACATGAGTGGGTCTTTCCATGCGGTTATCGCAAGGCTAACGACCACTAGGACCTAGATAGGAAGGCGTGGAACTTCTGTACAAGCCTCGTCAAGACAGCGAACGAGGCTTGTGTGTTTTAGTTGCTTGCTTGGCCATGTCTGGTGTGAGCTACATGCGCGTCTTCCAGCGATGCATCCGGATCTAAACTACATCTAGTAGGTCGATATGTATATCACGAATTCGCCAGATCTTGTCCCGTCGCAGAGAGAAGGAAATCTCCGGAGACCATATATAATGTCGCAATTCCAGCTTGTAGCAGGCCTTCATTCGCAATCGCTTGCTTCAGGATATACGTTCACTCGTAATATTACTAGGAAGTCGCTGAGATGGCCCCCGTTCTCTCGTTTCTCGTCGGCTCTCTGCTGGCCATGAGAGCCTTTGCTGACCCTTTTGAGAAGCTCATTAGCGTGCCCGAAGGTAAGCCGACCAATCTCCATCACGGCTGTTGCAAGCAGTCTTATGCTTCTCCAAATCCACTGTGCTCCTGAACCAATTGAGTACTGACGTTTCAAAGGATGGCAGCTCCAAGGCCCAGCGTCGGACGCGCACACGATCAAGCTCCAGATTGCTCTTCAACAAGGCGATACCGAAGCCTTTGAGCAGCATGTCATGGACATCTCCACTCCTAGCAACGCAAAGTACGGACAACACTATGCTACCCACGAGGAGATGAAGCGCATGCTTATGCCAAGCGAGCAGACGGTTACTTCCGTTTCCTCCTGGCTCAAGGCTGCTGGAATCAAGCAATTTGAGACTGATGCCGACTGGGTCACTTTCAAGACCACCGTCGGCGTCGCCAACGAGCTCCTGGGTACCAAGTTCTCGTGGTTCGTGAGCAACGAGGCTACGCCCCGCAAGGTGCTTCGCACACTTGAGTACACTGTTCCGGACGATGTCGCTCAGCACATCAACCTGGTGCAGCCCACTACTCGCTTCGCTGCCACCCGTGCAAACCACAAGACTGGACGCGAAAGCGTTCGCATTGAGCTTTCTTCCGCCGCCGGTGCCATCAACGCCACTGCTGACTGCAACCGCACAATTACTCCTCAATGCTTGAAGAAGCTTTACCAAATCGACTACACTCCCGACCCTACGAGCGGTAGCAAGGTAGCGTTCGCTTCTTACCTAGAGCAATATGCGCGCTACAACGATCTTGAACTCTTCGAGAAGAACATCCTCCCTGAGTCTGTCGGCCAGAACTTCACAGTTGTTCAGTTCAACGGTGGCCTCAACGACCAAAACTCTACTGAGGACAGTGGTGAGGCCAACTTGGACATGCAGTACATGTTTGGTCTTGCTCAACCCCTCCCCGTCACCGAATACAGCACCGGTGGTCGTGGCCCGTGGGTCGCTGATCTGGATCAGCCTGTTGCGAACTCGAGCGCCAATGAGCCGTACCTCGAGTTCCTCCAAGGCGTCCTCAAACTGCCGCAAGAAGAGCTTCCCCAAGTTATTTCCACCTCCTACGGCGAGAACGAGCAGAGTGTGCCCAAGTCCTACGCCCTCACCGTATGCAACATGTTTGCTCAACTTGGTTCCCGCGGTGTCACCGTTCTCTTCTCCTCGGGAGACTCTGGAACCGGATCAGCCTGCCTTTCTAACGACGGAAAGAACACCACTAAGTTCCAGCCACAATACCCTGCTACCTGCCCCTTCGTTACATCCGTCGGCTCCACCCAGTTCATCAACGAGACAGCCACTTTCTTCTCTTCCGGTGGTTTCTCCGACTACTGGAAACGCCCTGCATACCAGGATGATGCTATCAAGGCATACTTCCACAAGTTGGGTCAGAAGAACAAGCCTTATTTCAACCGTCACGGTCGTGGTTTCCCCGACGTTGCCGCCCAGGGTGTTAGATACGCGGTCTACGACAAGGGTGTACTCAAGGCTTACCAGGGTACCTCGTGCTCTTCGCCTGCATTCGGCGGTATTGTTGCTCTTCTCAACGACGCCAGGCTCAAGTCCAAGAAGCCGTCGCTAGGTTTCCTGAACCCGCTGCTGTACTTCAACCCCAACGCGCTCAACGACGTCGTTCTCGGTGGAAGCACCGGTTGTGATGGCAATGCTAGGTTCCACGGCAAACCGAACGGCAGCCCAGTCATTCCCTACGCTAGCTGGAACGCTACTGTTGGCTGGGACCCGGTCACTGGATTGGGCACGCCTAACTTCCCCAAGCTGCTAAAGGCTGCCACTCCCGGCAGATACAAGGCTTAAGGGAATGGAGGGTAGCCGGCGGTACTATGCTAGATTAACTTCTTGTTTATAATTTACCGCTCGTCAATGAAGAAAAATTCAAATTTCAATATTTGTTGAGAATATTCCGGTCACCTGTCACGAGGACGCTAAGTCACATGACCCACACCGCTCTATATTAGCCGAGCTTTGTATAGTTAGCAATTGACACACTTACATGCCATGACTGAGAGAGTCATTCTTTATCAACAATATTCATGATTATGATAAATATTGACAATGCTCTAGGCTCGAATGCATCCCGAAATACTTACATCAATAGCTCAGAACAAGTCACATGCACAACCGTTTTCCCGAACACGCTTTGCCAACTTGTATCAATTTTGAGATAGCAAAATCTATGCAAGATATCTAAGTTGTCGGGAAAGGGTTTAGACATAGACATGACAGTCAGGAGGTGAGGTGAAGGCAGGCGGGCAAGAGAGTCACGTGTCGATTTAAGCCTTGGCGTGTAGCAAAAATACATCATCGACTTTGAGGAGCTGTCTTTGCCATTCTCTAACTTCGTCTAGCTTGAGTCTATGTCTACGATCTAAACAAATGAGATAATATCTACAGGGCATCACTTCGCGACATTTCGCTTCCGAATTGCAAACGCGATTGGTGCCTTTGGCTTCTGGGTGCCAAGCCCAAAATCCGACGAATCCATTTCGAAGTCCTGCGTGCGAATATCGACTTCGTATTCTGTAATGAGCAATGCACACGTAAACATGATGACGCGCTTCGCCAGCAAGCGACCCGGGCACGCACCAAAGCCACCTCCGTAAGGTATCCACGCGCCACCCAAGCCTTTGTTGGAGAAGTGAACACCGACATCTCCGGCCTTGGTGGGCACCTTCTCATCACCCGTTCGCTTGAGTGGCCCGGACTGGTCATCGTTGGGGTCCAGCAGAAATCGCTCGGCCCAAAAGTCCGTCACAGGGTGCTTTCCCTCTTGAGTATTCCACAGGTCTGTGTTCATGTGCGAAGTATACGATGCTACCATGCTCACTTCGTTCCGTGGTAGCCACCAACTGCCGACAGGCACATCTTCGTGCGGCGAGCATCGCGTGATGTATGACTGCACGTATAATCGCAGCGTCTCTGCATAGACTGACTGCAGCAGATCTTTTGACAGCAGCTTATCCATTGCGACATCGGTCTTTTCTTCGTCGCAAGAAACCGTATCGTCCAGACTCGTACGGACGCGCGATAGCAGATCGGCATCGTTGAAAATATGCAATGTAGTCATCATTGTCGAGGGCACAAGATTGGTGACTGATGTCCAGATCAACCCGAGATCTGTCGATGCAAGCGCCTCGTCGTCCTGTCCGTCGATACTCAGAATTGTCTTCTGCCTATCCCGGTTCATGACAGAGCCCCAGTAAGGGTCCCAATCTTTTCTCTCGTTATGCACTGCTTCATCTCGGAAATGCTGCCGCGCATACTGATACCAGTTCAGAATCTGATCCTTCAGCTGGTCGCGTACACGATACGCTTTCGGTATCAGAAAGCGGGGGAGCCGCTTTGCGAGGTTCTTTACATGTCCATCAAACTCCCAAAGGTCGTTGATGAAGTTTGGGTTGATCTTAAGAAGTGAAGGCCCATAAAGCGCCTCAAGCGTTGCCTTGCCGACGCTGTCGCGAAAGAAGGCCAAAAGATCAGGCATTTCGACCCACTCTTCTCCGATCGCCTGTGCATCAAGATTTTGCTTGACGATGGTTTGGTATCTCTGAAATGTTGGAAGCATAGACGAGCCCGTTAATCCCCGGAGCAGGGAGTCGTGTGTGAGGAAGTCGATCCGGTTGTGAGGCGCCACGTTGCTATTGGGATGAGGCTTACGGTATGGGCCTGAGTCGTCCTCCGTATATGTCTTGATGGCTTTCTCGCGCATCCCAAAGATGTAACGCAGTCCAACAGTATACACGTAAATGGGACTTGAGAGGGTTGGCTGCTTCCACATGTCCGCGACAGCCTCAGGTTCCGAGACGAGATAGATGCCGCTGACAAGTAGCGAGATTCGCACACAGGTCAACTTCCCAGCATAGGTCCTATTGGCGAGTTAGTATCGGTATGTGATCATGAGATTACGAACATACGTTGCCTTCTTCACGAACGAAGCGCCATCCCACAAGAACGAAAGTGTGCTACCAATTACTGGCAGCGCAGGGTACTGAGGTGGTATCTGTCCATTTGTCCGTCGATTGTTTGTCCAGTGATATTGAACGACAATGAATAGGTAGTTGAAGATAAGTGGGATGGATAGTATGCCGGCGAAGACAAGAGTTTGCCGACACGTATTCGTCCACGAACTTGCCATGATTTCCGGCCTGGAGGTAGGCACATAAGAGTCGTTGTTTGCTATGGTAGGAATCAAGACTCGCTCGTATACCGATTCCTTTAGGCGAGACCATGGGAGTGATAACAAAACATTGCTTGGTAGATCTTGAATGACAGACATAGTGGCGCAAGACTCAGAGTGATCATTAAGAGTATGAAGACTGAAGGAAGCTGACTGAACTTGTAGGTATTGTCCTTTTTTTTCAAGACCACTCACAGTATATATACATTGAGCCCTAATCTCTAACTGACCCTCTTAATTCGTCATGCAGTCTATCTTGCTTCTACACTAGCAATTGTCGATACGCCAGGGCGACATCTCACCAGCGTTTAGCTGGAGCTGGAGTCTGCCTGGGAGTTCAATGGCACGCCTTACTCGGGGAATACTAAAAGCCATGTCGTGGGATCAGAGTAGCGTTGAAAAGGTGTGTAGTCAATTGCCGAGGCTGGTATCGGGCATAAGATGTGGCTTGTAGAGGATGTAACCATTGGATTCTTGGCCCCCAAATCGTTCAGGCGGCGGTTCGTCCACTACGGGAGCCGTCGCGGCACTTTGATCCTCCCGTTGCACATGCCGATGCCAGACGCCCTGGCGTGTTACCTAGGTCACCTTGCGACATTCAAAAGTTACGACAATAATTCAACGCACCCGTTGAGTAATGCGCAATGGTGCTTGTGGGGATAATATCCAGATTCTTTTCTTATCTCAGTCGACTATACCTGCGGCGCAGCATTGCTCCAGGCACCAACCAAATCATGTGCCGCAGCGTCGGGGATCGAAAGTATATTGGACCCCAAAAGATACTTGGAAATGTTTCTATGTTAAGACATCGAGTGTGTACACCCCACCTTATTTACACTGCCCCCTGTTTAGTGGGGACAAAATCCGCCAATGGGGCAGGTACCCCACGCTCAACGGCATGCTCACGTAATTATAGACAACTAGTTAGATCTTCAGCTGGCGTGCAAGAAAATGAAAGTGGAATTTTTTTGGCCTGTGCACGGCATATGGTACAACAGAACAGCAATTACTAAGGAATGCAAGGGAGAAGACGCATTGTTGGTATCGGGCGCACGTTGCATCGCTTATGGAGTTCACATCACCGGAATGAGAGGGTATGATACGATGGATGATGATGGCTTTAACTACTCTCTGCACGCTATACACCAAATAGTCTAGATGTCTCTATGGAGCAACAGTCCTAGATCGGCAAAGAGAAAAGAAGGAACGAAATGGCCTTACACTCTATCTTCCGTTACTACAGACACGTGTACCACTCATCTATTGCCACAACAAAGGCTTGCCGTAATCTAATTTCGAAAAGAACAATCCCACAGTTCAATTCCAGACTAGCAATGGCTCGTCTCGTTCGTATACTCCTTCTTGATAGAAGAAGAGCTCATCGAATTTGTGTCGTCGGTCCCGCACACAGTAGAGCTCATGGACCCACTCTTGATAGGCTGGACCCTACCATGGTCATCGATGAAGGTCCTTAGACCAGTGATCTGTGGACGAGGAACACGAGGCAGGCCAAAGACACCTCTTTCCTTGGACGAATCCATCGAATCGTCTAGCGTACTCCTCTTCTTGCGATTGAACTTGGCAACGAAAGAGGCGGAGAAGAAGCGTTGCGCCTGTTGCTGAGGCGTGCCGTTCTTGCTGGCCTTGCGCGCGACGAAAAAGCTGCGGAAGGCGGTTGCAGCTGCGAGGAAGACACCGACTTCGGCGCTGATCAACGCCCAGTAAATCTCCCATATGGTATCAACCATTTCGTTGTAGATGAGGCCGGCGAGACGGGTCACTGTGGTTGCCATCATGAAGACTGTGAGACAGAGGGATGACATGAGTGCAACTTTCTGGGACCATTGGACCTTGATCTTCCAGATGACACAAATAGGTATGGCAAGGACTGGGTCTGTTAGCGGTTGGTAGTGTCATGAAGATGGGACACTTACTCAATCCATCGCCGACCAAGTCCAAGGCCATCTGCACGGTTGAATGATGGACAAGTAGACTTTTGTATGGACCGGAGGCACATTCAACTAGGCACTGGTCAGAGGGGTAACAAACTGCAGGGTTGCTTTACTCACGCTCTCTCGGATCGAAAAAGTAAGGGCACCCAATATACCAAATCGCAATTCCATAGCCCAGACAAGCAATGTTGAACGTCACCACGAACCACCAGTAGTAGTTCAATGCCGGCAGCCGATCAATCAGCTTCTTGAAAAAGTACAGAAAGCTGAACTTGACAGCCACCACACAGGTCCAAGCTAACATGCCGCAGATGGTTACCCATTTGTGGAAGTGGAAGGAGATTTGCATCCAGTCTGCTGGTGGAACGATACCTGGTACACCTCGCTGTAGCGAGACAATGAGATACATGCGATCCATAATCTGCCAGTACATGATGATGATACTGCAGAGAAGAAGACCGAGAGCGACAAGTAAGAAGCCATCATCGACAGAGAAGCCCTGCTTCTGCATACGAAAGCGTATGATGAAGCGGGTAGCGATGGACAGCAAGCATATTGCCAGCAATACTGATGTAGAGATCTGGATGGACAATTAAATAAAACTCGCCGCGATGGACATGTATACTTACAATGAAAGTATCTCGATGGATACGTCCAGTATAATCTTGAGGAAGCATGATGTCGCACAAGAACGAATTGCGGACGACGTTGAGATTAACACAAGCACAATACTTCAGCAGTGCACAAGTTGATGAGATAACGGGAATTCCATCTCTTCCTATATCGTCTTCCTGGATGTAACCATGCCCCAGTTGTGCGCACCCACAGAATGCACGTCTTACTTTAGTGCTTACATCGCAGTATGGCGTACTCTACCGTGCAGCCGGTCAATACACTTTCTGAGTGGCTGCTTAGTCCCCGAAGCCTTGCATACCGCAGATTCAGCCTCGTACTAGCTCAAGTTGAGCGCGAACATGTTTCCTGCCTACAAGTTCAGAGGGCATGCCCCACCAACGATTCCACTATTGTGGTTTTCGAAATACCTTGAGCCGCCTGGATCTGGTTAGCTTGGTGCCCAAGAACATCAACTCCCATAGTAATTTGTTAGTAAATTAATGCAGCAGCCGTTTCCCACCTCCAGAAGCCCATGAAGCTAGTCCTGTACTCTAAATCGTTCGTGTATAGCGTTTTGTTTGTGTGGAGCTTGTTGCGAGCTCAATCTAGCTGCTGTTGGGATGCCGCCCAAGCGCCAGCGTAAGCCGAAGCAGCCATTCGATCAAGGCGTTAACCCGTCCTCCCAGAAGCGTAGAGCGCCAGCAACTAGACAAAATCCTACCCATTTAACGCCTAAACGTGTCCGCCGTGAGGCGCTGCCGTCGCCTCCAGCGACTGCCCCGCCGCGCCGTCAAAGCCCGTTGTCCGAGCCTGAGCTGCAAGCCACCCAAACAGCTGCCTCCGCGCAAGCTGAAGATATCGTTGGCGAGGATGAGGATACTTTCGAGGATGGAGATGGCGATCCGCTGCCTGAGGATGAGGATGAGATCGCTGCTAAGGGCGCTGCCGGTAGTGTTGAGGATGAGGGAGAGCCAGCGTACCGACGTCAAGAAGGCACTCCATGGCTGCCTCGCTCATCGCAAGCGCTAGAGGATGAGGTTAATCCTGTACTGCGCGTTAGGTGGAGGGCTTGCCTTGGTGGTGATATGGAGAAACACTTTATTCCTGAAGCTGCCGATAGCGAGCACGGCGTACGGCTGTACTCGCTGCATTTCGACGACCTATGGCAGTGGGTAGATGACGTTGTTGCAGAATTACGGCCAAAAAGAGCGAAGATCTCATCTGTTTGCACTGTTGTTTACCCAGCTAAGCAGGCCAAACGCGAGCGCGCGATAAAGCGATTGCGGCGAGGTGTTGATGCAACGTGGAATAGCTTTCAGCGCCTTGTTGTAGAGGTTGATAACTATGTCAGCGAGCCAGTAAACGTCGATTTCGAGCTCATCTTGGCTGAAATTCCAGGGGAGCAGCAGCCGTTGCCAACGGTTGTCGACGGTCCTCGTCGACGCACCGCAACGGTGATTCAAGAGGAGGGGCTTGCTGGTGTAATAGCAGCTGAACAAGCAGGTAGCGGGCATGCTATTGCTATCCGGGATAGATGGCGCTGTACAGATACCCATTGCGAGAACTATCCTTATTGCTGCTGGATGGCGCCAACAGCGAGGCAGCCAGCGCGCTTCGAAGATCACCTCTTTGTCAACGGCAACATTATCTCCATGTGGGCAAGAGCAATTACAGCGAGAAGGGCAACGTACGATGAGCCATCTGATGATGTACGGCTTGCAATTTTGAGAGCAAAGGACCTGCGGGTGCATGAGAAAACGCGCAAGTTGCGGGCGGCTGGAGATGGCGACGATGATATCAAAAGCTTAACAAAACTGCTCATCGTTGGACAGCTTGAGCGGATGAACAGGCAACCTCAACAGGAGTCTAACTTGCAGGCAGCTGCACCAACGATAACAAGAGCTGAGGTATCTAGTGCATCTCAGTGGGCGCCTATCCGATATGATCATGAGCAGGAGATTAACGAGCATACTAGTAATTTCTTTAACTACCTTAAGTTAAAATTTCCTACAGTTGGAGAGGACATTAACGAGCTTTATAAGACTCTTGTTATTGACGGAGCTATGGATATCAACCTCTTGATGCAGCCATCTGGTGATATCTTGAAGTTGTGGACGCAGCATTTCAAGCAGCCTCCTGGCTGGTTTTTCACGCTACAAAACACTGCAAAAGAATGGCAAGCTGGGTACCAGGGTCTCACAGATCGTAACTGGAGACGAGTCGAACGTTGTAAGAAAAGAGAAGAGATTGCGCGCAAGAAATTGGTGGTTGAACCGTCTAGCAGTGTTGTGGAGGATGATGGCGAGAATGCTTGAAGCTTAGTGGCCTGAGCGTTTTTGGTGACAGCGGCCCGTGCCCGCTATAGTGTTGAGGTTTTTCAGGCGTTTCAAATGCGCTGCAACAATAGTCTATTTGGATAGCCCTATGTACAACACTACAACGTTATGCGATTATAACAGGTTAACTTCCTAAGATAGTTCTATATGTATAGAAATAGCTCTTATTTTTTTAGAATTATTAAATCGCTTTTGTGGGTTGCGCATTAAGGTGTAATCGTTCGCATTTGTATGGTATCATCTACCTATAGAAACGTACTGTGGCATCCATTTAAAAGCACAATTAATAGGGATAGCCACACCTATGGAACCAGCTTCTGCAGTTAATATTACAGCACACCAGCTGCGCTGCATACTCAAGAAAGACCCCAAAGTCAATGAAGTTCTCCGCTTGCGCTGAATTCCTTTTCATCCACCCCTTGAGCTGCTTAAAGCTCTTCTCGATGGGGTTGAAATCTGGTGAGTATGGCGGCAGATACTCAAGGAGTACTCCAGCACTTTGGCAAAGCACCCGTACACGCTCTGATCGATGGATGGAGGCGTTATCAAGCACGATTACTGAGGCTGGCCCTGGGTGAGGATTGCAGAACGGCAGCACTTGAAACTCTAAGAAGTCTTCTAGGATCTCAGATGTAATCGCGCCTTGAAAGATCTTATAGCTTATGTAGCCATCTATCGTCATGGCTGGCAGCAGCGACCACCGTTCTGATCGCCTGAAGCTGTGTGATAGCTCCACCGGCTCCCCGATTGGAGACCAGCCATACTTGCGGTCGCCCGTACGCTCATTGCAGGCGCTCTCGTCCAACGCAACGATCTGCTCCGCCTTATAGTGTTGCGCCATCCTGGCAAGATAGAGGCGGCGGAGTGGCTCACTCTGCTCCTTTGCCCGCTTTGTTGCAAGCTTGCGAGACCATCTCATCTTCTCTAGCTCTCGGTAAACGCTCGCAAGGCTTATCCTAACGTCGTACTCGTCGTACAAGAAGTCCCTCATCTCATCCATGTATGCGCCCGGTGAGCCATTGAGGTATGCCTGAAGGCCTTCGCGCTGAGCTTGCCGGAGTATAGATGGCCGCCCAAGTCGAACGCAGCGCGGCGGATAAGGCACGCCCCAAAACTCTAAGCTCAACCTCAGCTTTGCTACTGTGTTACGGCTCGCACCTGTAGCTCTAGAGATGGCTCGATCACTTTCGCAGGCAGCAATTCGGTCGAGGATAGCCTGGAGAACAGCGGGCTGCAAGCGGTGGCCGGTGCCTGGCATCGCGATGAGATGGGCTCGAGAAAATTGCAACACCAAAAACGCGAGTCAGTAGAGGCGATCGCAGCAAACAATGAACTTCAAATACGTTGTGGGTGTTAGAAAGCGTGGCTGCATCGATTTACTAACAAATTACTATAGGAGTTGATGTTCTTGGCCACCAAGCCAACCAGATCCAGGTGGCTCAAGGTATTTCGAGAAACACCCATAACAAAACGGCGGCTAACGGGGATTTCTTGGTGGTTGGCTGCGCCCCCACACGCTCTTACAGCCTCAACAGCCCCAATCAATAGCGGGAGATTGTTGGGGGCCGTTTTTGTGCTCGCAGCTCGTGTGTGATGTGACTGGGATAATGGAGTACGAGATTTGTTTTTACCGGTTGGTGTTCTCGAGATAGGCAAAGTCGCGTCGCATAGGAAGGGTCCACGGGAGCCTGCGCCGCCTGCGCCGCAAATAAACTCGCCAAAACGGCTGACGCGGTGGCAGACAACAAACAAACTCTCTTTTCTCTTTTCTTTGCCTTACTTTCGTTACTGCGACTCGAATCTCGCAGAGGTGTCAGTCATGGGTTCTGTCGGACTCTACGGCCTCGCATGGCAAGTTGCAGTGTCGGCAGCTGTTGCAGCTTTCGGTGTCTTCGCCTTCAAGATGTACCAGATGCGCATCATCTTCTACAAGCTCAAGAAGCAGGGTCTGGTATGTAGCTTCATCATAGCGATTGAGGGTGTGTATGCTAATACGACTTCCACCAGCCAATGCCCGAGTGGGACTTTGCAGCTGGCAACCTCAAGACGCTGCCGGGACTTCTTGAAAAATTCCCCAAAGGCTCGCAGCAATCCGATGCTTTCTCTCTGCTCTCCTACGACTTCAAGGAAAATGATAATTGCTTCTACATTGACCTCTGGCCTTTTACGAGCCCGTTGCTGGTCGTCACTTCCCCAGATCTTGCCATGCAGGCTTGCGGCCCGGAACATGACCTCCCTAAGCCAGCAATTCTCATTCCGTTCTTTGCACCGTTTGCAGGTGGACCAAACCTGTTTGACATGAATGGCGCTGAGTGGAAGCGTTCGAGGGCTCTCTTCAACCCCGGTTTCAGTGACAGGGTCATGCTCGAGAGCACGCCGCACATCATCGAAGAAGCTGAGGTCTATGTGGCACTGCTGCGGGAACATGCGAAGAAAGGTGATACTTTCTCGCTTGATCGACTGACATGCGACTACATGATGGACTTGATTGGAGCTATCACCATGTAAGTAGAATAGCTGAAAGCACTCCTCTTTTCAAGCGACTAACATGGCCAGAAATGCTCGCCTCCACTCAATGACTGGACACAACGACCTTGCCGCTGCTATGAGGAGTTCCATCGAATGGCACTGCCAAGATGAAGAGATGAACCCGTTCAAGCGCTGGAACCCCATGAGGCCGCTGATTGAATGGCATAATGGCAAGACCATGGATCGCTACATCAACACCGAGTTGGACAAGCGATACGAGGACTGGAGGACCAACGAGCCAGACACGCGTGCCAAGTCAGTCATGGATATCGCAATTGCAGCATACATGGGCGAGCGCAAGGCTTCTGAGAAGCTGGACGCTCAGTTCAAGAAATGGGCAACGACGCAGATTCGTCTTTTCCTATTCGCTGGTCACGACTCAACTGCCGCTACCATTGTATACAGTTTCCACATGCTGTCCAAGTACCCTGAAGCCCTGGCCAAGATCCGTGCCGAGCACGACGAGGTCTTTGGTGGAGACGTCGACTCTGCTGTTGAGATAATCAAGGAGCGCCCAGAGCAGGTGAACAAGCTGCCATACACGACTGCGGTGATCAAAGAGACTCTTCGCTTGTTTCCTCCAGCTTCAGGTATGCGAGGCGGTCGTCCTGGTGTTTTCCTACAGGACAAGAACGGTACCAAATACCCCACTGAAGGCCTCAACATCTGGGTCGTTCACGGCGCCATCCAGCGAAACCCCAACTACTGGCCTGAACCCCACAATTTCATTCCTGAGCGCTGGCTCGTCGAACCTGGTCATCCTCTGTACCCTCCAAAGGGCGGCTGGCGTCCTTTTGAGTTTGGCCCGCGTAACTGCCTAGGCCAGACCCTTGCTATGCTTGATATCAAGATCACCCTGGCTATGACGGTGCGTGAGTTTGATGTCAAGGATCAGTACGATGAGTGGGATCGACAGGATCCGTCATCTGGTATCAAGACAGTGTTTGGTGAGAGGGCGTATCAGGTTCCTCAGGGTGCAGCACACCCGGTTCATGGCTTCCCTTGCAAGGTTACGAGCCGTCGTTCAGATGACAAGGCTTGAGTAAAGCTTATGGGGATACGAGCTGAGGACTTTCAAAAGAAGCAGACGCTCAATGTGGGCTGTTATGCATGTCTTTCTTCGGGCGTTGGAGTCACTAAATTCGTCGATTGTAAGTAACAGTAGTCGGCGCATGAACTCGATTAGGGGGTAATAGTATATACCCAAATGCAAGTAGGGAATTCAAAGCGACAAAAAGTGTCATTACACCACGCCGCTGCAGATTCGGTTATCTGACCTCGGCAAAGACACTAACCCCTCTCGTCGTGAACATCAAGTCGGCTATACAACATACACATCAAGTACATCCTCCCCCAACAAACATGACCAAATGTAAACCCCACCCATGCCACAAAAACACACACAAAAGCCATGTTCTCCCTCACAGCCAAACACACTATCCGTTCCATACGTCACAAACCATGTCTCGCCCGTCACTTCTCCCACACACCCCATCCCCGTATAATGTCCACCTCAAACTTCACCCAAACTCAACTTGAAATCCGCACCGCCATCCAATCCCTCTGTACATCTTTCCCAGACCACTACTGGCGCAGCCACGACACTGAAGCCAAAGACCCCAGCACCTTCCACTCCGCGCTCGCGGCTGGCGGCTGGCTCGGCATCGCACTGCCCACGTGCTACGGCGGCTCCGGGCTCGGCATCTCCGAAGCAACAATGATGATGCAAACGATATCTGAGTCCGGGGCCGGAATGGCAGGCGCACAAGCAGTACACGGGAATGTATACGCCACGCAGCCGCTTGTACGGCACGGCAGTGCTGAAATGTGCGAGAGTCTAGTGCCACGGATAGTAAAGGGGGAAGTAAGAGTGTGTTTTGGGGTTACGGAGCCGGGGAGTGGGTTGGATACTTTGGGGTTGAGGACGCGGGCTGTGAGGGAAGGGGATGAGTATGTGATTAGTGGGGAGAAGGTTTGGATTACGGCGGCGCAGGTGGCGGGGGTTATGATGCTTTTGGCACGAACAGGCGACGGAGACAGTGATGGTGGTAAGAGTATTGGTAAAGATGATGGAGGGAAGAAAAGATCCCACGGCCTCAGTCTCCTCTGCATCCCCCTCGACCGCGCAAACCCCGCCCTGGAAATCCGCCGCATCCGCAAAATGGGTGGTAGAGCAGTCGATGCGAATCAAGTCTTCTTCGACAAGTACCGTGTCCCCGCTTCTTCGCTTATCGGTGCTGAGAACCACGGGTTCAAGATTATCCTTCAGGGAATGAATGCGGAGCGGTGTCTCCTCGCGGGTGAAGCACTCGGTTTGGGGTACTGTGCCCTATCCCGCGCCGCAGAATACGCACGCACACGTGAAGTATTTAACAGACCTATTGGTATGAATCAGGGTATTGCGCATCCGCTTGCAGACGCGTATATGGCGCTTGAAGCGGCGAAGCTGGCGACGTATCATGCGGCGCAGTTGTATGATGAGAGTCAGCAGGAGGGCAGTACGGTGACGCACGATGAGGTGGGCGTGGCGGCGAATAGTGCAAAGTATCTTGCTGCTGAGGCAGCCTTTCGTGCGTGTGAGAGGGCTGTGTTAACGCATGGGGGTATGGGGTATGCGGAGGAGTATGATGTTGAGAGGTGGTTTAGGGAGAGTTTGGTGCCGAGGATTGCGCCGGTTAGTAGGGAGATGATATTGAATTATGTGGGCGAGAAGGTGTTGGGATTACCGAGGAGTTATTAGGACGTGAGGGTTGTGAGCCAGATGGAGAAATCAAGAGGATGGTTTTGAGATCATGGACCATTATTTGTAGATACAAGAGTCTTGCTTCTTCTTCGTAGATATAGAACACGTTCAACACTAAATATCCAAGCTAAGATGAGCGCCAAACGCGATGCACACATAACCCTATAACACTTCCACAGAAATAAATTCACTTCCCCTCATCGTAATGCTCTAAACGGATATCCAGTCAAGAATCCAAGTAACAGTAAAGTAGCGTCGATACAAATACACCTTACGCCTATACACCAACATTGCATCATCAACATTAACACTCTTTGCAACACTTCACCTTACTCCTCCTTTTTGGTCTCCTCAACACGCTCCTGTATTAAGTCAACCTGCTTAACAGGATGCAACAGCACACCAGGCAAACACATACGCCCCTCGTGCGAAAGCTCTTCCTCCTCACCGCCGTCGTTATCGACCTTGTACCCGAGCCAGCGCTTCCACAAGTTAGGTGCAAACCCAGCATGGTAGTACCAAGTCGTGCCAAGGAAGTTATGTTGTCTTTCATCTGAGAAAACAGACATACGCGCACCGCCCGAAGCGCCATTCCGTCCGTTGTTGAAGATAGCAGCGAGGTACTGTGTGGGCCACTTGCGGTCGACGAAGACGGGGTGGGGTGCGTAGACAGCCTTGAGGCCATGGTGCAAGGCGCATGATGCCGGCCACATTTCACTAAACATGGTGTGGCGGAAGCGGTATTGTTCGCGGTGCATAGTCTCGAGGAGTCGCCTTGATAGCCGGCCTGAGGTGTTGATTGCGGTTCGCCGTGGTGGGAGCCCGTTCTTCTTGTCGTAGCCTGTGACATCGTCCGCCAGGATCCAGTTTGTGTGGTCTGGGTCGAATAGAGGGTTGAAGACGATCAGATCGGCCGGTTCGCCGACGCCCCACTCGTACTTGTCTTCAAGTATGGTAGTGTTGGGCTTCACAGCTTCGTCAATCTCGATGTCTGGGTAGTCTTGTGGAAGTTCTGGGCCCCAGATGGGCTTCTCTGGCTTTTGCATCTCCGGTACCGGAACGTGCGGGTTTGGGGGAAGATGCGAGGACCATCTGTTGGCTTGATTGTTCGTGCCGTGCTCAGTCTGAACACGCACCGTGTGCTTGAAGTCTTCCCATGTTTCGTGCACTGACGGTACGTAGAAGCGTGCGTTACGCTCCCAGAGTCCTTTACGCGGTTGAGCAGTGGTCCATTTGGAGACTTGTTCAAAGAGATGATAGAAATGTCCAGTATATCGGACGTCCATCTCCCAGTGCCAGAAGAAGTCAAACTCGGGATGTTGGTGCGCAAAGTAAGTGACAGGCATGAAAGTAGAACGGTAAGCACCGTGAACGGGCAGACCGCGGTAGTTGGACTCTTCAAGGCCACCATAGATCAGGCTCATCTGACGTTCAGACCATAGCGTACCCATACCTGCAAATTCGGCGGGCAAAGCATTCTTAAGGACTTCCGCGTAAACCTTCTCGTCGGCCCAAATCTGCTTGTTGTCGTCCTTGACGTGGATGAGGAAGTGCACTTCGTACTCGCCACCCGATGCAAGGGTCAGCTCGGAGATGAGAGCGCGGAGGTACATGAGATCTTCGTCATCGTACTGGTAGTCCCACCATGTTCGGAGGAGTACTGCAGTCCGGGGGAGAAGCGTCTTGTGCACTGCGTTTGACTTCTCGGGAGTTGCGGTGTTGACAGGTGCCGTGCTAGCGATGTCCGCATCGCGCTTCTGCATCTGGAACGAGTTTGCCTGCTTCTTGCGTTGCTTTTGGAAGCGCCCTTTGTTCTTTTGCAAACAACGCTGAGAAGCCTCTGTCCAGTTGATATCGCGAAAGTCGACCTCTGGGGTCGTCTTCCAGACGTCTTCGATGCCCTCGCGATCTCCTTCCATGCCTGCGCCAGTACCACCCCGTCTCTTACTGTAGCCCAAACCGTATGGGCCCAATCGACCGAAGCGCTCAAAGCAAATGTCGTTTCTCAAGCCCAAGGTCTCGTAGCTTCCAATGACATTATCTGGCAAGCCTTCCGGGACGCCCTTGTATGCTCGTAGGCCAGGAATCTTGATGGTATCGTTCGCATCCAGGTAGCACGTCTCCACAGGCCCGTACTTGGCCACATAACTCTCACTGCTGTATTCCGGATACGGGTCGAATTCTATTGAATCGGCAATATGTGAGCCTTGTGATCTTTGCTCTTTCGTGCCCTCCTTTTGTTGTTCGGCTGGTAGCTCGGGGTCGATATCCTGCTTGGTCGGATACTCAGGTACGTTCTTTTCCCGGCTAACCAAGGTCCGTATGCCACCATGGTATCGCTTCAAAAAGGGAAAGCTTTCCCAGACGTTCGGGGGTGGCGGTGGCTTGTTCAGCCCAAGCTCTGCATTCCGTATAGACTCCCAACTGCTGCTGAACAGGAAATACATGAAGAAAAGCAGTGTACTCGCCACAGCCAACCCAAAGTATCTAGTGCATGCCCGCGGATTCCTGTAGCTGTATGCACTCACGGTCGGTTTCGAAGGGTTTCTTCGATGGGATTTGGTCGACGGTCGGAGCGGTCTCGATTCGATATTGTTGGGGTTCTGATCGTATGCGCCTGACGATTGGCGGGAGGACAAGGGACTCGATGTCCCGGATGACATATAGGCTTCATAGTCATCGCTGGCATATCCCTTCTCGTTCAAATCGCCGCCGTCCACATCGCCGTCGTGGTTCGGAGCCTGGTTATACGACTGGGTTTTCCGCTTGCCCACGGACAGGGGGCGGAAGCCGAGCATCTCAGCAACGCTTTTTGTGTCTAACGGCGGTTATGGCATGTGCGGTATGCAGGGAAACGGTGGGCAAGGAGTTGGGTTGCGGAATGTGCGAAGAATGCGGCTGAGTTTTTGTCGCTGATGACGTCGTCGAGCGTGCTGTGGGCGAAACGAGGAGAATGAAGTGTCTAGATATAGCAGAAGACGTTATGGTCGTATCAATGCGTAGAGGCACAGCGCGGGACGTGTGTATACGGTGTTGAGGCCTGCCGTGTAGGCCGGAAAGCGGAAAGATTGCCGTGAGCTAAACATTCGTTGGCGCAACAACCACCAACCGCCACGACGCCCTCCCTGTATGCCTTGTGGGCCAAATGTACGCGCGTCTCAACACCACAAATGTTCATATTGAAATCTTAACGTCCAAGTAAATTGATAGCACTAGTAAATCGACAGCACTAGATTGTAGATTCATCTCCTTTCTTTCCCACACACTCTGATAATCATCCTGAGTCATAGACAACTTTGCTCACCACTTCCGCTTCCGCTTCCGCATCAAAGTATTTATGCAAACCAAGAACCTCTCCGAGTACAATATGCCCACCGCCACATCTGCCTACGAATAGCAATCAATCCCGTCCCTGCACTCTGAACCCCAACACGAAAAAAAGTCTTCCAAGACAGAAACCTCAGGAATAAACTTGTTGGCCCTACCCCGCGAAATCAGAGATGAGATGTACCACCAAATATGGACTGGGACTATACTATCTTTCAAGCAGCAGTGGGAAGACGTAGCGCGCGCAATCACTTTTCACAGCGACGTCTCAATGACAGCACAATACTGCGCCCATGGTGACTACATAAAACATTCATGTAATTACTACTGCATATCCTACGAGATCGCGCCTCCAAGATGGATTTGGACGTGCTGAATCTACGGAGCAATTTTACCGCCATGCACAATTCACTACAAACATGACATATCTTCGTGCGGACCGTGGTCATATTCATACTATCCCCAAACGCATGTTTGACAGGTCGATATATGCCTTCCCGCACTTGGAACGAGCACTTTGTGTACGTGTGCATCTAAAGGAAGCAGATAGGTTTATAACCATGTGCGAAAAATTCAAGTCTCCTGTCTACAAGATACTGAAGCATCTGTGTCAGATCGAGTTGGGTGGAAAGAAAAGGGCATTGCGCGTGCATTTGAAGAAGCAGGCGCAAACCAAGCTATGCGGATGCCATGTGGGTGATACATGCGCCGAACAAGAGATGGTTCGGGAACTGAGTAGAAATGGCTGGGTCATTGATGTGACGAGAGAAGATGGTGTGAAGATTCTGAAAGAGTTTTGAATGTCTTTCTCATTCCAGCTTTCTTAGAAACACAGAATGGGCACAGACTTTTCGACCGACTCTGCTACGGAGATCAGTCTATCCATCTGTCTCGTGTGTATCTCGCAAGGAGATCTAGTCCATACACTACATCCTCTAGAACTTGTCTCGTACAACATGCTCCCTCACAACATTTCTGCCGTCATCGCTCTTTTTCACAGTTCGCGTTGAGGCCATGCTGTCTGCTCTTCCGGTCACGGCAAGCTCTTCCGCTTCTGGTTTGCGAGCTACCATATCTTCTGCTATAGCGTGTTGCGCAGGCGTCGGGTCCACATAGAAGACGAGATATGGCATGGAGGCGCCCGGTGGCAAGAAGACCCTGACTTTGGAGATGAACCTGTTGCCACCAAGCTTATCCTTGTGTTGCACGAGGAAATATCCGGCCCATCGGCCGACTGGTGAACCTTATACACTGTCAGCTATCTCTCACGAGACCCCCAAGGATGCATTACGTACCTAGGATCGCAAGACCAGCGTTATCATCCATCGAGAATTCATGTCCCGGCCAAAGTTTGAACTCGCTCTGCGGTGGACTCAGTGTCCTGAGCGCGCTTTTGAAGATCTCCCGAGAATCCGAATTTATGACCTGGGTGACGATGAGGTACTTGATACCTGCGACGTTCGCGCCGACTCGATTCCAGGTGGCCCATGCTATATCCGAAGGCGTTCCAATGTGAGGCAGCTCATCGGGTTTGGGCTTCCGCTTCCAGGTGAACTTTTCGGCGCAGTAGGACATGCTCATGATATTCATCAGTGCTACCATGCCGTCGGGGTTGACTGCGAACTCGTAACTGGCCCCTGTAGCCTTTTTTGTAGTCAGCACTATGATTATGTCTTTACAAGAGATATGAACTTGCTCTGTATGTCTTGCCACAGACATCGTAGTACTGATATTCCTCAGGTGGGAGGCTTCCATCAGGGTTTCTCTTGATCGCAGGGCCATTGCGATGATCAATCTTGAAGCAGTAATTGGGCCCACCATCTTTGGCCGCCTTTGTATCCAGTCCAAGCTCTTCGAAAGCGCTCTTGATATGATGGTAGTTGTCGAAGTCGCACTCCTTTTCAACACCCTTGCTCAGCTCATCCCTATCGTCGAAGCCCCACTTCTTCAATTCCTCGCGGCCATCTCCATCAAACGGACTCTGGCAGGTATCGGCAAAGTTTGGGGAGTTCCTGAAGAACCATCTCGCTACACTATCCTTTGTCTTGGAAGCTGAGGACAGGGTCCTGCCAATCTCTACGGACTTTTCAAACTTGGAAATTTCGGCGTTTGTGTGGACGAAGGAGGCTTCGTCAACCCTATTGATGTTGAATCCGAGGTTGCGAGTGACGTTTTCGAGCGACGTCTCAGAGGGAAGAGCGACCCGGGCGTGAATCACGGCAGTCAGCAACAGCAGTGCAACGAAGGGTCGCTTCATTTTCGGACTGACCGCTGGTGTTCGGGTTAAGACTGCCTATGGGAGCTGGAGGAACGAACATGTTTGTGTGGTGAGTAGGGGTCCGGGAGTGCAAGCGCACCTACCAGGTGAAGGTGAAGCCGACTCGTTGCCTGATACGACAGACACAATCATTCACTAGCATAGTTGTAGCCTGCAGTCCGAAAAGAGCTAGGTGTGAGTGTGAGCAGTTCCACAATGTCTCTCCCATTTCGAGAATGTCTTCAGCATTAACTACATTTTCAACAATGTCGCATCCCGAAACTGTGGGCATGACATCCCATCTCTCGAGCTATAAGTCCCTTTTTCACCCATCACTTTCTCATACTCAAATCTTGGGTATGCTCCCTTAACTGAAATTATCATACCAAACATGACTCCCTCAACGAACCGCACCTTCAAGCAGGACATGGAAAACGTGATTGACATGACCAACGACATGGATAGTAACGCCCCTTCTAATTCCGGACACGCTGAGCTCTCTAACCTGTTTTCTTCCAACTGCACAATTCGACCATCCGTCCACGAAGAACTTCAAATGTTCTCCTCCAGCTGTATAATTCAACTATCCGTCCACGACCAACTCCACATGTTTACTTCCAGCTGCACGATCCAACCATCCGTCCAAGAAGATGCCAGCATGTTCTCCTCCAGCTGCACGATTAGTGGAAAGACATTGCCAACCATGCCGCAGCTCGGCCCTATGCAACACTACCACACCACCGCCTCGGGTCCCATCTTCGCTCCTATGGCACCGCTACCTCTTCATTCGATCGTAGAGGTAGGTCAACGATTTGACCCTGCTTATTATCAGGCTCCGTTCCAAAGTCCACCTAGCAATGCCAACTACAATGAGATTGAGAAGTGGTTGGACGGGGCTGTTGAGGAGAATGGCTGTGTGTGGAAATGGAAGGAATGAGCGGGCGATTGTTTAATTTCTTGACTCTTGGTTGTGTTGTTCCTTGATGCTAATTTTCACTTTCGTATGTTTTCATAGATAGCTGTAGAATCCCATGCACGTAAAACCTACATACACATGAACAAAACATATCATCCCTTCCAACTGACATAAATTACCATTTCTCCTCAAACAAAATCAAAAACATCCCCCCTCTCCCTAACCAATTTCCCCACCCTCTTGGTCCCCACAATCCTCTCCAACTCCATCTTCTCCCACTTTGAAAAGCACACCCTAACACTCGCCTCTTGTCTACTAATCTCCGCCCTCTCAATCGACTTGCCCACAAACCCAACCACCTCGTCGTAAAACTTCGGATTCTCAGGTACCCCGTAGAACACGACGCGTTTCACACCCCTGATGTTGTATCGGTGGAAATGATGCGCGCGGCCCGTGTACAGTAATAACGCGTGTTTGCCGTTCATGAAGTGAGAACGCGCCTTACGCACGTCGGTTGCGTCGGTGTATTCGGAGATGGACGCGTATGAGAAATCAGAGTCGACGAGTGAGTTTCGTACGCGGACGAAGTCGAGGTAAGAGGGGATGAAGATGAGGACGCCGAGACCGCCTGCGTCGACGGTGCGGGGTAGGCGGGTAATGGAAGGGAGGATTGAGGAGGAAAAGTATTTGAAGCGGGCGTCTGGGTCGGTGAGATGAGAGGGCGAGTCGAAACGGACAAAGGTCTGCTTGATGCCGTAGGAAAGGGACTCGATAAGGCCGTCGGTGTGGTCGGCGGTGTATTTCAATCGACCGGCTACGTTGCGCATATGTTTGTTGTAGAGGGTGTTTATTTTGGGGGTGACAAAGGCAGAGAGGACGATTGTTTGGCGGATGTGAGGGGCGTGGCCGTCAAGATACCAGGATCGGACACGTGAGAAGTCGCAGCCGTGAGCATCTTTGGGTTGGAGGTTAAGGTGCTCAAAGACGTATTCGGCGTGCTCCCAGTTTTGCATTAGTGTGGCGTCAGCTTGCTCCATGATGACCATTTCAATGGAAGAGAGGAAGTCGTAGTCTTTCTTCTTAGGGTCGCCTGACTCGATGGCTCGTCGCAGGCCTAGTGTGGATGCGAAGATGATGTCGGAGTTGTAGAAAGTCGAATATAGTTTCAGTGTTTTGCGGGTTAGCTTTACGCCAATACGGAACTCGTTCTCGTCGTTGCCTTCGAAGAGTTCTCGGAAGTCTGCAGGTCTGTCTTCTGAGAACTTGTCTTCCGGCTGCGAGAAACTGTCCAGAAATCTTTTCTTGTTTTCCTGCTGCTCAAACTCATGGAGTTTTGTGATTGAGTCCAGAACACGGACGCAGGCCTGCTTAGTTTCGAGTAGGAATAGGATCTTTGGTCGTGTGAAGCCCTGGTCGCGATATTCGGCATCGACATCATCGGGCGCAGCTGCAAGCTTTGCGTTGTTCTTAAGCACCCGATCCCGTGTCATCAGGATATGGTTCAGCGCATGGAGACAGGTGATGTCGCGGAGACGGCAGGCGTTCTGCACTGTTCTCGCTCCGAACAGCAAGTCCTGATATCCGAATATGGAAGGCGCAATAGTTTGTTCGACTTGGTCAAAGTTTCCAACTTTGTTCTGGGCATTCTCCACAAGCCGTTGCTTGAGCTGAATGTCATGGACACTCTTCAATTTTTTGGGTGGGGTTTGAGCCTCTTCAACTGGAATTTGCAATACTCCAAAACCCTTGGTGGTCCCTGAACCACAAGTAAGCTTTTGTGACGACCATTGATTCGCCGCTATTTGCTTCAGCCGTGTTGCCAGCTCGTTCTCGTCGGGGTTCGCAAAGTGTTTTTCGTAGGCTTTTTCAAGTTCCTGCTCTTTACCATCATCTTCGTCTGCAGCTTCGTCGTCGGTCTCATGCTGTTCCTGGTCGACAACTGTTCCATCACCCTCTGGCGTGCCATAGACAGATGCCTCCTCGGCTTCGGATATATCCTCTTGCGGCACTTCCTCATGATCCAGCTTCCGTCTCTTCTTGCGATGTTCCTCTGAACCGGCATGGCGCGTCGAGAAAGACTGTAGGAGGGTGGCGTAGGCGTTGGAAGCAGGCTGGGCTTCTTCTTCGTCGTCGTCCGAGGCTGCATCGTCTGAGGCCTCAGATTCACTCTCTTCAGTTTCGGGTGGTTCGCGCATGTTGATGTTGCTTGTGACCATCAGTACGTGGGCCATGTTGTCTGCAAACAATATCCGTACTCACGAATCTTCAGCCTCGTCCCTTATTCTCGCTGCAGCGAATCCACCTCTGTTTCCGCCTCTTCCCCTCCCTCTGCCTCCGCCCCTGCCTCTTCCCATGGCTCCACCGCCGCCCCTTCCTCTTCCTCGAAAGCCACCACCTCCACCACGTCCTCTCATTGGCGCCATTTAAGTATGCGCAAGTCCTGAAAAGGCAAGATGTGATGTAGAAGCCTATTCCACAGCACGGCGATTGCAGTATGACAACACCGACTGCTTTCAATCAACGTGGTGTTGATGTATTCTGGAAATGCTTCTCGCGCAATGCGAATGGTAATGCGACTGAATGGCTTGGGTCCACCAGAAAATAAATCTTGATGGTCCGTGCAAGCGAACCGCACCTGCCCAGATTTCGTGAACAATATCATCGTGCCCCACCACACATTGACATCTTTCGCCAGCCCCAAGCGCCTCGCGACCACGGCATCTTCCCTCTCCCAAGAAACTATCGCTACAATGGCCGCCACCGACTCTTTCCTCCATCTCGCCCGCCCCCTTGGCCCAGCTCCGCTCGGTGCTCAGCCATCGACTGCCCCGCTGAACGTCGCCATCCAACCCCAGGTATGCGACAAATACAGTGCGAGGCATTAGGCACCCTCCCCTCTGACACGCTGTGAACAGGCCGTCTTTTCTATCCTCGATCACTCACTCCGCCGCCCCGCCGACCAAGAACGTGTCATTGGTACCCTGCTCGGCACCCGCAGCGAAGACGGCACTGAAATCGAGATCCGCAACTGCTATGCTGTCCCCCACACCGAGACGGCCGAGCAGGTCGAGGTCGACATGGACTACCAGAAGTCGATGCTAGCCCTTCACCTTCGCGCGAACCCCCGTGAAGTCCTCGTTGGCTGGTATGCGACCAGCAGCGACCTCAACACCTTCTCCGCCCTCATCCAGAACTTTTACAGCCAGCAAGGCGACGGAACATGGCCACACCCCGCAGTCCATCTGACTGTTTCCACAGTACCAGGACAAGACATCGAGTCCAAGACATACATTTCCGCGCCCATTGGTGTTACTGCTGAGCGCGCTGCTGATTCTTGCTTATTCATCCCGGTTCCCCACGAGATCAAGTACGGCGAGGCAGAGAGGTCAGGACTGGAGCTCATTTCATCCGCAAAGGACCGTGAGGACCGATCACAAGAGGTCATGACCGACCTCGACTCGCTTGAGCGCGCAATCCAGCACGTACTTGACATGCTCGAGCGCGTGTCCAACTACGTTAACAACGTTTTGGACGAAGAGGCGGAGCCATCGTCAGCACTAGGTCAATTTTTGATGAATGCACTCAGCTTGGCACCCAAGGTTGAGCCCGCGGATATTGAGCGCGACTTGTATGTTGATATTACGGAACTTATCTAGATCCTGCTAACACGTTACAGCAACGCACACATTCAGGACGTTCTCGTGGTATCATACCTCGCCAACACTATTCGCACCCAAATTGACCTCTCAAATCGCCTTGCTACTGCAGCACTTACTATGGGCGGCGGTGACGTTCTCGCTGGTGACGACAAGAAGGACGGTGACAACAACAGGGGGAAGGGCGGTGACCGACGAGGAGGCGGCAAGGGCAGGCAGCAAAGGCAGCAAGAGGCATGAGCATGCCCAAAAAGGATATACTACAAGGAGTTTGGCGTTTGACTAATGCACCATTGTAGCAGCCGTCAGAGTTCGTACCACGGAGTATCGATGACAGGGAGAAGCCCCATGGACCATGGCCGGGGGCTTCGAATACAGGTGGTGATGACAGCGATAGAGTAGACGACCAAGATAGGGAGGCCCGAGCCGAGGAGTAGGCTGCTCGGTTGCGCGTCATGGCCTACAGTAATGCGCTGCATGCTTACTACACTGGCCGTATAGCAGAGATGCGAGCGTTCACCAGCGTGTGTCAGTGTGGACGTCGATACACACCATGAATTGAAATATGTCAAACTCACCATTCTCATCTCTCGTTTTGCGTGGTGGGATATTGTCAATTTCAAATCTTGCTATTCTGTACACTGTAGATTGCCAGCAATTGCATGCCGGATGGGTGGACATGTATGATTATCATCCTTGGGGGGTATTTATGTAATCAAAGGGATTCGAAGATGCCTGCACCTGTGTATGCTTTTCTTAAGCCCCAGGATGAAGGAGATGGTTCCTGAGTCCACAATCCTATGTCAATGTTCATGTCCATATCCATGGCTATATCCATGCGTAGAAACGCCAGAAACGCAATGATGGTCCTTGGGTTTATGATGATATCTGGGAAGAAAAGACCCTGATGCACTCCGCTGACGCCGTGTTTCTGATACAGAGGCTCGCTGCTCAGACATGATGGCCATGTCCTCTGTCGCAGCGCCATCTGTCCTAGCTGCAACTGACATAGCCGCGCAGTCCCATAACGCGGATCGCAAGTCCAAAGAAGATGAAAAAGCACCAATCCATAGCCCACGACACCTCTTCATGCACTACGCACCGTACTCGCATCATCCCCCCCGCCACCTCCACCACCCTCCCGCCTCTTCTTCTTCTTCTTCCTCCTCTCCCCTTCTTCCCCACCCTCCCTCTCCGCATCCTTCTTCCCCTCCTTGCCCTCCCCCGCCCCCTTCGCACCCGCCGCATCCTTCTCGGCCAACACAGCTCCCTCATCAGTATCAAACGCCTTCCTCTTCCGCTTCAGCTCCTTATCCGTCTCCAGCATCTCGCTCACCCTACCCAGCTTCCCCGTATCGCGACGAAGCATGAATTTGAAATCGTCGAGCTTGATTTTTGCGCGCCGCGCGTGGTGCGCTACTGAGGCGGCTTCGTGGCATGTTTCGATGATGTAGTCTGTTATTATTTCGTCGAGGACGCGAATGGTTTCGGGGAGGGGGTAGTCGTTGTCGCCGAAAGCGAGGAGGAAGGCTTCTACTGTGGGGAGGATTAGTGGGTTGGGTTGGTTTGGTTGGATGTGTGGGATGTGTGTTCAAGTACACGGGTACCGTTTTACTTACAGTCTTGTGTGGGGAATTGTTGGCCTTTTTGGCGCAGGCGCATACGTGGTTCTGTCATATTGAACTACTCTGATCTGGATTCTCCTGCGCAGTGGCGGCGCGTTCCTGATCTTCTTCCCGCCGACGCGTTATCGCCGTCGCGCAATAGAGTCGGCTTTATCTCAATCGCAGTGCTCGTATTCCGCAGCCGTTTCGTAACCGTCCGTCGATGGAGTGGTTGCGCAAGTGGTGTTTTGACAGGTAAGTAAGGCAGCGAGTGGGGTGTTACAAGTAATTGATGTTGATTGAAAGGGCTAATGCTGCGTGCTGCAATGACGATCCTCACATGCGGCCGCCGGGGGTGAGTGGGCGCGCTCGCGCTGCACTGCGGTGTGCGCACTGGCCCCGTGGAACCTTGGAACATCGGACAACCGACGACGACAGTCGAGTGAACGGAAACGTTACCTGTCATTTCACTTGCTTAGGCAACAAAAAAAGACCAAGTCCTCTCACCTATCCACGTCCTACACACGCACACACATCGCCATCGCCATCCTCCCGTACAACCACCTCCGCGCAGCGACAATGGTATGTATCTCCCATCCTCTTCCATCTCATATCTCGAAATGAAAGCACCCCTCTGACACGTCTGCAAGACTGCCCTCTTCAACTTCCAATCCCTCCTCCTCGTCATCCTGCTCACAATCTGCACCTCGACATACGCACACTACGTCTTCCCCGGCATCATCGACCGTAACAAGGACACGTACTATGTATCCCCCATATGGAAGGCTGCTCGTGTGGGCGAGCGGTTGAGTCCGTATGTTAGTATTGCGTGTGTGATTATGGCTGTACGTCCATCCTATATGTCCCTGGTGGACTTGCTAACGGATTATAGGCACTTGAGTTTATGGGCTAAGTAGGGTTCGTCGTGGTCACTTTAGGCACACGAGGAATCAGCCCAGATTTTGTCATCAAAGCAAGGCGTTTATGGGGTGGATTACCTAGGCATTGAGACAGACACGTTTCCAAATACAAAGACTTTTGTAACTTGCACACCTTCAACATCAGTCTAAATTCATAAACCCGCAAGGAACCATCTCTAAAAATAAATCGTCATATTCAAATGCATAGTTCGTAAGATTAAAATATATACAACCAAGCAAGCTTTTACACCCGCCCATATCTTTTTGGCCCTGGTCCCTTCAATGGACCCCACCGCGTTACAGTTCAAAACAATGTGGTACAAAACAAGTGTACCAGCACCCCGTTTCCATCTAAAACCTGCCCAGAACAACATGTCTTTGCCCCCAACCTGACACCAATTTCATACAAGATATGATAATACACGGACGTTTCCAGCGCCTTACTTTGGACACCTCTTGAAAGCGCACAGGAGATGAGATTTCTGACAGATTTCCGGGGGATCGTAACAGTAATCCTGCTGAAGGAGAGAAGAAAAAATGTGTGTGAAAAGCGGAACGCATGTTGATATGCCTCCGATTGTCCTGACCAGCGGACCACCTTGTCCATTGCTGGTACCGTGTATAGTGAAGAGGAAAAACATTGCGCAAAATAAAACAAAAAATCAGCCCATGATTCTATAGCATGAGAAACATTGCAAATTGCGAAGAGGAAAAGTTGACACGAAACGATAACAGTACAAGTCAATCTGATTTGCTCTCACTGCTCAGTGTTTCCGACTTGCCTCTCCTTGCGGGAAGCATCCGTGCAAAGTTTTGCGAGAACCGTTACGTTCTTGTGCACCTTCGACATCGCTCGCATCTTCGACAATGACGTCATCACCACCCAACGCAATGTCGGGTTGGCTGTGTGCATCGTCGGCATCATCATCGTCGTCGTCATCGTGATCGCTGACAAGACCGGGGTTGGACTCGACTGCGTTAGGACTGAGATCTACCGGGGAGTCCGGCATGTGATGATCGCCATCAGTCTTGGCAGGAGATGGGAACGACAACGGGAGGCGCGCATGGCTTGGGTGGCTACCCTTCTTGCCTCCTGATCGCGCTGATGGAGTTTTGCTTGCAGGCCCGCCGGCGGGAAGACGGGCTAGATGGGGTGGTACGGTGGTAGTCGGTGTAGGAGCAGCGCTGGCGTCCGCACAGTCGTCATCTGAAGGGTCCAGTGCATCCAGGTCGATCTTGGCCCGAGCGGTATCCACGAGCTCTTTCAAGTCACCTTGGAAGCCGCTGTTTTGCAGATGGGCAGCCAAGTACGGAGTCGATGATGACTTGGCAAAGCTGGATGGGCTGGCTGGCTTGGGATCTTTACGCGAAGTGTTCAGGTCACGATGTACTGGCCGAGCATGGGGAGCTGGTGCTTGCTGGGCTGCCAGGGGGTGGACGATACCAGGAGTAGATGGTACTGGGAAAGATACTGTCGGCGCCACAGCTGGAGTACTGACTGGTTCAGTTGCAGGGACAGGATTTCCGACCTCGTTGACATCTACAGGAACACCACATGCAATGGCAGCCGCGTCGTGACTCTTGAAGACCTGCGTGTGCTTGATTCTGCAGTGGTTCAAGAAACCCTGAGTATTGGAGAAGTTGCTGTGGCCACACTGAGCACAGTACAAGCGCACCCACTGACCATCGGTGGATCTCTTGTGCAATAGCGGGTCAACCTTTGGTGCTGGTGCTGGAGTTTCACCAAGAGGCGGGAGCTTCAACATTCCAGTCGAAGTCCGCGACGTGCGGCCTCTGTGAGCTGAGCCGTAGTCAGCAAAGCTGCCGCGCGTCGTTCTGCCTTCACCATTGCCAAAGTAACCATGAGCTTGCTGAGCGAAGGCACGTTCAGGGACAGGGTCAAACTTTGCGTCAGAGATGAGCCATTTTGCATAGTGACGAGTGTAGGGGCCATCGGTGACTCCCCAAGGCGCAGCATATTGGGGTTCTGTGTAACCAGCGTTTGGCTGCAGAGAGGGTCCAGTGCCCCGACTAAGATTCTCATTTAGACCCTCGGTACCGGGGTAGGGAATGAGGGAGCATCGCCTAAGTTGCTCGAGCGCACATTGACACTTGGCTAGTTCTTGCTCGATCAAACGCAGCTCGTTGTGCTTGAGCAAGATGTCGTAGTTGATTTGCGCCTCGATCGTCTGTTGCACAGCAGTCATGCCAGAGCCGAGGGTAGTTGATGGCGTGACGACAGCAGTGGGGTCGGATTTGACAGCAGATTGCTGAGGCTTTGAAGACTTGCTCTTGCTCTCTTTCCTCGGTTGCGCCTTGGGTCGGGCATCTAGAATTTGGGCAGAAGCAGTCTTGGGCGCATCGGCAACACGTGAGTTGTCAGTGGCGAGGTTTGCATTTGCGTTGACTGCACTTGGCTTTACTTCGCCCTGAGCGCCCTTCCACTTCTTCACTACATGCGCGTGCTGGGCCGAGGCGGGTTCAGGGCTGTCAGTCTGTTTCCGCTTGATCTTGTTCATGAAGTTTGGCATTTCAACGACGGGTAGCGGTCTTGACTTGTGCAGCGTCGACTTCTCCATGATCTTGTCGCCGGGCGACTCGTTACACCATGGGAGGCGAAACATGGACTGCATTGCGGGAGTGGGAGCCTAAAACCAACAAAGCTCATCTGTCGATGTGGGGGGTCGTGCGCATCCAAGTGGCGGATGCTAGTAAGGCTGCAGGTTGTGACGTTGCAGCAGCAGCAGCAGCAACGGGTGACAGTCTTGTTGAAGAACGAGGACAAGACGGGAATATTAAAAACGGGTAAGGAGGGGTATCAAGGGGTGCGCAAAGGAGTGCAGAAAGAGAACCAACGAGCAGTTAAGCTGTTGTGATGGTGACGTGGAGGGCAAGAGGCGCGAAGATCGGCCGGTTGATAAGGAAGAAACAGCGGCACGGGTACGAAATCGTGGAATCGAAGTCGTGAATACAGGAGAGGGAAGCGTAGTGCAGGTGTGCAGCGCAACAAAGAGCCGTCGAGGGGCGTGGTGGGGGAAGGGGGGATAGGTGAGAAGATGGGGAGCCAGGCGGCGGTGATGTTGTGATGAAGGGCAGCGACGGCGAAGTTTGGGGGGAGCAGTCATTCAGCGCAATTCCACCGACATGGCCTCACACTAGCCAAGGGGGCCCTGTCGATAGACACCCCTTTGTGGATTGGCCGCATCGCCCTTGCGTCTCAGACAACAGCGGAATTTGGCCAAAGCAATACACATGCGCCCATCACAGCCATGATGCTTTTTCATAGCCACGGCGATGACTGCTCCGCCGTCGCTGAGTGGCAGCGCGCATCCCCCCTTGATGGCACCCAAGGTTTACACCTACGCTTTGCTTTTTTACCTTGAGCGCATTTTACATCATCGTGGATCCAGTCACGACGCCTTAGCCAAGGGGCATGAAGCTAAGTCGCTGCCAGCAAACGTTCAGCGACTCAAGTCCCGTCTCAGCGTCGTTATGTCATGACTACGAGTCGTCGCTGTCGCCATATCGCATCCATTCCCCAGCACACGTCTTACAGCAGGCATCCACCTCCACCACCTTGTCCCACCACCACCTTGTCGCGATAGTTAGTGCCATGTGAAAGTGGACTGCAAAATGAAGCGGATGCCCTCGGATCCTCGAATCTGGTTGCGGGTGCGCTACACGAAGATCACTATCCACATGAAAAAGTGCGCACACCTTTACCAGAGGCCTCGAACGGCTTCCGGTGAAGTTTATACATGTCAAGCCCACCCTCACCGTGGCTGTGGGACAAAGTGAATCTTGCTTGGGACGCGCATGCAGCCAAGCACGCCACCAAAAGCCGCTGCGTCCTTGTTGGGCCGCCCTCCACACTTCACCGGTGCGCTAGCACGCCTTTCTTCTGCACACCCCAGCTGAAACATCCTCAACACCACGACCCAACGCTCCCATGCATCACCCTCTCACGACAAACGCCGTCATGTGACGTGCCCCGCTAGACCTGCCTCACTATTTGCAGTTGCCGCGCTAGTATATACCCTGGGCACATCCTTTACAAGCGCCGCGAGCCGCTTACACTGGCCGGAAGCAAAAACCGGTTGTTCTACCAGCTTCCAAATGGTGACTGCATCAAACGCAAACTTGATCGCGGCGGCCGGCCCCGGGGCGGCGGGTGATTGTCCGTCTCCGGTTTGACCCGTGCTTCCCTATCACTATCACCCAGACCTGTGCGCGCATCCGGCTTTTAGTCCGAACAAGAAAAAACGTCGACATCACGACACCAACAGCTGACGGTGCACTAGCCGTTGAACGTTGATATCGTTTGGATCTTGTACAAGCAATAATAGACTTCCAACTCGGAACATGTTCACTGTTTCATGATAATTGACGATAATAATACTCCGCCTGCTATGGCACCGTGACTTAAATCACTCGTGCTTGGCCATATTGGTTGGCGCATCGGCGTATCTGCGGCCTGCACCGAACCATCTCCATTTCTCGACTTGGACTTTTCCGCTGCATCGGCCTCTCGTCTATCGCTCTCGCGCCTCGGCGACATGGCCAGATTCTTAAACGGGCAACTGCCCGCTGCTCTAGCCGCCTCCTCAATCTCCTTCTCTCCATCGCTGCCATGCAACACCCTCTTGCCATGCAAGTACCCCTCTGGCTCGACTTCCGGCACCAATCGCTCCTCCGCAATCTCCTCGCCATCTTTCACGTACCACTTTGCAAACAGGTCGTTTTGGATCCAAAGCACTTTTGACAGCGCCTTGACAAGCCCAATCTTGCGCTCCATCTTCAACCGGGGATGCGACAACACCGCTTCGGTCATGATGTCCTGTATGAACGACAGCGTAACGCCAACATGCACATACTCCACATGAAGCGGGTGCACTCTTCCTTGTCCAGTATGCATCATTCCTACTTTGTCGAGATACTCCCAAAACTCCATTTTGGATGCGTCGCTACACAGTTTGTTGAGGTAGCCGCGCAGGAACATCTTGCGGTGTAGGATTTGCGGTGAGTCTTCGCTGAGTTGTGCATCTACCCGTCCCGAATAGGATGTCGATCGCGTTGTAAAGGCGCGCGCTGTGATGTCGTATTGCAGCAGCTTCTTGTACACAATGTTTACCACGGCGGGTATTAGAGTGCGGATTATCTTTGCGCCCGACGAGAGGGCTTCAATGTCGCCTGGTACGTGTTAGATGAGGCAAGGGCTTATGCACAATTGCGATGCAACTTACGGGAACTGAAGTCGAGGAAAGAGTGTAGGTATTGGATCCGTGATTCGAGGCTTGTGTACAGGTCGCGTCGGTCAATGTGCTGCATTGGGCGTGGACTAAGTGGTGTCATTCTGGCCATGATGAAATGCTCGCTTTGAAGTATAGTGTCAAATTCTAAACTGGCCCTCCAGATAACTACATATATGACAGCTATTTTTATGGTGGTTATGGTTGACGAGGCGCCCAACGTCAGCGCGCGCGGTTCGTGCGTTGGTGATGTGGTTCGATGGTCGTCGCATGGCGTGATACTCGTCTTGTCGTCGGTACATGGGTGTCTTGGAACTGAAAGGAGTCGGCTTGGTAAACGGCGAGTAAGAGTAGAATTGATTCTGTTGGCTTGGCTGTAAAGGAATTATTGGTTTCATTAATACCTCGCTCCTTGTAATATCGGATAGCCTTTGCATGGTATACCAAAAATAGGATATAGTTATTGTAAGCATCGAATAAGTAGAGTCATACTCAACTTAACTATTCTCTCTCCTCAACCACTTATACTTTCTATAGGTCCTTTTTTCTCTGGTAAGAGACTAAATCTGGTAAACGTTCATTGTAGAGTGTCTCACAACCTGGACATCACGGTATTCACGAAATCCATGATCCCAGTAAGCAGATAGATAGCCATTCGTCTGGCTGCTTAGACCATCTTCGTTCTACCCCGATGATGCCGATTTATTTATCTGATGACTGAAAGAGCGTATATTTTCTGTGCATTGCGTGATTATGGTGAGAGATGCCCTGATGCGGCTAGTCATTGGCAGGTGCCGTGACGTCATTAGAATCTTCAATGGCGCTCTTGTTATGTATGATAATCTTGACTGTACGTGTAGGTCTTAGGTAAGGCGCCACTGTCAAAGACGATACTGCAGAATGATGATTGAAAATTGTCAAGGGGTGTGGAAGACCCCACCACACCTATGCGCTCGTAGCCGGATCGAACTTGCATGGCTCCTACCCCACAATGGACATACTACCATCGGTACTGTTTACATCACTGTATATGCGAATTTGAGTACCTCGCGACTCACCTTGCCTTGGAAAAGAACATCTGAAAATACACAATGGCCATTACCAACGTCGCCCTCATCGGCGGCACAGGAACGCTAGGTGCACCTGTCCTAAAGGCGCTCAAAGCCTCCGAATTCGACATCTTCGTCCTCAACCGTCGCACATCCAAATCGGTGTATCCGAAAACTAAAGTCATTACCGTGCCGGATGATCTCAACGTTGATGAAGTCGCCAAAGCCCTGCGGGAGAAGAACATCGACGCCTTAATCATTACCATTGCTGGCAGCCATGTCGACTCGCAAAAGAAGCTAATCGATGCTGCATTCAAAGCTGGTGTCAAGCGCATGATGCCTGCAGAATTCGGAAGCTGCGACTCTGCAGACGAGCAGACGAACGAGATCTTGCCGCTGATGAAGGGCAAGAAGGTCGTTCGGGACTACCTTTTGACACTACAAGACAAAGAGCGAGAAGACGGCATGGGCAAACTTACCTGGACATCTCTCATCACGGGACACTTCTTCGACTGGGGTATGACCTGCGGTCTACTAAAGTTCGATTTAAAGGCTCGAAAGGCGTATATCCTTGACGGCGGCAACATCAAGTTCTCCGCTACGAATCTAGACTTTATCGGCAAAGCTGTTGTTAAGATTCTCGAGAAAGCAGATGAAACCGCAAACAAGCTTTTGTACGTCCATGGCCTCCACGTCACACAACTCGAGGTCCTTGCTGCGCTAGAAAAGGCTACGGGGGAAAAGTTTGAGAGGATCGATCAGAACAGCAAGGAGGAGCTAGACGTTGCGAGACCAAAGATGCTGGAAGGCGACGGCGAGGCAAGGGAAGAAGTCGTTGCCGTATGGGGCATTGTCGCCGCTGACTGGAAGGAGAAGGAAGGCTTTGCCAACTCGTTACTTTGGATTGCAGGAGGAGGATCTCGATGAAGTTATACGCCGAGTCGGTTTCCGAGATGTGAACGCCTCGGTCGCACATGAAGTCCTTGCATTTCCAATCACCACACCAATACGAGCTTCCATACAGAAGATACAGCACAGCAGATGATGCAGTCTTAAGAAATAGCATCCATCACTGCCAGCACATACTAATCAACTGCACTTACCAGCATGATCACTGTCGTACCAAGTTGATAAACTTCACCTTTTCGCCCAACCCCCCAAATTTTCACGCCTTTGTGCATGCTGTAGTGTAGCACATAATAGCGCCCACACTTCGGAACCAACCCAAATCCGAAACCTGATTACTACACGTGGTTAGGTGAAATTGTAGGTAACAGACCTGATTACTGAACGTTGTGCCGAGAGGAAAGCATGATTACTTATCCATCATCCACCCCTAGTCTTGGCGACAAACAGAATGATCCACTAGTCTATACAGACACCTTCTCACACGAAAATAGTAGTTCGGTTCGTGTATATAATATCGTGGTAATTCCCCAGTAAAACACCCATCATCCGACAAACACATCCATCCATATACCAGACACGAGCCACTTGACCCTAGACCCCTTCACCACACCATTCCAACCAAAATGCCCCTCTGGATCATATACCACTCCCCTTCCACCTTCGCCTCTCCGCAAACCAAACAAGCCCTCGCCGCCTCAATCACAGCAATCTACCTCGCAGCAGGCCTCCCCGCATTCTACGTAAACGTACTTTTCCAACCTGTTGAGCCGACCTCGTTTTACGTGGGCGGTGTTGCGAGACCAGCGATGGGTGTCGAGGATGCGGATGCGGATGGGGAGAAGGAGAGTCGAGAGAGGCCGTTTGTTCGGATTACTATCCAGCATTTGGCTAGGCAGTTGTATGTTTCTGTTCCCAACTTTGTCTTTTCTTGGTGTACACTGCGACTGTATGCTGTGGTCTGCTGAGTACCCGGGACTTCATCACCCACCTTAATCACGCAAGGTACATTTCCCCACTAACAAGTGATTAAACAGGCCAAACGACACAGTCCGCGACAACTTCCTCAACAAGGTCGACGCGGTGCTGAAACCGTACATAGCAGATCGCGGCTACGACTGGGAGTATACAGTCGAAGAGCTGCGGCGCGATTTGTGGAAGGTGCAAGGTATGGTGCCGCCGATGCCGGGGACGGAGGCGGAGAAAGAATGGGTTAGATTGGGTAAGGCGGTGGAGTTTGAGAGTGAGAAGGGGGTATCAAACTTGTAAGATTGCGTGGGCATAAGTGTTGGAAATATGTTGGGGTATATCAGAATGTGGAGTATGAATTATGAGATGTACAGTGCAGCTTTTTCGTTTAAGAAGACCAGTGTAGTCTGTTGTTATATGGGTTTCTTGGGGTATCTTCCGTGGTTCAACGCCATCCCAAATGGCTGTTACCCAAAGCGAACGCCCGTGATTACCATGATTTGTCTGCTCGTACCACCTATGCCCAACCAGTTGCGCCTGCTAGTCTCGTCTTTTAACACTAGTGGAACCCAACATTGGTCGGCTCAGCAAGCTGGCCACTCAGAGCGACTCCTCAACCACTCCTCCGCAGATCTCCCAAACTCTTGTCTCGTTGCAAATCCTCTGTGGTCTTGAGATCCTTGGTGTTGCCTTGCGCCTGACTGCCCTTCACTCCATGCTCCACCTCAAGGCGCTTCTTCCAGACAGCAAGGTCATCGTCTGCAGCCTTGTAGGGAGGTGCGGACCTGGGTTGAGCGAGGACTCTCTGACTCTGTGTGCGACGAAATTGTGTGCCGTCGTAGATGATGTTGTTGCTGGGACTAGAGACGCCGAAGAAGTTCTGGACGTCCAGTTTGAAGACTGGGTCGGAGAAGAAGACGTGATCGTTCTTGTTTGCTGGCTCAACTTTCTATTCATGTAAGAGCTTTGGTTCATTAAATGTGGTTTCGGGACATTCGCCTACCCTATAGGTTGGAGTGGTGCGCGTAGGAGTCTTGACAGCGGGGGGAGGCATCGCTACGCGGCCATTCGTATGCATGTGCGCCGCTACAGGAACAGTTGGACGTGGTGGTGGTGGTGTTGAGTTGGGGGTTGGAAGTGCAGATGTCATATTTTTCGTAGTGATGTTGGTTTCGGTGTTGGTGTTGTTCTGGGAGAAGGCCTGGTGGCGATTAATACTTTGGAAGCGAAAGTGAAAGTGACGATGTATGCGGTAACACCTTCCTTCCTTACCTTCACACCCATCTCTTTCAGTAGAAGGAGCACACCCTCATGGGCCATCCGCGCAGTTGGGGTTTGGATCAAGAGCTCGATCTGTGCAGTCCAGGCCGAATAACTCTCTCCAGCCTTTATGGCGGCTTTGGCACTATCCAAAAACTCTTGATAGACTCCCCAGTCGATACCAAATTCTGCTTTGAGAACGCGCAGAAGCGGGTAGAGGTTCTTGTCATCCGTGTCGACAGAACGCCCACGACGGTGGCGTGCCATGATAGATTACTAGCAAGTACACTTGAAAACGAGTTTGGAGATGTAAGAAAGAAATGTGGGTGGTGTTGGGTCAAGGTACCCGATATAGATCTCTGGTCATCTAAATTTTGCGATGTGAATTGGTTGTTATGGTGATAACAGTAAATATCCCGTGACAATACCACGCTGTCTCACAATAGCAGCGCACGTGCCTAATGCGCCGTTTGCTGCCAAGAAGCATGATAATGACTACCAGCTGACCAACTGAGTAATTCTAGGCTGACTAATGGTGTTAAGCATCAGCGCGATCTCAAATAGACCAAGATGCTCTAGGCATGGCCGACAGGACAGTCTCTGCTGAACGAAGTATATCCAATATATGGCCAGCGAACCTTTACCGAGAACCGAGTCTATTCGAAAATATACCCTGAGACGATATCGGGAGGTCTTGATTTGATAGCCTTGCAAACAATATCGCTTGCTTTGGATTGATATGCAATGTTGGTAGAAAGCTGACCGAGACAGATACCACTCTCCAGACAGTGATTCGAGACCCTTTTGCAGAACGTCTGAGAGGGAGAGCGCTTCTGATTCCAAAATAAATGCTGTTTCGTACACATGTTCGAATGCACTTCTGGAAAGGAAAGATCGGTGGTGACATTGAAAGAGTGTTTATGCAGTCCGTTAGAGGAAGTCAATGCGACGTCATTGCTTGCGCGTGGCGGGGTATACGACAACCACCTTCCAGCGTTCCTCTTTGCGCATATCTAGACATAAGCATGAACACAGCCAGATACAACGAGTGAAATCGCAGTGTATGGCTTCATTGGATGTCTTCTACAGACGTGGCAGGGCGGTCATGATGCACATTGAACTCCAACGAGCCGCATGACCTGACCGGAAATTACTCCAGCACTGCCCCGACCAAACACACAATGAGCAAGTTATTTAACATTAAATGATACGTCACAGCCATCACACATTCACGTCGCAGCAGTCTCGCGGATAACTCACCTGCAACAGCAAACACCATTTTGCCTATTAATTTCCATCACCCCAAAAGACCACTCTGCCAATCACAACAACATCACATTTTTCCAAATGCGTACCCCAAATCCAGGAGATGCTCCAGTGTCGCATGGGCTTACGCGCGCACACATTCAAGTCTGGAAGTAAGCACTAACCGGACACTTCGCACTCATGCCATGACACTGCTAACGTAGCGCAGAAACACCATCTACGATATCAAACAAAGGATACCCTTTGCAGAACGCTGGCCATGCATGTACTGTCATAGCTTCATCGACATGGAAAGCCTGGAGCATCGCTCGCGCTTCAAGTGTCAGAACGCCGAATGTGTGGGAAAAGGCAAGTGGCAGGTGACCTGCTTCTGGGATGTCAAGCCACAGAAGAGAGGCAGCGATGATCTTTCCGTATCCACAGGCTGACATGGGAACATCAAGTGGACGGCCTGATCTGGCCTGGTTTGGGATAGTTTCAAGGCTGAGGGTCGCCAATCGATTTGGGTATACGGTTTGGATAAGATGCTAGGCCGCTGGCTACCAAGACTAGTATGGAGATGTTATTTCCAGCACTTTCGCTTGGATTGTGTCCTGAACTAGTATGCAAACCCCGTATACAAATGGAGAAATGCTGAGACTCAAGGGAAAAAGAAGAGACCAAGCAGCCTTTTCGTGCGCAAATCATTGTGTCCCATGTTCCCGAAAGCCACGTCTACCCGGAGAACCAGCTTCAGCATACGAAACATGTCTCGAAGCCTTTGTTCCAATGCCTAGAACCGAGGCAGAACACAGCAAGTCCATACCTAGGGAAGAGAGCGAGAGAATGAAATTAGGCTTTGATTTGTCGCGCCACTGCCAAAGTCTGCTTTTGTTTAAGTCCATTGAAAAGAGACAGCCGAGCTCAGGGTACATGACTTACATGCCGTCTAACTCATCGAGATCTTAGTCATTCCGCCAAGCATGCGCTGTGCTTATTCAACATGCGGACCCATCTGACCATAAAACCGCGATCATTCCACCTAACTATGTGAGTCAAATGAACCAAACTGACAATCCCAGAACACCACCACTTGTGTATCGGTCTAATTTAGGATATACGGGCACAATGGATAGATGGACAGAAAGCGCCCAAAACGGCCAGTTTGACCTCTGTGGTCATAAGTTTGTCGTAGAGGGCGTTGAATGAACTGATTTCTTGGTCGATATCCGTCACCGGGTGTTCGGGCACAGGATCTCGTTTGGAATTGTAGTGCGCGATGCTGTTGGGAAGGTTGTTGTTGATCTTGTCGATGATAGTAGGTGTTTCCTTCAATATCTGGGTAGCCAATTCGGTAACAGCAGAGATAGTCTCGGCTTCGATCTGTAGAGAAGCTGCGTAGTTGTCGAGGATGTGGCCTGTGCGCTTGTAAACATCGAGCTTTTCGTCTGTGGTGGAAGCTTGTGTATCGGGAGCGAGAGCTTCTTGCACTTTCCCAACAGTGGCTTTCTGAGCAGCTTTCCTATTTAGTGTAGTCTGCGTCGATTTCTTCGTATGCCTGATGTCATTCCTGACTCGGAAGAGCCACGCCCACATATCGAAGTAGTTCATGTTGAGTGTTGGTATCCTGTCGGTATATTGGAGTCTTCTATTCTGGAAGATATGAAGGTAGAGATGGGGAGCTTTTACGGACAAGTAATTCAAGGTATGTCGAGTTGTGACTAGCGCGTGTAGCACACACTCGACCCTGAAAAGCTTGGCGCACATGGGGTCAGAGACGGTGGCAAGACCACAAGACTACAGTACATGAACAACAAAATCTCGCTTAGGTACCCCAGAGAAAAAGCTTTGGAAAGACCGAACGCTGTGGTCACTCTAGGTAAGATTCCAAGTCGCATATACGCTGAGCCCATATTTCAAAGCTCCTCAATACCCTCAATCTCTCTTTCTCTATTCAAAGACACTCTCACCATCTTGCCCTTATGTTCAAACAAGCCTTTGCGCAGTTGATCCAGGTAGATCTCATAGCTCGGCATATACCCATCAATGAACGCACGAACCTGCTCGTCCGACATCCCAGACCCCTTTGACTCGATCATCTTATGCTCCTGCTGAAGTCGCCAGGTATACACGTTCCTGAGATTGTCCGTATCAATATGAATGAAGAAGTCAAAGTGCTTCGGACCCATGAACGCATCGCAATACCGTTTGAGGTTCTCATTTACGTCGAGGAGATGAGAAAGCTGGTGATCTGCAGGGGTGTTGATAGTGAGCTTCCCAGCTTTCGCAAGCAAGTATCTTTCTTCCAGGAAAGCCTGTGAAACGGGCTGGAAGCCAACACACCAGCCTTCGAAAACGACAACATCCGGCTTCTGCGTTATTGTCGGCCATTCCGACTCGGGAGCTCGGTCCCCTTCTCCGTTGAATTTACTCTTATCGAAGCTTGGGATCTGGAGTTTGCCTTGGCCATTATATTCTTTCAGGTCATGGAAGAACTTCTGGGCCAATTGCTCGTCGTGCGTGCCTGGCTGGCCGCGTGTGCGGTAGAGTTTGTTACTAGGATCCTGTTCCCGTCGCGCTACCAGCTCGTCGTGTGTCTTGTAAAAGTCATCAAGAGAGACGGTTATTGTATGAAGGTTGTGCTCTTGAGATAGGATCTTGACAACCATGGATGCCCATGTGGATTTTCCTGAGCCTTGCAGCCCGGTAATGCCAAGAATAATGGGATCGGACGACTGTTGTCGATGGTGGTGTATCTTTGGAAATAGAACTTCGAAGGTCCTACGGATGTTGTTTTCTAGACTAGACATGGCAGATAGACCGTGGCCAAAGCTTGGCTGCGGATATATGATTAAGGATATCTGTGAGATGAGATTATTTATTCCAAGTGATGCCTAAGTTCTTCGTTGATAGACATTGAGTCCGAATAGGACGCTGTGGAAGTGAGCCGCTACGATATCGGCCCGAGCGTTCCCCGCACCTTCTCACAAACCCATCACCATCGTTCTGTGGCTGTCTGTCGCAAACGGCCTGTCAGTTCAGTCATGCACTTGACGTTGCACAAGCCGCCCCTGTCGTTATATCGCTTTTCCTCTCGCTAGCAGCTGATCTGTTCAACCAGCGCAGTCCCGCCACGTCAAATCTCCACTCACACCAATCGTCACCTGGTCACGACAGCAGCATATTGCCGCCGCGGCTCGCTACCAGAACAAACCCAGCAGGGCGAACAGAACTGGAGTCGCGATGTTACCGCGTTGGGAAATTATGAGAAAAAGCGTAGATTACGGCACACGATTCCACGGTTCTGATGGTATCAGTTCACCGCCTCTTACGCTGGTGAGCCACTGTTGGAACTTGGAAGCACAGGAGTGAGATTCTCGTCGCGCAAGCGTTCCGAGTTGCAAAGGGGTGGTGGATGGATCGTCACGTCTATCTCGTGATCAGTCAGGCAGGCTATTTTTGGATTTCGGCCGACTTGCCGAGGTGCACCTTTAGCCCGATGTCCTTGTCGGTTACTTCACTACCGACCGGACCTGGTTCCGCGTTAGCCCTGGCGCGCTCCGTCTCGCGTCCGACCCACCATGGGCGTGTGTAAGGGAGCAGGATCTGCTCAGATTGTAGGATAGAACGCGGCTAAGGTGAGAGGATTGCGGAAAGCGGAGAGTGTAGGTTGAGAGGGGGCCATGCGAGGAGTAGTCAGGCCCAGCTGTGCCCCGCTGAGCTTCGCGGAATCCCGCGACAAACATCTAATTTATCCATCCCGACTGAACTGAAGCGTAGGCCAGCAGCACAGATGATGCCGAAAGATATACTTAATTTAGGCTGCAAGTCAACTTCTAGTATTGCCTAACAGATTCCCCTTTCTGATATAGGAAGCTATAGATCCGTCAAGCTTTGACGCTTATATTAATTTGCTCGACTATCTGCACAGGGACCTAACAGTAATGAAGGAATCTTGCATTACGAGAATTTCTCAGAATCACGCCAGCGTTAGTGACAGTTTTTCGCTGACAAGAGTGTCGAGTCGAGCCCTATCACTCTTATGGCGGTAATGCACTGTTTCTTCACTCCTTTACACAATTCATCTCCATTCTATTACTACCTGTGTAAAGAAACTGTTCTTACTGAGATGGATATTCAATTCCTCAGTGACTTACTCTGAGCTGCTGCAGTGATTTGCGCGTCCGTATCACCCTTGCCTTGAATCTTAATCCCTCCACAGCGGTGCTCTTAGCTACATTAGAGAATCTTTCCGAAATAGTTCCGTGCTTCAAATGATATCGATTCGCATGCGAGGCCCATGTGAAATGTGTTCGGGTAAATGCCACGAGCGATTGGGCGTATACCTGCACCACATGAGAGTGATTTGCAGCCTTGATATCTGCCCAACGTCTTATTACATTTTGCATCTCTGTATTATGCATCAAGACGGCTGTAGCCCGTGCCCTGTGTATGGCCTCGAGATTTTCGGTAGTCTCGTTTTGCTGTTCGACTAGCAGCACGGCCAAATTCATCTTCTCGCCTTTTTCTATATCCTTGTCAAGACCAACAATATCATTCTGCAGCCCAACTGTACGTTGTATACAGTCGCTAAATCTCTTGTGTAGAGGCGAAGTCCAGAAGCTTGAAGTGTCGCCGCTGCTACTAGTGGTGCTTCTGTTGTCGTGTAGATGTTTCCCATCACTGTTGTTCCCAGCTCTGAACTCCTTGGCCTCCTGGGCTTCAACACCATCTGATATGTTTGCCAAGATAGCGAAGAAAGGTGTTAAACCTATCGTTCGTACGCGCAGCCGCAGATAATCTTCTATGCTTGGCAGCACCTTCCTGTCAGGCAGAGATGTCAACAAGCAAAGTCAAGCTGGCTTGATTCTTATCGATTGCAGATCACAGACAATATAGAGGCTCGTGCACAGTGGCACGTCCCAGAGAATGGTCTGTGATCTGCAATCGATAAGAATCAAGCCAGCTTGACTTGCTTGTTGACATCTCTGCTGTCCAGGTAAGCGGATTCCTCCTTCAGTGCTTCTAGCACGTTGACAACCTCGGTAAAGACCTTTGGAAGAGCTCGAGGGGACAAGACCACTTGGCATTGCCGAATGAAGCTACTTGCGAGTGCGAGTGCTTTTACATGGTCGTTCTTCGCGAGATCATGGCCCATCATCCGCACTTGACTCACAATATTAGAAAATGCTCCTGGATCACTGTTGATGGCCGTCCTTTTCTGCGTCGTGAGCAGAATTTTGCGATGCGAGCTCATTTCCACCCTCTTAAAGATATCTTTGATACTCCGCAGTGGCTTGATATGTTCCGTCAGATGGGGTTGATCTAACGTCATAGCGTGCAGCGCTTCGATGATTCGTCCAAGTACCAAATTTCTTTCTAGACTGTCCATTCGTTCGATTTCGTCATCGATATTGCAAAGGAAGTGAAACCAAGCGGCCATGGCTAAGATACTGTCCTCGGCGTTTTCGATTGCAGGGAACGCTTTTCGCAATGCAATAATCTCCATGGTAGCTTTCTTCCATGTCCATTCAGGGTTTGGTAGGGATGCCGGAGATCGAAATGCACGATAATGGCGATCTATAAGTACAGCAAGATCTGTCGGTCCCGTATTCGATACAAGCTCATTGGGATTGAATGTTGGTAGCTGGGAAAGAAGGAGTAAGCCATGGTCTGCCTCAACTAGAAGCTTTTCAAAAGAGGTGCTATTTTCCGAGTCTGGAGTGGGTGTGCCTGTAAAGTTGTAGGCGTCTGTTGACTTATGGGATGAGGGTTCACAAGAATTGATCCCACGGCATCTTGATGTTGACTTCGAGGTAAGATATGGCATGGTGTCGCAATGGCTAGCAAGAGGAAACAATTCCGCAGCTGCGCAGTCAGCTGCTAGATATACTACTGATTTCGATTAAAGTGTTTGATGTGGGTCAACTATGGAGCTTTTGTCAAGTGCGACTCCAGATTGTCCGAAACAGCGGTATTCTAAGCCAGAGGCGAAGTTATCTTTCGCGCCTAAAGCAACTACACGGTAATAGAATACTGCTTTTTACTGAATCAAACTGAGCTATACTACTTGCTACCGCCCCACATCATCAATACTTTCGTCAAAACCGGTATAATAGTAGGTTACATCGAGAATGAGGATACCGTTAAGATGCCTTGGAAACAGATACGACTTCTTCATACCAAGATCATCCTGCTTGCGCGGCCACCACACAACCTAGAACCCGGGACCTGGGGAAGTCATCGACTGGAGTCAGTAACGACACGTATTCCTTCTTGGGTCGTCAGCATCACGATGAAGCACAAAGTTTCGGGCAACCATTCCTTCAATCATTCCACGTTTCGAGCTTGTTAGCAAACCTAGTGATGTAGTGATCGATCGCTCCAACTCTGTCGATCATTAAGCGGATATGACCGGATCTGCCGGGTGTGGATGTCAAAGGATGCCACCGAAAAGGGGGTCAATAAGTAAGCGGATGTCACCGGATCTACAGGGGTGTGGATGTCGATGGATGCCACCGTAAAGGGGGCTTCGCGGGATTCGCAGATGTGAGCCTCCTTAATGAAATGCTTTGCACTGAACTGAATGCGGGGCACACTAATTACGGTTGTTTCTGCAGTCTCTGTTCTTCCTGTGCTATACTGTACGGGACGCAACACAGTGTTTCTGTTACCTCGCTTCGAACGCCTGACTACTCTAGACGACTTCGATTTACATCTCAATTAGCTCTCTGCCCAGCTATAAGATGGGGAACGCGGTTTCAACTTTGAATCGTAAGCAAATACAACATGTAATCTCAGTTGTTTGCAAAGTACTAATTCGCATCGCCGCGCAGACATAGACAGAGCTGGACCAGAATACCAGCGACTCTTTCCCCCGATACTGCAGACACAGAACAAACACTTGCACAAAGAAGGCCCGCTCGCACTCTATGAATCGGCCTTTATCATATCCTTTCAGGGGCTTTTCCTCCAGTTGCTCTTCTGGGGCATCTATTCTGGCTTGGTCGGCTTTTCAATGAAGCGCATGATGGACCTCCACTACTTGTCTGTCACTTTCGCAATGACATTCTTACTTCTCACCATTCACTTCCTGTCTGATCTGGAACTGAATACGAGCAAGTTGTTGTTCTTCTCGCAACATGTCGGAATCGAATTCCTCATCGCTATTCGAGTGCTGATGCCGCCGTCCATTGTCCGACAGTGGACTGGACTTATTTTCTTCGTGGTCTGGCTCTTGGTGGTGGGTTCGACTTGTGTTATTGTGAGCAACCATGCCGTTTACTTTGCCATTGGAATGGCAAGCCTGTCTGATATCTTAATATCTGTCAGTGGGCTGGTGCTGATGGTGAGGAAATTGCGACAGAGACACGCAAGTCAGCTTGCTGGCCACAAACTGACAGTGGAGGCCATATCTGGCCTTGGTTATTTGATCCATGGTAACATATGGACTTAACAATTATGTCTTCCTTGACTGACATGTTTCTCACAGGTCTCTCGGCTTTGTCAAATACCGTAGCCGTAGTTCTGCTCCTTAAGACGCAAGACCCACCTTCTCACTTCGGAATAACATGGACCAGTATTGCCATGGCCGGCTTGTTAGCTGTTGGACTTCAACTGCCTGTAGCAGGCATGTACTTTGACAACATCAGCTGTTGTATTACGCGCCGACGAAAAACATTCCAGGGAGACATTGACTGGGAAGATACGATGGATCAGGAAGAAATGGTGCTGATTAAGCGCCAGGCTGACTTCAAGAGAGTGGACAGTTCCAAATCAAGTGGGCCGCCATTAGACATTCACGCTATTTACCATATACCACATAGAGATTTGTCATCTCACGCGTATTGATAGTTGTCGCAGAACAGAGATCTGTGGCACTAAGATCCGATGCTTAGTAATGCTCCGGATCTATGCTTAATTAAGAATAGTGCAGGGCACGGTCGTACCATCTTTCCCCACGAATCTCACGTTATCCTCCAACGCCCTTTACCCCTTTTCAATTCCATGAGACGGCTGGCCACATGCTGTTCGTCTTTTTGAGTTGACGTTCAATCTTCGATTCGAAACTCCATCGCAACCAGGGAACTATATGTACAGTCTATAGGTCCCGTTATCTACTGGTTTCAGAGAATAGAGCCTTCTGTCCGTTACATCTCTTTTCTCGTTACAACTGCCATCATACGTTTTAACATTTCTGTGATGTCGCACTATCACATGTGATAGTCGTTGAACATCTTGTCCCGTCGCAGCCTCTGTTGGCTGCTCCCCAATTTTCTCGGTGGTAAGCGACGAGGGGGTGAGGTGGCTAGACTCTGGCCATAGATCATATACCCGTATTCTCGCTACGAACCACTGAGTGCGCAGGATGCCCATTGGTGACCGAATCGGTACAGTCTTCTGCCGTCGTTTATCACGGCCAACATTGTACCGAAAGCATGAGAACTACGGACCAATTAATGAAGTATATTTAAGTTGTTGCCTCGCTGCGAACTCTTCCATTCGCTTCCCAATCCAAACTCCTCCTTCCCACAAGCCGTCAATATGAAAACATTCTTTGTGTTGTTTGTTACCTCGGCAACTGCTATCGCGGCACCAAAACCAGCACAACATCAATGTCTTTTCTCGACTAAGGGGTGCTTAGGCGTACGAAATATCCCGCCGCTTTACTCCCTGCTTTTACTAATACTTTTATAGATATGCAGCTCTCAAGGCCCCGATCTTACACAACAGTTTTGTGGAGTCACGTTTCAAGACCATACCAAGCACCAATACCCTTGCGGGACATTTCCAGGACAAAACACAGTACGTAACGAGACCCTGCACTATGCATAGTATAAGTTGCTGACACAACCGTAAAGTGCGTCGGGGCACCAGAGATCAATGCCACTCATCCCTACAACTGTAGGGCATATAGCGAGCTTTCTACCGCCACAATATGCGGTATGGCCTTTGATAAAGACGGAAATGTTCCAGATCCTGCTGCAGATGATTAGAACACGATCCTGGTCACAAATCTCGAGCTCTGCATAACAACGTTGGAAGTTTGTAATCTGAGGATTTGATCACCAAGAAGCTTGTGTCTCTATCTTTACAACTATCAACAATGGAGAATGTTGTTTGTTACATGAATTTTCCGGGGGTATCGGGTGTTTACATGTGAATCTTACTGCCCATCATTTCTTGGCCTGTTCCAACACCTCTACTTTGCGCCATGTGGAGAAAGATCGTCACGGATCGTAGTACATATCAGCGAAGGGCCGGTCAGTAGAGTGTACCTACTTAAGCTGTGGCGACCTCAACAACTCTTTCATTCATTTCTCAATGTATCCATTCTTCCATCTACCTATCCAAAATCCATTTATTCAACATAAACCCCCGCAAAAAGAAAAGAGCGCCAACATGAAAACCTCCTTTGTAATAGCTATTCTCTCAACAATTCCTTTCGCCGCGGCGGGAGATACAACCCCATGCCAAGTTGCCGTCGCGGGCTGCGTAGGTGTACGAGAAAACCACCATCCCCTCACTTAGCTTCATAGTAACAGTTCTATAGACATGCTCCGATGGAGGTACAGACCAAACGCAAATCTGCGTAGTCACAGGCGGAGATGGCAAAACGCACAACTACCCCTGTGGGGGTGGCACCGACGTAAGCAACCTAGAATCCTACAGTCTGAGTTTCCTAACACACTTTGGAAGTGCCGCAATGCAGACCCAGCCGTTCGCAATTCCAGGGCATATTATGGTGCCGCTACAATATGCGGCAAAGCCCAGTCTGGACAAATGGAACCTTATGGTAAACATCCTTAGTGGAGTGAGGGTTGTTGATCTTCTGGTTCTTACAACGCGTTTGTAACATGAGGAGTGAATAGAAAACTTTTTAAAAAAGGATCCAGCCAAAACCGCAATCCTTTGTGAGAGTAGTCATGCTGCATCCCATGTGATAAGCCGCGTTTCAAGACATACTGTGATTGAAATACACTTTACATAACTATGCTTATCGTTATGGTGGTTGACTCGCTGGTTGTGACATGCGCGACAATCACAGTCTTTCTCCTTTCCGCAGTATCCAACACACCATATTCCGCCCACCCTCCATGCCCGACGAGCAAAGTCTCGGACCGAATTGGCAAAGTACACATATGTTCCTGCAGACCAGTATACTCGAAAAAAAAACGCCCAGTCAAACTTGCACGTGCACGTGTTTGATATCTGCTCCCGTATCGTATGCACAATGACCAACATATCTCGGATATATATTCCTACAAAGTGCTAATTCCACCCAATTCGAGTGGTGCAATGATACAAACATGTCAATATACAAGCTACAGTTACGCTCATCACGCACTCACAGTAGCCTCTGCAGAAGAAGCATCCGCAACCCCAGCCGTAGCCAGCGTCTGCGGAGCTACCAGTTCCGCCGTCGTCATCGGGCCCTTTGGCCATGGCTTACCGAGAGCATCTGAGACGCGAATGATTTGGTCGTTTGGACCTGGTACGCAGCCTATGTCAAGTTAGCAATTTTCTTTGTCGTATCCGAGTGATGATGTGTGTGTAACATACCACCAACAACTACAATGCCGTTTGCCTCATCAACCTGTAGTACCTTCAAGTTCTTGACTGTACAGCTCTGGTTACCCATGTTACCAGGCATGCGCTTGCCAGGCAAAACACGGGATCCAGAGCCCTGAGATCCTCCCGCGGAACCCATACCACGATGCATGAGCGATTGACCGTGAGAAGCAGGTTGACCGCCAAAGCCATGTCGTTTCATTCCCTATTTCCGCAAAATCAGTCGGCGAGTTCACAATCCATCAAGCCCACTTACACCCGCAAACCCCTTTCCCTTATTCGTGCCCTTGACATCCACAAACTGGCCTTGAGTAAACCAATTCGCGCCCACCATCTCCCCAATACCCACCTGCAGCCCCGCCTCATCGCGCACCTCAAACTCAGCAACCCACCGCTTCGGACTGACGCCCGCGGCGGCAAAGTGACCGAGCATCGGGCGTGTGACATTGCGCGCTTCCTTTTGGCCTGCCCCGATTTGTACAGCCCAGTATCCGTTCTTTTCTCTCCGCTTGTGCGCGACAACTTCGTTGCGGTCCACTTGCAGTACTGTGCAGGCGGCTCGCTTGCCGGTTTCTGGATCGTACATGGACGTCATGCCTTTTTTTATTGCGAGCAGTCCTGTGCGAAGGGGCGTGCTGTGGGCTCGTCGCTCGAGTGCGGCTGTCGATGTGCTTTCCAAGGCGGGTTTGGAGGGGTGGTGTGCGAAGCGGTCGGGCTTGGGTGTGAAGGTGGATTTTATGGTACGGATCGATGTGTATGCGATTGCGGGTCTACATATTGGTGATGATGCATTTTGCTGGAGGAGATATCGTGCTGACGAAGGGACGAGGAAGGACGGAGGTAGAAGACCCCAATTGAGGGGTGCTTTGGGTGGCATTGTTGAACGTCGATGCTGGGGACGGCGCTGGGATTGTTCGCCGCGGACATTTTGAGATTCAGCATGTCTCCCGCTCCGGCGCACGGGCCATGTATTGCACGTGAGCTGCCATTCACTACAGTCAAATGACGCTAGTCCTAGTATAGTAGAACACGTCACAATGGTCATCAGAAGACGTCGAGGGGGTATTTCTTTTGGTTTTTATTCGGCAAAGCCACGTCCTGCAGGCAAATGTACCGAGATATGGCAAGAGCGACTATATAAATCATCAGATACCGCCCAAGCTCACACACATATGTATCGTTCCATCTCTTCTGTCCCCATTTCCGTAAAGTCAAAACGCGCAAAAATATAGCAATGGGTATCCTCCGGTTGTTGTATAACGCCAATGAACTCCCTGCAACCACTCAGTGGTGCATAACGTGTCCCATGAATTCCTTCATAAGATGAATTGGATGCCTCCAGCATGATCGACCAGCACATGGCAAATCGTACAAGGCATCTTGGCCAAGATTTTTGGTGACTCTGCTTAGTTTGGCAGGATGATAGCTGGGTTCCCCTGGGCGACACAATTGCTCGGTAGATCCTGTGAATGATCAGTCGACATGCATTGGTGAGTTGTTGGATCATTATGACTTACGCGAGAAACGACTGATCCTGGACGCACGATGGTGTTTTCTCCGATCCGTACCCCAGCCTCAATCACACAGTTGTCGCCAATATAGACATTCTCCCCTATATGTACCTCCTGGGCAACTTCAGTGCCTTTACTGCCCTTCAGTGACTTGTTGTCAGTTGGGGTCTTCAGTGTTTGAATGGTAACGCGAACTCCGATCTTGGTATTCCTCCCGATACAGATCCTCGCTGAGTCATGGAGATGGCAGTCCGATCCAATAACCACATCATCGCCAATATTCAGATGGTAGCCGTAATCGCAAGCAAAGGGCGCAACGACATTGACGTTGGAGCCCAAATGGCTGACAATATTCGACGCGTCTTTTCCAATCCAACCCGCCCTCACGATTGATCTGAAGAGATTATCGCGTGTGTGCTTGGTGAACTGGTTGAATCCATTAATCGTAGCATTAAAGTGTTGCTGGGCCACTAGGCAATTGTGGCGTTCGTCCATCAGAGATCTGTCGAAAGGTAGGAAGGGTTCGCCGGCCAGCATTTTCGCTTTCTCGGTCTTGTGCAAGAAGGATGATTGGTTTGGATAGTGAACTGGAGAACGTTCAGGAGGCGCTGTTGTAGGTGGTGGTGGTGGCGGTGGGCGAGAATGCTGCGGTGCCACACGAGGTTGCTGTGCAATAGGGTTGGCGACCCTGGGAAGTTGTTAGCCGAGGAATATTTTAGTATTCGTAATGTCCCAGTAAGTGCATATAGCATTATATGTGAAGACCAACGTTGTCTCTATTTCTCAGTGGTCACTTACAGGGTAGGAGCTGGCGCAGGAGCGGAAATGTGAATGGAAGCTGGTGCTGTAGCACTAGTGACTACATGTCCCATATTCTGTGGCGTATGATGGTAAACACGGGGATTATGCTGATGCTGTGCTTGAATTTGTTGTTGAGACATGTCGTGATGGTTTGGACTAGGCCTAGTGTACTGTGCGGGCTGAGGCGGCGCTTCTGATGCATGGTAAGACCGGGCCGGCGGTGGTGGCGCCGGTAATTCGGACCAGCTATTGCTGACATATTTACGTTCATGTTCGTTGGCTGCATGAGGCTCCGGGGCTGGGTAGGTAACATCTGTGCCGCGAGCAGCGCAGTGTGGGATATGAGCTCTGTTACAATATGGGCATGTGGGATAGGTAGACAAGCGCTCTTTGGCTTGGATTGCAGGCGGTTTGTTGGCTTGCCCGTTCTTATTCCACGGCATTTTCGGGTTATAGCCCTCACAGACAAAGCCACCTCGGGTGCAGTTGTTACCTGGTTGGTGAGTCAGAGATGTGGTTGCTGTCGAAACAATCAAGACGTACAATCAGGTTTGGCTTCATCGCACTTCTTCTTACGTCTTCTGCATGTGCCACAGCCAGTTTTGGTTCGGTTGGCAAATTGCTACCGAGTGTTAGATTGATTAGAATATCTAAGTCGTAGATGGCGAACGTACCCGCTTTCGCTTTTTTAGTTCAACATGCACGCCAGCCCGAGTGACTTCAGTAGAGTGATCGACGTCATTTTCGGTTGTACTGTCGATGGGGCCATGAGCATCTGGCGGTATGCCGTTGCGGATAGGGTCAGCGGGTCGTGGTTCACGGTGCTCAAAGTGTTGGTGGCCAGCGTGAGGCAGTTCCCGGGGCTCAGTTTGCCAGCGTCTTTCTGGGTCCGGACGAGCCAGTGGGGGCAGACTTCGCTGCTGAGGAGCTTCCATGCTCGTGAGTGGGGCGCGGGCAGCAGATGGGTAGGGTGGTGGTAGTTGCCTGTCTGGGCTGTGCACCTTGACGAGATGGTCGTTTTCCGAGATAGACCACCTCCTTTTGTTGGAACCGTCAGGAGAGCCGTCCCCGCTGGCAAGTGTTGGAGGGCTAGTGCTGGATGGTGAGTGATAGGTCGTGTCTACGGCTCGAGAAGGCGGGCTCCAGGTGTTTGATTTGACGGCAACAATGTCGGGCTTCTGTTCATCTGTAGGGCTCACAGACGATGGACCATTGACCGAAGTAAAAGCAGGTCCATGGGGTGCGGAGTTGAAGGCGGGCATACGAAGCACGGTCGTCATATCCAAGGCGGAAGGATTACTATAGTAGATATTTCAGATGTCTTTGACGACCAAACTACGGCAGAGAATGGTAGAAGGGCTGTAGACCATAGCAGGCTCGGACCAACCGAGGGGGAATGTACAGCTGGATGCTGGATGCTAGCGACGCGTTAGAGGGAGGGCGGAGTTGAGAGTCGAGATGTCGATGCCTGGAGAAGCCAGCGATGCCGCGGGAGCAGCGGCCTTGTACGGCAACACGACTGTATATGGCGCGAGTCGAGTGTGAGAGGGGCGAGCCGACGCCAAAGGGACGCAGATTCAACCGACGGCGGCTGTTCGCTCGCTCAGGCGCTCAAATGTGGGCTGTCTGCATCCCGGACGTCGACCCCCAGTCGTGCTTTCTGATTGGAGGCCGTGCACGAGTCCTAGTGCAAGTTGCAGTTGGCCCCCTGGCTCCTCTCCCCCCGCGCGTGTGTGCCGGTGGGTCGCTCGTCTTTGGCGAACCATCAGCGAACACCCCATCTGAGAGCCAGAGAGTCGGTTTCTTCGGTACATAGTAAAATGGACCCTGCATTCAGCCCTATGCCAGATTTTTGGGACCAAAAACCACGATTTCGGTCGTGTAGACGTATCTGAGAGTCGGAGACTGAAGAGAGGCTAAAAATGAGCATGGTTTGCATAGGCCAGCTAGCTGCAGCGTGTCCGACCGGCGTTCCCGCCGTACTGGCGCTGCGAGGATGATCAACCACATATCGTTAGGATGATGCAAGCCAACGCCAAAACCGACACAACAGAGTGCCATGGCAAAGCGATTGGCCGCAGTCAGCCCATTCTTCAGGCGCGCGTATGTACACAAAGCAAAGAATTGCCGCGCTGAACGCCTTGCTGCCGCTGCCGCAGTCTTGAGAGGATAAAGGGCGGCGACCAACAACAACAACAACAACAACAACAGCAACATCAACAAGATCAAACATCAACCATGGTACGACTAGCAGTGGATGAGGGTAGAATCACTCGCAGCTCCGTGTGTGCGTATCGCCCACGCTCCCGAGCGCTTCATACCGACGTTTCGTTCGGCACTGCCTCGTCCTAGCCGCCTGGTGGGAGTGCGAGTGCCACGCCCAGCCCGTTTCAACACCATGACCAAATAAGAAGGCGGAAATCGAGGGCCCGCAGTGTTTCATTTATCATTTATCAGATGCACGCCGCACTTGACGCTTCCTCCCCTCCACCACGGCCACCGGCGCAGTATAGTACAGTACAGCACAGTACAGTACAGTAGCAGTGCACTCGCTCAGCCTTTTGGACCGAGTTGTTGCCTAGGCTTTCCTTGTGCTTGTGTACATGGTTTACGGTAGGGGATGCGCAGACAGCCGCGCCCACGGCTAACGTGATGCGGACCATGGTTGGCCGTCCGGCCCGTCTCTCACACACTTCATCTGCAGGCGCTTCTCGCATGCAAAAGTTTGCGCCCCAGGAACGCGCGCTGCATCCAAGCCGACCTTGATCGGCTAATGTATCAAAGTCAGCATCTTACCCGTCATAATGCTGCAACGACCTGTCCCCTTCGTAGTCGCAGCCCGTCGGTCATGCGCCTACCCATCCTTGCTCATGAGCCAATTACATCACTCGTCTCGCCACGCATACGGCATAGCAATACGCTTGCTTAACCGCGGCCGTTGCTGTTCTGCCGTCTGTCACTTTTTCTTCATGTGTGCATTGCCAGAGAAAATGCCCCTCTCCAAAGCCGTGGTTCTCGCGGCGCGTTCCGTTCCCGCTAGCGATCAAAAGTACTGCAACTGCGCCGTATGGTCATGATATGTCCTCTGTCCCGCTGAAATTCCAGTGCGCTGGATTCTGAGAACGGCTCGCCCCTTGTTTGGGCGCTCAGTGCACGACGGGCGAATGCTTCGAGTCTCGCCTCATCCTTCCGTCGAATGACTCGAGTAGCGGACGGGAAGCGCGGAACTACGCGCCTGTCGCCAACGTTGACGTCTGCCGCTACCCTCCGCACTGACGCCTCGACTATCGGTTAAGGTCCATCAGCTTCCGTTACTAAGACGACGCGTCCAGATCTGCCCATGTGTCGTGCTTCAAATGAACAAAGTCTGCACAATTTGCATCTCTATCCAGCTGGTGCTCGTATTCAACCCCAAAATAACCCTTCAACCTCTAGCCTGACTCCACATGGACACTTTGCTCACCCATCACGACATCGTTGCCCTCTTCACCAACACCATCTACAACAATCTCGGCCAATTACCGCCTTCCATCACACCGACTACTCAAGAATCTACCTGAAGGATGCAATGTTGGTAAACAACTGCGGCATTAACCGCATCAGGCCACATCCTGCCGCCGCCTACTTTACTCAATCTTGACAGCATCTCAACATCGTACCAACCTTCGCCAGCATCCTTCCGTGCCGCATATCGACCATGTGCCGAGAAGAGACCGGATGCGGCACAGTTACCTACATGTTCGATTCCCTCTCACACGTGCGATACTGATTGACATTAACGTGTGGGGTGCTAGGCCACCAACGGTTGCGGCACAGCTTGACATCGTTTCCGCTTACGTGTGCGGCGTTGCAATTTGATCGTACTGTTGTCACATGGCTCTGTTTGTTGTTGTGCAAAATCAAAATCGCTGATGAAAAGCTGCCCGGAAGCTCGGTACCGACCACCCGCTTCGGGCGGACTGCTGTAATGCATCGCCCGCGGGCCAAACATACTGTGAAGTATTAGGCATGAATCTTGCGAAATAGTACGCCGGTGTAGACGCTGCTATGGGGCGATTGATGCAGACCAAGTTCCGCCCAACTGTGTCCATAGCCGACATCCCTTCCAACGTTTCCGCCTCGCAACAGTAGAGCGAGATCCGGGGAATCGACTGCCCGATGCAGCATGCAAGGGCATATTCCAATTACCATGCCACAGGTTCGGCCCGCTGCTGTTGGTATCGGCTTTCCTGCTGTGCGATGGATGCGGCACAGCAGCCCTTCACCCTCGTTTCCCGATCTGGACCGTGTCCACGGTTCGGCGAGGCTTCGAAAGCATTACAAGGAACTGTTACGCCGACCAGCTTGTGCGGGTGTGAATGACGTATTCCCTGCAGTTATTGTGCTAACCAAGTAAGCGCTCAACTGGGCGGGCGCTTAGAGTTTCAAGATTTGCGCATGCTCGACATGTTAGCACACAACTTGCCGAATGTTCCGCATAGAATGCTCGCCGTCAGGTTTCACCGCGTACCGCCCATGTGATGAGCATGCATATTTTCTTATGAGGTTAAATATATCTCTGCTTGTCCTTCTCTGCTCGATTCTGTCTCTGTTTCATTCACCGCTCTACATTATCACACCTGACTATACAAGCCTTCTGCTAAAGCCGGGTCTTCACTGGAACCAGGCTATCAACAGCGTTCTAATGTCTTGGCGGTCTGTTCAATCCAGAACCACTGGCCCTGCCTTCATTTTGACACGGCACGCTTGCTCACCCGTTTCCCTGCATCCGCCCCGCTCTTTTCATTTGCCAAATCATGATTTTCGGCCTTTTTCGTTCCACTCTTCATTTTTCATTCTGCAGCAGTAATCTCACACGAGGAAGACATCATGATAGTAAGACCTGCTATTTTCTGCCCGCATCATACCTTGGTTGTCCGGTCGGATCCGAGACCGAAGCCGGACCCGCGCGATGGAATATGCCATGGCATTCGATAAGACGAGCCGCCCTACTGTAGCGGCTGACTCGTCTATTGGAGTAGTTGGGGTAACTTGGAGTTGGTGATCTACAACCGATATTAGGGCTTGAACTAACAAGTTGCTAGCGGCAAGCGAGGCGCATGAGTCACTTTCAGTACGCGTGACCAGGGTCCAGTGTTTTGTAAGTGACTCACGTATTAATGTCTTTTAGGGTGCTAGGTAGCCAGTCTACTTTCTAGATTTAGCTAGTCTTGCCGTCTGTGTACGCGTCTTTTCCTTTCTTTTTCCTTTCACTTCCATCTAGCGCGTAGCTTCTATTGTTAATTCTTAGTAGAAACCCTTCCTACTCTGCTTAATTATAGACTTAATTATAGAAGAGAAGGGTAGTCTACGTTGATAAAGTTGTAGGTGTGGAATGTTCTAGTGTATAGGATTATCAAGTGCTTTCCTAGAACAACTACTACTCCTGTATAGTAGTGGTGGTACGGTAGGGGTAATATGGTAAAAGGTAAGCAATATATGCAAAGCTTGAATATGATAGAATAATGACGAGGACTTGGTTCGATCTTCTCTATCAAAGTTACAGCAACGCATTCACACCAATCTAAATACCTAGATATTCCTATAAAATCTTCCCGTACAGAAGAAAGAGAGAGAGAGAGAATCATAGCATACTAAATCCCGCCTCGTACCTAAAGAACACAGACATCACAAGTCCTACCCGAGTATACAGCTTCACAGTAAGCTTCACACAATATAGTCACTTTCACAATATACATTTAATCCCCACCTTCTTCTTCCTCTCTGTAACACTCACAACTATACGTCTGCTCGCTTGGCTTGCGACTAATATACAAATTCCGCAACGATGACATCGAGAATGAGATAAAACAAGTAAATTCTTCCGACACACTTTGACTCCCCCATGATCCAAGACTAGGTAAAAAGGGGAACAAGTGATTGGGGTATCTGTATAAAATGCACGCTTTAGGGCGCATTTTTGCTGTTGCAACAAAGTGAAGAAAGAAACAGAAAAAAGTCCCTGGAAAAAGGGAAGAAAAACTGTAAACGCTGCTGCTTTGAAGCGAAGAAACTTGTGGTAGTGGAACCTGTCCCCCCCCCTCTCTCTGTCCGTCTCCGTCCCTATTTCTGTCAGGTCTCTCTCTATAGACACTGTATTTTGTGTCTGATGAGAATATTGGGGGTACATGCTGCCTAGCATGACCCGATATTTTGTGAATTGCCGCCTCTCTCTCCGCACCTCTTTCTGTCGATCACCGGAGCCCCGGCTCTCCCTTGAAAATGTACGACCCTCCCAGAACTGCATCGGCACCCTGGTCAAGAGATCTAGTCCGTCTTCCAATGACTTGTTAGCCGGCCATCGTCATCCGCATTCGAGATTTTCAGTTCAATGGCATACAGACCCATGGTCATGGCCAAATTGATCCATCGCCAAAAGTTGCCTCCTGCATCGCCTCCTTGGTTGGTCCACCACTCGCCCGTTGCGGCACTTCCGTCACCGCCGTTCCCACTAGCAAAGTGCTGCATCAGCAAGCTCGTGTAGACTGCGATGATGATGCTTGGACTGAACCAAGTTAAGAAACCGAGAATCTTGGATGTTTCATCGTCGTCGTCGAGACTGGGTTCTTGGGATAGTGCTCGCGCGCCGCTCTCTCGTATAGCCGGAATGATGCGTGCCGCGGCGTACATGACGAAGACGCGGTATGCGAGAGAGATGATGACGGAAGGTGTGATGGTCATGATGGCTCCCACCATGAGGTTGAAGCCAGTATGAGCAATCGTAGGCAGGGAGCCAAGTGCGTGAAGTAGCGTGGTATACGAAGCCATGATGATGGGTGGTAGCGGAGGAAGCGCAGGATCAGAAGGAGCAGTTGACTCGGCTACGGAGCCTGGAGAAGGCTGGTAGTCGGTGAAGATTTGGTAGATGCATAGTGTGACATATGCAAACTAGGAATGTTAGCGGAAGTCATGGTGGGCAGGTATCAGAACTCACTAAGAGCGACGACTCGACTGGGTTACCCCTCGCACTGACAATGCCCCATCCACCAAGAAAGATGGCAGTTGTGATGGCCACGCCAATTAGAATTGCGTCCACATTGCTAATCTCGGGGAAAGTCGTAATGCGCCAGAGGAAGTAGACGGAGGTGGAGATGATGGAGGCGGAAGTGATTAGGAGACCAATCTGAACGTTTGTTAGTACTCCAAAAAGAGACTGTATCTAGCAAGTCGTACCATCCAGCTGTCACCACGCTCGCGATTGACGACCCATCTGGTGATTTGTCCTGCAGCCTGAATGACCAAAAGGCTGCAGAAACCCTCTGCGATCTGAAAGACAGGGGTGCTATATCTCAGTGTCTTGTCCCAGGCACCTATCGAGGCATTCTGCAGGAGGCCTTGACTGCCAAAGATCCAGTCGTGCACGCTCTCAAAGTCGGCTCTCTTGCCGTCAAATGTGCGCTCCACCCAGCCCGCGTTATTGGTCGCATCGATGGAAAACTTGTTCAGGCTCCAGATCAAAAGTGTTGGTATTGCCAGCCATTGCGCCCAAGCCACGACATTACACAGAAACCATCTAAAGCGCGAATAGTCTGGCGTGGCTAAGCGCAGGATGGAGTAGAGGAAGTAGTATGCGCTGAGGGACAGGGAAAAGGCGAGTCCACAGGTACGGCCGCCAATGTCGAAGGCGAGGGGTATGGTGAAGATGATGGCGCCTAGAAAGGTTGTGGACGAGACTACTCTCGATACAGTAGCCCACATCTGCGGTCGCCGTCCTCGCCAAGCTCGTGCAGTCACGAGCCTGACCTGGGAGGTGCGCGGCGGCGATAGTTTTGGGGGTTTGAAGCGCGATGTACGCGCAGGGAGCGCGGGAGAAGGCGGAGAGAGTCACTCGGGGCGTGAGGTGTGGTGCGAGCGACGTGGTGGAAGAGTGGTGAGGGCCGGGTTATCGACTATCTTCACGTGTCAATTTCGCTAAAATGCTCGAGCTGGGCGGAGAGAGGCGGCACGATCCTGGACGGGCGGCTGTGGGCGAGGCAACTCGACTGGGAACAAGGGTACAGGCTGGTGCAGGAGGCCTTATGTGACTGTGAGTACTTGTGTACTGATTTGTGCGAGTAGGCACCGACGACTACTGCAATAATGGTTGTGTGCTCGCGTGCGCAATCTTGGAACAAGGCAGCGATGATACCTCGGTGTCCTCTTGAAACCTGTCACCTGTTGGGTGGACACTCCTTAGTAGGCCATGACTACTGCATGTAACTTCCAGATATCGAGTGCGAAAATGCGTTTTGTTGCGGTCAGCACCCCCCACTAGTGCCCGCGCCTGTAAGATCTGCTACTGTATCCGCCAAGCCAGTGCCCGCGGCGGGTCGGTTGCTTTTATGCCTGCTACTGAACCTTTGGCCGATTAACTGCGCAACCACACAATCCACGCTGTCAATTGCATGTTCAAGCTGCGACCTTTGTTCATCAGACCCGCAAGACACGCCTGGAACACCTGTAAATCAGCCCAAACACCACATTTCGCCTTTCACGCACGAACAATGGCCACCGAAAACCCCGCCAAGAGGCTCAAGACCGATGTTCCCACCATTGGCACGCATAAGTAAGAGTACGACTATTTGGGAAGAGGGTGCGATACTAACTGAGGCAGTGGTCACTTCCATGCCGACGAGGCGCTCGCGGTTTCGATGCTGCAGCTCCTGCCTACTTACCAGGATGCTCAACTCGTCCGTACCCGTGACCCGGCTCTTTTGGCCGAATGCCACACTGTTGTAGACGTCGGCGGCGAGTACGAGGATGGCAAGAAGCGTTACGACCATCACCAGCGCGGTTTCGACGTCGTCTTCCCCGGCCACACCACCAAGCTCTCCTCGGCGGGGCTTGTCTACATGCACTTTGGCAAAGACATAATCACCACTGTCACTGGTCTTCAGGGCGCGGACTGCGACCTGCTTTATGAGAAGATCTACAGTGACTTCATTGAAGCCTTTGATGCCAACGACAACGGAATCAGCGCCCTTGACCCCAAGGACCTCGAGAAGGCGGGCTTGGAGAAGAAATTTGCGACCAGCGGTTTCACCATCGCGAGTGTCGTCAACCGCTACAACTATGGCCCCAAGTCGCCAAAGTCGGACGAGACCAAGACCCCAGAGACCCAACAGGCCGAGGAGGACATGCGCTTCATGTCTGCATCTCGCTTCGTCGGCGAGCAGTTCCGTTGGGAGCTCATCGACCGTGCTCAATCATGGCTCCCTGCTCGTCACCAGGTGAAGCAGGCCTACGACGCGCGTCTCCAATACGACCCCCAGGGACGTATCCTGGTCCTTCCTGAGGGCATGCCTTGGGCCGATCACCTTTACAATTTCGAGAAGGAGACGCAACAACCACAAGGCGTTGCTCCCCAGGTCCTGTATGTCTTGTTCCCTGAAGACAAGCCAGAGGGCAAGTGGCGCATTCGCGCTGTTAGCAAGGAGAACAGTGGTTTCGAGAACCGCAAGGATCTCCCTGATGCCTGGAAGGGTGTGCGTGACGAGCAGCTCGACCAGGTCTCGGGTATTCCAGGCTGCGTCTTTGTCCACGCCGCTGGCTTTATCGGAGGCAACAAGACCTTTGATGGCGCGCTGGCTATGGCGAAGAAGGCATTGGAGCTGTAGGAGATTGAGCATGAAGGGAATGGCCGTTTGGATTACACACCACCCCTAAGGAGAGATTCCAAAGTCTCAGGTAGGAAACCCCTGGCCGTCAAATGTTTTCTTTGGGGGTGGCACGAAGCAGCGCAAGTTGCTTACACACTTTGCATATGCATGGTTCGGCGTTCTGGCGCTTCATATCAAAAGCTATGATACCAACAAAAATTGGGTTGGATGAGATGATGATATGTCATCTCTATGGGCGGATTGCTGGCCGCCTTTACGTTTGCTTCGGGCAGCCTTCGGGCCTTCACTCGTTTGTATCATGCTTGTTTCGCTTTCAAAGCGATCAATAAAGCGGACCCAGAAAATCGAATACAAGACTGTTTGATGGTGATCCAATAGTAGAATGCTGCTGTGGATACATGTGATAGCAAAATGTTTGATCTGTGAGACTAGTAGCACGCCTAGGAGTCACACATTGCTTCGGTATCACATCATTCACAGTATGAATGGTGGTACTAACAGAGCTTCTGCTGTGAACGTCGTAGTATGGTCAATCAGCAGCGCGGAGACCCTGATTACTAGCCCTTCCAGCGGATGCGCCGTCAGCATGTCCGGACGCAAGCGTCAGGAACCCCCCACGCCCTGCGTCAAGACGACATGTAATCCACCAACGGAGGACTGGCCTATTGGATACCAGACGTCATACGGGGAGAGTCGGAGGAAGCTGGCCAAGACAAGCACACGACCCGCGCCAATGGTTTGCAAGACGTTTGCGCTGATTGGTTGAAAACCTAGACAGTGGCTGCGCGTGGCGAAGGAAACGCGGATCCGAAGGAAGTGAGGCCGGATAGAAGGCTCTCGCATTGAACGTCCGTTTCATGTTTCATCACGGTTGCGCAAAACACAAGTCTCGCATTCACTGCTTTTTCTATTGACAACGCACATTCATCCAACTTTTCACACCGCACTTTACCTGGATTGCAAGGTACTCGTGCAAAAGATACAGGGCTCGAGCGGTGGGAAAACGTTGACTCGTTGAGAACTCCCCACTATCCCCGGCATTAATCGTTTATCGCGCACGGCCTGCACTTTGGCCTTTGCCGACCTCCCAGACCTTTTACATCTCTGCACACTTCCTACAACCCACCAACCCACTGCCACCATTACTCCGCACTGCCTGTTCACCAATCCACACGGATAATTTAAGCGAACATCCTCGCGCAATCCGAAAACTACAAGGCGCATCAACGGACTGATAGAAAAAAACTTATACCCCCCGGACCATCGGCACACGACTTTACGATAAGCACAATGAAGTACTTTCAGCAAACAGTCGACTTCGACTACTCGTGGGAAGAAGTCTCGACAAGCAACTGGCGCAAGTACGGCCCTTGGAACGAAAAGACACCCCATGTCATCGCTGTCGACACTCTCAGTCGGTCAGTCGACCCTGCCACAGGAATCGTGAGTGACTCCTTTCACATGTCAATTTCTGCGCCTTCACCACACCCATCACGCGCACCACAACAATATGCCTCTAGACAGCAAGCTAACCCAATCGCAGTTACGAACAGAGCGTCTCATCACCTGCCAACAATCAACACCAAAGTGGATCCAGACCATCCTCGGCGGCCAAGACACATCCATGGTCTACGAGACATCCTACGTCGATCCTGTCGCTAAGAAGCTCACCCTCTGCTCCATGAACATGACATGGTCCGACCTCCTCAACGTTCGCGAAACATGCATATACCAGCCCGTCGCCTCATCGCCCAACGACAAGACTGCCTTTACCCAAAGAGCAGAAATCACGGCCCTATGTGGTGGCTGGCAGAAGATCAAGAACAGCATCGAGCAGTTTAGCGTCGAGCGCTTCCAGCAAAACGCCGCAAAGGGCAAGGAGGGGTTCGAGATGGTGCTCGAGAGAGCGCGACAAGTGTTCCAGGAACAGCGCGAGATTTTGCAGCTACAACAGGCACAGCAGGACAGCAACATCCTACGACAAGCCAAGATGTGAGGTGTGAGTGGATGCGCTCTGCATAACCACTTCTGCCCCTCCCGTTCGCTCAGGTCCATGCGTTCGTTTGGCTCTACAAGGCTGCAGTCGTTCCTCTTTCGCTTCCGGCCCCTCCTCGGCTGCCCAAACTCCACTATCCGCCAACGCACCCATCAGCCCTCTCACCCTCCCCATCTCAACTCCCTTTTGTCTTTCCCTAGAACATGTACAGCGTTTACGTTTTTTCTGTCGGTAAAAGTCAATTTTTCATTTCTCTGGACACTGGCGTTATCAAAAGCATGGGAAAGGCGCAGATACCCTTTCGTCGTGCTCTCTTTGCACACACTCATATATACAATTAGATTGAGTGGCGGCTTTACGAAGCATATTTTTTATACATGATAGATGAGAAGAATTCGTTTGATTTATAGGTAGAGATCAAGGGCTTGTGTAGATTTGAATGTCAGGTATTGGATACTTGACGCTTGATTTGATGTTTGTTGTAAGGGTGATGTGTGAGGATGAGGATTGTAGCGTGGTGTCTTAATCTTTCGTGAGTGCATGTGTTAGTGCGTTGATCGCCTTTATCATTGAGGACAAGGTAATGGAGAGTGTTATCTTGTCCAAGGAAGAAGATGCTGGAATGCTGTGGTGTGGACAAGGAAACAGTGAAGGCATGACTGGTGAATCCATCATATTAAAGATTGTATATGTTGTATCGTTCCCGACTCCGTCCTCAAAATTCACATCCCCTCCATTACAAACTTTCCTCCATCCTAATTAAACCCATCCAAAACATGAACTCCTCCCTCCTACCAACCCACGCACAACCACCCTACGACACCCACGCCCCCGCCATACTCATCCTCTCCTTCCCACCAATCCTATCCTCACCATCACTACTCATATAATCCCCATCGTCATAATCATCATCATCGCTGCCAACATCAGACACCGCCCTCGAGCAAACCCCACTACCCTTACCCCTCACACTCCTCCTACCGTCATCACTAGGCAGATAATCGCTTCCCTCCGCAACCCCGTTCCCGTCGTCATCGCTCAAAGAGTCGTGTTCACCGTCCGGGTCGATTTCGCTGTCACTGGGTAGATAATCGCTTCCTTCTGCTATACCGTTGTCGTCGCTGTCGTAGGAGCGGGTACGACGGTTGTGTGCGTGGCTGCTGGTGCTTGTGCTGACGATGGAGCGGGTTGCGGAACGAGCGGGACTAGGACTAGGGCTAGGGCTGTGACGCCGCGAGGGGGGAAGGCTGTCGTAGTCGCTACCTTGGATACTGTGTTCGTCAAAAGAGGCGTACGCGCTACCGTGGCGGAGTGACGGCATGGAGCAGATGTCTGAGCCGGGGACCGAGGGGGCTGGTGGAAAAGGTGCGGGTGGGAAGGGTGCTGGGGGTAGAGGGGGTGATACACTGGGCTGCGATGCAATATCCGAGGGGGGTTCGGGATACATGTTAGTCTCTTCGAAGAAGGAACCTGGCATTTGTTGTCTTTCGGGACTAGGTTGACGCGCTGCGAGTCGTCTGGGACTGGGAGCGGCGTTTCGGTAGGGGATTGGGCTAGAGGAGTCACCTCGGTAGCGGATTGGTGGGTAGTCGTCTTCATCTCTGTAAACATTCGGGGGGCTAGAGTCCTCATCTCTATACCGGATTGGCGTGTACTCGTCGTTGTCTCTGTAGCGAATTGATGGGTCCTCGTCGGGGCTGTGGTGCGCGGCTTCATATCTCCTGGCGTGCTGCGCATTGAGTGTACAGTATCTCTCAAGAAATTCTTTCGCTTCGTGGTAATCTCCCTTGTTGTAGCGAACTGGACTTGAGTTGTCGTTTCTGTAGCGTCTCGGGCTATCTCCTCTGTACCGGGCCGGACTATATTCCTCGTCGCGACGATACTCAAGTTGCGATCGCTGCGCACGTTGAGCCTCGAGCTTTTGGTATCGCTCTAGGAACTGCTTTGCTTCTTGGTAGTCATTGTAGTTGTAGCGCATTAGGCGGCTTCTATCATCTCTATAGCGTTCCGGACTGTACTCGTCGCGGCGGCGATGGCCCGTGTTGCGTCGATTGGCTAGCTGGGCCTCAAACTGCTCGAATCTCTCCAGAAACTGCTTTGCTTCTTGATAGTCTTCATATTTTCCGGGCTTCAATCCTCGACTTCGCACCACGATGGGTTTGCTATCCCATCCGCTATTTCTCACAGTTCGGCGGTCTGGCCGTGTTTGGCGTGGCGGGGTATCATCTATGAACCGGGCGCCATCGCGGTCCCGTGAGGCAGAGTAGCGGTCTGGTGACCTGCCTTTCGAAAATTCACGATTACTGTAGTTTGAAGTCTCGTCTGAAAATACACCTTTGGTTGACTTGCGCTGGTCAATATAATCATCGTCATCGCTGGGGGGTCCAGGCGGGGCGATATAGTCTGAGTCTGGGTCTGGAGAGCGGTTCCTGTACTGCAGAGCGGGCGACTGTGGCTGGTGTCTTGGCCGAGGTCGTGGGGGGGTTGGCCCCCGATTCGATCCTCTCACTTTAGGTATGTATTTCGGCATGGATCGATGTTCATAGTGGTCGTAATCGGAAGGAGGACTCTCGTCAGGCTGGTACGGTGGTGTGTCGTAATCCGAACTGGGGCACCTTGGTCGTGAAGCAGCCTCGGGCGAGTAGGGCACATGCTGGAAACCTCGAGGGATTTCCTTGCTGGCTCTGAGTGGTGCGCTATCTTCGTTTCTATGCTTGCGATGATATTGGCCGCCATAGCGTGGCTGGTTCGACATGCTGCCCTCCAGGTGGTGCGTATTGGGTCCTCACCTGCACAGGTATGCTGACGTTGTCCTACGTGATTGGATTGAGCAGGACTATTGTGGAGATGCGTGTACTTGGAGTTGCTGCACGTTGATGTCGTGCAAGCATCAGGTCTCGAAGGTGTGGGAAAGCGCCATGCACAACCACGTGGTGGTCGTCTAGCCTAAAGCGGCCTGGTCGCTTGACCTTAGTACGCCCCGATGCCAGCCTCAAGGGCTCTGGGCTCATCACTTTCGCTCTTCGCTCTTTGCCCACTTTCAATCGGCAATATGTTCATGCCAATAAGTGCTCCCAGAAGTCTCGATCTGATAAGGGTCCGGCATTCGCTTCGGTACTTTCTTCGCCTCAAAGTCCACCATCTACATACTTAGCAAAACCATCCGTGTCTATGCCTCCTTTTCTCAGAGCAATGACTGCGCGCACTGTAATAAATCAGCCATACTTCTCTTACCAACAGTCATACCTGGCAGCTATATAGTGGTTTACAAACCCTGGTCTAAGCTGTGCCGTCCAGTTCGGACTTGCGCTCGAATGTTCCACCTATGGGAGAATTTCATTTCACAAATGCCATACCGAGTGCCGTGCCGTCCAAGACTCGCGCCCCAGTGTATGTTCAGTCCTCTCATTTCATGTAGATAGAGGCCACTAAACATGTTCCCAGCTAGTCCAGACCGGGTAACTTTTTGTGGGGATGTAGCCAGTCGTGCCGCGTTGACTTGAAACAACAAGAGCCGGATCCCGGAACGAGGCTGTTCGAGACGCCCCAAGCACAGTGCCGTCATGTTGACCAGCCTTGTTTGATCTGTTCTTACTGGAGCAAAATCAATTGTCAAACAGCGCGGCATCTCCATGTCCATGGCTAACCGCTGCAATGTTATTTTCCACTCCAAGCACTGGCACAGTGAAAGTGGCCCCGGCATGGGTTCGTCACTATGGCCACTTCCCGCGCCGGTGATGAACGGCATCGGCGAGCCCAGTTGGATTCTGAAAAGCAATGTTCTTAGATTAGACTGTGGGGCGCGTGTCAAACATCAGCCCAGAGATCTGTGTTATAAAGACACAGATCTTGCCTGCAATAACGGAATCATTAAGCTTCGTCTTGTCTTTACAGATTCTCCTTCAACTTTGCCGTCATTCTTTACAGCGAACTGTGTTTGCTATCCATTCTTTATCTTTTCACAATCGACAACGTACGAACCATGAAGTACTCACTTTTTGCCGCTGTCGTGGCTGCTTTCGCTTCTGGCGCCACTGCTGCAGATGCTGTCAAGGGCGCTGCTGAAGGTTTCGCTAAGGGTATGTCTATCCTCTCAATGATATCCTTGAGAAAAACTAACACCCTTCCCAGGCGTGACTGGTGGTGGCAACGCCGCACCCGTGTACCCAACTACTACTGCGCAGCTCATCAGCTACCTCGGCGACGCCTCGCCCCGTGTCATTGTTCTGACCAAGACCTTCGACTTCACCGGCACTGAGGGCAAGGCAACCTCCTCGGGCTGCCGACCATGGGGAACTGGCTCCAACTGCCAGATTGCCATCAACCAGAACGGATGGTGTGACAACTACCAGAAGGGCGCTCCTAAGGTCGGCAGCATCACCTACGACAAAGCTGGTGTGCTTGGAATCACTGTCAAGTCCAACAAGTCTTTGATCGGTCAAGGCAGCAAGGGTGTCATCAAGGGCAAGGGTATTCGGATGACGGGCGGCGTGAAGAACATTATCATCCAGAACGTGCGCTTCACGGAAATCAACCCGCAATACGTCTGGGGTGGTGATGCTATCACCGTCGATGGAGGTATGTTCTGGGTCCTACATCATCGTACATACGACCAGTGTCTAACAGATTTGACATAGCCGACCTTATATGGATCGACCACGTCACCACTGATCTCATTGCTCGCCAGCACATCGTCCTCGGTAACACTGCTTCTGGTCGTGTCACCATCTCTAACAACGAGATCAACGGAGCCACCGCTTGGTCTGCCACTTGCGACGGGTAAGCTTTTTCCACAACCAAACAGCCAAGAGAAATACTAACACTTTCGTAGTCACCACTACTGGGGATTGTACCTTACCGGTAGCAACGACCTCGTTACCCTCAAGGGTAACTACATCCACCACACCTCCGGTCGTTCTCCCAAGGTCGCCGGCAACACCCTTCTCCACGCTGTCAACAACTACTTCTCTGCCAATTCCGGACACGCCTTTGAGGCTGACGCTGGTGCGAAGATCGTCGCCGAGGGCAACGTCTTCCAGGACGTCAAGGCAGCTTCTCAGTCTGGTCTCGCCGGAAAGTTCTTCGCATCAGCTTCCAACAATGCAGCATGCAAGCAATACCTTGGCCACAACTGCGAGCCCAACGCTTACGGCAACTCTGCCGCTCTTGCTGGTGCCGACACCAGCATCCTGTCTGGCTTCAGTGGCAAGAGCATTGCCTCTGCCGGTACTGCTGCTAGCGCTAAGAACGTTGTTAACACCGCTGGTTACGGAAGGATTTAAACTGCTTGACCAAGTGCCGGTAGTTGGGAATCAGGAGAGTGAATCGTCTGTTCTTGTAAATACTCTTTATTATCTTGTATATATCACCTTCGAATAGGAGCTTTATTCGCCTACAAATCATGAAGCCTTCTCTGATGCAATGTGCTTTTGTTGTTCTCATGCCGCCTAGCGTATCCCTTGTCATATAGCGACTCAGGTTTAACGGGCTTAGGCTACTACGCTAAACCTTTCGCGGTTGTGTTCCCGTTCGACCCCGCCCTTGCATCAACACGCACCTACTTACTTACCTCCCAGTTGAACTTAAACTTCAGATTTGGCCTAAGTGAAAGTCAGCCCCGCATTGGCCATTTCCATAATGCTTTACGTTACCAAGGAGTCTCTGCTAATGACTTCCCTCGCTCTAGGTCATAGATTCTTCCTTCCAGTTTGACCTAGACTACTTTCCTGCTACACTTTCTCTGCAGATATCGAGCAAGCACGGTACAAGACTAGGACTATGGAACCTCAACATGAGACCGACCAATCTCATTCTGGAGTCAAGGACTGCGATACTATGTGAGTTATATCGCAACCATTTACTTAATCGTCCAGATGCTAACAACAAGGCAAGCAGATCACGCAACAGTCTGGCCTCGCCCCTTCTCCATCTACCTTCTCCATTTACCCTCGGAGTTGCGCAACATCATCTTTTCCTACGTTCTTACGCCCGCCAAGTGCTATGAGTTCAAGTTACAGACTGGACTACAGTCAAGTATCTGGTCATTCACAACTCTACAAGTCTGCCGTCAGATGTGCTTCGAGCTGACGCCTACTATCCTCTCCAATGCCAATATGGATATGACTCATCTCTCTTGTGATGCTATCTTCTCAATCTTTAACACGCGGCACTGGGAAAAGATATTCTTGATTGGACTTCCTGCGTGGTCTCACTGTTGAAGCGAAGATTCATCTTCATAGGACACGTCAAAGTCTCAGAGGCGAAACTCAAAGAGCCAGAACCATCGTGTCGGTTATCGTGAAGTTTGTGCGGGGATTTTAGGTTCAAGGACTGACACATGCTGGAGCTTGGAGGATGGCAGTACACAGCATTAGCGTACATTCGAACAACACCAAAGTATGACGCATGAATGCACAAACATAAGATTTAGGATGCCGTCATTGGGTTGTGTACGTTACAAAAGAGCCTAGGTAGTTGACACAAGGTGCTGTTAGAATTAGATTGGTGCCACGATTCGTCTACATCTCACCAGCAAACCTAAGATGACTCCCAACATTGACTTATCACGAAAGGTGGGACTCTTTAACCCCAGGACCCGAAATGTTCAATTGAGCGGAATATCCACGCGTGATATCATGTCGTTGCATTACACCCCTTTATCTTGGAAGGTGGTCCATAAAGGGAAGGCTGGTGCTCTTCTGGACCTAGGTGTGGCGCATGCAGAGAAAAAGCGGGACCGGCGCCACACTAGACCATTCCGCCATGTGCTTGCGGACATATGATCCGAAAATGGAGCTTTATACGTATTCGGTCCATCGTGTCGGATTTGACGGCAGGATCAGGTGTTGGGGAGGCTTGGCAATAACTTTCACGGAAAGTCGGCTTGACCCCCTTTGCGGGGTATCGTGACGTTTCTTTTTCGCAGACGACCCAAATATCCCCTTGAGACAACGGCTAGGGTCACTTTTGCGTTTGCCGCAATCCCTTGGGTTCAGCAATGTGAATGGAAGATACAATCGTCAGGAACTGGATAAGTCGGTCGTATGCGGCAAGGGTCGCGTCGCGTGGTTGGGGCCGCCATGTCAACGGCACTCCACACGGACCTTTCTTGCACCAAGACCGAGGAGACTGCGCCTCACGATGATTTCCTCGTATCCAATCGCTCAATGCATTTTCACTACGCAGGCTAATGAGGTAGCGCAAGCATCGCTGACACGGCGGATCACGGTAAAAGGGCGGATCATGATGGATGCCGAGCCCAGGACACGCTTACTGACCTCTGTCCGGGGCGTTGGAAAGGCCGCCAACAGGGAACGGACGAGCGTCGCGCGTTATTTTAGGTACTGGATGCCCATGTCCTTGCACCTTTCTTTTCCGTCCCTATTGCTCTAATACTCTAATGATTGCTCGCAACGGACTTTCCACATAATAAGACCAATACACCTAATCCACGACAACATGCTGCGATATGAAGGCATCCTCAAGTTCTCCCTAGTTCCGTCGATAATCTTCTTCCTTTTGTCGTTGGCTTCTGTAGCTTTGACGACTACGTACTGGATTTTCGGAGACTGGATTGTACCGCGGTACATAAACGTAGTAACCACCGAATTCGATGACCGGGCTCAGCGATATGTGACGGACAAAACGATTGTCTACTTTACCAACGAAGATACCGATGCGACCATTGTCTCGGGATGCCTAAATTTGACGGCAGGCGTCTTGGCCCTGATTGCTTGGAGTAGCTTGCGAAAACCGGACATGGACTCTCAGCTTAACACAGTACGTGCCCTTTGGATATTGAAAAAAAAAAGACATCCCTTTAACACCCTCTAGAACAGACGTCGCTTCTGGATTCTGAGCGTTGTTGTCATGACAGTAGCTGGTTCCATCATGGCCCTCGTCTCTCTCATCCTCCACTACACCAAGCGCGGAAGCGATCGATGGGGCTGCACCTCGGAACGAGCCATGATGGGCGGTGAACTGAATACCAATCTGTACTGCCCCCGAGAAATGGCAGCTTGCAATTACCAGCCCCGCTTCCTCAAAGGTACCCAGCGGATGAACGCAGACATCACATGCAACTGCGCCGTGAGTTTCCATCCACCAATATGTCACAGTACAAACTACTGACACCTTATCCCAGGTCGCTGCCAAATGGTTGCAAATCATCCTCATAGTTGTCGGACTCATCACAATGACCATGTTCGCCATGCAGGCCCGCATACGGAGAACCACTCGATCGATGCACTCAAAGGAGCAATCAAGAACCGAGCAACCAAGACCCGAAAACGCAGAAGTCGGCGTTGCCGTCTAGTTTCACGACTGTTAACGCAAGAAAAATAATGAATATCCCATACGGCCTCCATATAGAAATACCGCGCTCATGCGTCATACATTTTTATCTGCAGCTTTTGAACAGCATTTCGGCAAGTGAACTGCGTGACGTGAACAACCAGCCGGATTCCCGCGGCGCATACGTAACCTAAGACACGAACGCGAAACAAGCATTTTTCTTGGAACAAACGGCAAATGCCTAGCCGGACGCTCCAGCTAAACCTTAATCGCAACTCCACTTGTACATAGTAAACAAAAAATGAAACTTTTTACCTTACCAGCTTATTTCTCACAAACAGCAGAAAAAACAAGCAAGCAAGCAAGCAAACAAAGCCCAACATTGCCCAGGCAGAAAACTCATCCCGCTCTCGGCGCAGCAACGGCGTCTCTTGCAAAGGGGGCTTACCTTTGTGCCTGAGCCGCGGTGAAGCGGACGGATGACTATGGGAACCTTACATCCGGTACTCGAATGCTCGCGTTAGTTACGGGCGGAACGTGGTCGACCCACGTTTTCCTGCCGTGGTTTCGGGCCTTTTCTTTTGCCTAGTGGATGCGGGTACAGATAGGAGACGTCATTTTTGGGCGTTCATGTACTGTAAGGTTGGTTGTTCATGCGGGCTGGGATAGACCCAGTGGTAGTAGTAGATGTGGAGTGTTGATGTTTATCGATAACGTTGGTATTATGTTAGGTAGTGTGATTGTGTTTGGAGATGAGTGTAGGCGCGGGAAGAATGATACGGATGAGATTTGGATTTAACAGTAAGTTCACTAGTCTCCTTGATTGTGGCATCTTGGGTTGAGGTATCACCAGTTTGTAAAACCCTTGGCACTGGTCACCTGATCATGGCTTACACACTCAATGCAGCGGCGCTTGACGCATACGCGGGGCATATCTAGCTCAGGTGCATTAGATGACGTGGCCCAAAGATCTTCTACCTCTTGACCGCGGAAGAGATTTAGATATGAAAGTCCTGTTCATGATCCTCCCTCCGCCACAGCCTCCAAATACGGGACCAACCTTTTCTGAACCCTATTCACCCGCTCCACTGCATACCCCACTCTCATAGTAACTTCGTCCTTTCCTCCCCCCCCCCCCCCCCCAAAAAAAAAAAAAAAAGTACGCCGAAAACCTATTGGTATATGTCAGACGCTATTACCACTCCATGCATTCACAAATCCAGTAATTACGGTATCTCCTAATTACGGTATCTCCGGGGCTACACTTACCAACCCACTCCCTTCATCCTTCTCCACCGCTGTATCCGCCGGGAGGGTACCCATAGGCACACTCATAACTGGACTTCCCGCTTTGGCCGCCAGCGTCTGCATTGTTGGACTCAAGGTTGGCAGTATCATTACGTCCGCGCAACATGCAGTCAAGGTAGCATGTATCCCGCCTTCGCCGTTGATGAAGTAGTCGTTTTTCTCCGGCATGGTTTTGTATAATGGAGCGTTTGTATCCGCGGCTTGTGCGTTTTCGAGGCCCTCGACATTTCGGTGCGGGTACTGTTCAGCTGGGTGGTCTTTTGTGAAAGCGATGAGGGAGGCAAGATCGGTGATGTTCTGTGGGTTCGTGTTCAGGGAGGTGAGGTATGTGTTAATGGAAGCTTTCATGTCAGCGTAGAAGAGGACTGTTTGTTCTGCCAACGAAAGCGAGGTCCAGACGCGCGCACCAGGAATGGCTATGTTGCAGATTATCGTAGCCCCGGCTTCTTTAAGGATTGGAGTAAGTCGTCCAAAGCGAGGGATTTTGATAAAGGGACGTTCTGGATTTCTTTCAGAGTATAGGGACAGGGGACGGCTATGCGGACGTCGTGGAGGCATGGGGTCGACATGGCGATGTCTAGGTCGCGTAGGAGAGCTTGTTTGGTGGGTTGTTACATGTGGTGGCTGTGTTGCAGTATACTGGTCAAAACGAGTTGAGTGTCTGCAACAGTGCGGGCGAGTACGCCAACGGTGTCGAGACGTTTAGATGCATGTATCAGGCCCTTTGAAGACAGCAAGCCGCGTGTGGGTTTAAAGCCAATGATACCGGATTTCTCGGCGGGCGAGACGATGCAGTAGCACGTCTTTGATTTCTTGTCAGCCATCAACCTACTCTAACCACAACAACAATCATGAAATCGCGGAGATCGTTTAAAAACATACCTCTGTACCCAATGCCACTCCAACAACGCCCAGTCCAACGGCAACCGCACCACCCCCTGAACTCCCACTCGCTTTCATCCCTGGGTGAAACAACCCTGTCGTCTGCCCGCCTCGCGCACTCCATCCGGAACACCCGCTTGTGCTCCGAAATTCAACCCACTCTGCCATATTTCCTTTGCCAATCACAACAGCGCCTGCTGCTCTTAACGCCCCTACTACCTCTGCTTCCTCGCTGGGTATCGCGTCGACGAGGGCAAGACTACCGCAGGTAGTGTGCATGCCGTCGCCCAAGGTAGGCATGTTATCTTTGAGGAGGATGGGGATGCCATGGAGAGCACTGCGGCGCTGAAGTTTGGTGTCGAGGGATGCCGGAGTGGAGAGGGCAATGTGTGACGTATCGATAGTGTGGTTGTAGGTGCGATTCGTAGAAGCGATTCGATAGAGAGAGGACTTTGTCAGCGTGCGTGAGGTCAAATGCTGGGTTTTGAGGAGCTGATTTAGGGTTGAGAGGGGTGTGTGTCGGAGAAGTGATGCTGCTTGGATGATAGACCTGCTATCAACCTTAGATTCCGTAGTGGAGGCGTTTTTGTCTTGGTGTATATCCTGCATATTTGGCTGACGGTAATATCTAATTCTAGGTACTGGTAGTGTTGAACGAAGGTTTATAACGGAGCATCGTAGCATACATACATCGTACTTCAAGAGTGGACAGTAAGGGAACGCGAAGATGCGGCATACTGACTACATCGCAGCTTTGAAGGGATGTACTGTGAGGGAAAGTATACTGCAGTGACACATTGGTATGTCTGCAAGAAAAGGTCTGTGAAGGTCCATCGCTGTAACAGTGCCAAATTGAGGACTGAAGACGGTGTGACTTCTTGAGTAGAGAGTGCGGGGTGCCGTCTGGCCATGTTGCGGGCGATGAGATCCTTGATAATTAGGGTATCAAACTCAGTTACATTATGCACAAAGGTTATTAGAACTTCTGAGAATGGATATATACATGAGCGTGGGTTCATCGTTTCTGTGATGCCATGTAACGACGCTCTTTCCAAAGTAACCATTCAGTCTGCAATCTCGAAGATGCGCTTGCTTCGAATGGATCGACTAGCACATGTAAACCTTCTGCATCGCATCCCAGGCGCAGAATCGTATCAGCATGACTCCGTCAATGCCCACACCTTACCCAACGTTCCTCACCGTCATCTTTTTCCAATCTACACATACCCCCGCCGCAACCGACACCACATCCACTTACTCATCCAACTCAAAAACCACATCCCCCACCCCCGGAACCCTCCTCGCTTTCTTCCTGCAGCGCTCCACAGGCTGCGTACCAATCCACTCAAGCTCTTCGTCGCCTACCACAGTACTATCGCTCTCTTCGCGCTCACGTTTGATCTTAGCAGCATCGGTGCGGTGTTCCTAGTTTTCTTGGTTAGTAAGTGATTCCACACGTGGGAAGGCAGGTGTCGAAAAAGCTCGGTAGAGCTCTTGTCAAAATCATGTTGTCGATGATTCTTGAGTTTGCTCTACGCCAAAGGCTCGGATATGGGAATCATGTTCGCGTAGAAGATTGCTTACGCGGATGCGTTTTAACTCCTCTCTCATTTCTTCTGCTGTCATGGTGTCTGGGTCTGGGTCTGGGTCTGGGTCTGGGTCTTCTTCTGGCTCGGGTGAGAGTGAAGGTGATGGAGTACAAGGGATTACGCCGATGGATTTTAGGGCTTCTGTGTGATTGTGAGTATGTCAGTCTATCGTTTGGAGGAGGAGGAGACGCGCAAAGAGGATGACTTACGCGTAGACCGATACAAAAACTCAAACATAGCAAAAGGTTCATTCTGCATCGTCTCCACGGTGCTATACGTTACTTTCTCGTGGCGTTCGGGAGCAGCAAAACTGTCAAGGAGCTTCATCAGTGCCGGCACGCTTCATCATGTTAGTAGGTGGGGATGGCCTTACGTAGTCTGGTGGGACACCGCATCGCCGCGCGCAGCCGCCGTCTTACACAGCGCGTTCTCGCTCACGCCCTTGAGCTCATCACAAGTCGCCTGCGGCACCTCAGCCGGACTTGTAGACTCGAGATTCGCGATGAAGTAGAATTACAGCACAATACGACCGAGTTGCTGCAGTCTGCCTCGTAGTTCTTCAGTCATAGGTGTAACTGTTTCTTCTAATTCTCCGTCAGCCAATTTCTCTTTATAGTAGATGCGTCGCTCGACGTCAGTAACGTCAACATACCAATCCTCAACTCCGCGAACCGAAAGCCTTGCGTGAAATCCTGGCCCGCGACTATACTGGCAGCCTTCTTACAAACATATCCTTCGCAGTCTTCCTTGCCGCCCCACTCGAAGAAGGGAGCTTGAACATAGGTGTCGTCTAGCACGATCTCGATGTGCACGGGTGAGGGAGGTGTGAACTCAGGACGGTAGAGGTAGTGAATAGAGAAGTCGGTGGCTGATGGCGCTTCGATGTACCTGATTGTGCTTCCGAGATTTTCAGTGGGTTCTTGGTTTTCGGTAGGCGGATGACTGTACTCTGGCAGGGCTGTGTTGTCAACCTCAATGGTGACTTCGAGACCAGGGATATGGGTTGCATTGACCATGGTGAGTGGGTAAAGCTCTGAAGACGGTAGATCTGCGTTTTGCGTTTTGTTTGGGTGGTGAGTGCTATACCCTGTAGTGATTTGTGTCTTCTAGCTCCACATTGAAAGCTTGAAGAAAAGTGGTCAGATGGAGAATTTGAAGAAGAGACAGAGGGCAGGAAGTAGTTCCAGTTACGGTCCGGAACTGCTATGGTAAGTCATCGCTGATAAGAACACGCAGTTGTAGTCAAAGCGCTAACATGTGAGAGAAGGTCAGAACAGGACCCAAGTAAAGGTCTGCATACTTCTCCATTATTACACCTGTATGTGGCTTCTCAATGAATCGTTTCATACCCCAACGAATCTGAAGACCATCCTTATACCAAAAGAGCACTGATACGCCACAGGAAAACTAAGAAAAATGCAATGGTATCTTCCGCGCCCGTAGGTCCATAGCGCCAGTTGCGATAAAAAAAAGAGGGAGCAGCAAAGACAGACGTAGAAACTTCCGCCATTGGAGCTTTTGACCAACGTGAGTATAAGCGGTTCGGTAGCAGGACAGAACTTCCATTTTAGGTTAGGTCAATTGTTTCCGTGCAGTCCTCGTTCACCGTGATCGGAAGTCGACGACGCTTCTCTGAGACGAAAGTGACTTCTTCACTGTAATCCTCAAATTGCGAGACTGTGTTGCTCCTCTCACGCTTCACACCTTCACGCTTCAGTCGGGGGGCCGCTTCGTCCCGCTCACGAAGACGTCGGATCAGTTCGCGAGACTCTTCAGCGGTCAAACTGTTGATGTCTCTTTCCTCGAGCGGCACGGGACTGGGGCTTCGCGGGATGATGAGGAGTGACTGCAGCGCAGCTGCGTATAATTAGTATTACCGTAGATCCAACAGAAAATCGAAACACGAACCTCTTGAACGATACTTGAAGTTGAAGACCGCCATAGGCAGTTTCATAGGATCAACATGATCGCACTCAGAAAACTTCTGACCCTGACTCGCTACTGCAGGGCTCAAGCTTCGCTTTGTAAGTATATATCATGCGTGAGTTGCGTACTGCATAAACTTACGTGGCATGATGAGAGAGTGTACGTCCTTTGAGAGCCTTTTCTGGGACCTTTCCCAAGGCTATAGCATCTTGTCGTTCTGGAAGTTTGGTACGTTCTGTCACGTCCCGCAAGTTCATGACATGGAAAACTTCAACTCTAATATTGCCCACGCTTTTCAGGCCGTTCATCAGCTTATCAGGTACTGTGCTCTCGGTTGAATCGACTAGAAAATTTAGCGCTGATCTGATTTGTTTTGGTATGAACTTACCAGTATCAAGTCCAGAGAAGCAGAACTTTTGTAAGAACCATCTCTGTCTTTCAGTATAATTGCAGCCTTCGATGGATATCCGTGAAGTTATGCCAGGTTTGTCCATGTATGTACCACGTTTTCGCTGACCGTCAAGGAAAACGTCCACTAAAAGCGAATGCTTTGGCAAGGGTCGCGTAACCTCGCAGTTGACGGCGAACTCGGCGCCGGACGTGGCTTCAATATACTTCGTGACCGTCTTCTCGGATGTTTGCGCTTGTTCATCGTCGTCATCGTACTCCGTCAGAGGCACACCACCGACGCGAATGTCGACCTTGATACCGGGATGCGCTTCCGTGATAGCCATAGCGCTCGTGTCGCGAAGCTTTGTGGTAGTGTAACATTTACACGTCGGTTGACGGGGGGACGATGGAGTGTTGTGGTCGCCCACGAGACGCTAACGGCACAAGGTGGCACAGCGAAGAGGAGAAGTGCAGTTGAGAGCGGGGGGGGGGGGCGATCCAAACCCTAATTACCACTTCGGGCAGCGTGTCGCGCCGCTAACTCGCGTCCTCACGTGCTCTTTGTGTCACCGCGTAAGCCGTAATATGCAAGGAACCGAGCCATTTTGCCTTAACCACAGTAGTTACCACCTGGGTGTCATAAAATACTTAACATACTAGTGTGTTGGGGCCACTGTAGTCGCTAAACACGCCTATTAGGTGCTTACCCACACTGTCAAGTATTTAATGACACCTAAGTGGTACCACGATACTCCTCTAGCTCGCCAAGTTTCTGCGTAATGCCTGTATATAGTAACAGTCGCTCACTTGGTTTATCGAGAGACGAATCAAAGCGTTCCCAGATGCAGCATCTGGACGACAAGCGCAGTGTTCTTGGTAGCTACGTTTCTGCGTATACCCGTGTGAAGCAACTTGCTACCGAGAGTCGAACCAAACTTTCCCACATCTACCTTTTGAGTGGCATCTAGGGCAAGCGCAGCATTCTGTTTAGCCATATTCCTGCGTAATACCCATGTGAAACACCTGTCGCCTCCCTGATCCACCAACAGTCAAAGCGGCAAGTGCAATTCATATTACACAATACATCTCACACATCCCCAAAGAACAAACAAGCCAGTCAAACAGCGCGAAAAGCTACAATTAGCCAACGAAAATATATACACAAATAGTCTATTCTTTCGCCGTTACTCCTACTGGGTTTCCCATTCCGTCCTGCCAGCATGCCTGCCTATCCGCACGTGCCGTACCTATCCATGCATCCATCCATGTACCTTCTAGAGTCCAATGCATCCCCACCCGCACGGGACCCAACCCATACACAAGGAAAAAGTTGTAATCCATACACAAGAGAGAGCCTGCAATCCGTTGGTTGGTTTTGCCATTTGGAAATACATGATATGAGGATGATGTTGTACTAATAACAAAGAAAACCATTAACCGGCAAGGACGCAAAATAAAAGACCAAAAAGGGGACAAAGTGCAAGTGTTCAGGATAATGCTGGAGTGAACGCCTGTTTACATCGAAAGCCCTCTCCCCACCGTCCGAGTCCGACAAGATGCTTATAGTACGTGAACAAAGACTGGAAAGAAAACGCTATGCAGTCGTTATCATGGGAATATACCTCCATGCAATGGTATCAATCGCTGTTATGGACCAGGCCGTAAGTGTTGGAAGATGGCCATGGTAAGAATACTGGATGGGGTTGTTGAAGGATGCGTGGGATCGATAGTGGTGATGGAAGGTCGAAGAGGCCGTTTTTAGAGGTATCTCAACAGCGTAGTGTTCAGATACATGATAGTTTTGTTTCTACCAGGCGCCTATGCTTGCGGGCGAACCGGCACCGTAGTTACCACTCAAAAGCTGTTGTCGGATAGACATGGCGTCTGCGGGTGCACCGGCTGCAGAGTTGGACGTCTCTGCACCCATCCAGCCCAGACCCCCTCGCAGCTCGTTGACGGCTTCCTGCATCTTTCCGCCCGAGATCTCATTGTGCTTTGCAATCTTCTCATCCCATCCGCCATATTGCAGTTGAATTCCGCCAGCCTTCTTGGCTGCTTCCTGGATGACCATTGCCCAAGCCTTGGCCATCTCCTCGTATGCCTCCTGCTTGTGTCGGTTGTGCTGAAAGGTGTCCCAGTTGGGGAGTCGGTGGATAATGTTGGTGGCGCCATCAAGGAAGGTTAGGGAGGTGGCAGGCTGCTGTTCGTTGGGTGGAAGGAAGTGAGGCGTAAAGTCCTTTAGAGAGTCTAGTAACTCGTCGAGCTGTTGTCGTACCCGGTTGTATGCGTAGTCTGACGAGGCTCGGCCGCCAAAGGGGAAGGCTGCCTGGAACGAGGCTTCGTACTTGGCCAAGACCTCCAGCGTCGACTGTATGCTGGGTCGCGGGGCGGTTGTGACAATCTCGTTGCTGATGTCAGGGTGGCGCTGACAGATGGACTGTAGCAAGTTTCGCATGTCGTCAGGACTGAGTGTTTCGAGGAGGCGAGGGAGCGGGAGTGGTCGCCCCGAGATATTGGTGCGCATGCGCTTCATGCCACGCGGCGCTGGTCGGGGCAGGACGGCGGGAGAGGCGGATGGCGATGCACTCATGCGGTCGTCATCGCCGGCGCTTCCATCGTCCTCGGCTTTGCGCTTGCGGCCAGACATGGTCGAGGAAAGGGAGGAGACTGTCCAAAGGTTAGTACACCAAGGTTGAGGGTTGTGGTAGTGAGTCGACCTACTGTTGCGGGTAGGGGAGCGGCGAGTGTTGTTCAAAAGGTGAGGGGGCGTGAAGGCCTGGTATTGCACATTCATGACGACGAATGGGCGGAAAACGCAGTCAAGAGGCAGGCGTGCTGTGCTGGAGGGCAGATAGCGGTGCCTGGACGAAGCTGCAAGGGAAGAGAGGTTGTGGAGTGTCAACGGTTGAGTGCGGTGTCGGTGGGTCGGGCGTCGGGTGCTGGGTGCTGGGTGCTGAGTGTTGTGAGATGCTCTGTGCTAACTAACAAAAGGCGCATGGGCCAAACCTTGGAACCCGCTCCGCCGACCAATCGCGTCACACGTCACAGATGCCAGCCAGACCAAAAAAAATGCACCTTTCACCTCTAGGGTCAGTGCTTCCATATCGGCATGTCTCACAATCACATCGTCGGGTGCTGCACTTGCCGCGCTTGTAGCGGCATTCATCATGACATTTGGTAACACACACAGGCTGAAAGGCTGAGCAGGGGGGATCGTCAACCGTGCTGGCTGGTACACGCCCACGGTATCAGATCTAGTCAAATTTCTATCCAGGACACATCTTTCAGCGACTTCTTTTTCAGAAGCACCGCGCCAAAATGCTCCTTGCATGCGCCTGACACACCTGCAGGCGCAGGACGAGTGGCGCTATGCTTCTAGCTGCATCGAGAAGAACGCCTTTTCTGTCCCGCACTTACCTGCCGAACCTTGAACTGCCATAGACTCCGCAATATACGCCCTCATTCTTTACATAATGCTAGCCACATGATTATTAGCCCTGGTATGCACGTATACTTGGCGGCTTGAAGTCTCCAAACAGTGTTTTTCCCTTACCATTCCGGTACTCAAAGACCCCATGTATGCGGCGGATGAGGAGCTGCGATCCAAACATTAGAGATACAGGGACTGCGCGGCCACTAGATCCCTGCGCACAAGCTCGAGTGACGCCGTGAACTTCTGCTCGAGCTCTTCGCTGCCCATGACTTTGGCCGCTTGTGCGATTTGCCGAAGAAGCTCCTCTAGTCGTCTAAAGAGGCGAATAAGACTGCCCTCGTATACGTCCGTCATTTTGCTGCGAGCGCTTAGTATTAATACTTGACACGGCAAAAGCCATAGCGAAACGTACCAGATTTGAGCAAAGGTAGCCCCCTTGGACCATGCGTAGACGACTTCCATCAGCTCGTACTTGAATGTCTTGAGGTACTCTTCCTCGTTGACCGCGAGCTTGCTCTCCTGTGACATTTTCGCGATAACCCTGGCTTGCTGCTGGATCTCGCGGTAAGGCTTGGCGAGCTCTTCTTTGAGCGCCGGCACCTCCTGCGTCTTTTCTTCGAAGATGAAACAGCTGAGACAGGCCGCGCACTGCTCAGGTGTCAGTTCATTGAAGAAACGGTTGAAAAGTAGCTCGCTCAGAACAAGCTCGTCACCTGTGCTGATTTCGCAAGCAACCCTGGCCTTTAGCTGCACCACATCGGCCTCGTCGATGAAGCCAAGTCGTCGCAACACACGTTTCCTGCTCTTCAGCTCGTCCAGTTGGATGACGGATAACGCATTCGCAATCTCTTTGCGAACGTTCTTGATCTTCTCGCCAATCGCAATCTTCTGTGCGTATTGGCTGTATAGCTCAGGTAGCCTCGGCGAGTTGTGGAGAGGGTTTGTGAGCAGCCGGGATTCTAGCACCTCGATCCTCTTCATAGTGTTAGTTTTCAATCGCAAATCCAATTCAGCGAGTGTGGTACGTACCCTGAGAAGCTTCTTGAAGCTGTCGTCCTTGATGTTCATGTTCTCAATGGGATCCAGAATGGCGATTCCGTCTGGGAAACGTTTCTTGACCTCAGCCAGCGCCTTGCGAACATTGTTCCTCTGCTCCGCCGACTTAAGCTCATTTGGCAAAAATACACGGAGATGGCCAATCGATTCGATACAGTTTAGCACCACAGGAACAACCTCCATCTTGCCCTTGTCGCCAGCTGTTGGTGGCCGGACGCCAGGGGGCAATCCGTCATTCACTGCTGGCGCAAACTTGGTGTCGCTCGCAACCGGTAGCAGAACATCGACTATGTAGGACTCGTGAGGCGGGAAAATTTCGCCCTTGTTTCCCTTGCGAGGTGTGAACGCTACTACCGCGCCCCAGCCAAAGTCGAAGTCCTTGTACTTGATCTTGACTAGGCGGCCACCCTGCAGAAATTGTAAACAGTATGTCGGCTGCATGATGACATCGCGCATGTCCTTGGTATGGGCGTCGAGTTGCTGTCGCAGGTTATAATACTCCTTGATAGCCGGCTCATCGACAATGTTGGTGTTTGCCTTTTCGTGCTCGAGCTCCTCAAGTTCTGCAGTACTATTAGCGGTTGTGTGCAAAGTAGGAAGATACCAACTCACGTTTTTCCAGATGAGAGACACCAGCTGTACTTTGGAACTGGAAGAAGCACCTCTCCAACATGAACTCGGGAGAAATGCCCTCTACTCGCATAAGGTTGAGAATCATGTTGTAGCCCAAGTGGAAAGCAGAGTTCAGGTTGTCCTGTTGTCCGCGCACAATCTCCTTAGCCACAGCAGGCTCCATCTGCTCGTTGATCATCATAATGACAATACCACGATCATCGAGACCACGACGTCCAGCACGACCAGACATCTGAATGAACTCGGAAGGTGTCACCCATCGTTGAGCTACTCCATCAAACTTGCGCACACTGGTGAATACAACAGTCTTCGCCGGCATGTTGAGTCCAATGGAGAAGGTCTCGGTCGCAAACAGCACTTTGATCAGACCCTCCTGGAACAAAATCTCAATCGTCTCCTTTAGGATGGGCAGCAGTCCGGAGTGATGAACACCGATACCTCTTCGGAGCAGGGGCAAGATGTGCTGGATCTGGGGCAACTGTCGGTCCTCCTCTGACAACATCTCGATGGCGCTGTTGAAGACCTTTGTCACCATGGCCTTTTCCGAGTCGTCGTTGAATGCGAGCGAGCTCATGGCGAGCGCATAGTTCTCGCATTCCCTCTTGCTGAAGCTGAAGACAATGACTGGATTGTAGCTCTTGACCATGATCATCTTGACAATCTTGTAGATATCCGTCTGGTCCTTGTTGCCGCCTGTGTTGGTCTTCTTGTCCTTGCCCTTGCCCTTGCGTTTGGCTAGGAAGTCCTTGGAATCGGTGCCGGCCTTGTCTGCGATGGATGACATGGCCTTTTGGAAGTTCTCTTCGCGAAACACACCCTTCTCGTCCACTACCAAGTGTATGCCTTCTGCGCCGGCGGGGAAGAAGTAATGTTGTAGCGGAGTCGGGCGAAAATCGGTGTAGACGACGTGGCATGGCTGGCTGTGGTTTTTGGTGATCCATTCTGCAAACTGCATGGCGTTCGGAATGGTGGCGGAGAGGAAGACGTAGCGGACCTTGTCAGGGAGCAAGATGATAGTCTCCTCCCACACGACACCTCTCGCTGGGTCGCGCAGGTAATGTACCTCGTCGAATACGACCCAGGCTACCTCGCGCATGATCTCGGAACCTCTGTACAGCATAGAGCGCAAAATCTAGAAGAAAAAATTAGTCATGTCCGTCACGGCCTACACTTGCACGTACCTCAGTAGTCATGACCAAACAGGTCGCAGTCGGGTTAATGGTGACATCACCCGTCATGAGACCGACATCGCCAAACTCTGCCATGAACTCTCGGTACTTTTGGTTGCTCAGCGCCTTGATAGGACTAGTGTAGATGACTCGCTGGTTGTTCTTCAGACATTGCGCAATGGCGTATTCTGCTACCACTGTCTTTCCAGCTGAGGTATGCGCTGAGACTAAAACACTCTCGTTACGCTGTATGGACGCGATAGAGACCTGCTGGAAAGGATCTAGGGTAAAGGGCCAGGTGCGGGCCGGCTCCTGCGGAGGCTTGTGCTCGTTGATGGGGACATAATCGTAGTCGGGCGGAAGGGCGACCTGATGGCGCACCTGATGCGAAAGCACCACTGCCTGGCCTTCTTGTGATTGCGCCTGTAGTCCTGCAGCTGCGGCCACCTCGCGCGACTGTTCCGTCTCGAAATCATCCGTGACTATAGGCTCAGGCTCTGCATCGCGCTTTTGCTTCTTCTTCGCTTCACTCGTGCCATCTTGCTGCTCTGTGGGCGCGTCTGACATGGCGGAGTCCTCCACCGGCATTGGCGATTTGACATCGCCATTTGCCTGGCGCTTTTTGTTCTTCCTGGGAGCAGCGTCCTTGGACGGGCCGCCCTCGAAGACGTCAAACATATCGTCGTCCATTTTGGGCGTGTTGTTGTCCGCTTTTGCGTAGTATGCTAGGGTGGAAGGTAAGAGCGGGCTGTCGGGACCTGGGGGGTTCGGCGCGACAAGTAGTCCGGAGGGCGCGAACGTTGAGACAAAAAAGGTTTATGACGGATACATGGATGCACGGACCCTATCGGTATCGCCAAGACTGACATCGATGGCGCCAGGAGCGACGCAGCATACCAATGACCTCCGCAACCTCTCCACTCTACCACCCAGCAAAAGTATGCCCATATACCCCTTCAATTGCTCCAGGTACTGATTTCGCAAGATGCTCGCCCGTGCTACCTTCCGCGCCGCCTCGGCCCCAACTCTCGTCGCCCGCCGCGGCTTCCAATCCACCCGCGCCCAGCTCGGCAGCCCATACCACTACCCCGAGGGCCCGCGCAGCAACTTGCCCTTTGACCCGCTGAAGAGGGGCTTCGCATTCAAGTACTGGGGCTTCATGGGTGAGCTTTGGAGTCTTCAATGGCACGACATCCGCTAATTGAGACAGCTACCGGATTCTCCCTTCCCTTCCTCCTTGCTGGTGAGACACGACTTCGCACTCTCGCTTTTGCATTTCCAGAACTGACAACAGCGTCATTACAGTTTGGCAAACCAAGAAGAACAAATAAATGCATTCACCTGGAGCGTGGACATGGCTTTCGGACATTGGACGGACAGGGCATCTGTAGAAGATCAGAGAGTCTTTCGGACGGATATATAGACATTACAGCATCAATTTCATTGTCTGTCTCTCACGAAACGTCAATATGTGCTGTGCATGAAGTCACGATGTCGTGCATTGCGATGACGAGCACTGATCTGCCACTTTGCGATTAGCGAATTTCATTTGAAAGATGTTCACACCGTGCACAGCAGGGCAGTGGACGACGGTATAGATAGGACGTTGACTGGCAGTGGTCGTCTCGAAAGCTAGCTCTGCAACACCTCACCTGACTCTGATGATGTGATGCATTACCGTTCGGTAAGTTAGAAGTTCGGCGCTAGCATCACCAAAAATTCGCGACCACTCATACCTAGCCCGACTGATTGGGCGCAAAACTCACACCTCTGACTGACAATCTTCAACCCCATGATACTACGGCGATGCGAAATCTTAACATCGTGGGTAGATCGCTCCTGCGATTTGCCGGAGAGGAGCCACTTCCGCTAACTGCGACTGCCTGGGACGCCGCCTCAAATGCACTGGTATGCGCCTTCGGTCCCTCTGAATCACGTGCGACCATCGAACTTAAAAGACTGCATCACACACGTACCAGTGGTGAGGAAAAGCTGGAGAGTATTGCATCGTGGGATGCGCCATGTCCACTGCCCTCGCTTACCCATGACTCAATCCTGAGTCTGCACCACTTTGCCGATACGGCTACAACATGTCTAATACTGGCCGGAGGAGACATTGTTCTCGTCAGAGAAAATCAAATTTCTACCGAAGAGCTTGTTGAAATCGTAGGCTCGGTTGACGTTGGAATTTCTGCAGCCGCATGGTCGCCTGATGAGGAACTCCTTGCCATCACCACACTCGCGGACACATTATTATTGATGAGTCGCGATATCGAAAACATAGCAAGCCTCAACCTCACTCCGGAAGATGTCAATGCATCCAGTCACGTGTCTGTGGGATGGGGAAAGAAAGAGACGCAATTCAAAGGCAAACGTGCAAGAGCACTTCAGGATCCTACTGTACCAGAGACGGTCGACGAGGGCGTACTGAGTCCTTTAGATGATCGTTCCATTACCATCAGCTGGAGAGGCGATGGTGCCTGGTTTGCGGTGAGCAAAGTCGAAGAGGAACGTCGTCGCATGATCAGAGTATATTCCCGCGAAGGACAGCTAGACAGTGTTAGCGAGCCCGTTGATGGTCTTGAGGGAGCTCTTAGCTGGCGGCCATCAGGCAATTTGATTGCAAGCATTCGTCGTACCTCCGACAAGATTGAAGTGGTATTCTTCGAGAGGAACGGCCTACGACACGGCGAGTTCGACCTTCGATTCAGCCCTGAAGAGCTTGCTGCCCTCACAACACCTTTGACTCTCAAGTGGAATAGCGACTCCAACGTACTGGCTGTATCTTATCAAAACAAGGTACAGCTGTGGACAATGAGCAATTACCACTACTATCTTAAGCAAGAACTTTCTTTCCCAGAGACTGCATCACGGACTGTCGCGTGCAACTGGCATTCTGAGCGCCCACTGGCAGTAGCACTTTCAACTCATGGTAAGCAATTCATCAACAAAGTTCATTAAGTGTTGACTGACAGAATGCAAGGCGCCGTCCAAGTATTGGAGTATGCTTCTACGATTTCCGCTGGCTCAGTCGCACCGCCGAACGACTATGGTATGGTTGCTTCGATAGACGGCTGTAAGTCGTAACCTTTGTACCACTTCTGTAACTTGACCTGACTGCTATAAGTGTCTCTCAAACTTACACCTCTGCGAGTCGCCAATATACCGCCTCCAATGTCACTGCATACTTTGGCACTTGAATCAATACCTGTCAATGTTGCGCTGTCCAAATCTGGCAATCGTTTGGCAGTACTCTCGGACAGCGATCTTGCAGTATATGCTCTTGACTTGGAGAAGCGGCCTGTTCTGAAGCCCGCCTTTCTGTGGAGAAGCGGCGCAGTCAAAGACCACTCACCGCGCCATGTCACATTTGCGGGTGATGGGCAAATATTTGTACTAACTGATTCCTGGGATGAAGATGAAGCCTCTCTATGGCGCTCTGAAGGAGACATGTTGCTCCCCCAAGGACCTATTGTGGAGGCTGACAGCACCGCCCTACTACTCTCCAGTGTGGATCATGGCATACTATACACAGAATTCCACAACGGTGCATTGCACCAGGTAGTGATAGATGAGACAACAACGGATCTGCCGCCCCAAAGCACGCTTGTGCACAAATTTCCTTCATTTGCGCCCGAAGTCCAGGTTGTCAAATTCGAAGGACAAGTAAGCTCACTGTTGATATATTAGCGATAAAAGCTAACGATCGCAGACGCTGGCGTTTGGATTGACTAAGAGCGGAGTGTTGTACGTCAATGAACAGATACTGGTTCGCAATTGCACCTCTTTTGTAGCTACTACTGCGCATCTCATCTTCACAACTACCCAGCATCTACTCAAGTTCGTTCACCTTGCTGATGCAGACGGTAAGTTCCGAAATGATTCTTCTGAATCAATTTGCTAAGGTCATTTAGAACTTGAGGTACCTGCAGACGAACCACAGAAAGATGAGCGATGTAGGAGCATCGAAAGAGGAGCAAAGATCGTCACAGTCATGCCCACTACGTACTCTGTAGTACTGCAGATGCCTAGGGGCAATCTGGAGACTATATATCCCCGAGCACTTGTGTTGGCTGCGATTCGTCGAAGTATCGAAGCGGAACGATACGACGAGGCCTTCTTTGCCTGCCGTAATCAGCGCGTTGATTTCAACATCCTTCACGACCACGACCCGGAAAGATTCATGACAAGCCTCGAAAAGATCGTTATGCAGATCAAGAAGATAGAGCATATCGACTTGCTTCTAGCCCAACTTCGTAATGAGGACGTATCTGAAACCATGTACAAGGAGACGTCGAAGTTGAAAGATCTCAACAGCAAGTCTCGGCTCTCGCATGACCAAGTGGAGAACAAAGTCAACCGAATTTGCAACGCATTTGTTATTGTACTGGAGCAGTCTCAGTACAAGGATGCTCATTTGCAAAACATCATTACAGCTCACGTTTCCAAGACACCACCGGCTTTGGATACAGGATTGGTTATGATAGGACGTCTGCAAGGTAATGCATACATGTCCAACTCTTTTCGCTGTACTGACCTCTTTCAGCATCTGGAGACCCACTTACAGACAAGGCTGCTGAGCACATTTGTTTCCTTGCAGATGTCAATCAGCTCTATGATACATCACTAGGATTGTATAACCTCGATCTAGCCTTGCTTATAGCGCAACAGTCACAAAAGGTAAATCCAGGTGATTGAAGGTGATCTGTACATTTCTGACGTGCACCAGGATCCACGCGAGTATCTGCCACATCTACAATCTTTGCAAGACCTACCCGAAACTCGTCGCAAGTTCAAGATTGATGACCAGCTCGGCCGTCGAGCAAAGGCACTCACGCATCTCAAAGATCTTCAAGCGTTTGATGAGGTACAAGACTACGTGCAGAAGCATGACTTGTATCCTGAAGCTTTGAGCATGTACCAGTACGACAACAGCCGCTTGAAGGAAATCATGCGTCTATATGCAGACTTCTTGAGCACAAACAACAAGAACAAAGAAGCTGCACTAGCTTATGAATATCTCAACGATCACGCATCCGCCTGGCCATGTTACCGGTCAGCCAATCTTTGGCGTGAAGCGCTCTCATCTGCTATCCTCGCAGACGTAGGGACTGAGGAGCTCACATCTATTGCCACTGATCTCGCCGAAGGCCTCACAGAGTCAAAGGACTACCTCGCCGCGTCCACGATAACACTTGAATATCTCTCCGACCTATCATCCGCCGCACGCCTCTTATGCCGCGGCTGCTACTTCTCCGAAGCCATCCGCACCGTCACACTGCGCCGCGAACCTGACCTCATAACCTCAGTCGTTGACCCCGGTCTCATTGAACGCAGTGCAGACATGACGGAATTCCTCGCCGAAATGAAAGGCCAGCTCCAAGCCCAAGTGCCCCGTCTCAAAGACCTGCGTGCCAAAAAAGCAGAAGACCCCATGGCTTTCTACGAAGGCATGCTAGACGGCGGTGACGCAAACATCCCCGACAATATCTCCCTCGCCCCTACAGATACAACTTCAGGCGGCACATTCATGACACGGTACACCAATGCCACTGGCACTGTTAATACCACCACGACGCGCAAGACAAGCAAGAACAAGCGCCGTGAAGAACGTAAGCGCGCACGAGGCAAAAAAGGTACTGTTTATGAGGAAGAATATCTCACAAACTCCATCGAACGTCTCATCGAGCGTATCAACAGTATGCAAGATGAGATCCAGCGTCTAGTAGAAGGCTTGGTACGGAGGGGTATGCGCGAACGTGCGGACGCTGTGTCCAACGCCGTTCGTGAAGTTGTAGAGAAATGTCAGGATGCCGTCAAAGAGATGTATCCGTCTGCAACTGATGCGGCAATAGCGACCGAGGGAGCGAATGGCATCGTAGGAGTTGGAGCGGATGGCGAGACGATGAGACCGACTGGGGGAGATGCGACGCTTTGGGATAGTCTACAGGAAGTTGGCAAGAAGAGGGAGGTACCTGTTGTGAAGTTGTTTGAAAGGTTGAGTCTTTTGGGGTAGATTGGTATTGGGAGAACGGTTCTTATTCTAATAACATGTAGAAGGGGGCTAGATTCGCATGACGGTTCGGCCACATAAATCAGGTTAGAGAAAAACCACAGAGAATGCGTAGAAAACCACATCCTACAGTTGGATGCGAGAACCGAATTTGATAGTCCTCAAGCCCTATATCGCTACTATTCCTCCACAATTTTTCCGTTATATCTTCCCAGGCACATCAGCCATCTCAACCACTTGTACCCGTACAGTGGATATGCGGCGAAAGACTAGGTCCAACAAGTAATCTACACAAATAACAGCATTAGCATCCCCTTTTTCATCAAGCGTTACGAGACCAACATACCGGAGCGCAAGGATTACATTGAGGGGAAGGGCGGCATCGCTCTATACGGTTATCGGAGTGGGGACAGCATACTCTGCACCAGCCTGTTCTTGGGTAGGCGACAGCTGTCGCAGCGCTGATGAAAATGAGGGAGAGAAGTAGTTGGAGACGCATGGTGGTAAGTCGAGCCGGCGAGTGTTCGGAATGGGTTAAGAGGGATATTTCGAGAGGCGGTAGTGTTGTTTTGGATAGTGTGTGGGTATGTGGGGACCCACCCATATATGTATTCCTTGGATACGTGGATAAGCTGACTTGTACTGGCCACATCGCAATGTTGGATGCGGATGATCAAGATGACATGATTTGTTTCCATCGCAGGCATCCTGCGGGGTTGTGCCGATATCTCGTGTTGCTGACCTGGACCACGGCCGGTGTCATGTTGAAAGGAGCATAAGCTGCTCGCACTGACAATTCATATGTTGGTGTAATGGTGATGGAGATGGAGAAAGAGATCGAGAGTGCAATTTCGCGGTACTTTCAGTGCCCTCGCGACCCATAGGTCGCTCCTAATAGGCTCGCGCCCATTATTGTTTAGTTGTGTGTGTTTGTTTTAGTACCAAACCTTTATCGTAGACCAGAGCTCAGGCTGCTAAGCCCAAGCTTAAAAAAACTCGTCTTTTACCGCATTTCGTATATGACATGGAGGGTGTCAACCTGTATCGATCTCTATCTATAGCTTTCTCTTTTTCAACTCGCGGAAACTTCACATGAAATCATATGTTGGTACGGGGCAAGTTTTCTATAGGTACACATGTTCTTCGATTGCGGTACATATAACTATGGTGATGCCCAAGGTGTGTTACCGACGGCGTCCTACAGAGTCAATCCCCTCCTCTCAAGCACATCATACATCCCGAGGCTACTAACATCTAGGCTATCCCAAATCGTCAGCTTCACCTTCATAGAATTCAAAAAACGATATCGACTTACCACATTTTTTACTTTGCAAGCATCGCAATTCCGATCCACGTTTGCATCGCAACTATACCTCTTTGGCTTGTTCTTTGTGGGACAGCAATCAGTATAGTTATATTACAAAAAGTTCTGTGGAGCGCGTCGGCCTTATGTTTTGGGCGGCGTGGGCACCGGGCACAAGGGCTATTCAGAAATATCAGCTTCCCCTTCATAGAGTTCAAAGAACGATATCAACTTACCACATTTTTTACTTTGCAAGGATCGCAATTCTCATCCTCAGGGGAATCGCAACTATACGGCCCCGTTGGCTTGTCCTTTGTGGGACAGCAATTAGAAGTATTCCAAGACTTGACTATCTGTGGAGCGCGTCAGACTGAAGAACCTTCGATTACATGATCTCAATGAGAGCTCTACCGAGCCTTTTCATTCTTATCTCTAACTGTGGAGCGCGTCGGGCCCGTGGTTTGGATGCCGGGCACGAGGGCTATTCAGAAACATCAGCTCCCCCTTCTCATTGTCAGGACCCCGCCCAGAATGGGCAATGATTACCCATAATGGGCTAGGATTAGTCATCATCGGGTATTTAGTATGAGAATGCGCTACCAGGGCTCGGTAGCGATTCGTCTATCCTTAGCAGACACAATACTATGCCATTGACGAAGAAAATTGCCCATCCAGTGCTTTCACCAACCATTGAATCTGACACTCATAGCATTCAATAGACGATATCAACTTACCACTTTATTTGCTTTGCAAGGATCGCAATTTGGATCCGTATCCTTGCCGCAATAAAAAGTCCCCACGGGGTTGTTTCCCTTGGGACAGCAACTAGCCTTGTTGAAAAGCTTGTCCAGTTCGGCTTGTGATAGTGGACATTAATATGACTGTCGAACAATATTAGCATTCTCTTTTCCCATCAAGCTCTGAAGGTATGAAGGTCAAACGGCTTGATGGAGCTGTCGTCAAATTGTGTGATCAGTGTACAAAACTTACTTTACCGTCTACCAAGCAAGGATCACACCCTGGAATATTACACGACTTGGGTGTTCGGCCCGTGCGAATGAAGCAGCAATCTTTGGTAACGGCGGCTGATATGCCGAGGAAGAGGGTGGAGAGTATAATTAAGAGCCGCATGGTCCGCAAAGTTGAGGTGGGTAGAATCGGGCTATTGGGAGGTATTGGTGTCGTTTCCAAGAGAGAGGGCGTAGGTAGCTCTGGAGGTATGCGGGGGTATATGTATATATAGTAATAAGACACGTGAGTAAGCATAGTACTTGTCAGAGTGGACACGCATCTGGTGTTGGATGTGGATCACCAGCATAGCATGCTTCCTGTCACAAGAGTCTTAGGTGGAGCGGATTCCTCGTATTGCTTACTGTCTTTCCGCATTTGTTGGAAGATCAACACGCTGCGCCGGCTACTTATACCAAAATCATATAGGTACGGCGATCATGATTCGATTATTTACTTGCACCGTAATGTATTATCTTGCTTAGTTGTGTCTGATGCCAAGGTATGTTATTATTGGCTACTATCTGGGTTGTGGTATACACACCTTTGCGGCATTTTAAAGGAGGTATAGCAGGGGCACGCACTCCACTTAGGGCGAGGTCTGTGAACTGGGGTAACTGTTGTGGATAATTGAGAAAGGTCTCGAGGTCGAGTCTGCAAATTAGTAGGAGAGAATGATCCTGAGAGTAATATATGGTATGGTCTTTCGGTTAAAAGTCTTGCAAGTCGACTAGTGGTGATATGCAGTTAGAAGGATTGCATTTGGAGGCTGGTTGGGTACTAATATCGTGATACTAATCCGACTAAATAATGGTCATTAAACTGTCCTGGAAGTTAATTTGAGCACTACTAGGCCACCATTTTCTTATGACGTAGGTACATGGTGACTGTGAGTCAATAGGTGCAAACGGTTTCCTTAGCACTACACTAGCTAATGCCCTTTTGTTGTCACAAACTAGCCGCGCGGAACTACTGCCATCAACTGCCATCAACTGCCATCAACTGCGATAACCCGACTCAAAAGCGTCACGTATGACAATACCGGACATGGAGCAATCCCAACCCGCCAGAAACGCGAAATAAAGCAACAAGAGTGCTGCCGAATCACAGTACGAGTATAATCTCTATATCTTTTTTGAAAGCCGAGTGAGCGCTGACATGACAAAGCGAGCCATGCCCAGCGGGTACCCTTGGTACTCTTGAGCGACTACCACTCGAGTTGCGACAGATGATATACGAATATGCCTTGAAGGCCGAAAACCCGATCGAAGCGCCAAAAAAGGTTCTCGGCTTCACTCTTAGTTACTGCTACCCTGATAGGCAATATCCGGAGCCCAGCAAAAAACGACAGTACCAAAAAGGCAGGTTCTCACTGCTATACGTTTGCAAAGCCATGAAGAAGGAAGCGGCATGGGTCCTGTACAAAAAGGTACCTCTGAAACTCGAAATGACGGCCATGCTCGCACAATACGCCGACATTGGCATTGCATGGGATACTCAGACCAACTTTTCCAAGATATCCATGTGGCTCAACGCAGCACAATACCGGAACATACAGCTAGTTGTACCATCGACAGATGAGGCAACTTCTCTGGCTGAAATAACCGAGCTGCTCCTTAGCACCATCACACAACTGCTGGAATGTTGGGACATATTCACCAAGACCACTGACGCTATTGAAAACTGCAAGGTGTCGGTACAAATCGGTACACTCTTCGCCATGAAGACACATCCTAGCCGAATCACAGCTCGCCCCACAGAGCGCATTCGAAAGGCGTTGAAGAAGCTAGGAAAATGCATCGGCAAGAACAAAGACGTTGCAAAGTGGACAGTCACGGCTATGGAGGATATCAAACCAAAGAAAGAACAGGGTAGGTGCATGCTGAGAAAATTGAAGAGGAGGCTCCGCGACGATGGCTTCAGCTTTGTCAGCTTGTCGAGGGAAGCTGTACCGGCGAAAACGGAGTACTGTCATTACAAATACGTCAAGGCTGTGCAGCGCAGCACGCACATTCGTTTTGATGGATGATGGTGCGTTTGAGTAGCTCACTCAGAAGAATTGGGCAGGAGCCATGAGAGAATGTGATTGAGGGGGGCGACACGTCTGTGAAAGGACACAAGGCTACGGACGGTGGATAGTAGGCTCTCAGGAACAGATATGCGAGAACGATAATATATTGAGATCGCACATGATGCAGGTCCAATCTGGGAGCCTGGGCTGAGTCATCAAGTTAGCGTCTTCGGAACCTCGGTTGTGCTGCACGCCATCTCTCTCCATCTTGAACAACATTAGCTCTCCTGTTTGTCCTCTCGATTTTTCTGCGTTTGTGTCATCGGGATACGTCATAATCCGCGACGGACGTTATGGAATTGGTCCACGCTCTAGCAAGTTGTCATTCTGCTTTCACCGGAAAGTCGGTGTCTAAAAGCCACGAAAACAACCTGAGAGTTATCTTTTTCGATCGTCACTGATGATGGACTTTCAAATCAGAAAAGGATGGAAATAGTTTTCGCGCGGGTCAGATTGGCGATATTTCCTTAATATTCAGAGCCAGTACGCGAGTGATACGTACCGGTACTAAGAGGATCGAGGGTTCTTCAGTTTCCGTGGTACTATAGAACATAAATAAAATTTAGTGCACGCAAAAGAAACTTGCCCCCCTCCCCTCTCGTATTTCCATCATCTTTACTCAACCGAACGAATATCAGAACAAAAGTGCACCCTACATCTCGTCAGCAGCACACAGTGTGCGCGAAGATTGTGAAACCCTTACAACGCACCACTTTACCTAAATTTGGAGTACCAAAAAAACTGGAGAGTGTCAAATCACACCTTCTTTCGGAAGCCATATCAAAATCTCTTGAACTAAGGTCACACGCATTTCATAATCAGCATCAGAGCCCATTGTTTTCGCTCCCAGGCGAAATCAGGAACCGAATGTACCATTATGCGCTCGAAATGGACCGACCACGTGTGATTTACCGACAAAACGCGTATCCTTATGACGTTGACCCCCCACTCACAAATTCACTACGTGCTTTCCCCAACGATCGTTCAGTTCAGTATTCTTGCGGGAAGCGGAGCTATTATAGGTACCAACCACAGACCGATTTTATTTTCACATGCAAGCGGGTACATTGGGAAGCATATTCGCTATTGAGTGAGACCGCTTTTGTAGAGGTACCAATGTCCGCCCTTCAGTTCCCGTGTCCTACCTCACAGTGCGCGCTTGAATCCTTCCGTCACGTCGCTATTAGTTTCAACGACATATACTTGGTCAGTGATATGAAGAACTATTTAGCCTACGTTACAAGACAAGGAAAAGATATGGCCGATAGGTATCGGATGTATGGTGAGGCGATTAGAGAACAGATCCCAACGCTCATCGATATCTTGCCTAAGCCTCCTCCACAGCTCCACTGGCGCCGGAACGTCAAGATCGACTTTCTATACTGCTGGCCAGGCCGCGAAACCTTCTTGGCGTGCATAGAGGCGATGGCTGTGGATAGTCTGACTGACTGGGAGCTCTGGTTTGATAGTAGTAGTCATTGGGCAGGTAATTATGATTGGTCAGGCGGGAGCGGGCGGATCTTCGAGGAAATTGCATGGGCTTCACATGAATGCGCAAAGTTCGGTGACCGCATCAGCATCGTTCTTCAGATCGAAGATGGTGGACCTCTTGGGTATGAAAATGGTACTATATCAAACATCCAAACCATACTCAAGCCTCGGGATATACTAAGTCTCTGTTCCTGCTTACAGAAGTCCTGTCATACATGTTTCGGTATATTGACTAGAGGCTTTTTTCTAGTTAGAGTGTAAAGGTCTAATACGATAGGATCAGCAAATAGGGGTATTCAAGTAACACAATCAGATTTGATAGACAATTAAAAGAAGCGTTGGGCCAGAGCTGCTGTATCTTCTTAAAGCCTTAATCAAGCCTCGTTGTAAAACCCTCTATGGCAGCTGTTGAAGCGTATTAAGTATCTTTTCTTCCTTTTATATCAGCCCGTATGAGGACATGATGATGATTCTTGGCGTACCAAATTGACGAATCATCGATTACCTGATTTTTTACCAAAGTTCCACCCAGCGTTTTCACACTCGCCTCACCAACAAAGTTTGGTTTCGCCAGCTCAAACTATCGGTAAATACACTATCACATTCCAAACACAAACACACCCTCCTCAACGGCTGGCCAACACATCATGTGCACTCAAACTGACCTTAACCGTATTTTGGACATCGACAGCGATGCAGAAGAAAGTGTGATCAAGAAAGCGTACCGACGCATCGCACTCGCTGATCGTCCCGACAAAACGTGAATCTCCCCAGCCCAGAACATGAGCACAGAACACATATATCTCAACGGGTGACCATAGCGTATAAGCTCTTGCTAGACGAGAAGTACAGCAAGGCTTGTGGCTCCTGGCGTTTACAGCGGTCCGCACCTGCACGTCCGCAGCCACCGAAGACAGGCAAGCAGGAACCACCCAAACGTAAAAAGGAGAGATCCCAGGCTAACTTAGGAAGGTAGCCTCGAAATATTTCTCAAAGTGAAAGTCGCGATTACGACCGCAATCGCCGCCTTTGTGGTCATCTCCCGAACCATGGTCATCACCCGGATCTGACACTTATCGTTCTCACCCGTTTCAAGATAGAGTACGGTCTACAGCCGGCATCGATCTTGGGACTGCACCTACTGTCCCCAAATCGACTGACTCGCATCGAGATGGTTCATTCAGACCTACATTTACCTGAGATTGTTTTGCGGACTCACCAGGGACACATCCTCCCCCTACTCTGCAGGAGCCCAATAGATTACCTACGCCTCCACATCCTTTCTTCCTAGGTCGCGTAGTCCCTTCAAGAAATCAGCCCATCAAGAGTCTTGGGTACACTCCTGTGTTCTCCGGACATCTGGAATCATCACCATAGCCCGCAAGACCTGGTACCGACTCTGGTCCCATGGTTCGGTTGGCCCGAGGCACCCCAAACTACCGCATTCATGAGACTCCAAAAGATTAAATTGACGCATCAAATTCGCCATCGAGGAGAAACCATACCCGAGTTTTACCCAGAGTGGCGTAACGAGTTCTTGCCGGGGGGTGTAGTGCCGGATGAGGCGCCTTTACCACCAGGGATGAGGTTCGTCAAGTTGCCGAGGGAATTATTGTGGCGAAATGGAGGAGGTTGGGGGGAGGTTGTGGCGGTTGCCTGCTGTGGGAACAGTGCATGTGTGAGGGTATGCTTCCTAGTGTAGATGTGAGACGCGAGGATGGCGCTATTCTTGGTCAGCAGGGTGATGATGTAGCGAGCATGTTCCGGGGCTTGGCCAAAATAGGGTTGAGTATGATGATTTTGAATACGCAGACACGTGTGAACGAAGGAAGCGCCTCAGTAGGAATGACATGATCTAAATTTGTCCAGTTTCTCGAAACACGAACATGGTCGCTCTAAACGCCGCCAATGCTAAAAATCTCAAAATCGCATCATTTTATCGAACACCCGGAATGGGGCCCTTCTTCTCATTGGAGCCCAGCTCCTCTTCGTTCCAGCCACTCCCAGCGCCAACCTTGCGTCCGCCCTCTTCGCGCTTTACACGGCACCAGAGGCTGATATCCTTATCCCAGATGAACTGATACAATACGTATACCCAACTCTTATGCTGTGGCAAGTCCTTGTAGAAGTCATTCGCAATTCTGTTGAGAGCATGGAGACGGGTCCAAGGGATGGCGGGGAAATCGTGATGCTCGTTGTGCAGGCCGACATTGTACGTGAAGAAGTTAAGGGGGCCGTAGTACGAATACGTCTCAGGGAGCGGGATCTTGTTGACAGAGTTTGACGCGTCTTTGTTCGGCTTCTCGAAAACGTAGTGCTCAGCGATGAAATGACCTGCGCAGGGGTGGAGCGAGCCCGCAAGGAAGCTGCTCATGATCAGGTATCCTAATGCCCTTCCTCCTGCAAACTGGACGAGTGCGTAGTCAAAGGCCAATTGTACCACGACATTGAAGAGGTGGATCTTGGTCATTGGTAGGCTGTAGACGACATGGGTCGGAGAGCGTAGAGAGGATCTGGATGTCGCAAAGAAGGCTTGCAGCACGAGTCGAGAAGATGCTCGATGCAGTCGCAGGTCAGTATCAGCGTTGACACCTAGCGACTTGTGGTGTGTCAGGTGGTAGGGCCTGAAAGAGGCGCTGTACGGGATACCAATAGGCAAATTCGCGAAGACGGCAAAGACTCTGTTTGCCAGTGGCGATCGGAATGCAAGGTTGTGTGAGATCTCGTGAATGGCGAGGAAGAGGTTCTGGTTCGCCGTAGCACCGATTACGTATGCGGTGAGGAAGAAAGGCCATGAAATCACTGGCGTATCGCGAAGGAGGTATGCGCAAAGGACTTGTATCGATACAACGAGCAGAACGACGTATTTGGTAAGAGGTTCGGGACCACAGAGTTTCGTTACCTATGATACTGTTAGGAAGACTGGTTTGCAATGCTTGTATCGCATCATTACCTCTGGGTGTGCCTTGATAATGGCCATTCGCCGTGTCCTGTGCGGCTCTTCGGTGTATGTCCAGAAAAAGTGGTCGTGTTCATTCTCTCCAATCGGCTCATCCTGCTTTTCTGCCTTTACAGTAAAACCTCGAGGGGTAGGCTCCTTTGACGGCACTGTAGCAGTAGAGACTGAAGACCGCATATTGGCGGCTGTGCAGAGCAATTGCAGAAAGTGTGTGAAGAGCGAGGGGTGAGCTCTCGAGGTTTGTGGAGTAGTTGACCCTGAACTCGGCGCTAGTCGGAGGCGGTGGGCCCGCCCCGCCTTGCACGCCACGATTGGCTGGTCCCTTCGCCACCCCGCTAGCGCAGGAACGTGCTTCGGTCTGTCGCCTCAATTTCTAGAACATTTTCATCTTCTCGCAGCTTAACCGATGTTTCTTTAGAAACTTACTGTATTACCTCTGATTGTGACTAAGATTTATTATCATGCAATAACTTTTCCCTAAGCTTCCTTCTGAAGATGAACAGAATACCGGAAATCATGCACTGTTGCAGTACGATTGCATTATGGTATTGCGTCCAAGTCAGGTACACAATGGTTTACTCTGGCTCCCTAAATCATCCACAGTGATGCACATGAACGAACAGTGTCATCAGACATGGCTAAGACTTAGTTGAGAGAGAGAGAAACATGATCCTTTGTTCTACAAGCACAGGTTTCTACACAATGCCGAACTTTGTACATATGACTTGCTACAGTGAAAACCAGCGATAATCATGTTGGCTGGGAAACACGTCTTCACTAAATTACAGCTACACTGGCTGCCAGAGAGCTGGGCTCTTATGTGAATGCAGGTGAGAGCTGGGCGAGTTGCTAGCTGAGCACTTTGATTCACTACTGCTCCCCATTCTCCCCATATTAGAACTCTTCTTATCTCTCCCATTAGAAGATTCAGCAGACAACCCGGGAGTGTGAGCACGACCGCAATATCCCCCTCGGGTCTCCAAAACGACGCAGCCGCCAGCGCCATTCCCGCAGCCCCCCAAAACAGCGCAGGTTGGAAACTCGCCCTTTCCACGATACTCCCTTGAACCATACTTCTCCTCAATCTCCCCTACTCCCTCAACCCCGAGTGCAACCACAACACTGCAAATGGACAACATGGAACTCCCTCGAAATCTCGCGTTCAGTGCAAGCCGCAAATCCCGTCCTGAAAAGCCTGTGGCCGGGCCCAAGACATATCAACTCGAAGGACAAATGATGGGGAATAGGCAGACTACATCCAACTACGCGACTGTGCTCACCAACTTCCTAGGATGGTTCCCTCAAATGCCGGCTCAAGCGAAACATTCCACCGCCTCCATCATTTTTTCCCTCTATACCAGTGGCGGATAGGATGAAGAAGACACCACGCAAGAAGAAGGTGGCGGAGGTAGAGGAAGATGAGTGTGAAGAGGTGCGAGAAGCTTTCTGGCGGTCTTACATCCAGCAATTGGTTGAAGCGGAGGAGGAGAAGAAAAAATAGACGGAGCCTGGAGAGCAGGAGGAGCATTACGAACAGGAAGAGCCTGGAGAGCTGGAGGAGTAGCATGAGCAGGCAGATGGACTTGATCCCCCGCCGCAAGAACAAATGAGCCTGGCATCACAGGAAGATATGGAGGAATGGCAAGAAGACCAGTCAGCGGACAGATTTCAGCATTTCTTCACCAGATGGTGATTATATTGGGGCAAATATCGATGGCGTTCGGTGACATCGAGTAGCGGCTATGGTTGCTCAGTGGATTTTCCTTGGAGAGAGGATACGAGAGAGATGCTGGAAGGATATATTAGCTCCTGATGTTTATTCGGTGTAGTCTAATTGACATGGCAATGCAAGAGTTGATCTCGATGACGTAGCCAATTATGTTTGTGTCGACTGCCAATGGTAAGCTGCAGCTGATGTTTGGAGTAAGGCAGCGAAAGTGACCAGTAGACATCTTGGAGTGAGTGACTACCCTCGTACTCGGCATGGCCGAGTACGTCTTTTCTTCGGCGAAGTGAGGCAATTTGGAGAGTTCTGTGTAGACTCCGCAACAATCAATTCAATCCGGTCACTCTCCTAGACCCACTTACCTATCTAGGTAGGGCTTAAACTCCTATAGGTAACTACTAGGCTTAAAGCGGTAATCAATCAATCCAATCTGAACCTTCTAGGACCCACTTAATTGATTGTTGCGGACTGTGGTTCTGTGTTGATGTGATGTGCTGATTTTCGGTTCAGCAGAGCCCTTGCAGCTGAAGTGACTAGTTCACTCCACCTCCAAATCTGGACAGAAATCTACTGTACAGGTATGCTACCTATCACGCTTAATGACCTGGTCTTTATAGAAGACTAGGTCCGCGCCAGAGAAGATGCATAGAAGAATTTTCTACCGCCACTGTGGTAGTTGCCGTCTGGTACCACATGTTGACTACCAGTGGGGCAAAATCTGTCAAACTCTGCTCCCACGTGCGAAGCTAACATTGGACAGCTGTCGCATTTGCGGGATGTAATGGTACACTACCAATGTCCCTCACGTACGCCGTTCCAGAACCAGAGTTGCAACATGAAGTCTTACCCGATGGAGGTCGGCTCCGAGGGCTGACGGTTCATGATGCATTGGTTTTCTGCACTTTGCCCAATCATGACATGGTGATGCGAGTATGGCGCCAGTGGCATGGCAGAGTGGGAGTCCAGATGTCGAATGCTGAAGGGTATGCTAGGTGGAGGGTGGCTTAGCGTGCCAACATCCCAGCTGCAGGGATACAGAACCAATTTGGTGGATGCACTGCTATTTGCATGGATGTTGGGCATACTCATTTCAGTCCTGGTCCATCGTTCGGCCAGTCTGACAGGTCCACGGGCATGCCGGGTAACAGCCATGGTTCCTAACAAGCAAAATGATTGACGCGCCACAACATCACGGCAACCCATACAAGACTTTCCAAGAGGTCTTGACGGCAAAGAAGCTTCGATCCTTCAATCCTACGAAGCGGGCCAAGTTGAGTGGGTGCAGGTCCTAGCGCCCGGGTGTGGTCTTGGCATCATCCGCTAGCGCGCACGTGGGGTAAATGGGGCCTACGATTGAACACGTTCGACTCTGCTTGTGTCGCGTCTCTCAGGACCTTTACACAAGCTCCACCGGCATAAACGCCAATCGAGCGCGACATGATAGTCACCGCGGTTCTCCAACACTTGTGGCGGCCTGGGCTTGTCAAAGGGCACATTTACACGTAAAATCTGCCTTTTGGCAACGGAAAGGCCGAACCGAGAAGGTGGCATTCGCGCTCGTGCCTATATTGACTGCTTCCATTGGTCAGCTGGGCTCCTGTCTGTTTGGAGACACAAGCTTGGCTGTCAGCCTTGGGAGTAAGCTTGATTGCAGTTATATAGCTTGGCCCTGTACCCCTAAACACTGATTCCCCAGAACGCAGACCCGTCTTTCCCGGTATCAAGACTCATCTAAACTCTCGACAAGCCTTGGGCAAAAAGCTTTACAATGGCTGCTAAGACGGCTGGCGGCAATTCCGCGTTCCACAACTTCAATAAGTAGGCTAGCGCACGGCTCCTACCTCTTACTGTACAACCCACTAACAATGTTGACAGTGACTTTGCGCACATCGAAGACCCCAATGAACGACGCCGACTTGCCCTCGCAGAAATTGACAAGGCACCATTTGGATGGTATCACGTGCGTGCAATTTTAGTTGCCGGAACTGGCTTCTTCACAGATTCGTACGATATATTCTGTGTCTCACTCTTGACCGTCATGCTGGGAATTGTCTACAAGCAAGACCACAAGGGCACACTCACAACTCCCCAAGATACGGCTATCAAGCTGGCAACGTCGGCTGGTACCGTTATCGGACAAGTCGGTTTCGGTACGCTCGCCGATATCGTTGGACGTAAGAAGATGTACGGACTGGAGTTGATCTTGATCATCGTCGCGACGCTCGCGCAGTCGCTGACTGGTCCCGGTCCTGGCACTTCGGTTGTTGGCCTCATCATCTTCTGGCGTGTGCTCATGGGTATTGGTACGTTCTGGGCCTCTCATGTCGAATCACAACCGTTCTAATAACCTCATAGGTATCGGCGGTGACTACCCTCTCTCTTCCATTATTACCTCCGAGTTCGCAACCACCAAGTGGCGCGGTGCCATGATGGGTGCCGTTTTTGCCATGCAAGGTTTCGGTCAGCTCGGCGGTGCGCTCGTCATGCTGTGTCTGGTCTCTGGTTTTAAGGCCAAGCTCGAGCCTGCCACCGGTTACGATACCTGCAAGGGTGACTGCCAGATTGCTGTTGACAAGATGTGGCGTGCTCTGATCGGTCTCGGAATCGTCCCAGCCTGCATTGCCCTGTACTACCGTCTCACTATTCCAGAGACACCTCGTTACACTTTTGATGTCGCCCGTGACGTCGAGAAGGCAAACGAAGACACAAAGCAGTACCTTTCCGGCAAGCACGGCGAGGGTCATCCGGATGAGATTACTCAAGTTGCAGCCCGCCAGCAATCCTCCGCTAAGCTCGACGTTCCCAAGGCTTCCTTCAAGGATTTCTTCAGGTTTTACGGCAAGCTTCGCAACGGCAAGATTCTGTTCGGAACTGCCATGTCATGGCTCTTGCTTGATGTCGCCTTCTACGGCCTCGGTCTCAATGCCTCTACTGTCCTGCAAGCTATCGGTTACGCCAACGGCGCAAACCTACACGATAAGCTCTACAACTTGGCTGCCGGCAACGCTATTCTTGTCTGCGCTGGTGCGATTCCCGGATACTGGCTTGCTGTTGCTACCATTGACACCATCGGACGCAAACCCCTCCAGCTTATTGGCTTCACCATTCTTACCATTCTCTTCGTCATTTGGGTATGTACTTACTTTCTGCTTCCTGATAAGATGGATGTTGACTTCAATCCAGGGTTTCGCCTACAAGCACCTCAGCTCCCACGCCATGTTGGCTATCTACGTCCTCATCCAACTCTTCTTCAACTGGGGCCCCAACAGCACCACCTTCATCGTCCCCGGAGAGTGCTTCCCTACGCGCTACCGCTCTACCTCACACGGTATCTCTGCTGGTTCAGGAAAGATTGGCTCCATTATCGCACAGGGAGCCATCTCTCCTCTCCGTACCCGTGGACATCCCACCAAGCTCAACCCCAGCCCTTGGCTCAACCACGTCATGCAGATCTTCTCTGCCTTCATGTTCGCCGGTATCTTCACCACGCTTCTCATTCCTGAGACCAAGCGCAGAACGCTCGAGGACTTGGCGCAAGACTGGGACATGGGTGACGAGAGCATTACCGGTGCCGAGCATGCTCGAAAGGTTGATAGTATCGACGAAGTTGGCGTCACTGAGATCAAAGGCCAGGTTTGAGACGGCGGGCGGCTTGTTCGCTTCTTCCTTTTCATAGAGTCTATTAGTTCACTTCCCGTACATAGTATCACGTCAGACCATAAACAGTAATTGCATCTTGCACCTAACTACCCATTTTAGGCTTCGTTGTGTTGTGACTGAGACACGCAGAGGAACGTGACAGGTGGGGTTTCGTCCTGCACATTGGAATTCTCTGATGCGCATTCGTATACCGGCAAACATTCCACATGGGCCACATGTGTTGTTTTCACTTTTCGTTGACGTGTATGGAAGGTGCGGTGTTGTCGATCCATTAATAATTTAATGCATATGGCATGTTGGGGCGAGCCAGTCTTTTGTGCTGTTGGTTCCCGGACTGAGACGCGGTACAATGACGTCATTTGTCTGCGTACACTCATGCATATCACCTTTTCGTTACCTGATGATGCAGCGTATACCGCGCTTGCGATACTGTTAGCTTGGGCAGCTATTCTCCTCGGAAACTTAGCCGTGTCGTGTTCATGTATATCAAACTCTAATTCGGAGCCAGGCAGGACTGGCTCACGGTGCACCATGCCGCAAGTTTCTTTTGGACGTGAAATGGCTAGGCTACTTGCAGTGCAGCGTGTGGGGCAGGTGCCGCCTGGGCAGCAACTGCGCATGTCGCGGGCGGGATCCCCGTGGAAAAGCTGTCGCAGTCGTGTATTTGAAATGGAGATGCGTGAAGATCACAGTGTGTTCCCAATGCGGTCAATTGCCACATCACATGACAGACCCATCGCTGAGAAATCAGCATCAGCCTTACATGTAGTACATGTAGCTATCGGCCCGTGGAGGTGGCGCAGGGTCTCTTGGTGGGTCCAGTGGGGTCGGTGTTAAGAACTTGGTCTACCTACGAACCCAACCGCGTCGCATTCGTCCGAAGTTCGAGGCTTTCTAATAAGGCCCCCGATCATCGCGATTCCGATCCTCGAGCATAGCGATCGAGAAAAAACATGCAGCCGCAAAAAGAGAGCCGCGCAACCACGTCGTGTACTGAATGTCAGCGCCGGAAGCAAAAGGTCCCGCTCCACTCCAGATTGACCCTGCGTCTAACCCCTTGGACTAACGGCAAGATTAGTGCTCCCGAGAATGGCCTTGCAATCATTGCCAGGCCAGGAAAGTGCCTCATCTCTGTCAATTCTCTGTTAAACGACCACAGCAAGAGTCGCCGCCAGAGTCGTCTCGGTATGTCGTTCCTGTCATGTACCCCGCGGTTACCAGAACTTGGCAGTAACCGGCCTCATGCAGAGAGAACTCGTCCAGTGAGCCCAAAACCCTGAAGAGAAGCGCGCCAGACTCTGCAGAGCCCCAGTTTATATCGCAGAATGGCGAACATGAGGAGATTGAAGACGGGCTGAAGGTCTGGGGTTACATGCCTGGCCATGTTCATTATAAAATCGGCAATGCAGATGAGGTAAGCAGTCTTTGATCTTGTTGACTGTTGAGCGCATCTAAGTTTTGGCGGAAGCATGCTCCGCGGAAGGAATCCCCGCCAGAAGCACCGATATTCGATGCCGTCGACAAGGTCTTGCATGCTATCCCTCCAAGGTCCATAACAGGTAGGTTCAAGATGCTATGCGTATCGGCACTGCTAATGGCAAGCAGATGCGTTTGTCAACCACTTCCTCAGTGTCGTCAATTACCGCTACAGCGCCATATACGGACCAACTTTGGCTGAGCAGTATGTCCAATGGTGGACGGATCGAGGCGCTGGGAAGCAGTTGTCCCCAGAATTCACGTGCTTGCTTCTACGCATATGTGCTTACTCCGTACAATATCTTACGCCATCGCTCCGCAAGATGATTGAGTTTGAGTTGGCTTGTAGCTCACAGACACTCACAGAGCGGTTCTCGGACGCAGCAGAGGAGCTGAGTCGAAGCTTTGAAGCATCTCGCACGAGCATCGAGCGTGTACAAGAGCTGTTCCTCAAAGGCGCCTGGCTGAAATCTGAGTCGAAGATAGTGGAGTCGTGGCATGCGTTGTCGCGCACTATTCGCGAAGCGCAGGAACTAGGGATTGACAAAGACGCCGGTGCTGAAGATTTGTGCGAGTTTGGTCTGGAGATACGTAGACGTATCTGGACACTGCTTTACATCTGGGACTGGTAAGCATGATGAGTGATGATGTGGGAGCTGGAATTGACATTAAGTAGGCAGATGTCGGCGTGGTTAGGTCGTCCAAACCTCATCGACCAAAAGAACCTTACATTCAAGCTTCCAAATCTGCGACTGGACCAATCAACTACTCAGCCCAATCTTCTCTCTCCATTCGCGCACATGGCACTTCAGGCTACTCTTGGCCGACGAATCGCCGCAGCTATGGGCAATGCAACCTCCCAAACCGATCTCTCTGCCGAGCAGGTCTTGGCGATAGAGTCAACGTGTGAGAAGTTCATCGAAGAGCTGCCACCAATATTTCGCATCGACAATCCGGATCTCTCTCTTGATGAGGAACATCCGTACTTTGTTTTTCAGCGGCACCAGTTGCACTGCGTCATCTTTCTGTCCAAGCTCGACTTTCTCAAGCCATACCTCACTCGCGAACGGCGAGATAAGATAACCGACCGCGACGACGAATTCCGGAGAAAGGGTATAGACGTAGCGTTGGATCTGTTGAAGGTTGCGCGTAAACTCTTCGATCATGAGTTCCCCATTAACGCCAAGTTCCACATGGTCGTCTTCTGCGTCTTCGACACGGCAACACTACTATGTTCGGCAATTATCCACGACCGCGATCGCGTTCTCCCTCATCGCGAAGAAGTCGTAGATGCCATCGAGAACTCACTCGATATGCTCCACCAACTCAGCCTAACAACTAAGCTAGGCGCGTCGTCATACAACTTTCTTTTCAAGCTCGTGCAGGCCACACCCGATCTTTCGCGAAACACTCAACTCAGCAAGCGCCAGAGACATACTTCTTCTTCTTCTTCTTCTTCTTCTTCTTCTTCTGCACCTTCTGCGCTGAAGACAACACCTCCCGTAGAGGAACCGCCTCCTGCAGCGGTCATACCACCAACAACGAAGCCTTCAAATTCCTTCATCGAGCCTGCAGCTTCTGCCAGCGAGCCTCTTCCCGCGATGACGATGCAGGACGATCTTAACTTTGACATTGACCAATTTCTCGCCCAAAACCCCTTTGGGCATCTCGGCGATCTAAACGCCCTCGACATGGGTGGTATGGAACAGATTTGGGACTGGGAGGATTTGCATCTAGACGTTTACACACAGGCTGGACCGAACGGCTGGGGCGCCCCTGGAGAAAGCGCTTGATAAGACTCTGGATGGGAGGCAGGTTTGAGGGGCTGCGCCGAGAAAAATGGACGTCGTGGGCGGGCTTTCTGTTATCCCATGTGATAAGATTCGTGTGAACGCCGTTTCTTCTAAGCAATGATTTATTAGTATTGTTGTTATGTCGCCCGATTCATCATTGTTACTTCTCACGGTGTTAGTATAGCAATAGCAATGTCATTGAATAAGTAAACGAATGATTCTTACCCTCAACGAAGCATATTGACAAACAGCAAACATAAAAGGCCATCTAAGAGAGGAGAAGACAGGATGACAGCCCAGTTAAGATTTCGAGTAGTCAGCAAGACACAAGGGTTGCCCGATCCCGAAATCTGTCGGATCGGATGTCCGCGGTTAGGCGGATCGACCAATGTTATCGCGTGGGTCTTGTCATTGGTACTACGGTATCGGCTTGGCTGATGATCTTGGATGATGTGGGTTAAAGTAGTGGTGATTGGGTTATTAGGGTGCTCAGGGCGGTGCTGTGGCTGCTTTTGCTGATGCATCTTCTGCTGGCTGCTGGAGCGGGTTGGATTGATTTGGATTGAATCTGTAATAAAAAATTGCATTCTTTTGCCGCTGTAAATTCTCTCATCCGTGCACTCTTGTGTGTTTTTTGCCTGGTTTGTGGGTTTTATTCAGGGTCCGCAGTGTATGCAGAACACATGGACCAACGGATGGAATCTCTTGATCATTTTTCTTGACCTGTCGGAATGGTTTCTAAGTTCATGTTGCATGCCAGTATAGACCTCATAGCTCTTTATCATTAGATTGTGGTGTTGGCATGTCGGCTCACCATGGAAAATAGCAAGGCTCACCATAGAAGGGGGCCATGGTGAGCCGACATGCCTCCCGTAGATTGTGCCAGTACTCGAACTTATCCAGCCAGGGATGGGGATGTTGCCACAACAAAGAAGTCGAATTTGCGAGCATCAATTGCAAGGTATGATGACCAGGGGTCGATTCTAAGGAGGGATCTCGATAGAACAGATCCTATATTGTAGGTAGATGAGTGATTTACCAGAATGTGATTGATATCGCAAAGTAACACGTTATGAGAATAATATGAACAGCGGGAAATACAAAGTCTGGCCGCAGAGGTTACCTGATCTCACTCGTGTATATGAGTATGCTTTTGAGACAACGCAACAGCTTTCAGCAACATTGACAGCGGGCTACGTCTTGGGACGTAAGTTAGTTGTGCTTACCACGTGTTGTTTTAATTCGGGGTTGCAATAGGTATTGCCTTCCATGGTTTCTGAGTCAGCTCAACAATCGACAAAGAAATTCCACGCGATACCTTCTATCCGCAACGTCGAACGATGTCTGATGTAGTCAACAAGACTAGCGAGGCAATGCTGGGCGATATGTGAACGCTACCAGGTTCGCCACAAGGATCGCGTGACATACATGTTCGATACGACCTTCCGAAACTAGTCCCACTAAAGGATTTTCACTGACTCGGCCTCGGTCTGTACACACTGGTACGGTACATACGCACTCGCGCAGGGAACCTGATGAGCTTTTTTACCGTACGAGGAGCCGAGAACCGACCCACCCTTTCAACGCATTCAGCATTGCCGGTTTCTTTTCCTCCAGATAGCAAAACACGATCCGATCTTCATATCAAGCCTTGAGGCGTGTCGATCTGCCATGGGGGCTGGGGAAACCCGCACTAGGTTCCCGAAACGAACCCATCTCTCTCCCAGGAATGTGATACCTGATATGGGCAGTCGACGAAGACGGAAAAAAATTCCCGCTTACCATCGGTATTCGCAAGGACGACTCGGACAACATGCGATCTCATGCGCTTTGACGTACACACTGTCGGTCGGTTCTATTGCCCTGTTCGCGAGTGAAAAGCCTGATGAACGTAAACGTAATAACGGTCGCTTAGTCGCATTTCGGCATGCGGCAAAAAATAGCGCATCTCGTGGTAGACCATGGACAAACTCCAATTCCACGCGAGAATGCCATTATCGTAATGCACTGTACAAACGGTGATAGCTGTCAATCTAGACACGGCTATCTAAACGTGGGACGTTGACCATGGCGCTCGATTATCGCATCATCGCGCACGACAAAACCCCCAGAGACGGGGTGTGAAGCTTGCCGGTCGGCTCGAGCAACCACTAAAATTGAGACTAAACGATGCAACGAACCACGGCAGACAAATGCGATGATCATTGCAGTCAACGGGTATAGGGACGGGGATGGGCTTGATGCTTGGTGGACCAAGCAATACGTCATGGTGCGCCTAAAGAGTCGCTCCCCTTGGCGCCTCTCACCATCGACTCCACACTGACTGTCCGTCCCGAAATATTTTCCTGACAGGGGGGCGACACCGGGGCTTACTGGAGTACAAGTCACTGGTATATGAGGGGGATGATTTCCATGTGCGGGAAACAAACTCGTTGCAACTCTCATCACACTGAATTTGCCGCGACGTCGTTGTTGCGGGAGCTTGCCGTATCAAATACAACAAGCTTTTTCCAAGCCTCAAAAGCCTTTAGCATCCTTTGCTTAGGTGAATACGCCGTGAAGGTTTCCCACACCACACTAGCATCGCCATTACCTATCGACCTACCCAGGAACCAACCAGAGCAGCATCTTCCCAATTGCGACTGCCCCATCCGTTGCATAGCCCATCAATACCAATAGCACCAACCCCAAGCAACAAGTCCCCGACCACCATTGCGTCCAGCGCTATACCACCATCCATTACTACGCCAAGATGGTGCGAACTATGTTTGTGAACCCATTCAAGACTCACCACATAGACGAATTCCCAGACGTCCATGTCCCTCTCGACGACACCACCCATCGCAGCTCCCTTGCCACCCACCCACGCGCCTCACTCACCACATCCGAGAAAGCGACCAAAGAAGATGAGGCCGGCGGTGCTGCCCTCGGACGACCGGAAAGTAATGCATCTAGTGGTGTTGTTAACCATGGCATGAGTGTTGCAGCACTCAAAGCAGAGATTGACGCTGATGTTGCGGCGTCGGATACTGATACCCCCTATGATCGTGAGTATACTGGAGTGGAGTTGTGGGGAGATTTGTAGTGTGGTGCTGACTCGATCAGGCAAAGCAAAGGTTATTAATAAGGCGTTGCAGGATATGGGGATGGGAAGGTATCAATGGCAGCTCTTTGCGCTTTGTGGAGGTGGGTGGATGGCTGATAATCTTTGGCTTCAGGTACTTTTTACGTGGCAGAGTGTATGATGGGACTTACAAGAATACAGGGTGTTGCTCTTACACTGCCGCAATTGAGCGCTGAGTTTGGTGTCAGCGAGACTGAAGTACGATACACGACTCTATCGCTCTTCCTGGGCCTTTGCATTGGCGCCTCCTTTTGGGGTACCGCATCAGACATCATTGGTCGTCGTCTGGCGTTCAACTTTACGCTCTTCCTCGCTGGTGTCTTTGGACTTGCGTCTGGAGGCGGACCCAACTGGATTGGAACATGTGCTCTTTACGCATGCATTGGTCTTGGTGTCGGCGGCAATCTTCCCGTTGACGGAGCATTGTTCTTAGAGTTTCTCCCGCAGACTTCAGGAAATCTCCTCACTCTGCTGTCAGTATTCTGGCCCGTTGGTAACCTGATTGCCTCACTATGCAAGTCTTCCATCAGAACAACCGGGTTAGATCATACTAACAACCCGCAGTGGCATGGGCATTTATCCCCAACTTCTCCTGCCCCACCTCCACGCCCGCAGGCCAATGCAGCAAAGCCGACAACATGGGCTGGCGGTACCTCATCCTGACCCTCGGCGCAATAACCTTTTCCATGTTCATTGCCCGCTTCTTCCTCTTCCACCTCTACGAATCCCCCAAATTCCTCCTCTCGCGCGGCCGCCAAGCCGAAGCCGTCGCAACCGTCTATGGCATCGCGCACTACAACCGCACCCACACCTGGCTCACTGAAGACATCCTTAACCAAATTGGCGGTAACCCAGACGTCACCTCGGAAGACGTCATCAAACTCAGCGCCATCGAAATCATCAAACGCTCACTCAGTCGCTTCTCGATGAAGCGCTTCAAGGCCCTTTTCTTGGACAAGAAGATCGGTCTTACCACCGCACTCCTTTGGTTCCAATGGTCGACTATCGGTATGGCGTATCCGCTCTTCAACGCCTTTCTCCCCCAGTACCTTGGCTCTGCTGCGGAAATTGATACAAGCACTGTGTACCGCAACTACGCCATCAGCGCCATTGTAGGCGTCCCTGGTTCCCTAATCGCCTGCTACACCGTCGACCTCAAGTACATCGGCCGCAAGGGTACCATGGCTATTGCAACAGTCATCACCGGCGTCTTCGTCTTCCTCTTCACCATCTCCGCCGATTCAGACTTCCAGCTCGCGTTCACGTGTCTAGAAGCCTTTTTCCAGAATATCATGTACGGTGTGCTGTATGCGTATACGCCAGAGGTCTTCCCAGCGCCGATAAGAGGTACGGGTACGGGTATGAGCAGTTTCTTGAATAGGGTGGCGGGGCTTTGTGCGCCGATTGTGGCGATTCAGGCGGGTGGGAGTAACCCGAAGGCGCCGATTTATGCGTCGGGTGGGCTGTTTATTGCCGCGTTTTTTAGTATGTTGGTTTTGCCGATTGAGACGAGGGGTATGCAGACGTTGTAAGCAAGGGGTCAGGGGAGACGGCTGGACCGTGGATGGGGGTAGGATTTATGGTGTTAGTTTATGCTAGAAGTGTTATACCCAGGTTAGTGTAGTTGGATATTACCGTTATAGGTATATTGCTGTTCATGGCTTCGTTTTGTGCCCCGGATTGACAACGCGATGTCTATCTCGGCAGTGTGACGTCTGGCATGTGAGCGGTTGCGGCTCGTTTCACTATACGAATGGAAATACGAAGGGCCAGTCCTCAAGTAGTCTGATGAATAAATTATGCATTCAAGTGGGCATTATGTGCATTTGCCGTATATATCCTACAAGGATAAATGGGCCTAGCACGCTCGAAAAACCTACTCAACGACCACCTTCTCCCACTTCAGCCCCTCCTCCAAACTCCCCGTCTTCAATCCCCAAGAATCCAAAAACCAATTATCCCTCGGCTTCCACGGTCCGCTATCTGCACAATGTGGCATCTTGCTCATGGCGTTCTTAATATACGTGCTATTCAGCGGACTAGCCGACGTGGTCTTTTCCTTTGCTTTTTCATCAATCACCGGTACCACGTTCGTGTATCCATGATCGCGCTGGTGCTTGATGAGGCGCACGAACATGCGGGATGCAAGGTCAGAGCCGAGAGTCCAAGACGCATTCCAGTAGCCGAGGATGTTGCCGAGATTGGGAAGGTTGGTAAGCATGCTGTTGCGCCACATGTATTGCGAGGATATGTCGACCTTCTCGCCATCTACGCTCACGTCTATGCCTCCGAGGAGTTGCATATTGAGGCCGGTGGCTGTGACGATGATGTCGGCGTTCAGCTTATGTCCACTGGTCAGCTCGATGCCATCAGCGTGAACGTTCTTGATTGTGTCCGTCACGATGTGTGCTCTGCCCGAGTTGAAGGCTTTGAAATAGTCGCCATCGGGACACAGGCACATGCGCTGTTGCCAAGGGTTGTAGCCGGGTTTGAAGTGGGGGTCTACGGGGAATTCAGGCGGGAGTTGCGAGGCAGCTTTCTTGACGAGGACGGAGGCGGCGAGGGATGGGAACCAGATGCAGAATTTGTAGAGGAGCACTGGTATGACGAGGAACAAGAAGCCTGTCTAGTGCGTTAATAATGGTAATTGAGTGTGAGAAGCGAGACGACGTACGCTTGTATCGTAGGGTAAACCACTCTGGTGCCCACTTCTCGCACCATACCTCCTCATCCTGTGGTATACTCATGATGTAGCTGGGACTCCTCTGTAACTGCGTCACACTGCCCACCCCACCGTCAACGAGTGCGGGCAGAAGTGTGATGGAAGTCGCCCCACTGCCCACCACAATCATCTTCTTGTCCTTGTAGTCGAGGTCCTGTGGCCAGAATTGCGGGTGCACAATCTTGCCCTGGAACTTGTCAATGCCAGGAATATTCGCCTGCAGCGGCTCTGTGTAGTTGTAGTAGCCAGTGCCCATGATGAGCCACTTGGTCCAGTATGTGACGATGCGCGGCTCTCTGCCAACCTCATTGTCGACCTCGACCTCCAGCTTCCAGTGCTGCTGGTCACTCTTCCAGTCCGCCGATAGGACCTTGTGTCGGTATCTAATCTTCTTGTCTATGTCGAATTTCTGTGCCGTCTCCTGCAAGTAGTTCATGATGCTCGGCCCCGTCGCAATTGGGTTCTTCGCGCGCCATGGGTAGAATTGAAAGCCCAGCGTGTGCAGGTCGGAATCGGAGCGCACGCCCGGGTACTTGAACTGCGACCATGTCCCACCAAGCTCGTGTCGCGCTTCGAGGACGGCGAATCTGGCATCTGGTAGCGCCTCTTGAATGCGGTAGGCCGAGTTGATGCCACTCAGGCCACTACCGATAATGAGGACGTCAAAGTACGAGTGGATCATGGCGTGATTGGGGCGCGCCTATTAGAGTGCTGACTGTCCGGATGCAGGTACGGATGCTGCGCGCGCTTCGCTACACGTAGGTCGGAGAGAAAAAAACCTGTATAATAACACAATCGCTATGATGGTGATAGATGAGCGTCAATTCAGCAAGGCAACTCTTTTTCAGAACGTGTCGGTGCGGGTACACCGAAAGAAGAAAGAATAAGCATTTGCAAAGGGGAGCCGGAGTCCAACCTTACTTTGTAGTAGACGTACATAGCCCCGACACCGACACGGCGCTCCACATGATGCATCGTGCAACGCCACCCTTTACACACGCTACCCCACCGGGAGCCAAGATGTCTGACCTTTGGCATGGCATGCCCTCCCTTCAAAAGCGCGCCATTGGGGCAGTCGTCTCGCGCCGTTTGTATAGATGAAGAGGGGGTTACGTCAAAGACTTTTGTGCCGAGGCTGCCATTACTCCGCGCACGCCTAACCGCAATCGGAAAGGAGACATTGCTACTACCACGACAGTCTACTCTACTAGACCTGCGGATCCAGGCACGCCCGTGGATCATGATCGCCATTTAGCTTCGGCCAGCCCTTCATCGTCCGAATCCGAGCGTCACATGTTGGCGAGATTAGGCTGCAAGTTATCGCACAAGTCCGTGGCCTCGGCTCGCCACCATGACTTGGAATTGTGTAGTAGAAGCGTTTCGCAGGCTGTAAAGTGGACCATTGCACAGAACCGATTGGAGGCTGCAATGAAATCCAACACATGCATATGCGGTACCCATCAGCAATTCCGATAGGTTGCTAGGCGAAAACAGATGCTGTCCTGGCCTATCCACCGTGAAAAGAAATTACTCGCCTGTTACCTCTTCAATAGCCTCCCACTCGTACTCGCCATCTCTACGCCCTTTCATTCATCACTGCCAATGACAAAGGCGTAGAGGTTTTTGCGCAAAAGTAGGACATGATTGGACAAGAGTTGTTTTTATGCTAACGTAAACCTCTCATATACATTCTCTTGTCCGTTTAAGACATTCATTTAATGTTTGACTTTCGTTAACATGATCCATGGGCGAGCGGCGCACACGGGCGAGCGGCGCACCCCACCAACTTTTGCAACTTTAAAGCGATGCATCTCAACAACGCGATAATATTATTGCTAGATATTGATACAGTAGATTACTCTATATTAATAGTATCAGTCTTGCATGTGCGCGAGTTGTGCCCAGTCTCCTTGCACCTAGTGCAGCGCCTTTGAGCCCGCTGGCTGAGGCCTGATCGCGCTCCTCCTTGACGCTCTTCATGAGCAATCTGCTGGTCAGCCTCATTTTGAGCCAGTATATCCTCTCCAGCTCCCTTTGTGAGTACTCCATGCTTCTGTATACGCCTTTTAGAGCGCCGCCTACGCTCTGAGGCTGCGCTATTGGCCTTCTCAAGACTAGAGATCCGATCGCGCATCAGCTCAGCAGAGAGCATCATCACCTCGGCGCCCTTCTTTAGCTGGTCAATCGCCATAATAATTGAAGCTGGTGATGAGCTCTTGTGCTGGCGCACGCGCTCACGTATTAGGCTTGACTGAGCCTCAAGCTCACGCGCGTTGCTCGGCGTTTGAGCTACCCAGGGAGCCTCTGGCAGAGCTGCTGGAGGAGTAGGTGTACGCAGTTGTACATCTACCTTTGATAGAACAGCCTCTGGTTGTAGAGGAACAAGGCCTGCGCCGCGGAAGGCTGAGCAGATATTGGCTGGCGTGAACGCTTGATCAAATGCTGCCTTGAACGCTGGCAGAAACTCTAGCTTGGTGATGTGGTTGATGTGGTTGCGCATAAGGCTCTCCACCTCACGGCTGTACGCGCGCTTCAATGGCGAGAAGCAGCCAACATCAAGTGGCTGGAGTAGGTGAGATGAGTGAGGAGGCATACAGAGCGTATGGATATTGTTCTCCTTGCAGAGCTCCTGGAACTCTAGAGATTGGTGGCTCTTATGGCCATCAATAATAAGCAGGCGACGCGCGCCTACACTACGAGCCTGCGTGTGAGCGTTGAAGTGCTTTAGCCACTCAACTCCAAGCTCATTATTCGTCCAGCCATTATCGCTGACTGCGATCGCCCAGTCGCGTGGGATCTCAGCTTCCTTATACCAGGCTGATAGGTGGTACTGGCCAGCGAAGATGAGGAACGGTGGGACTGACCAGCCAGCAGCGCTGATAGCAGCGATCAGCGTTACCCACTCGCGATTGCCTGGCTGAATACTCTTCGGCCTGCCTCTCCTCTCTGCTCCTGTTATAACTAGCTGCGTTGTAATCTTGCCCATCATAAAGCCAGCTTCATCAAAGTTGTAGACGTCCTCATCGCAGATACCTAGCTCAGCCTTTGTCTCTTCTACAAGCTTAAACCACCTCTTTATTAATGTTGCATCCTCACAAAGAGCTCTCTGCCTATCGTACGCTTGGTTGAAACACGTCCGAAGACTGTCTGTACGCTTAACAAAGGTAGATGGCCAGTTGACTCCAACCTGCTCTCCACCACGCGCAGCCAGCAGCTTATCAGCCATATCACGTACAGCTGTGTAGGTAGGCGCAAATCCACGCAGATCTAGCTGAAGTATATAGCTAATAATCACCTCCTCTTCTCTCTGGGTAAGCTTCCTTGAGTTGGGCGGGCAATCGCGTCGGGCAGGTATACCAGCGCGTCGGCGGCGGAGCGTTGTTTCGGCTACGTTGTAGACTACTGCAGCAGTACGGGTACCTTGGATCTGGTGCGCATTAATAGATGAGATAGCAAGCTGAATATCTGCTTCATTTGATAGTAATTGAGTAGCGCTGCGTTGAGCCATTGTAGATTAAGATCAGTAAGGTGAGTAAAGTTGGTGGGGTGCGCCGCTCGCCCGTGTGCGCCGCTCGCCCATGGATCATGTTATGTGTCCTTGCATTATGGGCCCTATGATATACATGTGCCTGCCAACTTGTATGATGTCCCTTGCCTTGTGCTTTCCTTGGCATCGCTTTCTCTTGCCTCGCAACTGCAGTAATATGGTTAACCTCCATCCGAATCATATCCGCATCCTCTCATAGCTGCAGTGATGATAATAGTCAAGACATATACCCCCAAGCACCGCCTGGACGTGGTGGTTGTCCTGGGCCTCGAGCAAGTCGCATCTTGAGTTCCTGCGACGTCATGCGTGGAACTGGAATCTGATGCTGTCCTTCAGTGCCGTGTGCGTTTTTGGAAGCCTGAAAAGCCTCCATGCCTTTCTGGACCTCGTCATATTGTTCCATATGCTCAAGGCACTCCATCAACACTTCCACCTTGGTTACGTTAATCCCATGCTCATACAGCTGTGGTGTTTGTTAGCCGCTATACTCGCTATAGCTGGATGAGTACTAACAATGTCGTCGATGGTCCGGTTCATCTCTTCAACTATTTTGACGTAAAATGTCGGAATACCTGCAAGTGAGCATGCGCGCTCGGCTTGCACTCGCTTGGTCTTCTCTTCTTCCGTCTGTTGTATCCACTTGATACGTTCCTCTTCGTTGCGTTTCTGGCCTTGCTCAATGTGCTGATCAATGTGCCGGTACTCTGCCTTTCGTTTCTCCCAGTTGATGAGGCCAGACACTGAGCGTCGAGGTTTGTCGCCCATAGTAGAACGTGGTTGGGCTTTGGTAAAAGGTGCCTAGATAAAATTGAGAGCGAGTTGTAGGAATATTCCAGAATGCACGCAAAAGTTTGGCTTTTATATCAGTCTCTTAGCATCCCGCTAACACGAGATAAAGTCCACGGTCGTTTGCAAGTGAAAGAGAGAAGATAAAGTTCAAACAGAAACTCCTGTGGCTTTGGGGCAACGTTCTATTACCGTGTTTTGGGACTGTACGCAGACGCTCCTCTATGTTGTAACGGCGGCAGGTACGACAACGCTCTAAGTCGTCGTCTACTATATCCCTCTCTTCTTCCAGTTCGTGAGGGGCGACGAGGCGCTCATGGCGGCTGTGCGTTTACTTCCCTTTGTCGTCATCGGCGTCACGGCGAACCTCGTCTCAGGCTCCCTCCTTCATCTGATCAAGGTGTACATGGTCCTTTATGTCATCGCTAGCATCTTCCTCGTAGTTGGCGGTGGTCAGCTAATAGTCTACCTCAACCCAAATCCGTCAACAGCACTCATCTATGGCCTGTCCTTTATAGTCGCTGTGGGAACCGGGTTGTCTATGATTACGAGATACACCGTCGCAACTCTGACACTGAAGCCAGACGTGGGTCCCGGACTCAAGTTGCAGAACGTTTCGCAGATCGGTGGCCAAGTCATCGCGCTTGCCATCGCTGGCCAGATCTACCAGTCCACTGCTATCAAGGAGCTCAAGGCCGCTCTTTCTGGCCAAGGCTTCACCGAGGCGGAGATAAAAAGCGCAGTGGCGGGGTCGCAGAGCGCACTGTTGCACCAACTGAGTGGAGAGTTGCGCGAGCGGGCGATTGAAGCTATCGCACATGCAATGCAGATGCCCTTTGTAACGATCCCTGTCGCAGGAGTTGTCATGTTATTTGCAACGTTTTGTATGAAGCGAGAGAAGCTTTTCAGCAGGGCTGTTGCTGTAGGAGGCTAGTGGGGCGTTAGGAAGGAGGGAAGGAAGAGCTGTTCGAGGCGTCGAAGCTTCCTAGGTAGCGACAGGAAAGCACTAAGGAGATATCTGTGCATGCAACAAAACATCTCTTCTCTCCCACCGCCGACAAGTTCGAACAAGCTCATTGTGTACGCTGAAGGCAGCCCTACCCGCGTACATTCACTAAGTGAATACTGTATTTTACTAAGTATAAGGTACAGTGATAGTAAATTAACTGCTTATTTATATTATTATTACAATAAAACTGCGTTGCGAAAATCTGCTGCTAAGCATAGACATCACTAATATGTACAATCATCTCTTCTCTCAAATTAGACTTTAGAAGAGACATAGTAATAACATAGAGTAATGTACTCTATACACCGTCAGGTGCGGTTCCTCTCTCATCTTCTCGCTTAGAAGCCTAGGCACAGCCCAGAGCTCTACCCAATTTATCGGCATTGTGAGAGAGCAATCTCTTGGACCATCGTGTGGTGCGCCTTCAAACTCTATACCACTACTGCAGGTGTCCGTGCTATCTGTTTTGGAAGAAGATCTATCGTCGGTACCCCTACTATGTGCCTGACTCGCAAGCCATCGTTCACTAACATGCGTAGTCCGTCTTTCCCCCCTCCAAGGCCCACTCTGTTTAGTCTCAATAAATTATCCCACATCCTTGAGAGCCGAAGCCGTTGGATTATGCACAAACTTAAACTGCACTGCGCCCTGTATAGGACCCATCTTCCATATTGTCGGCAGATCCTCAAGCTCTGGGAACTCCCCCGGCAAAGGGCCCACGACATCCTCCTCGTGAGGAAGCGTACCCTCTGGCAACGCAGGATGATCCGCAACTTCCATCACCCAGCTCTTAATCCAATTCCTCATCTTAGACCGGCAATACGTACCATACCGCGGATACATGGCCGCAAGTTCAATCTGGACGAACTCATAATCAAGCATATTCCTCAAATGAGCATCTTCGTACGCCCAGGTGTGGATGCACAAGTGCTTATCTGCCCCGGAAACATGCTTCCAGCCACAAAGGCAATATCCACGCTCGATGATATTGTTGTCCGCCTCCGCAAGCCGCCGGCCAACATGATCCGCTATCATTTTCGCCCACTTACTCTTCGCTTGCACATTTTCCCACACTTGGGCGAGTTCGAAGATGTGGACATCGGTATTTAAATAGTCGCAGATTATCGAGCAAATTTTTCTGCTTTCGCTGAGACCGAGGAGACGAAGTGCGTTTTCGGTGCAGCAGTAGCTTAGGAGTGTGTGCATGGTGGTATCCTCTAAGCCGGCAGGGATGATGCTTTCTTGATCCTCTGCATAGGCCTTTTTTATCCACCCCATGGCGCGTTTCATGCCGGATTTGCTGCAGTAGCGATTTTATAGGTACACGCATGCGGAGCCATCTGTTCGCATGGCGATGAACTTGGCGAAATCCTCCCATTTTAGAAAATTGACAATTTCAGCCCACGACAAGGTACCAATTTCATCATCTGCATTTCCCTCCTCGATGAAGATGACGGGGAGTTCCCAGGAGAGTTACGTGAAGTAGCAGATGAAGCTCCACCATGCTATACTAGTTCCTAGGGGGATGATAGCCAGTTAAGAATCGTCGTAAACGATGCGGCGGAAAACTGTGTTGTTGTTCATAGTCTAGTAAAGACGATCTATACCAATTGCGCAGTGTGAGGTTTGTGTGTAGAGAGGCAATTTAGTAGAAGTGTAAAATACTTATCTTCTCAATTAGATAGAGTGTTGGTAGGGCTGTAGCACTAGTGCTGAAAGGAAGTAACGATAACTAGGAATGCATTCTGTTCGGTGATGGTTCTGATTGATTGTCTTGCGAAGGGGAACTATGGAAGAGCTAGATATAGGAGGTCTGGTCTGAGCGCTGCTCGGACGCCGCGATCAGTGCGCCTGTCCGCGTAACTGATATCAGTGCACCTGCTCGCGTGACCGAGATTAGTGCGGCCGATCGCGTGGCTGAGATATCGTTGATATCTGTGATCCGACATAGAGAGTACTTATCTGTAAGAGAAAGAGTGTCATTGTTATATATTTTAAATAAAAACTATACAATAAGACTATTATGCCCTTAGATGTCGGAATAACGGTTGGACATACATAAAGTCGCTTGTGAACATTAGTTTACATATTTTTAGAGAGGCAGTGTAGCTAAGATAGTATTTTTTGATTAAAATCCAGATGAATAATTAGTCCTACAAGACGCCACCCCTTCCTATCGAATCCTTGATGTATCTATTCATCGCAAACGATCATTGCTCTCTTGTGGGATATTGGCCAAAGTAGCCCCACATTTCCATCCCATAGTTCTCTGTTGCGGTGGAGTGAACAGTGCGCATGTGCGGAGAATTGAAGGATTGAACTGAGGTTGTATTGTCTGAGTCTACAAACTGTATATGTAGGTGGGTGACCGTCAACAGCGCTAGTCCCAGATAGGCATCGGTCCATTACAAAGGTAAGTTGCGACTACAGGAGCAGAGCAGGAGAGACCCCAAACCGTGACATTCTCTCCCATTGCAACCAACACTAGCGCAAATGCAGAATAACATCTAATTTACCCGCTGTCTTATTCGCGCATAGCATACAAGAGCCTTCTACCTATAGTCTTGAAAGTACAGAGTATGTATTCTAACCTGATACACTCCTAGATTTGGTCTTAGTCGCATGAATTGCGTTTTGCAGACCCCGGTATGCTCCTGGCTCTTCAAATTAGCGATCAGCAATGGCAACGGCAACGGAAACATGCCTTGTCAGCCAGCTAATAGACACAAATTCCC